TTTTTGGGTTACATGTGCCACAAGTCTTTCACTTAGTAAAGGGAAACTTAACAATACTGAAGATATCCACAAGTGAACCCCGAGGTGCATAAGTACACATGCTGACCAACATTCTTGTAAACTTTCAGGCCTACAGGTCAAATACTTTTTGAGCTATGCATGAACAATTTGAAAATTAAAGGGCAATAACTCTAACAAAACTGAAAAAATCCACACGCAAAATCCCAGGTGCATAGCTTCACAGTGATGTTGATCATTATTCCTGCAAAGTTGATTGATTCTAACTCAAGCACTCAAGGAACAAATAACACAACATAATGAAATGGTTTTTACTAAGTCAAGGGCAATAACTCGACAAATACTGGATAAATCCACAAGCAAAATGCACAACTACATATGCTGACCAACATTCCTCTTAAGTTTCATGACTCTAGATTAAATACATTTTGAGGTACGCACGACACAAACTGAAAATTGCAAATTTTCACAATGTCAAGGGCAATAACTCTGACAAAACATATCAATTCACAAGGGGAACCCCAGATGCAAAACTTCACATGCTGACCAACATTCTTGTAAATTTTCAGGCCTGCAGGTCAAGTACTTTTGAGCTATACATGAACAAGTTGAAAATTTTACTAAGTCAAGGACAATAACTCTACAAATACTAAATACATGTAAATCTAATGAAAATACACAGGTGCAAAACTACACATGCTGATCAACAGTCCTGTAAAGTTTCATGATCTTAGGTGAAATACTTTTTGAGTTATGGATGACACAAGTTGAAAATTGCAAATTTTTATTAAGTCAAGGGCAATAACTCTGACAAAACAAAATAAATCCAAAAGCGAAACCCCAGGGGCACAACTTAACATGCTTAACAACATAAGGTTTCATGACTCTAGGTCAAATACTTTTTGAGTTACATGCAACACAAGTTGAAAATTGTAAATTTTTATTAAGTCAAGGGCAATAACTAAAGATACTAAATATATCAACAAGAAAATACCCAGGTGCATAATACTAAATATATCCTCAAAAAATACCCAGGTGCATAACTTCACATGCTGAGCAATATTCCTGTAAGGTTTCATGACTAAGTTAAATACTTTTTGAGTTTGTGCGACACAAGTTGAAAATTGCAATTTTTTACTTAGTCAAGGGCAATAACTCTAAAAATACTAAATATATCCACACAAAAATACCCAGGTGCACAACTTCACATGCTGAGCAACATTTCTGTAAAGTTTCATGACTCTAAGTCAAATACTTTTTGAGTTACATGCGACACAAGTTGAAAATTGCAAATTTTTATTAAGTCAAGGGCAATTACTCTAAAAATACTATATAAATCCACAGGTAAATACCCAGGTGCACAACTTCACATGCTGATCAACATTCCTGTAAAGTTTCATGACTTTACATCAAATACTTTTTGAGTTGCGTGTGACACAAGTTGAAAATTGCAAATTTTTATTAAGTCAAGGGCAATAACTCTAAAAATACAAAATAAATCCACAAGAAAATACCCAAATGCACAAAATTCACATGCTGAGCAACATTCCTGTAAAGTGTCATGACTCTAGGTCAAATACTTTTTGAGTTACGTGCGACACAAGTTGAAAATTGTAAATTTTTATTAAGTTAAGGGCAATAACTCTAAAAATACTAAATATATCCACACGAAAATACCCAGGTGCACAACTACACATGCTGATCAACATTCCTGTAAAGTTTCATGACTCTACATCAAATACTTTTTGAGCTACATGTGACACAAAATGAGAACAGACGGAAGGGATGGACAGACAAGGGTAAATCTAAATGCCCACCTTTAAAGAAGGGGCACAAAAATACCCCAAAACAGGTCAAAATATGCTAAAATAGCCCTTACTGCATTAGACACACAATAGAAAAATTGTGTTTAGTCATTAATTGCATATAACATATAAATTATTTCAACCTTTCGGTTGATTTTCTTTAAATAATTTGGCAGATCTGGAGGCATGCAGCTTTATTTTGTTAGTTTTGAAGTCAAAGTACTACTTTGTTTACATCTTGTTATTTCTTAATTCTATGACAAATAATTCAACATTCATTGCTATCTCCTTTAGGTGATAAGCATCTAATATGCTCAAAAACCATTATTCAAGTATTATAAAACTAGCCTTTGCCCTTTCTACAGAAGTAATTATTTGTTTGCTTCAGAGGAATAATGTGCTTTTAGATACATACATGATAAATGAAGCTTCTTCTTTTTTTAAAAAAAGAAAGATTTTTTAAATGCAACTTATAAATCTGTATTTTATGAATGAATCTTATAAACCAAATTGTCACATCAAAAGTAAGCCACCACTGGACAATACAGTGTAGTTCACTAAAATGCTGTAACTACCAACCAGATTCAAACCTTTTGCAACACTTTGCCGGATAATCGTTAATACTATGTTATATAGATAATCCTCTTGAGGTGATCCCCTCTTTCAATAGAAGATCTGCAGATCCTATACATTACCACACAAATACCCCATGATGAAAGAATTCTCAAAATTAGACCAAATCTAAGAGGTTTACCATAGTTTTTCAAGTAGAAATATTAGAGACCTCCTTGTTCATTTACATAACTTACTCATGTACATGTAAATCACCTGTGTCTTATAAACTGGTGCTTAACTTAACTGATTAATTCATCAATTGTCTTAAAAAAAAATTATTATCTATTAAATATAGAGAGAGGTGCTATGATTCCTGTCAACTTTATATTGTGACTAGAAATGTGTTTAAAAATATTAAGTAACTCAAAACAAGAGGGCTAAGATGGCCCTAGATAACTCACCTGGCCCATCATACTCATCTGAGCAATTACTTAAACAAGCATCCTGACAAAGTTTGATGACAATAGAGTCAAAAATGTGACCTCTAGAGTGTTAACAAGGTTTTTCCATATTTGGGTGGTGTGACCTTTTTTTTGGGAACCTGGATTAAAAGACTCCCTGTCATATGTGACCTTTTTGATATGGTCCCATGGAAAGTCACATATGACAAGTTTTACTGTACATGTATGAGCAAATTTGATAAAAGACTACCTAAGAATGCTACAGACAAAGTTTAGTGATCATCCTTCAATTAGTTCAGTAGAAGAAGGTGTTTTTCAGCTCTAGAGGCCCCTTAAAGGGGCCAATCAAATTAATATGACCAAATTTGATAAAAGACTATGTAAGGATGCTACAGACAACGTTTGGTGATGATCCATCAATTAGTTCAGTAGAAGAAGTTTTAAGGTTTTTCTATTTTTAGCTTTAGCGGCCGGGGCCGGCCCTAATAATTATGAGCAATTGTGATAAAAGCCTACCTAAGAATGCTACAGACAAAGTTTGGTGATCATCCATCAATTAGTTGAGTAGAAGATGATGTTTAAAGGTTTTTCTATTTTTAGCTTTAGCTGCCCCAATCAAATTAGTACATGTATGAGCAAATTTGATAAAGGACTACCTAAGAATGCTACAGACAAAGTTTGGTGATCATCCATCAATTAGTTCAGTAGAAGATGTTAAATTAATTTTCTATTTTCAAGCTCTAGAGGCCCCTTAAAGGGGCCAATCAAATTAATATGACCAAATTTGATAAAAGACTATGTAAGGATGCTATAGACAACGTTTGGTGATCATCCATTAATTAGTTCAGTAGAAGATGTTTTAAGATTTTTCTATTTTTAGCTTTAGCGGCCGGGGCCGGCCCTAATAATTATGAGCAAATGTGATAAAAGACTACCTAAGAATGCTACAGACAAAGTTTGGTGATCATCCATCAATTAGTTCTGTAGAAGAAGACATTTAAGGGTTTTCCTATTTCTAGCTCTGTTGATCCCTAAAAGGGGCCAATTGAAATGATATGAGCAAATTAAAGTGTGACTGTCACAAGGATGCTTCAGACCAAATTTGAAATATATCCGCCCCGCAGTTTCAGGGAAGATGATTGTTGACACATGATGACTGATGGCGGACGCATGAGAATCACCCTTTGATACTAACAGCTCACCCTGAACTAAAAAGGTGTTATTTATTCTATATACATTTCAAAAATATTTATGTATGTTTTTATTGAACAATGTCAATAGTCTTCATCAAGTGGAAGAACTGTTTCTTCAGACCATTGTAATTGTACTAAATGGGAAATAAACCTTTCTAAGATGGTTAAACAAAAGCCATATGGCTACCAAATAAGTAAACAATTCCCTGCACATAAAGTTGACAGAACAAAAAAGTTTCAATTCACAAATAATGTCTGATAAAATTTAATTCTTCAATGTTTCTAATTATCAATTACAGTAATGTAATTATACACTGTATATAATGCAATGAATTTATCATAATTTTCCTTAATCATTACAAGTTTTATAATCTGAATAGAGGTAACTTAATTTGCATTACAGGTAAATCTTACCCAAATAAATTTTGAGTTATTTACTGCAGGAGCACTGTGTACTTTGACAGAGTTATTGGTAGAGAAAAAAGTACGCCTTTTTAAAGAATGTCATGTGTACCGGATTACATTTGATGCAAAACCTCTACTTAATTGTTACATTTTTTTTGGGGGAATATAAAATAAAGTTATGACATTTCAAACTATGTCAACATGTACATATGTATATAAATAGCAATTACCATCCACAGGTACGTTTAATATGCATAAAACTGTTAAAGAAAAAATATATCCATAACCCCCTCCCCTAAAAAAAAACAAACAAACAAACAAAAACACAGAAATCGAACTCTTCATACAACACAACTCCAACTGAAAATTTCAATTTTGAGGCCACATAATGTGTCTATAGCAGCATATTTTTTAAAACGCATTCTAATTTTGTTTTAGAAGTATATAGATATAAATATATATTTTACATACAACAAAGTCACAGGATAAAACTCGGGTATAGGCATGTGGTTTACCCCGTACCGATACTGGGACGTCCCAGTCCAGGTGAAAATAATATTTACCTATGTAAACTAACGTGTCATATGAATGTCTTCCAATTAAGTCCAAATAAACAGTAGTGCTGTAAACAATAGATATTTCTTCTAGTCTACCCAAAATTTACTCAATAAACATGCTTTATGACCATGCAAAATAAATGGCAAGTTGTAAATAGTCTTTGACAGCACCATTTGATTGGTTTACGAATTATGATCACGTGACTATAATACAAAAGAAGGCAAACCAAAACCGAAAGTGGAACCAGGTGTGCTAAAAATTGAATTCCATCAAATACGTGTATATTCAATGTTATTTATGATATCGAGGAAATCTTAGAATTATATAAAAGTAACTACTTTCGGTGATCTTAACTTATATTGTTCATTTATTTATTTTAATTTTTGCACATGATATATCAGGGGAGGCACAGTCTTTAGAACTTCTATAAAATTGATACAAAGTTACCTCCCTTGCATGTTTCTGGGTTTTTTTACAATTATATTGTGTCTGACCTGCTGTCTGTGGAATATAAACAATCATATTTATAGGTATGGATAGATGTAGTGAATTTTTCGCCTGGAAAAATACTCTTTTTATAAAAAATATCTCAAAGAAATAAACAAATATGTGCCGCTGGTTATTACTTTTGTGTAATGCCACCCTATAATTATTGACACCTCTCTTACGAAAGCTAGCTTGTTTGACAGGGGTTAGGGAAACAGACGGACAGACAAACAAACCAAAGAGACACAAAAAACTGGTGCATGTCAACCTCATTTGCCAATTTAAGATCATCAGATAAAACTAGAGTCACTTCTTACATTTTACTAATTTTACTAATTTTAGTATTTTTAATACTTCTATACTAACTTTTAAAAAGCAAGCAAAGTAAACATTAATCAAAAGCGAGCATTTTTTTCACAATCCCGAGTGCTAATCGGCGTGATATATTCATGAGAATAGGGTTTACATCTTGTTACTTAGTAATCAACCTATATCCACAGGGGGCCCACACATAGTTTGGATGGTATATACTGCTACCTGGTATATAAATATAGACTATATATACATATGATAAGGTAATGACTTAAATCTCTTTAAGGTCACCATCATAAAAGCACTGTGTGGGGCTGTGGGCCCCCTGTATAAGATTTACTCCACTCCCAACTTTTTTCTGTTACCAAAGTCTCCGTAAATTAGTCTAGACCGGAAAAGTAATCCGACCAATGGCAATGTTAAATAACATGTATAGTCGACGATGATTGGTCAAAAATGTTATATAGGACGGTGAGTGCATTTTCGCGGTCTCACTTTATTGTTGCACATGAGCGAGGTAAGCTACGATTATTTTGAGTTCTGATGCGCTCACTGAAACTTTATGACATCTTTATTAGTGTTACATAATGCTAATTAAATATTCGTGTAAACTTTTTTAATTTAAAAAGATAGCTAATCCTAAATTATTTAAGTTAATTATAAATTGGCTTGTCATCATGCATGTAGATTTTGTATTTAGATCTATTTATTCTAGATTTATTTTTAAGCTTTGATATACCTACAGGCTACACCACCAGCCATGTATTTTATAAGCTTTTAAGCAATCGGTGCCCTTGATTACGGTCTGATGTTAATAACTGGTTCAAATATTTCTTTAATTGAACTGATTCAGTTTTTAAAAAAAAATCAGAATAAATTCATAATGACATTCAAAGTTTGATAGTTACATAACTACATTTATATTACAGAGTTTATGTTGAACTTCATATGCTGCAGGCATTCAGCGTTATAAAGAGACATTTATATAATTTAGCCTAGTTGTAATATTTGGCAATTGATATAATACAAATACTTATAGGTCTTAACTGTTAGTTTGGATATAATTATGGTGATGATATAAATTTGGCTATATATGTCTCACTGCTGACATGCAATGTATTTAAGAATAATTAAGTTCAATATTTTATCACAAAGTTTTTATGTTACTCTCTTGCAGTTTTTAATGCAGTGGTTTATTAAGTTGTTGACTTCATATTCTTAAATCTACTAGACACATTGTTGTTTTGGTGTTTTTGAAATAAAAGGTCATTAAAAGATTTCATCACAGCGTCGTACATTTATATGGAACTAGATGATTAATATATGCCTTGTCTGACCAAAAAACATTTAAGTATAGCATTTTTGCAATGTTTATCCTGCTGTAATAGTAACCGTGCACTCCAGATATAACGAGAGCGTCGGGACTTCGCATGATTCCTCGTTATAACCGGGACAGAACAACTTGAGAAATCCGACACCGTTGAACATCATTTATTTCTACTTTCACTTTCGCGTACCTCCCTTTTGATGAGAGGTAACTCTTTGCACACAGTAGTTTTTGTTTTATGAAAATATACGTGTAAAAAAAATATATCTAGCTATCATAGAATTTAAAAAAAATAAATGAAAATCCATACCACATCAAACCGCTGTTTTTTATTAACATGTACATTTTATTTTATTTTTTCAAAAGTCACGCAGTGTATTTCTCACGAGCTAAGTATAACGCTGCAAGACATTAGCCGCTTCCTTTGTGCTAATCACTCAATGATATTGTTTTGAACATTTCGTCAGCTAAAGGATAATTTAGACCGGAGTGCTGACGAAAACAAGACTGACACATTTGATCGCTAATTGCTCAATAATTTCTCCCTTAGTTGACCTTTGTTTTTGGTCATCATTGTTTTTCTCAAGGTGTCAAACTGATGCAGACGAAGTGCCAATGACGTGAGCTCATTAAATTCTGAAAATTACACATGGGACGTTGAATATATGTTGTAACCAATATCTCGCTAAAACCTCGTTATAAACGATATAAAATGAAAGGAAAATAGAAGGGAAAAGGTCGGGACACGGTAGAATGTACATTATAAGCGGTACCTCATTAAAACCAATCTCATTATAAGTGGAGTAGACTGTATTTCATGGAAAAGTATGTCTATAAATAGAGACAAAAAATAAGAACATAACTTGGTTATCTGTTTTAAACTGACATTTATTTAGTAGGTTCTACCTGCATCAAGCTGTCCTACTCGCTAAAAGTACATGTTAACAGGTGTGATATATATGGGTGTTTATATCAGTGTCCAGTAAAGCATAACCGTTTGGTCAGTTATCTCATGGAAACTGCCAATTTAGTTCTATATATATATTTAACTCAATCACTGAAAAAATATGCTGATGTTTTTTAGGCTAGCTTAGAGAAAATCCTTTAGTGAGGGGAGAATTGCTTTAAGAGTAAAATTCATATTTTCATGTTTCAGATTTGAATAAATAATAATGTCTGGTGACGGCTGGAACTTACAGGATGACATCAGTACTGATGATCCGGAGATGAATGCCCTTATCAAGGAAAAAGGATAGACAAAGGAAAGGTCTTGAATTGATTGCTTCAGAGAACTTTGCCAGCAAGTCTGTACTTCAGGCTCTTGGGTCCTGCCTGAATAATAAATATTCCGAAGGCCAGCCAGGACAAAGGTAAAATAATTCATACTACATATGAGAATAATAAAGTTGGGTATTGCTTAGGTTTTGTTTGATAAATTGATTATAGACCTTGTCTCGAACCATTTTCCACTATTATAAAACAAAATTATGTGTAGAATCCAAGAACTCCCATCAAGGCATGCAGTATAAGATGTGAAATACTGTAAATACGTCTGTATTTAAATCAAAGAAGTATGTTTGTGGATGAGTAGCACTTGATGAGGCAGTATATTCAAAAACAGATGTTGGCTGGAATGATTGTTGTATGAAAAATACATGTATAAAGGATCATAAGAATTGTAATCGTTCAAACTTGCAATATTTCAGACTTCCCGAAAGTTGAAAAAAACTGTCAGACATTTGGTCTGACAAACCATGAAAATCTGTCGGACCGAAACGAAATCTGTCGGACCAAGTAAAATTGATCAAAATCAAAGAATAACTTGTGTTTGTATTTCTAAGAAACTTTTTGTTTTTAATTTTTTTCGCCATAAAAATCGGCACATTCCTTACAGCGCATTTTCATCTCCTCCCTATCATACACCAACGATTCACTGTCTTGCTTCTAATTTTCATTAAATTTTGTCTCAGGTCTATTCTTTTTATCCTTTTACTGCTGTTCTGCCTGTTCCTCTGACGTAGATTTTTTATTTTTCCAAGGTTTGGCACCTTTAGCGACGCCATTTTGTATACATGCGGCTTGGATAAAAGCCGGACAGTCGGACCGATCCGGAATAAAAACTCGTCGGACCTGATCAAAATTTATCGGACATGTCCGTCGGACCGACGTATTTCGGGAAGTCTGATATTTGCTGAAAATTGAACTCTTACATTTAAATTGAATCTTTGATTTTAAGTAATGATATGAAGTTGAACAGATTTTTTTTTACATATACAGTTTACCAGTGTTAATATTTCCCCACCCCTCAATAAGTAACTTGCTGTTGTGTTTAACTAAGCACAATGTGCATTACTGTCATTTTTTTTATCAGCAAGTTTAATTTATATTGAGGCCGAGTTGTATCAAGTAATTAGAATACATGTATTTAATTTAATCTGGATTCTATTTTTTTTTACAAAAATGCATCACTTATCAGTGTTGTTTTCCAGGATTTTGGGAACATGACCCATACCCATGGAATTGGGAATTTCAGTGATGTTAAAAATTGGGGGAAAAAACATGATTTAAACTTTGCAGTGATTAAATGGATGCAAAGAATCACTGTCTTAGGATGCCATCTTCAAATGTTTAAGCACCATAACAGTGAAGAAGCCCTTATTTTCAAAGTTTTTAGAATTTGTTATTCAAATTTTTCATTTTGTAACTTTGATTTGTGAATTTTTTTCTGTGGATTGGGAAAATAATATACTATTTTCATTTGGGAATATGACCGAATATCGGCTATAAAATAAGGCCAAAAAAATCCCTGCTTATGAGTTTGTTTAAACTGGAATATACTGTATGATTAATGTAAATATTATGTTACAGATATTATGGTGGAAATGAAGTTATTGACAAGATTGAATTGTTGTGTAAAAAGAGGGCCTTAGAAGCATTTGGTCTAAATCCTGATGAGTGGGGAGTTAATGTCCAGCCTCACTCTGGGTCACCAGCAAATTTTGCAGTTTACACAGCCTTGGTAGGGCCACATGGACGTATTATGGGCCTTCATTTACCAGAGGGTGGACATCTTAGTCATGGATTTATGACACCAAGTAAAAAGATCTCAGCAACATCACTGTTCTTTGAATCATTTCCATATAAACTAGACCCAGTCACTGGAACCATTGATTATGATAAGCTAGCAGAAAATGCCCGTCTCTTTTTGCCAAAGATGATTGTTGCAGGTAATTTATTCATATTTCATAATTATATTATTCAAGACCTCTTTATTCGTTTTGACTTATTTTGCAGGAAAGGTTGATGAAATATGTAATGACAGACTGAAGCATATTGATTAAATTATCTAACTAATTGATTGTGTGTGTATTTAATGAGGGTCCATCGGCCTGTGTAGGGCACAAAAACCATCAGCAACATGCAAGCTCTGAGGGGAAGTGAGAAGTAATTGATTGATACTACCTACATATAAATTTATACACGATAGTTACCGTAATAAAAAACTTTTTTCAGGTTTTTTCCCCCTTTAATAGCAGGGGCAATTTATGAGTGTCTTTGTATATCTGCTTAGGAAAACCAATATTGCTATGTCAATTATTGATAGGAATTGGAAAGCATCTAGTAAACATGCCATTTCTGTGACCTTTTGTGATGACACTTTATTTAGTTTACCTGACCTTCTATCACTGACTGTAAAAGTTGCCAATATTTGGGTACAAAAATTTCAATTTGGATAACTGACCTCTAACTTTGAAAAATGAAATATTGTTTTAAGTATTTATTCCCATCTTCATTGAATTGCTTGGTTAGCTTAATTTATCATCTTTTAATAATGATTTCATTCAAGATGTTTAATTTTTATATTCAATGAATCTTTGTCAGGAATCAGTTGTTATTCACGCCACCTTGATTACAAACGATTCAGAGAAATAGCTGATGAGAATGGAGCATATGTCCTAGCAGATATGGCTCATGTTAGTGGTCTAGTATCAGCTGGTCTTGCTCCTAGTCCATTTGAGTTCTGTGATGTTGTGACCTCAACCACACATAAAACCCTTCGTGGACCAAGATCTGGTCTCATCTTCTTCAGGAAAGGTAATAAATTACTGAATTATAGTGTTCCACAGAAAATATATTGAATTTTTATTTGCTTATGCATGTTTACAATGCTCAACTTGTCAGTGAAAGAAGACAATAAGAACATAAGTTAATAACTTAGTCTAAATAACTTAGTAATTATATTAATATTTTGTGCAAATGTATATTGTGTTTATTTATTCATGTTTAATTGTTACCAATTGGGCTACTTAAAAATCCACAGGTGTACGTAAGGTGAACAAAGATGGAACAAAGGTTATGTATGACATAGAGAAGAAGATAAATGAGGCTGTGTTCCCAGGACTTCAAGGAGGTCCTCACAATCACCAAATAGCAGCTGTAGCAGTGGCCCTGAAACAGGCCAATACACCAGAGTTCAAAGCCTACCAGAGACAGGTTTTGGCTAATGCCCAGGTGATGGCAAAAGAGTTCATTGCAAAGAGTTATACTCTTGTATCAGGTATATGTTTGATGATTTGTCAAATTTTTTTCAAAACTACATAAATTTTAAAAACAACTGATGGTATTCACTTGAAACTTAATACTTTTCTTTAGGGTTGTAATTTGAGGTTACTATCTAGGTCTATAATTCTGGTGTGGAATTTGACAGATTTATGGCTCTTTATTGCTCTCAGAAAAATCCTGTTTGCAGTTTTGAATGTACATTAATTGTTAAATTTACTAATGGTATTCAATTGAAATTTGTCTGGAATTATAATTGATCACAACTGACAAGATTTTTAACTCTTGCATGGATTTTGAATGGCATATGGCCCTTTGTGAACTTAAAAAATTCAAATTGTCAGTGCCAAAGGCTCATGAAAAGGTCATGCGTTTTAAATAAAGTTTACCTTTTTGTTATTTTCTACATTATCATTATCTTGCTTCTCTGAGAGTAGTCAACTGTCCTACTTACAGCTCTTGTTTTGTTATGCTGGTACATATTTATTTTTATTACGGCCCATTTTTATTACCGCCCAGGGAATTCTGTCTTGTGAATGAACTACATGTATCTAACTAGCTTATTAAAAAATCAGAGTTTCTAATTTAGTGCCTGAAATAATATTGAAAGATGTATCATCTACAGTCTTCATCCACCAGTTTAGGTGAAAAGTTGCTAAGTTGGCTTTTGAGTATTTGTGCAAGTAAAGCTGAACCCTCAAAAAATCATGATCAATGTGTTGAATGTTTTTAAACTAATATGCATTTAACAAATCGCTTTGAAATAGGAGGAGCGTAGACGATTACTGAGCTGCTTGACACTTCAAAATTTATTGCAAGCATTTATCGAAAATTAGGGAAACTTTATTTTCGCTTTTTTAAGCGATCCGGGCGAAATGGAGAGAGACAAGGCGACTTAGTCGCCTTAGTCGCTTAGAAACGTGATCCCTGGCTAAGAAATATTTAAGAACATTCTTTTTTGTTATTTAATAGGAGGAACAGATAATCATTTGATCTGGGTAGATTTACGACCAATGCAGATAGATGCTCATCGTGCAGAAACTGTACTGGAACAATTGGGTATCGCACTTAATAAGAATACATGCCCTGGTGATAAAAGTGCACTGAGACCAGGTGGTCTTAGGATTGGTTCACCAGCACTGACGTCTAGAAACTTCAAAGAAGCAGACTTTGTGAAAGTTGCTGGTTTCATTGATCAAGGTAGGATAAGTATTATTTATTAACCTTTAACCTGTGGAATTTTTGTAGTGGGTTTGCCCTGCACACATAGGTTAGGATTGGCTTGGCTCTATTTGGGTAGCAGAGAATGATCACTTACAAATCTAGCTGGTTTAGGATCAAGATTATTGATGTTGGGATTTTTGTTTTGTTTGCTAATATGACGTTTCATGACCAAGTATAATGATGTCCTTCTTTAATTGAATATTCTTAGTAATATTTTTACATTACTAATTATAATACTTTTATAATGAATATGATTATTTAAAAGTGTATGCTAAATACAAAAAATGAAGACATAGAAAATAGTAACATTCTTCCAGAGTGTTTGTTTACAAAAGAACTGCAATTCATTCGGAATACATGTGGAATATTCATCTTGAATTCAAATTATATTCATATTTGTTTGCTGTTAATAGTTATAACTTATAAATCTTAAAACCCTTTTTTAGCTCGACTTTTCTATGAAAAGGGGAGCTATCCTACTCGCCCCGGCGTCGGCGTCACACCTTGGTTAAGTTTTTCGTACCACCCCACTTTATTTCAGAAGTATTACAAGTATGGCTTTGAAACTTACCATACTTGTTCACCATCATAACCTCCATCTACAGACAAGAGTACATAACTCTGTCAAGGTTTTTGACAGAATTATGGCCCTTTTTTGACTTAGAAAGTGTATTGAGCTTGGTTAAGTTTTTTGTACCACCTCACTTTATTTCAAAACCATTGGAGGTATTGCTTTGAAACTGACCATACTTGTTTACCATCACGACCTTCATCAACAGACAAGAGGACATAACTCTGTCAAGGTTTTTGACAGAATTATGCCCCTTTTTGACTTAGAAAATACATTGAATATGGGTAAAATCCACTTATTGCCTTAACCCTTTGAGATATTGCTTTGAAACTTTTAATGCTATTTCACATCATTACCCCCATCTGTACGCAAGAGAAGGTAACTCTGTCAAGGATTTGTTTTAAAAATTAAGGCCTTTTATCGACTTAGAATCTTGGTTAAGTTTTTAGTACCAGTCCACTTTTTGACTGAACTGTTTGAGATATTAATTTGAAAGTTGGAATACTTGTTTACAATCATGATTCCCAAACATGTCCAGGAGAAGGTAATTCTGTCAAAGATTTTATTTGAATTATGGCCCTTAACTGTCAATGTTTTGTATTATAGGCAAGCACTAAAAACTTAAAAAATCTAAAAAAATTCATTCCTATCCACTTGTTCACTTTACCATAAATTATGTCATAATAAAATAATTCTTCACTAAATATCTTAATGCTCATGGCCATTGTTCACTTTAAAAATACAGAGATTCTTGTATTGCCTTTTACTGCAAAAACTTTTTTTATTGGCAAGCAATAAAAAAGTCGAGCGCGCTGTCTTACGGACAGCTCTTGTATCAAATGCCAAGTACTTGTATCTAACTAGTATTTAATACTTACCTTGAATTTGTTACTAATAATAAATGAATGCAATATTTGCTAACAAATCAGTCTATTTTCGTACATATTAAGTAAACTTATTAAATAGACTTCATGAAAGCAAATAAAAAAAACAATTCATTTTTCAAAGTATGGCCAGTTTATTGAAAGTTGCATCAGTTGAAATCAAATACTTTGTCATTTGAATCTATGCCAATTATCCTACAATTTATGTTCATCTAATGACAAACTTTAAACTTACCTGTGAGACTGTGCACCTGCCATATTTGAATGTCAGATAAATCCCCTTCGGACAAAATCCCCTTCATGTATTTTTGTTTATCTGGACATAATCCCTTCCATGGATGGACAATATCTCTTTCAAATATATTTGTTAGGCAGTTGATAATGTACCACAATAATAATGAACACTGCTAAACTAATTAAATTGTTTTAATGATAATTTGGTTGATAATTGATCTGAACAAATAAAAAAATGTTTTATTAAGCTTATATAATTATAAAGGTTAACTTGACACATAATTATAAATCAAAAAAACAAAAGTTCAGTATGAGCGAACGCCAGTAAGTAAGTAAAAGTTCAGTATTCATCAATTTTTATTGAGCATTATATTGAGCAGTCTATTTTCAGCAGACTATACATTATTCATTAATTTTTATGGAGCATAATAATACATTAGAAACCTATGAAACAAGGGGATTTTGTTGAGCCTTGCAAAAACATGGAGGGGATTATGTCCACCCATGGAGGAGATTTTGTCCGGGTATGCGAAGGAGAATTTGTCTGAAGGGGATTTTGTCCGTACACCGCCATATTTATTTCTACATGTAATTACTGATTTTATTATTGTCTGCAGAGTATATGATGTGTATTGTCATACTAAGGTAGTATATAGAGGTGTCGACACCATGTATATGTCGGTTATCTCAATGCATGTATTTGTAACATTTTACGACAGGTCTTTAGCTCAATATTTTAATGTTTTAATGATCCGTAAATTGACTCTGGACACTGAATCGTGCTTCGAACGTTCAGATATCCAGACTGGATGACATCGCTACTTTATATGTTTAAAAAGTTTTGTTACTGCTTGTCTTTATAAATATTTTATTTCTCATCATCAGGAATCAAACTTACTAAAGATATACAAGGAAACTGTGGACCAACATTGAAAGAGTTTAAGGCCAAATTAGCGGAGGATGAAAGTGTGAAAGCCAAGATTTCAGGTTTAAAGAAACAGGTGGAAGAGTTTGCAATACAATTCCCCCTGCCAGGTTTTGACAACTGGTGATTCAAAGATGAATGTCATAAGAGAAAGTGGTCGTGATTTTGCAATAAAAGTGGGACATAATATTATTTTTTTAACATAGGGTAGTTATATCTGGTCATTTTGCATGTGAAAATGTTTCAAAGAAGAAATGAATATTTGGACCAAAGGGGTTTTTTGTATGCTTTGAGCTATTTATTTTTCTAAGTTTTCTTGGCAAGTTTTAGTAATCTATTTAACAGGAAATCCCTTTAAGGTTTATATTTCATATTGAAATCCATAACATGTAACATGTTTAGAAAAATGTTATTTCTTTGTTTCTTGTTTTGTTTGTGTTGGCGCAGTTTGTCAAATAAATCATGTTTTCATTTTATCCTGGCTTAACTAGATACGCTGTTTTACTATTTGTAATTATAATTTGGTGCCATGTGAATTTTTGAAATATTATGAATACTCTTGTTAAATTAATCTGATTTTAAGGCATGTGTTAAGTGTACAGTAAAGCTACTTGTTCTCTGTTTTATGTTCTTGTTTGTTCTAATGTTAGGGGCTGAATTATATTCATTGCTACATCGTATTTTTTCAATAAATTTTTAACATGAAAAATGTATTTTAGCTTGTTAATTTAGCTTATCTATTTTGAGTCCTATACCTGGAAGTACTTTAATATTCACCTTCAAAAATAATGATTAACATATCACATAAAATCTTGAGTCATTTTGATGGGGGTATTGGTCACTCCTGTGACAGTTCTACCTGAGTATAGTACACGTTACATTACAATATTATTTATGCCCCCGCCATAAAATGGCTGGGGCATATAGTGTTACCCTGTTCTGTTGTTTTGTCATCATCAGTTTCCGTTCATTATCTTAGAAACAGTTGCACACATTCAATTTGACATATCATGAGAAAATACAGGTCAAGTTGGAATTTGGTCACTATAAGTTTGATTGACTCCAAATTTGGTATGCAAGCTTTTTACATTGACCTGTGAAGTGCAGAGCTCAAAAATCCATCAGAGTCCTCCATTTGATCTGTTGGTGTAAAACTTTTCCATGGTATTTTTATTTTTCATAATGTAAGTTAACAGTTTTATTAATCCTGACATAACATTGTTGCAATCGGTACAATTGCCACTTAAGGGTTCATTTACATTGCAAGAGCAGTATTTATAAATAACCTACATTTAAGAAGAAAAAGCCTGTCACCTTTATAGTTGACAAGTCGACATATCCACTCGCATAGTTACCCTAGATGCAGGATTCATAATAGAGGTTTACTAGGTATTTCTATGTGCCAAAAATAGAAGATCGTGGGATAATAGTTTTCCACAAAAAGATAGGACGTGTTTTCCTATACATTGATCTACATAGAACAAGTAATTCCCAGAGCAGGGCCAATTCTTTAGGCATACAAAAAGAACATGTGCTTTAAAGCCAGGGATTCAGATTGCAGAAATTAAAATACAAGAAACATGGCAATGCCATGAAACCAGGTTTTCTATTATCACCATTGTAGATAAATATGTTGTAGTTGAAATACAAGTACAAGCAACAAATTGTAACTATGTGCAATGTGAATAATGTAGGAGGAATTGCACACAGAAGAAGAATTCACTATATATTCTGTATAAGGAAAAAAAAAAGAAAGGCCAAAATTAGGTCAAAAATTATCCAATCACAAAACCCCGACAATATGCGCTAGGGCACTTGATGACAAAGCTTCAGTGAAAGTTTGAACAAAATCCATTGAGAAATGTAGGAGGAGTTGCGTACAGAAGAAATTGTTCACTATATATTATACATAAGGAAAAAAAACAAAGGGCCATAATTAGGTCAAATATAATACAATCACAAAACCCCGACCATATGCCCCAGGGCACTTGATGACAAAGCTGTGAAAGTTTGGTTAAAATCCGTTGAGAAATGTAGGAGTTGCGCACAGAAGAAATTGTTCACTATATATTCTACATAAGGAAAAAAAACAAAGGGCCATAATTAGGTCAAACATTATCCAATCACAAAACCCCGACAATATGGGCCAGGGCACTTGATGACAAAGGTTCTGTGAAAGTTTGGTCAAAATACGTTGAGAAATGTAGGAGTTGCATACAGAAGAAATTGTTCACTATATATTCTGTATAAGGAAAAAAAACAAAGGGCCATAACTAGGTCAAATATTATCCAACCACAAAACCTGAACAATATGCGCCAGGGCACTTGATAACAAAGGTTCTGTGAAAGTTTGGTCAAAATCTGTGGAGAAATGTAGGAGTTGCGCACAGAAGAAATTGTTTACGCCCGCCCGCCGACATCCCTCAATCTAATAACCAGTTTTTTCTTTTGGAAAACCTGGTTTGAAAGTAAAACAGGAATCTCAACAAGTCAATCATGGAAAAACTGACATAAAAAAAGCTAGTCTATAAATCAAATAAATGTAATGATCGACTTTATATCTGATATCATTTGCTTCAATGATTGAAAATATGACTATATCATTAAATGAATGAATCAACACAAAATTGAATACATGAATTCTTTTTATTTGTTACTTGTTATTATGCTTTGCCCCTACTAGTTGTCTGTTAGCAATAACCGTTGCATGAGTGCAAGTTTTCAGGCATATGCCTGAAGCTCGGGTTTTTTGTGACAAATTTCATCATGTATCACTATTAGATTATGTAGAAAAATGATTATGAATAAGTTTTCAGATTTTTTCAACTTGCACCCATGATAATGTTTCTATTATTATATGAAACCATTGAAGGAAATTCATTGTTCAAATCCCAAATTTCACATGTCAAAGTCAAAGCTCACGTTTTAAGCAACAGTTCTGACCTGCAACTTATTTTACTTATTTAGGTATGTTTATCAACATTCAGCAACCACCAGTCACACTTTAAGGTGAACAGTCTGAGTCAGCAATATATGTTGCCTATCTCTACAGTCTTAAAGCAGCATTCCTACAGATTCATGCCAATTTTCAAGAAAATTTTGAAAATATATTTAAAAGTTAAACACTGTGAAGTGAACAAAGAAAATGACTTACATATTGCAATCGGCACTTACAATCTGCAAGTTACTAAAAAGAGGTAAAAAATAGCCTTAATGCATAAAGTTACGCAGTAGAAATATGGTGATAAATACTGCAAAATCAGTCTTTAATTGCACCTTATATGTAAATTATTACTTTTCTTAAAATTTTAGTACATTGTTTTTAAGTTTAATTTTCTTGAAGTATTTTGGTTCATCTGGAGGCATACAGCTTCAACATTTGTACAGTATGTTCATTTTATTTTCGACAATGTTTTACCTCATGGACACCATGCTCATAATGTTTCAAGAGCCCTGCTTTAAGATCAAGGTTATTAAGGCAAAATTGATCCAGATTTTAATACATTAATAATGCTTGAAGAATGTTCCACCTGTAGAAGTTAAAGTTTCAGGTTTAAAACAGCTATTTATGTCTACCTATATCAATATGAATGTTGATCTCACCAACAAAACATGTAACTACTGTTGTTTTGATCTTGTGTTTATCTCATCAAGACAATGTGCAGAGCCTGAATTTCTGGGTCAAGGTCAAATGCTACACCTATCTATTTTATCTTGAACTGCTTAAAGAGTTCATGTTCATTTCATTAAGACAGCATGTAGAGGCACAATTAATGTACATTATTTAATAACACTAAATAATATACTTCAGACCAATTTCATATAGATTCCTCTCTTCACAAGTGTTTATTTGAACAACTTTTTTTTTAATTAACTGAAAACAGTAATAACATTTTGAGTTTAATTGGACCTAGCTATGTACATTGTATATCATTCATAGTTTGTCTTTATCATGAGTTAAAAAAAGGTTCAGGTAAGTAAATGTTGTTTGACCAGTGTGATATATAAAAAGATATGGTTACATAATAAACAATTTATTTATTCAAGACATTTTTTCAACAAGTGCAAAATTAAAAATTTCAAGGTCAATTTTCTTTAACCATATTAGCATGATAGTATTTTCCATGCACTACTGAACACTTCATTCTATAGGGAATAAAGTCATATTTATTTTAAAAGGTAGCATTATCATCACAATTCATGAACATTTCCTCATCTGCATATGACATATAAATCACAAACATTAGTCTGAACCACTGTTAATGGATTAAACAGTAACAAAATGACATGATGACCTGCTGTATACCATTATAAATATGGATCAAACCATTCATCATTTTTTAAGGAAAATTTCAATATGTTTACTGACTGAATAGCTAACTGAGCATATTAAAATCTATCAGCACAAATATGTTAGCTGTTTTCATGGGTATATTCAATTATAATTGATGTCTATTCTATTTTGGGCAAAAAAACAGAACATACATGTTCCTTAATTTTAAATGAAGTAATATAAGTCTGCCTGTCAAGGATTATACTAGAAACAGAATGCCACAATACTGTAAGTTTCTTTAACTATTAACTACAAGAAATATGAGAACAGATAATTAAAATAATTACATGATGTCATCTTCGGATTTAATTATGATATTTGAGAACATTTAAAATGCAGACATGTACTTTAAACTGATCTACAAAACTTAACCTGGCAAGCTACAACAACATAAAGTTCATATTTTGTTCAACATTGGTTCCCAACACTGTGACCCTGTGTATAAATCACTCAAACACTGTGTACATGTTCAGCACATTCTTTTTCTCTCTGTTAATCACATGATATAATGCAATAAGTTGATACGCTTTGTTATTACAGCTAATCTAAAATTTTAGCTTTTATTTTCTGGATGACACTTTCAATGCTGTATGAGTAAAGTGTTCCATCTCTTAGCATTTCTTAACAGCACACTTCCTGCGATATATATATAACTTAATAATTTATTCTACAATTGCCTTGCCACCAACGTTCTCCAGAGCTTTCACTAGTGCATCTGCTTCATCCTTCAACAAGTCTCCTTTAACTACAATAGGCGCTGACTCTACAAATTTCTTTGCCTGAAAATTAAAGTAAAAACAAATTGTTAACCAACAAAAATAGAAAACATCATACAGAATTTGCCCTTTATCTACCACTACCCAGTCATATATACAGTTTTCATGATATATAATATATACATTTATGATTAACTCCCTCCTTTAACCCTTACCATGCTAAATATCTTCTTGGACAAAACTATTCATCATTTTAGAAGAAAACTAGAAATGTGTCCATAGGACACGGGTGCCCCCCACATGCCACTGTTCTGTCAATCTTATGACTCTAGGTCAAATATTTTTTGGACTACATATGCCACAAGTTGAAAACTAAAAATCTTTTACTAAGTAAAAGGCAAGAACTATATAAATACTGAATAAATCCACAAGCAAACCCCAAGGTGCATAAGTACACATGCTGACCAACATTCTTGTAAACTTTCAGGCCTACAAGTCACTTTTTGAGCTCTGCATGAACAAATTGAGAATTTAATCTACTGTAAATCAAGGTCAAAAACTCGACTGAAAAAGTCCCAGGTGTATAGCTAGTGATGTTTATCATTATTCCTGTAATTTAATGATGTTGGTCAATGATCATTATTCCTGTAAAGTTTGTTGATTCAAACTCAATCACTCAAGGAACAAATAACAATGAAACGGTTTAAGTCAGGGGCAATAACTCTACAAATACTGGATAAATCCACAAGCCAAACCCAAGGTGCACAACTACATATGCTGAGCAACATTCCCATAAGGTTTCATGACTATGTCAAATCCTTTTTGAGTTACATACAACACAAGTTGAAAATTGCAAAACATTTCTAAGTCAAGGGCAATAACTCTAACAAGAGCTGTCGGTAGGACAGCATGCTCGACTATTCTTAGTGCTTGATAGTAAAAAAAATGCCTGATACAGTTACCTCCTCCTGTTTACAGGTTGGGGTCATGATGGTGAACAAGTGTGCAAAGTTTCAAAGCCATATGTCAATGGACTTTGAAAATATTTGAACTATTACAAAAACTTTAACGTAAATTCTAAGTCGAAAAAGGGGCATAATTCTGTCAAAATGCTTGATAGAGTTACCTCCTCCTGTTTACAGGTTGGGGTCATGATGTTGAACAAGCGTGCAAAGTTTCAAAGCCATATGTCAATGGACTTTGAAAATATTTGAACTATTACAAAAACTTTAACGTAAATTCTAAGTCGAAAAAAGGGGCATAATTCTGTCAAAATGCTTAATTAGAGTTACCTCCTGCTGTCTACAGGTTGGGGTCATGATGTTGAACAAGTGTGCAAAGTTTCAAAGCCATATGTCTATGGACTTTGAAAATATTTTGAACTATTACAAAAACTTTAACGTAAATTCTATGTCGAAAAAGGGGCATAATTCTGTCAAAATGCTTGATAGAGTTACCTCCTCCTGTCTACAGGTTGGGGTCATGATGGTGAACAAGTGTGCAAAGTTTCAAAGCCATATGTCAATGGACTTTGAAAATATTTGAACTATTACAAAAACTTTAACGTAAATTCTAAGTCGAAAAAGGGGCATAATTCTGTCAAAATGCTTGATAGAGTTACCTCCTCCTGTCTACAGGTTGGGGTCATGATGGTGAACAAGTGTGCAAAGTTTCAAAGCCATATGTCAATGGACTTTGAAAATATTTGAACTATTACAAAAACTTTAACATAAGTGGTTACGCCGACGCCGACGCTCGGGTGACTGCAATAGCTCTACTTATTCTTATCGAATAGTCGAGCTAAAAATACTAAATAAATCCAGACCAAAATACCCAGGTAACTTCACATGCTGATCAACATTCCTGTAAAGTTTCATGACTATGTCAATTCCTTTTTGAGTTACATGCAACACAAGTTGAAAATTGCAAAATTTTACTAAGTCAAGGGCAATTACGCTAAAAATACTATATAAATCCACACGAAAATACCCAGGTGCATAACTACACATGCTGATCAACATTCCTGTAAAGTTTCATGACTATGTCAAATCTTTTTTGAGTTACATGCAACACAAGTTGAAAATTGCGAAATTATACTAAGTCAAGGGCAAAATACTATATAAATCCACACGAAAATACCCAGGTGCACAACTACACATGCTGATCAACATTCCTGTAAAGTTTCATGACTTTATCAAATCCTTTTTGATTTACATGCGACACAAGTTGAAAATTGCAAAATTTTACTAAGTCAAGGGCAATTACGCTAAAAATACTATATAAATCCACACGAAAATACCCAGGTGCATAACTACACATGCTGATCAACATTCCTGTAAAGTTTCATGACTATGTCAAATCTTTTTTGAGTTACATGCAACACAAGTTGAAAATTGCGAAATTTTACTAAGTCAAGGGCAAAATACTATATAAATCCACACGAAAATACCCAGGTGCACAACTACACATGCTGATCAACATTCCTGTAAAGTTTCATGACTTTATCAAATCCTTTTTGATTTACATGCGACACAAGTTGAAAATTGCAAATTTTTACTAAGTCAAGGGCAATAACTCTAAAAATACTAAATAAATCCAGACAAAAATCTCAGGTGCACAACTACACATGCTGATTAACATTCCTGTAGTTTCATGTCTCTATGTCAAATCCTTTTTGAGCTACATGCGACACAAGTTAAAAATTGCAAATTTTTTCTAAGTCAAGGGCAATAACTCTAAAAATACTGAATAAAACCACAAGAAAATACCCAGGTGCACAACTGCACATGCTGATCAACATTCCTATTAAGTTTCATGACTGTAGGTCAAATACTTTTTGAGTTACCAGCAACACAAAAGAGAACGGACGGACTTAAGAATGGACGGACAGACAAGGGTAAATCTAAATGCCCCCCTAAAGTGGAGGCACAAAAATTGTCCTAACTCAATAACAACAAGAGCACCTCTAGGCGGAGCATTATATGCCCAAAAGTGTTTTTTTTTTCTTTACTAAGGATGAAGCATTTGTAAGACATTACATAAAGTATTACCTCCTTCAAATAGCATCCCTCCTATAAAGTTTAAATATTGTGGGCAAAATGGAACTTCAGTTATGCTCTGGAAACTGTTTTTAGTGCTTTTTGAGGTAATAGCTACCTTAAACTTTGAATGTGTGACCCCAAAATCACTAGGGGTGTTCTACCCAATATGGACAATCATCCTATGAAGTTTCAATACTATGGGCCAAATAGAAATTAAGTTATGTTCTGGAATCTGTTTTCAGTTTTAAAGTAATAGTGACCTTGACCTTTGACCTTGTCACCCCAAAATCAATAGGGGTCTTCTACCCAATATGGACAATCATCCTATGAAGTTTAAATATTGTGGGCCAAATAGACCTTTAGTTATGCTCCAGAAATTGTTTTCAGTTTTAAAGTTATAGTGACCTTGACCTTTGTCCTTGTCATCCCAAAATCCATAGGGGTCTCCTACCCAATATGGACAATCATCCTATGAAGTTTGAATATTGTGGGCCACATGAAACTTAAGCTATGCTCCAGAAACTTTTTTCAGTTTTAAAGTAATAGTGACCTTGACCTTTGACCCTAAAATCAATAGAGGTCTTCTACCCAATATGGACAATCATCCTATGAAGTTTGAATATTGTGGGACAAATAGACCTTAAGTTATGCTCTGGAAACCGTTTTCAGTTTTAAAGTAATAGTGACCTTTGACCGTGTGACCCCAAAATCAATAGGGGTATTCTACCCAATATGGACAATCATCCTATGAATTTTGAACACTGTGGGCCAAATGGAACTTAAGTTATGCTCCGGAAACCGTTTTCAGTTTTAAAGTAATAGTGACATAGTGACCTTTGACCGTGTGACCCTAAAATCAATAGGGGTATTCTACCAAATATGGACAATCATCCTATGAATTTTGAACACTGTGGGCCAAATGGAACTTAAGTTATGTTCCGGAAACTGTTTTCAGTTTTAAAGTAATAGTGACCTTTGACCGTGTGAACCCAAAATCAATAGGGGTATTCTACCCAATATGGACAATCTTCCTATGAAGTTTGAACACTGTGGGCCACATGAAACTTAAGCTATGCTCCCGAAACTGTTTTCAGTTTTAAAGTAATAGTGACCTTTGACCTAGTGACCCCAAAATCAATAGGGGTCTTCTAATCATCCTATGAAGTTTGAATACTGTCGGTCAAATGGAACTTAAGTTATGCTCTGGAAACTGTTTTCAGTTTTAAGGTGATAGTGACTTTGACCTTGTGACCCCAAAATCAATAAGGGTCTTCTACCCAATATGGACAATCATCCTATGAAGTTTGAATGTTGTGGGCCAAATGGAACTTAAGTTATGCTCCGGAAACCAAACTGCTAACGGACGGACGACAGACGGACGTTCCAACATTTTGGGTTTAGGGGCTATTTTCTTTGTTATTTTCTTAAGGGCTACTAGCCCATAAACCCTTTGATCACGGAATAAACCTATTGTTCTCTTTTGTTCTCTTTACTGTTGTATAGCCCCTAAACCCAAAATGTTTGCTCAGACAGACAGACGGACGGACGCCAGGGGGTATAACATAATATTCTTTCGGCCATAAAAAAAGTGCAGAAAACAATCAAATGGCATTCATTTAAGTCTGATGTTGGTCTGCACTGGTTGCATATGTAAATGCAGTTGCCGTCTGAAGGGTAAGGTTAAACAATAAACATCTTTCTAAAATAACCACTTGAAGTATAAAGTTAGGCAAATAGAAATTGCAAGTGAAAATTATTATAGCAATCTCAGAATTTTATTTATTAACTAACATTCATTACTTTGTTGGACACCTCAAAGTCTTTTTCTAAAGGCAAGAAAGATGGCATTATATTTCATAACTTGAAATTCACAAGTGATCTATTGCTGTGGTCTTGGCTGATATAATATGCTCATAACTAATATTACATGTATCGGGTACATTAAGCTTGCTGGTGGCAGCTAATTCTACCTATGCCACCAGTGCAGACAGAAATCCCTGCTGTATGATCATATTCTGCAATGTTCACTATATATTCAGTACTTATTTTTAGACTCTCTCCAAAAATATGAATGGTTTTGTACAGATTAAAAGATGGATAAGTCAATTTAAGATAGATTTGGAATTACAGTTCACACTGTGTATATCATCTGGCAAAAAAGTCTGTTTAAAGTCTTTAACTCCTTGACTCAAACAGAAAAAAGACAGCAGTATTATAAAAATAATCATGCTAATATTCATATGTTTACTTATTAACTGACCTTGAGGAACATAATTTCAATTTATATAAACAAATTATGCTGATAAATATTTATGGTATACATGATTCTGTTGTCAAATTGATAAAACCAAACTGGAATAAACCAGATCTGTTTAGTGCTTCCTAGTCATTCAAATCTAGATAAAGGGGAGTAATTATGTTGAAACTACTTCAACTATTTCAAAGAAAGATGCTTGCCAACAGAGAAATCATGCAAACAAACTAAAATCACACTTCATTTTATCTGTAAAATATAATCCTTCCTGTACACTATGCATCATTAACTGTGAAAATACTTTATTTTACAGTCCAGTTGGCATAAACTTAAAATTCTTTTTTACTATTACACATATTTTCAAAAAGGAAAAGAAATCAACATTGTGTGTTGTTGTTCTTTTTTTTCATTTGAAAACACCAGTTTATGATTATATTTTCTTTCAGTGATGATATTTTCAACATATACATTCAAATTATGTTCTTATATAAATATAATCTCTTAAGCATTGTACATTAATGTTAACAATTACAATTTTATTTTCACATACATGTAAATGTACATTAATCATATCTTTATAATAAAATGATTACGGTCCCTGACTGAACCACTATCCTTTTGTCACTGTTGGTTCAAATGCCATCTGGGACTTTGGGTTATTTTGGGGCTAGCTTATGGAAGGTTGGTGTTCTAGATGTCTTAAAATTCAACAATAAAACCAATTATCTGCCAAAATGTGTGTCTGTAAGTTTTATCTTTTACTGTAAGTTTTATCCCTTTAAGTGCAACAATGGTAGACACAGTCATCATTAATTTACTGTTAAGGTGAATGTTCACATTTAAATCATTAGAGATGCCAACAACAAAATGTTATCATAACAGTAACAGTTTGCTAAAATACTCTTCTGGATGTTCACAGTTGTTTCACACTGAACAATAGAAATGAATGAAATAAGAACAAATGGAATTCTCTTACCTGAACCAGGTTTGTGTCTGGTAAAAGTGTTTTTACTTCCTTAATGAGTGCTATTTTTTTATCTGCATCAAAGCCGGTCAATTTGACACAGAACACAGTTTTTTTCGGAGTAGAAGCAACCTCATCTTCTTCCTCCTGTAAACACAACACAGGTAAAAATTCAAAATATTTACTATATACTGACTGACTGGTGCAGGACAAGATTAACTGGCACATTTGTGCCAACCGATCATGGTCTGCATGGGTACAATCATTTGCTGCCAGCAAGCTAAGGGTAAAATAACAGTCCTTAAATAAAGGCTATTTTGTATTATTTACATACAAAACATTTAGTCAAACTGACCATGATAACTTTAACTTAACTTGTTAAGTTGTTTTATAATAACTCTTCCAATTCCATTATGATATCAAAGCATAGATATTATGGGGCTATTGTATCTTTTTTTTCCTTTTAATATTAAAAATAGAAAACAACTTCCAAATGATTGATTTTGGTGGTACTTATAAATATACATCTGTTATTTTGTATTATATGTATCATATATGTGTGCAGTGTGTTTTATAAAAAAAATTATTTTATTCAACATTCTAATATTTGGAGAATCCGACTTTGATCCAAAAGATGAAAAGAAAAATCATTATTGAAGATCAATGTCATTCAGGTGTCAATGTCATATTTCATTTATGTCAAATGAAATCCAAAGGAGCAAAGTAATAACCTATAAGCTACCTATTATCAGTATTAGGGTTACAATATTTGACTTGAGAACAATTTATATCATTAAAATGTTTGTCAAGAACATCTAGGGGCAAAAATCAATTATAATAATTACATGTAATATAAAACTGAAGCAACTGTTCATTTATGAAGCAAATATGCTGTGAATATGACCAGTATAGAAAACAAAAACAACATTGTAATTTCTTCTAGTATTTAGAGCAAAAAGATGTATTGTGGTTCAATTTGTGTATCGTCAGGTCTGTATCATGGATTGGATAGCCATTTGGCTGGCAATACACAGCCCTAGTAAAAATATGTTTACCTCCTTGGCTTGAGCAGCAACTGGTGCTCCAGCACCCATAGCCATGACTGGTGCATCTTGGATATTTAATGTTTTCTGAAAAGAAAAACACACACAAAACAATGATTAAAATGTTATACCTTTAAGGCTTTTCATATCTTAAACTGCAAAAAAAGTGAACTTCTGATACATGGAGTTGTTTTCTTTTCAATAGTTCAGTGTACATGTATTTGATATCAAATAGCTTTTAACTCTTTTTTTTAGTAAAAAGTGACAATAATAAATATGAAATTAATTGCTATCTTATTTAAGGTATAAATGTCAATGGCAGAAAATCTAATGTAGGTTTTCAAAAATAAGCAAGTATCAAAATACATAATCACATGTCTAATGAAATGCATTAAATTTACCATATATGTACATGTACATTGAATGCCTTGTGTTTTGAGACAGAGTCAATGAAAAACAAAAGATAGCGAGATATGAAAACAAGAGGGCCATGATGGCCCTGGATCGCTCACCTGACACAACCGCATCCAAGCAATGTCTTAAACAAGCATCATGACCAAGTTTGATGCAACTGAGTCAAACATGTGACCTCTAGTGTGTTATAAAGATTTTTCCATATTTGGGCAATGTGACCTAATTTTTGACTGGACACGACCCATATTCAAACTTGACCTAGAAATCATCAAAACAACCTTCCTGACCAATTTCCAGGAAATTTGGATCAAAACTGCAGCCACTAGAGTGTTAAAAAGATTTTTCTATTTTTAGCTTCTGTGACCTAGTTTTTGACCTGAGATGGCCCATCTTCGAACTTGACCTAGAAATCATCAAAACAACCTTCCTGACAAATTTCCAGAATATTTGAATCAATACTGCAGCCACTAGAGTGTTAACAAGCTTTTTCTATGTTTAGCTCCTGTGACCTAGTTTTTGACCGGAGATAACCCATCTTCGAACTTGACCTAGACATCATCAAAACAACCTTCCTGACAAATTTCAAGAATATTTGGATGAAAACTGCAGCCCCTAATGTGTTAACAAGCTTTTCTATTTTTAGCTCCTGTGACCTAGTTTTTGACCGGAGATGACCCATCTTCGAACTTGACTTAGATATCATCAAAACAACCTTCTTGACAAATTTCCAGAACATTTAGATGAAAACTGCAGCCATTAGAGTGTTAACAAGCTTTTTCTATTTTTAGCTCCTGTGACCTAGTTTTTGACCTGAGATGACCCATCTTCGAACTTGACCTAGAAATCATCAAAACAACCTTTCTGACAAATTTCCAGAATGTTTGGATGAAAACTGCAACCATTAGAGTGTTAACAAGCTTTTTCTATTTTTAGCTCCTGTGACCTAGTTTTTGACCAGACATGACCCATCTTCGAACTTGACCTAGAAATCATTAAAACAACCTTCCTGACAAATTTCCAGAATATTTTAATCAAAACTGCAGCCACTAGAGTGTTAACAAGCTTTTTCTATTTTTAGCTCCTGTGACCTAGTTTTTGACCGGACATGACCCATCTTCCAACTTGACCTAGATATCATCAAAACAACCTTCCTGACAAATTTCCAGAATATTTGGATGAGAACTGCAGCCACTAGAGTGTTAACAAGCTTTTTCTATTTTTAGCTCCTGTGACCTAGTTTTTGACCGGACATTACCCATCTTCCAACTTGACCTAGATATCATCAAAACAACCTTCCTGACAAATTTCCAGAATATTTGGATGAAAACTGCAGCCACTAGAGTGTTAACAAACTTTTTCTATTTTTAGCTCCTGTGACCTAGTTTTTGACTGGAGATGACCCATCTTCAAACTTGACCTAGATATTATCTAAGCAACCTTCCTGACAAATTTCCAGAATATTTGGATGAAAACTGCAGCCACTAGAGTGTTAACAAGCTTTTTCTATTTTTAGCTCCTGTGACCTAGTTTTTGACCAGACATGATCCATCTTTAAACTTGACCTAGATATCATCAAAACAACCTTCCTGACAAATTTCCAGAATATTTGGATGAAAACTGCAGCCTATAGAGTGTTAACAAGCTTTTTCTATTTTTAGCTCCTGTGACCTAGTTTTTGACCAGACATGACCCATCTTCGAACTTGACCTAGATAAAATCAAAACAACCTTCCTGACAAATTTCCAAAATATTTGGATGAAAATTGCAGCCACTAGAGTGTTAACAAGCTTTTTCTATTTTTAGCTCCTGTGACCTAGTTTTTGACCAGACATGATCCATCTTCAAACTTGACCTAGATATCATCTAAACAACCTTCCTGACAAATTTCCAGAATATTTGGATGAAAACTGCAGCCTATAGAGTGTTAACAAGCTTTTTCTATTTTTAGCTCCTGTGACCTAGTTTTTGACCGGAGATGACCCACCTTTGAACTTGACCTAGAAACCATCAAAACAACTTTCCTGACAAATTTCCAGAATATTTGGATGAAAACTGCGGCCACTAGAGTGTTAACAAGCTTTTTCTATTTTTAGCTCCTGTGACCTAGTTTTTGACCGGAGATGACCCATCTTCGAACTTGACCTAGATATCATCAAACAACCTTCCTGACAAATTTCCAAAATATTTGGATGAAAACTGCAGCCACTAGAGTGTTAACAAGCTTTGTCTATTTTTAGCTCCTGTGACCTAGTTTTTGACCGGAGATGACCCATCTTCGAACTTGACCTAGATATCATTAAAACAACCTTCCTGACAAATTTCCAGAATATTTGTATGAAAACTGCAGCCTCTAGAGTGTTAACAAGCTTTTTCTATTTTTAGCTCCTGTGACCTAGTTTTTGACCCGAGATAACCCATCTTCGAACTCGATCTGTATTTCATTGAGACAAACATTCTGACAAAGTTTGATGATGATCCAATCAAAACTGTGACTGCTAGACTGTTAACAACCCAATTATTAGAGTGTTAACAAGCTTTTTCTATTTTTAGCTCGTGACCTAGTTTTTGACCAGAGATGACCCATCTTCGAACTTGACCTAGATATCATCAAAACAACCTTCCTGACAAATTTCCAGAATATTTGGATGAAAACTGCAGCCTCTAGAGTGTTAACAAGCTTTTTCTATTTTTAGCTCCTGTGACCTAGTTTTTGACCCGAGATAACCCATCTTCGAACTCGATCTGTATTTCATTGAGACAAACATTCTGACAAAGTTTGATGATGATCCAATCAAAACTGTGACTGCTAGACTGTTAACAACCCAATTGTTAGAGTGTTAACAAGCTTTTTCTATTTTTAGCTCGTGACCTAGTTTTTGACCAGAGATGACCCATCTTCGAACTTGACCTAGATATCATCAAAACAACCTTCCTGACAAATTTCCAGAATATTTGGATGAAAACTGCAGCCTCTAGAGTGTTAACAAGCTTTTTCTATTTTTAGCTCCTGTGACCTAGTTTTTGACCCGAGATAACCCATCTTCGAACTCGATCTGTATTTCATTGAGACAAACATTCTGACAAAGTTTGATGATGATCCAATCAAAACTGTGACTGCTAGACTGTTAACAACCCAATTGTTGACGACGAACGACGCACAACGCACGACGACGGACGCCGGACATAGCCCCATCACTATACCTCACCATGACCACTTCGTGGTCAGGTGAGCTAAAAATAATAACTTGATTCTCTTAAGCTATTATAATTGAAAAATTCACTGATGTAATGTAAAGTTTATAAAACAATAAGTTTATTTCATTACCATCTATTTACTTCATTAATAATCCATAATAACGTTACAGTCCCAATGATTAAACAAAATAAGATAGCACATACCTTAAGCAATTCATTTAAATCTGCTACTTCTAATAATGTAAGTTGACCTATGTCATTTACTATGTTCTGTATTTTTGGTGAATATTGTTTGCCTACATCTTGATTAGGGAGAGGAAGCTGTTCTGTACTGTACTGGCGTGAATTTGATACATTTCTTACGCATTTGTGAAGAACAGCTTGATGGTATCTGAAATTAAAAAGATAAAACTCCAAAGTTGGTTATCTAAACAAGCATGGTCTTTCACATTAAGGACTTTTATCCAGATTATAGAATGCATTTTTCTCCACCTGCAGTGTATCAATTTCCTTCAAAAGTGATTAACAAAAAAGTTTAAATTCCAAAGACTGTAAATACATGAAAAAAAAAGAAGGTTGCAGTCTTAAAATTACACTTTGTAAACAATATTTTCTTTAACATAAAATTACAAAATTATATATTCAAACATTGTCAATATGAATTTCGCTTTAATTGTGTCCCTCTTAGTCTATTAATACATAGAGTAATTCATACATGTCCTATTCCGAGAATGTTGAAAATTAAGTTGTTTTCTTCTCTAATTTAATTTTTAACTTTTGACGCAACTTCCAAGATAGACCAAGGCAGGTATTTAAATGTACATAATATATATGATGGGATATTATCAGGAAATATATCATTTTGCAGTCAGCTTATAAAACATTTTTATCACTTTTTCACGAATATCAACAAGACTCAATCGTTTTATACTTTGACTCGAAAAAACCCTTGACAACCATTGATTTAAGCTTCAATGGCAAGATATTGGACATTTTATGCATTGACTTTTATGAGCAATATTGTTTAAACATTACACTTGCTCTATATATCAAACTATAACAAGAGGATATTAGGGCTGTCATTGATGGAATTTTTTGCATCGATACATCGAAAGACAATTATCAACAAAATATCAATGAATCAAATCATGTTGTAAGTAGAGTAAAAAACCATTGAATATTTGTTAAAGACTATGCTCATGTAATTTTTTTTCCATGATTTAAAAAAATGTAATACAGGGAAGTCAAAGGCAAGGTCCGCGAAGCTGACCCGGGCTTTGGCTTGCCCGGCTATAGACTACATGTGTTGATTTAAAAGAAAATCAAATAAAAACAATTAAAGAATACATAGAATTCTATAGTTCTGGCTTCCAAAACTTTTTAAGCCGCTTTTTTAATATTTTTGTTTTTCATCTGATGTGGCATTAAAGTTTAGGATTAGACCCTTTACATAACCTAACCAGAATAACATAAGTTGATTTAACCTTATTTTTCACTTGTCCCAATCAATTTTTGTGCATTTTGCGATAAACTACTTATTTTAATATTGTTCTCAGTGATTTTTTTTCCAATTTTCAAAACAACCTGTGGCTTTCTGAAGGGGAAAATCTAGCGCGATAAATCAGCAATGGGGGAAAACCTGAAATCTATTTCCAACAACTGAAAATGGAATTTACTCACACGTTTTATGAAAAAAATTAATATCAATTCAATTTAGCATGCATGGTACATAGCAGACGCAATCTATAGGGACAGCATTCTGTCTTCCAGCTGATATAAGTCAGACGCTGTTAAGTCATGGTTCTGGCAAGGAAGAACAGGATGCATTTTAGGGGAAAATATTAGCATTTTTAGGGGAAAATATACCTATTTTGGGCTAGGGGAAACAGCCTTTATTTGGCTGTAAAATACAGTGAAAAAAATCACTGGTTCTATAACATTTAAAGTATCAAAATATCGTCATTAAAGTTGCCTATTTAAATGCATACATGCCATATCCCCCACCGGGGGACAAAAACCCCCGATTTTCGACCATGTCTCCCAATCTCCCGCCGTGGGATCGAAATCCCCCGTTTTTCAAAAATTCAACCAACAAAAAATTAAAGCATCATTTTTACCAATAAACATAATTAAACAATAGACTTAAACAACTTTTACAACTATATATGCCTCCATTAAACAGCAGGGGTCTAACGGATAATTGTATTGTTAGTTACTCAGACACACTTCAGCTGTCAAGGAATAACAAATTCTCCTTTGATAAACCTGTCCAGGGAATTCCCCAGACGCTTTTAGCGCATCGGCACCGATGCGCTAAAATTTCAGAACAAGAAATCCCGATGCGCTTAAAATTATCATAGCGCTTAAAAAAACGACCGATATTCCTTTCTAGTGCGTCTAAAAGTTACCCCAATTAGCCAAATAAACAAGCCGATATACATGTCCTGTGTAGATAATTACCCGAGGCGTATACACAACCCGATACACTGATTGCCTTGAGACTGTGTGACGTCACAGACACCTGTCATCGATGTCTGCAGACGACTGTTGGTGCACTTTTAGGTATTGTCAATTACAGTGTATTGAGATGGGTGCAATTTAACCGCGGCATGTGTGATATTTACATGTTTCAGGTAGGTGTTATAACTTTTCTTGTTTTGATAGTATAATTGGCATTAATTGACATGCGATATAACAGTTTGATATTTAGGGATGAATGGGTTAATTGTCTTGATATAAGTTTAATGTTCAATTTCATCTTTCACTTTCTTACGATCATTAAGTCTAATCAGTACTCTAGAATTAAGATTTCAAAAACAACATGAATAAGGGAAAAAAGAGGCCAGCGCCTAGTTCACTATCAATTAAGAGTTTTTTTATGAGCAATGTCGTTGAAACTGTCTCAAATTCTGATAATGACCAAGTGACAAGTTCAAGTGAAACTGTACAACGTGCAAAGAAACAAAGACTGTCTGGGTTTGATCCTAAGTGGAAAAATGATTTTCCGTGGGTTAAAGAAGTTGAAGATGGTAAGAGTTAGACTCTACAAGCTTTTTTTTTTCAAATTAGAATCTATTAATTAGAAATATTGGGTAGCTCTTAATACCCTGAAAAATAACTCTCTCACGTTATCTGGATCATTTTGCTTTTTAATATATACATGATAATCATATTTCACTTGGATTAAACTGCACAAATATTCAGAAATGAATTTGGTTGATGTCTACTTTAACATTGAAAACATTTACGACTGTTCATTGTCAACTTGCAACTGAGTGAAAACAACAACAAAAACTTACACCAACAATCCCACTTATATTGACAGCGAATTGGTCATTTTCTTTTTTAATTGAAAAAAAAAGAGTAAAAATATTTTGTTAATTGTTTCTTTTAAAGGAGACCATAGCTTGAAATTGACCTTATTTAATATTGGTACTTTACAGGTATGATGTGTACCCTGTGCATACGACATCAGAAAAGACCGAAGAAAGCAGCCTTTGGAAATGCAACATGGGTTGACAAGCCATGTACATGGCTGGTAAAGGATGCCCTTCGCAGACATGAACGCTCAGACTCACACGATGAGGCAAGGGCATTTGAAGCTGGTAGACTTGCTCCAAGCAACAACGTTGAAGCTGCAGTAGAAGAGGCCAACAGTCTACACACCAAGGCTCGTGTCTCCGCCTTCCGAAACCTCTACTGGCTGATGAAAAGGGAGATGCCTCACACCACGAACTATTTGCCGCTAAATGAACTATGTAAGTAAAATAGTTGCATAGTTCATAATAAAGCTTAAATAAGCATTACTGTATATGAACATGCTAAATCAATTTTAGCCTGTAATATTTTCAATATTGTAATTTAGAGTTTTCTTAACAGATCAAGTGTTTTTTATGTTACTTAACTTATTATTCCAGAGAATATCGGGCTTGTGTTTGTATTAAATATGCTCAGATAATGAGCTATAAAAATAAGTTTTGATAAACTCATATGGCTTGAAATAAACGGCAGGCATAAAAGTTCCTGTTACAGTCACATTAACAATCATTATGTTTTCTTATTGCAACATTGAATTTATTTTCAGGCAAACTTCAGGGGGCCAACATTTTGAATAATCTACACCAGGGCGAAAATAACAAGGGTGAATCTCAGAGGTTCATACAAGAAGCTGTCCTCACAATGGGTAACCTAATCCGACAGTCCATCCTGGATGATGTAAAGGTATCACCATGGTACTCCATTATGATAGATGAAACTACCGACATTACTGTTGTCAGCGAGATGATTATTTATATCAGGTAAATAACAAACAAAAAAAACTGAATCCCAAAAATAAAAAAAAATAATAATTTTGCAGGCCCTCTTTAATCGAGCCTGTTTATGGACAGCTTTGTGAAGTGCAACCTACTGTTCAGGCCCCTTAGCATTGGTTTCAGCAGAAATATATATTTAAATTATAATTGGACACATTTGCAATTTTATACATGAAAACACATTTGAAATAAAAACAGAAAGAAAATAAGAGGTTTAATTGTCTACAGAATGCAAATGATCACTCCGTTTTATGAAATCTCTTCCAATGTTGTAACATAAACAAAATGTAAGTATTGTATGAATGTTTCAGATATCTAAAGGATGGGGTTAGCAAGACAGACTTTATAGGCATCCTCCCTCTCCCTGACGGAAAAGCTGATACTATCACTGAGACACTAGTGACGTTCCTCACAGAAGACCTGGGTCTCCAACTTGAAAAGATGTGTGCCTTGGGAAGTGATGGTGCGAAGGTGATGGTCGGAAGACAGAATGGTGTGGCTGCCCAATTGAGACGAAGAGTCCCCCACCTAGTCAACAACCACTGTGTAGCCCACAGACTGGCTTTAGCTGTTGGACAGGCAGCCAAAGGAGTGCCTTATCTTCAGAAGTTCAAAGACATTATTGGTGATCTTCATCGTTTTTAAGAGAAGAGTGTTGTCCGCACCAGCGGATTGAAAGCTATTCAGGTTAGACTTTAAACATTCAAATATTATCTTTGAAGGCATGCAAGATTTTTGTTCATTTAAGTTGCGTACTGATTCAGGGTGGTCTGTTGCAAAGGAAATTAAAAATAGTGCCTTATTATGATTATTTCGTAGGAAACTAGCATGAGTTAACTATAAGTAATTCTACTACAAGCATCAATGAAAAATTTTAATTATGAAATCTTGTGGTACAACAATTTTAAAAAAGCAAATTTTATTAACAGGAACTTCTCCAGGACCCCAAGTTGAAGTTAGTGGAGGCAAAAGATGTCAGATGGTTGTCTCATGACAAGGCCACTACAACTCTACGGAAGTGCCTGCCATCCATTTACACTAGCCTTGAGCGTGAGGCCGAGGAACGCAATGACGCCAGAGCTGCCGGACTGTCTGTTTTTACACAGGACTACCGTTTCGTTCTGGCAATTCACATGATGTGTGATGTTTTACCCCATCTGACAGCATTGTCTTGTGCCATGCAGGTAATGATTATCATTCTCATTCTAAAGATATACCCTGTTAAAAGACAATGATTTCAAATTATTTTCAACATTGCATATCTTATAAACTGTCTTTTCTATAAAAGTCTTAGTTTTTTTTAAAATACAGATGAAGTGAACCTGATTTAGTACCAGTTGTATTAATTTCATGTAAATGCAGTTCATTTTTGTAAACAATCACTAAAACATGTGTATCAATTGGAATTTTGAGCAATGCATTCTTCTTCAATGTATTTTATTAGTAAGTATAAATTCAGTATCTTGCTATAGATGATTAATTTAATATCTTATTGTTTCAGAAAAGGGACGCTGTATATGTGACAATTAAGCCTCTTGTCAATGGAACTATCTCCATCATCCAAGGAATGAAATCCCAGTCGGCTGACAATTACAAAGAAGCTCCTGCCAGGGTTACCCAACTTATTGACGATGGATTCCGAATAAAGTCTCCTTCCGAGGAACAGCTGACAGCATTTCATGAAAAGGTGAGTGAGAAAGGGATTCACAACTTAGATAATGTTGTAATTTGCAAGTATCATTTGATAAAGATTAATAAAATAACCATCAATTAAAACTGTCATACTATACAGGCCCAATATCAATTGTTTATAAAATTTTATTAAAGTAGGTATTAAAATTATTGTACAATCACAAAGACAAAAAAAAATATTTTTTCTATAATGTTTTTGTTTCTAATTTTTTCTAGATCTACCTGCCATTCCTGGACAACCTTCTACAAAATCTTGAGGACAGGTTCCCTGATCTACCTCTCTTAGAGAAGTTTGGGGCATTTGCTGTAGGCAGTTCTGAAGATGACAACCATCAGGACATACAGGAGCTGGCCAGGCACTTTGGTGTTGATGTGGAGCAGTGCCGCAGCAACTGGCACCAGGTACGTGCCAGTCTAGAGGGGACTGATCAGTCAGCCGACCAGACCATGACCTGGATTACTGGCAACCTTTCAACCAGTCATCCAGCTCTTTACAGAATTGCTGCCGTGGGTCTCCTCCTCCCAACCTCTACTGCAGGTAATTATTATTAAATTGATTCATTTTTGGACATAAATAAATTTCCAATGACAGTTACAGATGTGTAACACTTTGCTAGAAGTTTTTCCAACATTTCAAATATCAATTTTTTTACTAAGTTAAGTTTAAACAGGCTAGAAGTTTTAAATTTTCAAAAATTCATAGCAAACAAACAAAATAAATAAAAGGCATGAGGTTGTGTTAACATAAATGATTACTTTCATTTATTAATTTCAGATTGTGAGCGAGGATTCAGCTGCCTGAAGAGAGTAAAGACGGAAAACAGGAATCGTCTGTCTGTTAAAGTTCTTAACTCTCTTCTTGCCGTCTCCCTTCAAGGACCTCCATTAGAATCCTTCAATTTTGAGAAGGCAGTCAAGGCATGGAAGGACAACAAACCCAGAAGACAGGCCCACTTTTAATGAAGAGAAAATCAACTAAAATTGGGACACACACTGACACATACATATAAATGTTGAGGACATGTTGTGAACTTGTGTTAAACTGTTTATATTATAATTGTTTATTTGTTTGAATTGTTGGAAATTGAAAAAATAAAAAAGGAAAATAAAGAAAATGTTTATCAAGTGAAAAGCTTTCATTTTTTGTTTTAAAACAGCCCACAGCAGTATCTTGACACCTAAAATGGCAAAAAAATTTCGACACGCGGTAGGGGGTCAAGACCCCCTCCCGCACCCACCCCCGTCTGGTTCAAAAGTGTAGCGCTTAAAAAAATTCCTGGGGAATTCCCTGCTGTCAATCAGTGTCAGTATTGCAGGTGCTTAACCAATGACAGCGTCCGATACTGAATGTGTGACGTATCAATTTTTGTTGGGCTATGTAACCCCGCCTTGAGTTTGTTGTCGGCATTGGGTCTTTGAAGTTGATAAGTGCAGATAAAAAAATAATGATCAGGCAATAGAATCTCAAAGAATCGCAGATTAGCAATGTTTAAAACTATTATTTTTTATGTAACTGTGATCTATGTTGTTGCAAAAATAATATAAACTAGCTTTGTCTCACAGTAAGCAACAAACACTGAGGAGAGATTGAAAGAGGTAAAAATCCGTTTCAATCAGATAAATAATAAATAATACCTGTTTTAACACCCAAAGGGCCAAAATAATTAGGTCCAATTATTATCCAGTAGTCATTACACTCCAAAAAACCTTTACACAACCCTGCATCAATTACACAGTTTACATGTACATACAGGTATCAAGTGACGTAGTGTCTAGACTCCCTACTGCCATATAAGGCAATCGATGTGTGTTAACAAATTGAGGTGTGAAGTACATAATGACCTGAGTAAACTGGATTAATTTTTTTTTTACTGTTTATGAAGTGTCAACGGAAAATTTTTAAGGCAGCATTTTTTTATTTCACCTTTCTATGGCTACAAAAATTCTCCGTGAAAATGTTGATACCTTTCATTTAAAGAGAAAAATCTTTACCTTTCATTTAAACAGAAAAAACTTTGACTGTTAAAGTATATTTATTTTAATGATTTTAAATGCATCAAATTCAAGTTATTTGTACTAAAATGATTCAATATATATCTGATATAAAAATGTATTTTATATGATATACATGCAATTAATTATATTTGTTTTACAGGGATTCTTATTTTATTTACATCAAATATTAAAAGTACCTATGTTTATTAATTTTGCAATTGTTAACATATTATTCTTTCACAGTCATGTATGTTAAAACTTGAAAATATCAAATGATCTTACATAGAAATGTTCATTTTCATAATAAAATGGGGGAAATTTAATTAAATGTTTGCATCGTTTTAAGATTACGACTGGTTTGTGCTTGCTTAAAAATCCCCCTACTTTTGGTCCAAATCCCCTGCTTTTTAAAGCCAAATCCCCCTATCTGGGTGGCTGGAAATATGGCATGTATGTAAATGTAAAACATCAGTTACGCTGACTACAGTCTGCTATGACATTTAGGAGCTACGCGAGACCTTATAAACAGGTACACTGAAGATCTTAAGCTAAGAATTCTATATCTATCAATAAAATTTTCAGTGTCAGTTCTAGTCGGGAGGCGCCATTTTCAATGTAATTCAATGATAATAGGCGGGTTATTCCAATAATGGACAATCGCAACTTTTCAACTTTTACTATTCCGAGTAAAAACAGAAGCAAGCATACAATACCGAATGACAGCTTTAAACAAATGGACAAATTAACTTTTACAGACTTCCCCGTTCATAGGCTTTGCCTAATTTTATATTAACCCTAACATGCAAGGCTCCTTTACAAAATTATGTATCAGACATTATCCTCTGTCATAACAATGTGTTGATGTTCTGATGACTACTTAGGTATGAAAAACAAAATGGAAAAAAAAAATTAAAAAAATTGTCTTATGTAATGAAATACATAAACTGTGATTTGAAATATTTGACCTTTACCTAATGTCACGAAAATACATAATTTGCAAAAGAAAATTATTAAAATTGGTGTGCCTGTGAAAACTATAGAAGGAAATCGAATTCAAGTTGCATTCATTACCTGCATATACAGACAGGTGCTCTTAAAACACCCCTTATTAATTTGAGTACTAATTTACATTTTTTTTTTTTAAAATTTTCACGTTTTTACGATGGGAAATCAATTTCAAGATTTATTAACCCGGGCGCCCTTCGTTTCGGGTTCAGAAAAATTAAAGCCCAAAATTTAAATCCCAAATGGTTTATAAAAGCGGTTTAATATAACATTCTGGGGGATGTCACTTTAAAAGCCTTTTAAACCTAACCCCTTTATTAAAATAAACCAAAATTTTCGATTTTTTTTTTTATAAATTTCTTAAAAAATCCTTAAAAATTTAAAAAAAAAATGAAAAAATTAAAAACTTTTAAAAGTTTTAGGTTATAAGGGGGGGTTTTTCCCCAAATCCTGATAAGCGGAAGTAAAATAAGAGGTATTTTTTTAAACTTTTTTAGCCCCTATGTTTTAAAAAAAAGAGATTTTCAAACATGTATTTTAAGAAAGTTTCAGATTATAATTGTTTTTTTTTTTTAAATTTTTAAAAAAGAAATTTTTTTTAATTAAATTTTAAATTTAAATTTTACCCGAGGGTTTTAATTAGCAGTAAAAAAGAAGATTTAAAAATTAAGGTAATTATATTTTTTGGGGATATTTAAAATATTTTTTTTAAATTTTTAAGCTAAAATTTTTCTTAGTTTTTAGCTTGATTATAAATTTTTAACAAAATATGAAAAATTTTTTTGAAGAAAATTTAAACAAATTTTTTTTGTTTTTTTTTACTTTTTTAAAATTTTTTTTAAATTCATTTACAAATTTCTTTTAATTTTTATTTTAAGTAGAATTTTTAATTTTTAATTATAAAAGTTTTTTGATTATTATTTTTTTTGGGATTAATTTTTTAAAAATTTTTTGATTTTCCCCCCAAAAAAATTAATTTATATAGATTTTTTTTCAAAATTTGTTTTTATTTTAAATTTTTAAAAAAATTTTTTTTCATAAATTTTTACAGGGTTGGAGGGGTTTTGACAGAAATTTAAACTTTTTTGGAGAACCCATTCTCTAACCGAGCCCTTTTGGGCATGGGCTGGTAGAGTTGCAATTTCAGTTTTTGAACCGAAATTTTTTTTCCCAAAAACTGTAAGGTATTTCAAATACATTTGGGCCCCAGAAAAGAACATTTCCCTTTTCCGATATAAGGCTTTACAAAAAAGGGGCCGTTGCTGTACAAACAGAAAAGATTAAAGCCTTACTTTTAATTTTAAAAGGATAAAATTCTTGAAAAAAATATTTTCCCCCGGAAGGGTTACCAAAAAAAAATTAATAAGAATTTTCAGACTTTTGGGTTTTATTTTTTTTGTTTTAAATTTTAGGGATTTTAAAGATTTAAAAACAAACTTTCCCCCACGCCCCCTTTTGCCTTTTTTAGCGGTTTACTTTTTTTTTTTTTTTTTTTTTTTTCAATTTAAAACTTTAAAATTGTGTTCTGTGTCATCTATATGATCCTCTTATGTGGTTTTCTAGAAATATTTATGATCACACTGGAAAGTGAAGTTACGGTTTGTTCTATATTTTTATTCATCTCGTCTTTCTTTAATGTCTTTGTTTTCTTTACTGGATTAGGTTTTCAGAGTCAATGAGGCGTAATGTTTATCTTATCTTAGCTACTCGCTTCAAACTTCTTATTAAGAAATATTAGGTGAATGGTTTTAAAAAATATCCGTTATATCTCTTCTGTTCTTTTTAGGATATTGATGAGACGCTATGGTACAGTGCGATCAATTGCTTCTCTATTGGCTGAAATTTATTTGGCTTTATTGTTGTGTAAACCCCAATATGCAAAGGACGATGTATTGGGAAATACTGGAGAAACATTTCCACAACAAAAGAACAGAGAGGAACTGGCCAGGAAACAACAAACAAATGAATTTCAGGGCCAAAACCCCCTTTCCTTTTAGGGAAATTTCGCAAACTAAAAACAGATCATGTGGGAAACAGTTTTTTAATAAAAGGGTTTTTATTAAAATTTCCCAAAAACTTGCCCTCCCCCACTAAAGAGGCAAAAGATATACAAAACTGGGAGTGGGTTTATAGGGACCCTTTCCCCCACCCCTTTCTGGAAAAATGGGTAGACAAACCCCCCCACATTACCCTTTAAAGTTTGTACAATAGATTTGGGCACCCGAAAGAATCTGACAAACCCCCATGGGGTAGCCAAAGTCTCTTTTAGAGTTACTGCTCCCGATTTAAAAAATTTTTCAAGTTTTACAGCTTTGGGGGAAATAACAAATTAAGCCAAATCTTTCATGACCTTTTTGAATCTTTCATAGTAAACGTAAAATACATGGCAAAAGGTGTAAACCGGCACGGGGTAAGAATTCGAAGCTGAAAAGGGGGGGCTCCCAGTGCAACGGGTTGGAATCAAAAAATTATTTAGCCCTGCCACACCTGTGTGTCGTCAGTGACACTACGATTAATAAAATATATGTCCATACAGTGGGAGAGACATGTTCAAAACCTTAAAATTATTTCCTTTCTTGGAAATGTCTCCACAGGAATAACATTTTTTGAGACAAACCAGAAACTATTCACTATCAGATTCAAAAGACAAAAATTGTATATCGTAAAAGAAAGTATTCCACTTTCATCGTTCATGACATTTTCAAGGAACATGATGATTCAAAAAGTTTGAACTTGGACAAATGATTATTGTGAAAGGTAGTTTAAGTACCCAAATTTAAATGTTCTATGAGAAATATTTAAGACCATAAGGGGTCCTCTGATTTAAGACAAGTAAACTCAATTTAACTTTACTTTATTACTGTATTAAGGAAAATGTATAAAATTTTGTGCATTAAAAACGTGACTAATCAGAGAATGTGTGTGTCAATCATTTTTAAAATTTTATTTTTTTTGAGGTACAACTAAGATTTTTTTCGATTCAGATATTTCCCTTCTTTGTTTTCGGATTTTTTTTAAAATTTTTTTACAATCCAAAACAAAATTTGTCAACAATTTTTTTTTTGAAAAAATTTTGAATAATGAAAAGGTGGGCCTTTAAAAACTTTTATTAAACCCTGCCAAAAACTCTTTTTTACTTACTCTCCCCAATTTTTTCTTTTAAACCTTTTTTTCATTTTAGAAAAGAAACCCCCAAACCATTTTCAAAATGAAAAACCAAATTTCACAAAGTAATTAACCAAAAACTAAGATGCAGTGGGTTAAACAAATTTTCTTTGCAAATAAATCTTTTAAGCTTATTAGATCAGGTCAGTTGATTACATACTCTGCATTCTCCCATTGAAATTTAATGTTAATCAGCTGTACACAGAGATAGCCAGCATACAGGTGTATACCTCTTATTTGTCAGGGGCTCTGCAGAGATAACTCTGCTGGATTATCTAGAAACCCTCCCATTGTTAAAGTTTATTTAGTTATTTTATTTCATTGGAGAGATCTTTGCAAATCATCATATAAAAATTATTTTTATCTTATTATCAAATATTATTTTACTTTTGTTATATATTTTATACAAAACTTTTGGAGAAGTTTCTGTTTCCAGGACCTTTGTTATATGTGGTTGTTGTCTTGAAACAATTTTAATAGTCCAATAAACAACCATGGTGACCATAACTTCATTTTATTACCATGCACACTCTTCTTTACTGCTACTCTCCAATTATTCTTTAATCCTTTGTCATTCAGAAAATGAAACCCTCCAAACCCATTACAAAGTGAAACACAAGTTACACAACAGTAATTAACCATTTCTAAGACTGCAGTGTTAATCAATTTACTTTGCAATATAAATCTTTATAAGCTTATTAGATCAGGTCAGTTGATTACATACTCTGCATTCTCCCATTGAAATTTAATGTTAATCAGCTGTACACAGAGATAGCCAGCATACAGGTGTATACCTCTTATTTGTCAGGGGCTCTGCAGAGATAACTCTGCTGGATTATCTAGAAACCCTCCCATTGTTAAAGTTTATTTAGTTATTTTACTTCATTGGAGAGATCTTTGCAAATCATCATATAAAAATTATTTTTATCTTATTATCTGATCAAATATTATTTTACTTTTGTTATATATTTTATACAAAACTTTTGGAGAAGTTTCTGTTTCCAGGACCTTTGTTATATGTGGTTGTTGTCTTGAAACAATTTTAATAGTCCAATAAACAACCATATCTTTATCATAACGAAAATATTTTTCAATGCAACAAAAATGAAATAAGAATCTTTATTGCAGAATTTGTATACTGTCAGCGCATAAAATTATGTATAATTTAGTTCAGGTCTTACAAACTTTTAATTGCTTATATGAATATACGAAATTTTAAATTTTGTTGGACATATCTATTGAAAATAGGCTAATTATTATTTTAAATCTGAACAATACCAGAATGTAACAAAATTTATTAAATAGGAAAACATTTATGGAACAAAAGAAACAAGTTTTACTATAAATAGCTAGGGCGTATATCACAGCAAGTGATTAGCAGTTATTTTTAAACTGAAAATGAGTCTTTTTTCAAAGTGTTACATAACAAAATCAATGATATAAAAATAATGTAAATTGAGACGCAAGCTTACATATATCTTCTTTTTTGGAAGTATGTGTAGTTCAAATGAATTGAGTAACTTTCAGCAGAAATTACAATTGAATAAATATTGGAGTCAAAAAACACGCTCCTTAATTGTCTTCTAAAAAATAAAAACAATTTCTGGGGAATAATTAATTAGAAAAATTTATACTGTTTATAATGTAAGTAAAGTACAAACTATTTTATCTAGAATGTATACAATTTAAAGCAGCATGCCTCCCGATTAATGCTAATTTTCTTGATTGTGTGGTCCAGATTCATGCTAATTTTCTTGATTGTTGAGACTTATTGTCTGTACACACGTTATTTAATGATGATGATGATGATGATTATGGGTAGAGGGCAGTAAGGAAGATACATTTTTATCTTTTGTATTGTTTATACGTCACTTATAGTATGATACGGCTGAAATCAGGACCTTTCTTCTTAAAAGACCCTAGAATAATGTTGATTGGGTAGGTTAATTAATAAAAAATTAAAAATCTAGGCCTTTAAATTTTCATCATAAACTTATTCAGATAAAGAAAATATAATTATATCTTAAGAGTGTGCGTGTTAAGTTTTTTAAATGCAGCAAATCAGACAATACTTTTTGGTTTTTAATGCCACATTACGCCTAACCCTTCTTTCTGATTAGCCTCGTTTTTAAACGCCGGTAATTCACGTGACCTCAAACCATATTGGATTTCTAACTTCTCAAACAGACATGGCATCGGGTGAACCGGATTTAAAGGAGGTAAACGTTTATGTTTGTCTGACCTAATTATATAGCCGCACCATTTTAAACTACGGAATTATGATCTTTTTAATAGATTTATACAATAGTCACATGTCATATGCTGCCTTGGGACACCACACGTCATGATCACCACCACATCTCCTCTTTAGGCTCTTATCTCATTTTCAGAAAATTAAGATATTGTTTATTGCAGGAGTAAGTGTTTCTTTTATTAAACATGTTCTGTACATAATTGGAATGGATGCGAAATAAAAGCAAGTTTACTTGGCCAAAAATATCACAATCGGAAATCGTGGTGTGTTTTTTTTTGTTTAGTTTACCTTGGATTTTATTAGAACTTAAGTTTTTGCAGGTAGATATAGTATATGCTTTCAGACACTTGAATCTGTTCATTGAATCAACTAGAAAGTAATACGTGTCAACTCGGCAAGAGAGATTGAAATAAATATTATATTGCAGAAAAGAGGTGATCAATGGCAATATGGAACTTACGGTACAAGTCAACCCGGCCTCAAGTGAATCCGGCCCCAAATTAGTTGATCCGGCCCCAAATTAGTCGATCGGCCCCAATTCAATCTGATATCTGGTCAACGCGGCCCTATTTTTATTACTAATTTTTTAACCTTTGAATAAATATATTCTCGTGTGCTGTTTATCTCGATAATTATTCACATAATTTCCTGAATAGAAAAAAGAGAGAAAGAAAAAGTGAAAAAGAAGTGCTACATTAATAATATTCAAACGTTTCTCTCTTCTCTCAATTTCGGGTTTATACCTGTAGACACAGTTTTCATAAGGTGTTGCACACAGCTCTTTGTAGAATAGTCCAATATATTAGACGTTACAGGCTTGTTATAGTTTATGTCGGTCAAGCCTGACGTCTAATAGTTATTGCTCAAAAACGCATAGCATCATAAAAAATTCAAAAAATGTATACTGGGGGCCTACATATTACCGGACAAAATATGAAGTTTTATATCTGTAACTTTTATTTAAAATAATAAAAAAGAATAGAATTTTACATAAATAATTTTGGGTTCTTAATGCACGTAAACATTCCTTTATCAAACATGAAATTAAACATTTGACCGTAGAAATGTGTCTTTAAAGAAGGGCATTGTAAGAGGAAAAAAATCGTATAAACAACTCAATTTACCGGACATGGTGTTTCAAAATTATTTGAAGTCGTGGATTGAAATTAATCTTTAAATAACCAGCAAGGAAAGGCAATGTTATATAAGATATTTGAAAAACCCAGTATGTCACTAGAAATAGACACAGCAGCCATGCCTGTTATGAAGAGGCCAATATATAGAATATATATAGGATGTTGTTGAAATTAACACTATTAACCCAATTAACGTAATGATCCTTCATGATCCTTAAACGTATGAAACATTTTAATATTTAAATGGAATTGCTCCTCTGTTCTTTGTCGTACAGTTTCCTTTTGGTTATCATGTAGAATGTTACAAAAGCCATATACATAAAGCCTATTTGATTTACATTTCATGTAGGGCGTTACCCGTTTCCTTAGCCTATATGTTTTTTTTCTAATTTGCACTTCTTTGTAAAAGACAACGAGATACTATTTAGATTTAATTTAAAATTACTTTTGTCATTAAAATATGTTACGATTGTCTCTCGAGGTAACGTTGAAAAGAAGTAAAAGTAAAACCTATCAAAAAAACAAAACAAAAAAAACATTAAGGGTCTCCATATTCGGTCCTGCGCAGAACAGATTATTCCCCCGCATGAGCAGGTCATGAAATAACTAGTAAACAAAAGGGCATGTTAGAAGATAAAGAACTGAATCAACAATATTTACCTGAGAGTGGTTTTGTTGTTATTTACTTTGAAATAGAAAGTGTGTGTACAATTCAGAATGTATGATTTTTGAATCGAAGCAAAAAATAAAGCACTATTCAGGAGTAATAGCTTTTGTCCGGTAAACTGATTGTCCGGTAAATATGTAGGACCCCAGTATTGTCTTGCCTTTCAAGCTTTATTCAAAAGCTTATCTTCTTTTCTTTCAATTTCATGCTCAATCATACACAATAACTCTCAAACAATGTACTTATCAATTTAAAATAAAATATAAACATCAATCTATTTTTGTCTATCAGCCATACTGGTTAAGCAAGGTGCTTTACAGATTGATTAAAATTTTTGAACGGAAAAATATATTCGAACACACTGACGGTGCATGGGCAATTATTTCGTTAAAAAATATTCCGTTAGATTGTTCTGACTCAGTTAAACGCTTGCATTTGAATTAGCCAATCAGATTTCGCGCACTTTATGGCCGCCATTTGTTTATCGGCTGTAAAAAGAATTGAAATACATGAGAGGATTTAATCATGATTTTTCGGATGTGACAGTTTAATTATTTTGACAAAAGGTATTTATTTTTTAGTTTTGTTCATAAATAGGTCAAAACTTATGTAAATACACGCTGTCTTTATTGTTTTTCGTTCCGCCCGATTTTCTGGCGGAACATGCTATGGGTTTTTGAGCAATTTCGATATGACGTTGCTTTGCCCAGAAGCAAAAATATCTCAAAGCGACGTCATATTTATAGGACTATTTGTAGAGGTACATGTGGAAAAACACAACACATAGAGTAAGCACAGATGTAATATAAATCCATGGAGTAAGTCCTAAAAAGTTTCCAAAATTAGTTATTAAAAAAAAATGATTTCATTATTTTTTCTCTTGATTTACTAGTATTGTAACAGTACCAAAATAGACATCATAAGTTAAAGCATGTTCATGTTTATGAAAATATATTTTCGAATTTACATCAAATACAATACAATACAGTTTATTTGCTTTAAACATTATAACAACGTTTCTAGCATAATAATAGACATGAAATAGACCAAGGTTTTTTCACAATTAATATTTCTTTGTTTATTGATTGCTCTTACTTATTTGTTCATCACATTTGAATAAATGCATACGTTCACACATAATTATTGATGTTTATATAATCATTCAGTTTTTTTTCACCAAAATATTCGGCGAAATTCTGCCCCATTCCCCCCTCAAAATAGTATGTTTTTTCCCCCCTCAAAGCCTAAATTTCCCCATATATTGCAGCCTGAATTTGCCTGCAATGAATATCATTTTTTTTGCAACTAACTGCCAATTTTTTTTTATTTTTATGCCTGTAAGTGTAAGAGTTACTGTTAAGCAAGGTTGTTTACAAATCGTTCTCTGGAAGGTAAGGGGAGCTACTCCCGGCGTCCCAACAAATTTAACATGCGACACATCAGTATTTTAGATCCGTATATTAAGAAAAAGAGATGTATTTTAAACTTGTGTTGCAAAAGTTGCTCTCCTTTTCTACCACAAAGAAAACAATATAAAATAAGTAAACAAATAAAATTCCCCCTCCTATTGCATTTTTCCCCCTCCAAAGGGCACCGACCCCCTTCCCAGGGTTGTCATTAACATTTTTTGCAGAAGGTTTGTTTTGAACTTGAGGCGGTCATTTCTGTCTTTATCATGCATAACAAAGAGTGTTTTCTTAATTTTGAGGCGGCCCATAATGCATTTGAGACAGGCATTTTGGCCTCCTGCCGCCTCTTAATGACAACCCTGCCTTCCCCCAAAAGTGGGAAAAAAACACTGTCATTCATTATCACTATTATGTATAAAAGCCTTAACTGGGGCAATTAAATTACAGACAAATTATAACCTAATGATGTTTTCAATAACTTTATTATATGGTTCATAATCTTCATTGGGTAAAGTTTTATTTATTGGTACATTTTTTGTAAATATGAAATTATTTATACATTTTTTGAAAATCTTTTTTTAATGTGTGTAATAAATATATCATTTATAGACAAAAGGGAACATGAGAGAAGCAAAATATCGTCTATTAAAACATAATTATTTAATTTAATAAAATATTCTCTGAAATTCAATTTTGGGGCCGCATTGACCAAATAAAAATAATGTGGGGCCAGATTGACCAATTTTGGGGCCAGGTTGACTGATTTTGGGGCAGGGTTGACTGTAAGTCGGAACTTAAAGTAGTCCAAATATTTAGACGTAACCGCGGATTTAAAGCTATTTTTTACATTGGTCAAATCCGCTTTAACGTCTAAAGATATCTATTTGAAAGTCCATAGCAAAATGAAAAACAATAAACATGCACAATCATTCAAACTTCCCATGTAAGATGTTACAAATAATCATAATCCTACCACAAATGTGTATTTTCCTTCCCATGTAAAAATTGTGTAAACAGCATATTGGTGTGTACTATGCATAGCGGTGATTACAGAAACCAAATTTTTTAGACGAAATTTTTAATGCCTGTATCTGTCAGTGCCTTAAATCACAACAGAAAAAAATTAGTTCAGACTAATTTCGTGTTATTGTTTTTGAGTGACATCACAGTGTGACCGGGATTTTCCAATATGGGGGGTCAACACAAAATGTCTTTCATGTGTCTTCTTAAATATATGGATAAATAAAATTAAAATAAGTAAACAAATTATAATAAAATTTCCCTCCAGAATGAGTCCTCTGTTTCATTTATTACTGTTGAAGAGACCATTCATCTCAAGCTTATCCAGTTCACATGTCTGTGTTCTCATATACCGATAATGAAAGTAAGTAAAAATCAAGCGTTTATACATTGCTTGTATAGAAACATCTTGCATGCCCGTACTGATTAAAAATGTCTTTAGCTAAAAATAGTGTGACTCTCACATGTCTTCATCAGGATTTAAAAAATCATCAAAGTTGTATTTAATGTTTAAATGGCTTTCATAATTAAAGACAAACTAAATTTGATTGAACATTTTTATTTTTTAATAGGATCATGATGGAGAGCAGGAAGACCAACAGGTTGTCTCGCCTGATATGTTGATCAAACATCCACTTCAAAACAAATGGGCAATGTGGTTCTTTAAAAATGATAAAAGCAAGGAATGGACAGCAAATCTCAAACTTATCACAGCATTTGATACAGTGGAAGATTTTTGGGGGTAATCTATGACCTTTTCTAATTTTAATTTCCTGTTGTATATCTTGATGATTTCATAATTTATGTAAGATAAAGTTACCATATGCTGCCAGTAGTTCAAACACCCCCTTTACTTTTCTTCTAAGAATTAAATTCTTACCCTAGATAGATGCTTGAAGTAAATTTAGTGCAGGTTAAATAAAAGTAAATAAATCAATATAAATGAAAAATAAAAGAGAGTGAAATAACTCCATGTGTTATATATATGTAGCTTGTCTGAGGACAATGTACACTACACAGGAAGTTTAATTGGCTAGCATGCTTTGAATCAGTCTAAACCATATCAACCATTATCAACATCAGTAAGGTAGTGCAAAAGTGGCATTATTTAGTGATTGCTAGATGGTCCTGTTATCAGGTCCAACTTAAAAAGTTATTTTTTAATACTTTCTATACTATTACTTCATTATTCGATAATTTTATGAATTGACAGTCTCTAATAATTCATTATTAATTATGAATTAGATATCTAATTTCAACTTCGTCATTAATTTGGTTGGAGACAGTTTCTTACTTAAGATTTGATATGCTTTTTTTCAGATTATATAACCACATACAAAAAGCCAGTAGATTACCGTCAGGATGTGATTATTCATTATTTAAGGTTTGTAAACTTTTCATGCCACCGCAATCTGTGATGCATTAACTGTAACTGAATTTAAAAGTTTAATACAGCTATGTAAATGTCTAAATTTTTATCAAGTAAAAATACTTTTTATTTTTGATTATAGGTGGCGTGATAGCTCAGTTGGTTAGACCACTGACTGTCACTCCTGAGGTTCCGGGTTCAATCCTGGGTAACATTCTCGGGATTTTTCAGAGACACTTTCAGTGTTTCCAACCTACCTAGAGGTTTACTGGTAAGAAACCCAGGAAATCCTCCCATGTATCAGTGCTATACACTTGGCATGTAAAAGAACCAAGGGATCTTTTCAATAAGAGCTAGGGACTGGTTCCCGGATTCCCTTGTATCTCATAGCTGTCTCTAGAGTCTGATGAGGTAAGGACCCTACTGGAAATAAGTGCTTGCACTTTTGTAGGTTATCCTTGACAGCCCAGTCTAAAGAAAATCAATCTATCAATCAATTATTATACTATATATTCACTAGACCCTACTGCATTATGGCAAAGTTCAAATTACAATTGTATAGATGCACTACTTCTATTTCTACTATAAAGTTTTGTATTAATGTTGTATAGCATTTTTAGTCCCCTACCGGTTTACCTGAGGGGACTTTAGGTTTACCCTCCGTCTGTCTGTCAGTCTGTCTGTCTGTTCTCACAGGACAGTTATTATTTGGCTACTCTAATGTTCTCTCTATTGTTCTTTTTATGCCCCTGTCACATATTCACGGATAATGCCACGGAAGAGCTACGGTCTAATTGTTCACGGATTACTACGGAAATGTGAAATTCCGTAGTCCGCTACGGTTCCAATGCGGACACACAACGATATGAGTACGGAGTCCGACGGATTTACCACCAAAAGCCCAAGGAGAGACACGGATTGCTACAGACCGACACGGTTTGATACAGAGCGACACAAATCAGGACGCACTACGGTCTACTACGTTATAAGCACGGGTTAGTACGAATAAGTACGGTCTGATACGGATAAGTACGGAGAAGAACAAATTGCCACGAATCGATACGGACCTATTTTATTCGTCCACAACCTCTTGCATGCTCATTTTCAAAATGCATCACAAGAAAAGAAAACCTAGAAAACAAAAAATTGCAAAGTTCAATTATTTTGGCGGAGAGGATTCGGCCTCATCGCGTCGGACACCCGAAACATATCAGGTCCGATTAAAGTGAATTTCTTGAAGGATGCTGGATCCTCAACATGTTCGGCCATGAGAGCCTCATACTAAACATGAAGGGGTCTTCCTAAAAGCCCATCTCTAGTCCACCATCTCGTCTGTCTTCTCTTACCTGATTAGATATGGACTAGTAATCATTAATGAAAAATGTTGATCTTTTAATTTTAAAATTTGCTGTTCAGTTTACAATTACATTAATTATCGTGAATGTTTATGTTTTAAAAATATGTAAAAAGCTTGTTAATTAATCTTATTATCACTCATGCAAGGGCCAGCGTCCGAGGCTTATGAGACACTTCGTTTTATGTACATATTTACTCAATTTCACGATCCAATGTTTTTAAAATATGTAACATTAAATGTATTCTATTACTTATGAATTGTGGTACGATATTAATATATTTCACCTCTATGCATGTCATCAAGCAGCTGGACCACTGCATCAGCATTCTGAGCCATTTCAATATAAAGTTGCAGCCAGTAAATGGCAATTATCATTTATTGAATGTTCCTTCAAAAATGTCTGTTTTGAACAAGAAGGTAGTATTTATACAATTGAAAAAGTACATGATACATAATTTATCCATACTAAACAGTGGTGGACCATACCATTCCGTACTGTTTCGTGTTGAAATGCAATATAAAACCGTATAAGACTGTGCTTATCCCTGCCTCTCCGTAATACAACGTATTACGATGGTGGCTTTCCATGACAATGCCGTATTAAAACTAGCTTATACGTAGTTCTCCATACCAAACCGTGGAAATCCTTGACAAGTTGGTAGACTACGAATCAGTACAGACTAGTACGGTTTTCGTATGGACCAGTACGTATCAGTACGGTTTAATACGAACTAGCAGGGATACTCTACGGGTGATTTTTCTGTAGCAAACTTTTGTGCATGTTCAAAAATGGTCAAGGATCGCTACGGATATACAAGGACTACTACGATTGATTACGGTTACAATACGGAGAGCTACTGACCAGTACGGGTAGCTACGGACAATGCCGGAATTAATCTGTGTCTCTTCCGTGGGCATATTCCGTGAATATGTGACCAGGGTATTAGCCACACAAAAGAAAATAGCCACATAAAAGCATTACAGACAGAATGACATCAAAGAGAAAGAACAGTTACCTATTGTCCCTCTAGCCACATAATTACTGTCCTGTAAGTGCGGACAGTCCGTCTGTCTGTCCACAAAAGTGGATCCAGCGATAACGCAAAAAATACTTAAAATATTTTTATGAAACTTGATATATGGATAGATGGCAGTATGGAGATTATGCACATCTTTTTCTTTTCTTCCTATGTTGAAAATTATGGTTGCTATGGCAACAAATAGACTGAAAATATGGCAAATTTAACATATAAACTGGATCTAGTGATAATGCAAAAAGTAATTAAAATATTTGTATGAAACTTGAAATAAGGGTAGATGGCAGTCTGGAGATTATGTATGTCTTTTTCTTTTCTTCTTATGTTGAAAAAAATTGGTTGCCATGGCAACAAATAGGCTTAAAACATGGCAAATAAAACAATATATGTGATTAGTCAAAGAGAGCTGAAAATTTTTATGAAACTTAAAATATGGATAGATGCCAGGCAGTATGGAAATTATACAGATCATTTTAATCTTGACTATAGAGAGTATTACTTAACAAACGTCCGCAACCTTGTCAAGATTTCTGATTCTAGTTTTTAGGCTTTTCCGCTATAATTTCTTTATTTCTTGAGGTATTTATTTCAAACTTCAAATATAAGTTTCTGGTCATCAACCACATCATATGTGACAAGGTTTACAACCCTAGCACAAAAATTATCAGAATTGCCTCTCTTGAACTTAGAATTTTCTTTTTTTCAGCAACTTTATTTCTTAATGTATCTTCTTCAAACTTCATATATATGTTTCTTATTATCACTCAAATCATTTGTGAGAAGGTTCAATACTCTGGCAAGACTATTTCCAGAATTATGTCCCCTTTGAACTTATATTTTACTCCAACTTCTTCATTACTTAAATGATTTACTTCAAACTACCACATCTTAATAATATGACAAGATTTATTTATCTAGCATCCATATTTCCAGAATTATCTCCTCCTTAAACTTTGAATTTTTCTTATTAACCGGTAGGGGACTTATGGATTGCTTTCAAATACTATGATAATTGCTTGTTTCACAAAGTTAAGCAATCTTGTTCAAGTCTAAAATATGTCAGGGCTAAATTATTACATTGTTGTGAAAGAGACAAGAAATCGAAAATAAATGTTTTGAGGTGCAATAAAAAACATAATGCAGCTGAAGTAATTTCTTAATGATTTTTTCAGTTATTTTCTGCCTTAACCTGCTGGAACTGAAAGTGGTAAACCTTTGCCACCAGTATAGAGATAGGTCAGTGTCCGCATTCGTGGGGTATGACTAGACTATACTGTTAGCTGACCAAGGCTCTATACTGTTAGCTAACTAACTTTAAATTTTCATCTTGATATCCCGAGAATTGACATGGACAAAGGAAAAAATCTGGAAAAAAGTGTGATTTATCAGAATCACAAGAAAATTACACCACAAATGCCACAAGTTCATAAAAGAAAATCAGCAACACAATTGACAATACATGTCAGGACAAGTGATTATTAAGTTAATGTCTCATGGTCAAATTGTTTATATTTTGTTCCGTAAAATAGTCAAGTGTTTTTCCTGAACATTAATTTAAGGGAAATGAATGTAGCATTAATATGTTTTTGTTTGATATATATCAGGATGGTATACAACCTATGTGGGAAGATGCATCTAATAAAAATGGTGGTAGATGGTTAGTTAATCTCAACAAAAATCAACGACAAACAGAATTAGACAACTTTTGGTTAGAAACTGTAAGTACAGAATTAATTGAATGTTCTAGTAAATGGCAATATCCAGTAAGGGTTTATTATATTTTATTTAATTCAAAATGATAGAAATAAACAGTATAGGTCATATGGCAACTGTTTAGTTTTACTTGTGGAGGAAGACCTCGGGCATGAAAGGACACCTGAGTAGAACCGTCGGCGTTCCGTCAGCTAACTGGATAGCTTCCTCACATGAAAGAATCCAAAGTCCCTGTTTGGATTTGAACCCCAAGTGGTGAGGGGCTAGTCGTTGGAAGTCAACAATCTTAACCACTCAGCCACGGACACCCCCATTTTGGGCACTTAAATCAAGCATAAACTAAGGCACTTAAATCAAGCATAAACTCATTGGTTTCATGCCGTAAGGCCATGTAGAATGACAGTTGGTTGCATTGATTAGTAAACCGCTGATAATAGCCAGTATGTATTCTTGGTGTGACTGTCTAATATTGCATTATATTTGTGTGTTTCAGTTATTGTGTTTAATAGGAGAAGCATTTGACGATTTAACTGATGATATATGTGGTGCAACAATTAATATCAGAAACAAGGGAGATAAACTTGGTCTGTGGACTCGGGATGCTAGAAGGGGCGATGCCACAGTACTAATAGGGTATGTGTTCTAATAACTTAACATTTCATTTTAATTTGTTAACTAAGTCATAATAAGTCAATGATTTGTATCAATTTATTCAAGTACAGCAATAACATCTATTCATTATTGTGTTTTAGTTAGTGAACTGTTGATGATTACTTTTAGTATTAATGTGAATAGAATCATTTTAAAAACATGTGCTGACCAGGTCATTGAAGTATTATATAGAAATATCACTATTGGCTTGTGTCATTCTTTGAACAGTTTATTATGCTGAAGGTTCAAGCAGCAATGTGCTTATTGAAAAAATAGATTTATATAAAAATATATAGAAAGAGGATATTTTTTCGTGAAATATGGAATATATTTTCACAAAACATGATAAAATGCCACATATTTTTACGAGCCAGGACGGCGAGTGAAAATGTGTGGCATTTTATCATGTTGAGTTAAAATATATTCCATATTTCACGAAAAAACAACCTTTTTATATGCCCGAAAGAATTTCGGGCATATTATGTTATACCCCCTGGCAGGCGTCCGTCCGTCCGTCTGTCCGTCCGTCCGTCCGTCCGTCCGTTAGCAATTTGGTTTCCGGAGCATAACTTAAGTTCCATTTGGCCCACAACATTCAAACTTCATAGGATGATTGCCCATATTGGGTAGAAGACCCCTATTGATTTTGGGGTCACAAGGTCAAAGGTCAAGGTCACTATCACCTTAAAACTGAAAACAGTTTCCGGAGCATAACTTAAGTTTCATTTGGCCCGCAACATTAAAACTTCATAGGATGATTGTCCATATTGGGTAGAAGACCCCTATTGATTTTGGGGTCACAAGGTCAAAGGTCAAGGTCACTATCACCTTAAAACTGAAAACAGTTTCCGGAGCATAATTTAAGTTCCATTTGGCCCACAGTGTTCAAACTTCATAGGATGATTGTCCATATTGGGTAGAAGACCCCTATTGATTTTGGGGTCACAAGGTCAAAGGTCAAGGTCACTATAACCTCAAAACTGAAAACAGTTTCCGGGGCATAATTTAAGTACCATGTGACCCACAGTGTTCAAACTTCACAGGATGAATGTCCATATTGGCTAGGAGACCCCTATTGACTTTTGGGTCACAAGGTCAAAGGTCAAGGTCGCTATTACTTTAAAACTGAAAACAGTTTCCGGAGCATAACTTAATATCTATTTGGCCCACAAGATTCAAACTTCATAGGATGATTGTCCATATTGGGTAGAATACCCCTATTGATTTTGGGGTCACAAGGTCAAAGGTCAAGGTCACTATTACTTTAAAACTGAAAACAGTTTCCGGAGCATAACTTAATTTCTATTTGGCCCACAATATTCAAACTTTATAGGAGGATTGCTATTGGAAGGAGGTAATACTTTATTTAATTTATGTAATGTCTTACAAATGCTTCATCCTTAATATATAAAAAAAAACACTTTCGGGCATATAATGCTCCGCCTAGCGGTGCTCTTGTTATTTAATTTCATTATCAAAGAAAAATGGTTATGAATCCCTTGCTTGCTACACGAATGCAATTGTACAGCAATTGTCTTTTTTTAAGCCTTGTGTGACTAAAAATGGCCAAAAAGATCAAAGGAAAAGTCACATAAGTACCATTTTGTAAGTACTTCCGTCCGTCTGTCCGTTGGTAACACTTTTGTGTCCGCTCTATAACTTTTAAACTGAAAAGTTTTTGAAATAACTTGGCAAAAGTGATCACGATAATGAGACGATGTGCAGAGCGCAAGAAATTGGGTTGCTACCCCCAAGGTCAAGGTCACACTTAAAGGTCAAACATTAAAAAGTCTTCATTTCATAATAAAAAGTCTACATTTCGTGTCCGCTCCATTACTTTTTAACCGCTGAAAAGTTTTTGAAATAACTTGAACAGGTGATCACCATAATAAGACGGTGTGCAGAATGTGCAGAGCGCAAGAATTAGGTTGCTACCTCGAAGGTCAAGGTCACACTTAAAGGTTAAACGTTAAAAAGTCTTCATTTCATAATAAAAAGTCTACATTTCGTGTCCGCTCCATAACTTTTAACTGCTGAAAAAATTTTGAAATATTTTGGCACAAGTGATCACCATAATGAGACGATGTGCAGAGCGCAATAATTGGGTTGTTGTCCAAAAGGTCAAGGTCAATGTTAAAAAGTCTGCATTTCGTGTCTGCTCCATAAATTTTAACCACTGAAATTTTTAAAATATAACTTGAAACAATTGATCACCATCATAAGAACATGTGCAGAGCACAAAAATTGAGTTGCTTCCCCCAAGGTCAAGGTCACACTTTAAGGTCAAATTTATAAAAGTCTATGTTTCATGTCCCCTCCATAACTTTTAAATAACCCCAGGGTCAAGGTTATATGTTCTCCATTACTTTTTTATTTATGGAAGATTTTAAATAACTTGGCACAAGTTATCACCATCGTGAGACTATGTGCTTATGATATGCATGAAACAACATCAAGGTCATGGTTGGTAAAAGGTCAAGAAGTACACAATCATGTTCTCTGCGGAAGGGGATTTAGCTGTCCTTCAGACTGCCTTGTTCATATTTATTTTTTTTAAAATATGACATATATTTGACTGATATAGCACCATATCTCATGGGTAAAATTAAATAAACACTAATATTGTCATACATAGTGTATAATGGTCACATCCAATTGATGTGTATGTGAAATGTTCTCAGTAATACGATTTGATTGAATTTATTCATAAAACATCCTAAATTTTCACTTAGTATGCTTTTAAGTGTCATGTACTTAAATTGTTTGATTTCAGAAAAAAATTAAAAGAAAGGCTTAAAATACCTCAAAAGATATTCATAGGATTTCAGGTATGTAACATTACTAAAGGAAGTACTAGTAGATGTAAATAAGTATTTTTTTACACAGCTTTATGTTAATTTGTTGTGGATGGAAGAAAATGAAAACCAAGATTAATTGAAAAAAAAGTGACTTGAAAAACCAAATAATTAAAAACTAAAGAAATAATTAAATTGTTCAAAACAAAGTGTCGCAAGTAGAATATTTAAGTACTTGTAGTCTTGTATGAATTGAATAAAATATTCTTGAAAATTTCAGGATGGAGATGATAGTTTGTTTTCTAGATATCTGATAGAATGCTTTAAATGATATGAATACAAAGGAAAGTTTATTATTACAGGCACATTCAGATACAGCCACGAAAGCAGGCTCAACAGCGCGAGATCGTTACCGAGTATGACAACGCTTCTGCCAAACAGATCTTCTTGTATACTTGTTGTTGACTGTTGAACGTGTTGCATTTAACCGCAAAGTGCTGCATGATTTCCCACACATCTCAATTCAACCCAATATTGTTGAGGCTAGTTGGGTTGTTTTCTTTTCCTCGTTTTTTTTTTTAATGTAAGAAATGAATGTAGATGCAAAAGTACTTTGTACATGAGTGAAACTATATGACTGGAGGATTGGGTTTGGATATTGGACAGATTTATATATATTAAAATTCTACATTCTTGAACTTTAGGTCATATTGTATGAAACAGATTTTTGACGATGTCTTATTTAGTGAAACAGACTTTTGAAGGTACATGATAGATTTGGTATTTAAAAGAAAATTGTTGGACATAGTTATGACATGTTGATTATAATACAAAATGTATATTTCAAATCTTATGATTGTAAGCAAAGGCTGAGTACATACCATATATCTTTGATTTAATTGTAAATATTTTTAAATACATAATCCAGTTTGAAATCAGTATTTCATGTTGGGTTAACGGTATCTGTTAAAGACTGTAAATTTTTGAATTGTATTGCACTGCCAAGTTTTATTTTAATAACACAGCTACACAGTTTTGATGATTTTTGAAAATTTGTTTATTTTTTTTTTGTTGTTAGGTTAATTCATGGAACAGCCTGGTAACATATCAATTATTTGTGTAATAAAGAGAAGGCAGGATATTGAATGTTAAGAAAACATTTTGTAAGGTGTCTTACTGATAACAGTAAAAAAAAAGATATTGTAAAGATATATAAAAAGTTATAAAAAATTTTCTGTCATAAATGAATATGTGAAAAATAGGTGAATGTGTTGTCCAAAAATGTTGTATAAAGAATAGAGCTACTATGTATAAAGAAATATTAATCTTGAAATGTTTGAATCAAACTGTATAAAGGTAAGTCATTAAATCACATCATTTCATGATTGTAGTTTTCATCTTTAATACTTTATAAATTAATTATTCAATATAAAGAAAATAAGCCACATAGGCAGTATTAAGGATTTGTATTTTTTTGGGGGGTAAAATGTTCGAAGTGAAAATTGAAAATAGACAATTTCATTAAAGCATGAACTATTTAGATAATATAACAATCTTATTTGAAGTTACAATTTGTAATGAAAATATAATTATTTTATATTCTGGTTTTGTTAAGAAAATGATTATACAATTGGAAAATTCACATTGTACAAAGTCACTGGTGTAAGGGTTAAAAAAAATGCATGTGTATCAATTAGACAACAAAATAAGAGAGATGTAATGTGAAATAGCCGGCAGACTAACATGTTGGCAGCAAAAGTGTACCATAACTCTTTACCATTGTTCTGTATAACTGGTGTGTTTTAAGATTGGTTAATCTCACGGTGCCTTTAGCTAGATAATTTCAAGTTTGGTAATTGTTGTATATATATTTAAACAATTGTTTTTTTTTCTCTGTTTGGTACCTGTTATAACTATGTGTGCTTACTGTTTTTGTATGCCAGATATAATTGATATTTGTGTGTATTTTTTTCTGCATATTGTTGTGCAAATATAATTGGTTGATTTTATATAAGATAAACATGTTTTCAGATGTAACATTGCATACATGGCATTTATAATGTAAAAAGACAACATTAAGCAATGGCAAAGCAATTGTCATCTCATAGCTATGTCTTAACTGACTACTAAGTGTATCAAATGAATATCTTCTCATTATTTCTGATTCCTACACAATAACATTTAAACGTCAGATCAGTTTTTTTTGTGTGTGTTCAATGTTCAGAATTACCATTGAAACAACTTGAAAGTTTTTCAAGAGAAAAATTCTGATACAACTTTTACAAAATAGATACTTGTATATAAAAGCCTACTTATCAAACAAATATAATTAATTTTTTACTTTATCCGTTTACAAATACTTCCAGTACTTTGCTTTGTTTTTGGTTTGATTGATTTATTTGCTAAAACAGCTTTTTTTGATTGATTTATAGAAACTCTTGTTTATAGAAACTGAATAGATCTAGTTTAAGCCATATGTTTTATGCTCTGTATCAATCACTATCTAGTTTCGTTTCTTATTTGTAATGATTTAAACGTAATATTGTATTTTAATGAAACATGTTCTTTCTTATTTTTGGATGACCAGTTTATTGTTAAAATCAATTTGATTGAAATGATATAAATAACCAAAACATGCAACAATTGGTGTTTTAGGAAGGTATAGCTAATGATTAAATCTAAAAACTGTATACTGATTTAACCTTTACTGTGCTATTTATCTTATATGGACTTGTCTTTTTTCTAAGCTGGACAAAACCATTCATCATTTTTAGGGACAATTTCAAAATAAGTACTGACTGAATAGTGCGACCAGTGCTGATCAATATCAGACAGTCACTTTCAGATAAGTGCCAGGGTTAAAGGAAGTTGACAATAATTCATGTGACATTTTCCATTAAAATTACTACTTGTTTATGCTTTATTGTATGATATTTTATTAGTCTATCACCATTTTGCCCACAAAGATATTAATTCATCAAATTGTATTGAAGCATTAAATGCATCCATGTTCATATTTATATATTCCCTGTATGAGAATAAGTTAACTTAGTAAGTTTGTTCCTGTTCAAGTTTACTGCCATGAAATTAGCTGAGTTTTTTATTTAGACTGAAGTTAGTTCCAAGCTAATGCTTTTCTGCGCTTTTTTGTAGAAAAGTTAAAGTTACAAGCAATGTATAGAGTGACAGGAAGAGAAAAAGCAAAACATGTTGATAAATTAATGATCAGATCCTAAAAAGTTAACTTACTATTTGATGAGTATTTGAGGTTTGACATTTATTTGATCTCTGACATTAAGTCTAATGGTCATTTCTCTCTCACTGCTGATTCATAGATGTGGGATAAGTTGTCGTTCACTTGCAGAGACAATGATCATTACTGGTTAGTTATCCAGGATAGCCGGTTAGGTGGACACAGATATCATCTGAAATGTATTAAAATTGGTATGAATAACAGACAAAAATTCAATTCAATAATTTATAAATTCAATTATTAATTCAATTTCTTTATCAGATATTTAACTTAAAAATTATTGGTATTTATATTGATAACATATTAAATACTTCTAAAGTTTACACAAAAGATTAGTCCTGATGGGGACTTTAAAGATGTGAAAAAGGGATAAATGTATGCTAATAACCATCAAAAGGTGTTCATATGAAACATGTAACTTTGTGTAGGTTTGCCAATAGAAAATTGCATGTTACTTATAAGTTAAAATGGTTGGTTTAAAGATATATTTAAGAATTTGAAATGTTTTTGATTTTTCTTTTTACTGGAATGAAAATTATAGTTTGTGAATGTAGGTGGAAATGATGAAGTTATATGCTAAGTAAAATGCAATATTGAATAAAATATGAACATTGTGTACTGCTGACTTGTTCTTTATTAGATGGTATCCAAAATGCTTCCACTTTTCTTTAAACTCAGTGAGATATTGGATCTTCAGATTGTGTTCGGAAGGTATATTAGTTTTGTGATTACATCATCAACATTAAGGATCAAGAATTTAGCTTTCAAATTAAACATGCTGGAAGCAGAAGTTTGTTAAAATAATGACTATTTTCTCTAGCAGTTGATAACTTAACAATGTAAAGCCTGTACTATATTCTTGACTCAATAAAAAAAACAAAAACTAGCTGTAAAGTTAAAAAAAGGATATCTTGTGCTTTAATTTAGCAGATAAAGTTAATTGAAGGAGAAAAATCATCAAAAGTTGGGTATACTAAGACATAGTTAAGGTATCTGGGTAGCTTTTGAAATAATATTAATAAAATAACTCGTGTAACATAGTGACAAGATACATTACCCTGAAAGTAATACTTTTGAACTTATTGTGCCCACACCATAGGGGGGCATTTAGATTTACCCTCGTACGTCCATCCGTTCCCTTTTTGTGTCGCACGTAGCTCAAAAAGTAATTGACCTAGAGTTATGAAACCTTACAGGCATGTTGATCAGCATGTAAAGTTGTGCATCTGGGTATTTTCGTGTGGATTTTTTTAGTATTTTTAGAGTTATTGCCCTTGACTCAGTAAAAATTTACAATTTTCAACTTGTGTCGCACGTAACTCAAAAAGTAATTGACCTAGAGTCATGAAACCTTACAGGAATGTTGATCAGCATGTGTTGTTGTGCACCTGGGTATTTTCGTTTGGATTTTTTTAGTATTTTTAGAGTTATTGCCCTTGACTAAGTAAAAATTTACATTATTTAACTTGTGTTGCACGTAACTCAAAAAGTTTATGACCTGTAGGCCTGAAAGTTTACAAGAATGTTGGTCAGCATGTGTACTTATGCACCTTGGGGTTTTCTTGTGGCTTTATTCAGTATTTGTAGTATTTGCCCTTTACTTAATAAAAGATTTTTAGTTTTCAACTTGGGCACATGTAGCAAAAAAAAAAAATTTGACCTAGAGACATAAGATTGACATTCGGTGGAGTGTGGGGGCACCTGCGTCCTATGGACACATTTCTAGTTTATAATAAGACTAAGTCATGTTGATACTGAAAAATGTTAATGGTAAAATATAAAAAAAACTGCCCAATCTTTTTGGGAATTAAATGTTAAGGTAAATTACAACGGATATTTATTAAAATTTCCTTTGGCCACTTGAGTTATTAAATGTTTGTGCATACTAGTTAATTTTAAGATTGAAAGGAATTATGGCAAAATGTACTTATTTTGACTTTCACCTGTTCACTCGCTTTATACTCTTGGGTAGGCATGATGTCAAATGATGGGAAATGAAAACTGGAAGTCTTCAAACAAAGTGACCTAAAACTAGAGCCATATTCTAATAAAATAGGTATTACATGCATGGGTTCAGTATATTGTTTTTCACAAAGCTATCAATTTATGGCTAACAAAAGTTTAATGGCCGAGGAAGGAAAACAAGTGATAACAGTGAAACAAGTTATTTACAAAATAAACTTGTTTTGGTCTGATAGCATGGTTGATTCTACAAAAACATGCTTAACCCTTTCGCTGCCAGAGGGTTATTGTTTTATTGATCACCTAATTGCCAAAGTGTTTTCTAAGAAATTACTATATTATTAATTAATATCATTATTATTTGTTATTAGTATTACAATAATTATATATGTTTCCAAATCTGTTAGTATAATAATAATTATTGTTGATGGTATAATTTTCTTTATATTTATTATTATTTTTATTATTATTAATTTATTATTATTATTATTAAAGAAACAGCAAAAGCGGTCCATATGGCAAATACACCGAAAATAACAGGGACGGCATAAGCCGTCCCTATGGCAGTGAACGGGTTAAGAATAAAATATGTTGTCTTTAATATCATTTCAACCATCAGCTTAGTTGCACAATGATTAGACTTGGGGCATCATTATTTCATGTCTGTAATTGACATGTGCCTACTATTAGGCCATGTAGGCCCGGACCTACAAGTTGGTCAAGAAATTGACAGGCCATGTAGGCCCGGGCCTACAAGTTGGTCAAGAAATTGACATTTTCAAAAGTCCCCAAAATACAATTTAGTTTGTAGTGGGTTCAAGCTGTATGGTTGTATTAGGAGTGTTTAAGGCTCATGCATGATTAACCGTCCTCAGTAATGTTTGCATCTATCAAATTTATAGTTTAAAAACATTGTTTTGATAATTCCCCTTGAAAGTACTTTGGAATGCGCATTTTGCTCTTTTTAATCTGAACTTGTTTTGGGCTTCTGGGGGCAAAGCCCCCAGATCTATCTTATGGGCCTAGAAGTTGAAAAAAGCTGGCTACACCCCTGACAATTATATATGATATATATGATATTTTAAGTAATGACTTTAAATAAACTTAAATTTTTTTACCTTGACTGTCAAATTGACAATCATATATGATATTTTAAGTAATGACTTTAAATAAACTTAAACCTTGACTGTCAAGATATCTACTTAGTTGTTTTGTTGATTCTAATAAAGTATACTGTATGGACAACTATTATATAGAAGGTCATTTATCAGTCCAGGTCAATTTCAGTTTGGGCTTGTCCAAAAGAGTGTTGTGCGGAGACATTCCGACATTCCATTCATAAATAATAGGTTTAGAGACAAACAAGAGGGCCAAGATCGGTTGACCCATCAAACGAAGTTTGATGACAAATGAGTCAAAAATGTGACCTTTAGATTTTAACAAGGTTGGCAGTGTGACCTAGTTTTTGATCGATGTGACCCATATTCGAACATACTAGAAATCATCAAAACAAACGTGCAGACTAATTTCCAGAATATTTGGATCAAAACTGCAGCCACTAGAGTGTTAACAAGATTTTTCTATTTTTAGCTCCTGTTTTACAGAAGATGACCGATATTCCAACTTGACCCAGAAATCGTCAAAGCAACCTTCTTGACCAATGTCCAGGATATTTGGATCAAAACTGCAGCCACTAGAGTATTAACAAGATTTTTCTTTTTTTAGCTCCTGTGACCTAGTTACTGACTGGAGATGACCCATATTCGACGTTGAACTAGAAGTCATCAAAACAACCTTCCTGACCAATTTCCAGTATATTTGTATCAGAACTGCAGCCAATAGAGTGTCAACAATATTTTTCTATTTTTAGCTCATGTGGCCTTGTTTTTGACCTGTGATGACCCATATAAGGCATATTTGAACTTAACCTAGAAGTCATCAAAACAACCTTCTTGACCAATTTTCAGAATATTTGGATCAGAACTGCAGCTACTTGAGTGTTTACAAGATTTTTCTATTTTTAGCTCCTGTGACCTAGTTTTTGACCCGAGATGACCCATATTCCAACTTGACCTGTATTTTATTGAGACAAACAATCTGACAAAGTTTGATGATGATCCAATCAAAACTGTGACTGCAAGAGTGTTAACAACACAACTGTTGACGACGACGGACGCATCGTGGTCAGGTGAGCTAAAAACAAGCAATGTAAATCTACTTTCGTTTTGTTCAAATTGTTGTTGTTGTTGTTGAATCAGTGTTAGGTAAATGCATTAAACTGTTAAAGAAAGCGTCTACAAAAAGGAAAATTGGAAACCGACAGGTAAAGTTAACAATTCAACAAAATAGAAAAATTTACAGAAAATGTAGACTTAACTTAAATAGCCTAATTAAATTCGCAACAAAAATCTGGAAATAATACTTCTGAGTAGTACTGTATACGGAGATCATAAATTATTTTTATAGATCATATTTTTTTATCAATATCAATAGCAGACGACGTCTTCCATGACTTCATCATTCATGTCACGATGATAATCTAGCATGATTTAGAACTTCTTAATATAGACTAGAAGGTGACTGTTGCCAACCTATCCTTGAAGGCATCTAGGCTGGGACTGGATTTGACCTGATATGGAAGGCTATTCCAATACCTAAGAGTTCTAGGGAAGTAGGAATTTAGATGATATTGGGTACGGGACTGGGGGATCAGGAAGTTCAGATTTCTAGTTGGGGTCAGATGGTTATGGTCAACATATACAAGTTTGTATTGGATTTTATAGAACACTACAAGAGAGGACTGGAGTCTGCGGCTTTCTAGGGAAGGCCACCCAAGTTCATTTAGCATTTGGGTTACACTACTGTCGAAATTATAATTGTTACAGACATCTCTGGCCGCAGCTCGTTGGACACTTTCAATCTTATGACTTAAATGTTTCTGCCAGGGGTGCCATATGGTGGAACAGTATTCTAATTGCGGTCGGACATAAGTAACATAGGCTGATGTTTTGAGTTGCCTGTTTTGGGTTTTGATGTTTCTCTGGATGAGTCTTAGAGAATTTTTGGCCTTAGAGGTGATGTTATTTATATGCTGTGTCCAGTTTAGGTCTTTAGAGATAGGTACTCCAAGGTATTTTGCAGATTCTGCTGATTTGAGAGTTTTATTATGAAGGGTGTATGGAAAGATGGTGGGGTTCTTTTTACGGGTGATCCTCAGCACCTAACACTTGTCTGGGTTGAACTCCATAGCCCAGTCCCGTTCCCAAACTTCAAGTTTATGTAGGTCGTCCTGTAGTCTGTCAGCGTCAGTCTGTCCTTTAATTGTCAAATAGACTATAGTGTCATCCACAAATAACCTGGTTTTACTTTTGACAGTTTCTGGCAAATCATTGATAAATGCCAGGAACAGACCGGGTCCTAGGACTGAACCCTAAGGGACACCGGACAACACTGGTAGCTGGTCGGAGATTTGACAATATGTCTGCATTAAATTTTATTGATGAATTTAATAATTCATGTTTTGTGTGAAGCAGAACAAATTTAACTACTGTAATCACATGCATTTTTTACTGAATGAGGTCAAAGAGTTTTCACTTCAAGGTATGAATGACCGCACATGACAAAATACTGAGAGTATGTCGGTACTGCAGTATAATAGAGTTCATGGTGTATATCCAGAAACGCAGGAATGTGCAAATGTCACAGTTCAGAACTGTTCACTATTTAGGAAGTTAACGTGTAAAGAGTCGGATAGCTCAGTCGGCAGAGCAGTGGTACGGTATTCCGAGGGTCTCGCGTTCGACTTCCAGTCAGGCCGCACTTTTTTCTCACCCTGTGACATTTGGCGCCCAACATGGGGCCATGACTGATATAGCTCAGAGTTTAATTTACTTTGCTCTGTAACTCTGTGAAATTCGAGGACGAATTTCAATATAGCAGGGGAGTATGTCATGGTTCAGAACTGTTCACTATTTAGAGGAGAAGATGTGTAAGTGGCCGGATAGCTCAGTCGGTAGAGCCACAGTATGGTATTCCGAGGGTCTTGGGTTCGAGTCTTGGTCAGGCTGCACATTTTCTCATCCTGTGACACAAATAACACAGGAATTGTGCAAAAGTAATGCAGAATTGTACAATTTAGTGGCTAAAACAAGCACCACAATAAGTAAATAGACCAATATTTTTTATTGTACACCAAATTGGAAGAAATGAATTAGCGCATACTGTTGTTGAGGCATTAAATTTAAACCTCATTAAAAATATTTCCATGAAAATGTTTATTTTTCAAGATCATTTGTGAAAATGAGGACCAGACTAGCGTATTGATGTAAATTTTTAGTTTTGATGATATCTTTAAATACAATAACATACATATTACTTTACGATTTTTTATATTTTGTGTACCTGAGACATTTTCCAATCTACTACTGTCATATTACACTTAATTTAGCAGATAAAACGTAAATGAGACCATAATGCCGAATTCGTGAATGAAGCACTGAAGCAACGGTGGTTATCTCATTAAAGTAGCTAAATCTTATTTTACCAGCAGTTCCTTCTATTGTTATGTGACACTTATTGACAAATGTCTTAGGTATAAAGAATATGAAAAAATAATGTTTTAAATGTGTTAAATGTACATATTTATTTGACGAAACACAAAAGTCACAAGTTCAAAATGGTAATCAGGTTGTCTTTCTCATGAATGATTTAAAGAAGAAAACATATTCTTGTAAAAAGTGTTATGTTGATTAAAGTATAATGTCATAGCAGCCGTATGCGCTAATTCATTTCTTTAAATTTGATTTAGAATAAAATATTTTGGGTCATTAACTTACTGTTTTATTCGTTTTGGCAATAGCGTTGCACAGATTTGGCGTTACTTTTACGTTATTTGCACATTCCTGCGTTACTGGATATGTATGGTAGAGTTGCACTGATTATACAGAGTTAGTCTAAGTATATCATTCAAGCCAAAACAAAAATACATGAATTACTAAGTGATCATTGCAATGACCAATTTTCTAATTAGCTAGGAATGTCCTGGTCAATGAGTATTTTACATGTTGCTCTGGTCTGAAAAATCAACTATATATTTCAGAAATGGCATGGTCTGCAAATCAGTTTACTGATTTCACAATTAATAGGTCAGCTAACAAGACTGTGGGATTTAATTCAAATAAAAGATCATCATTCATCAATAATAGTGGACCTGTCACAAATACAGTGAACAGACAAAACTGTCAAACAAGAGGAAATAATGGATCTAGTATACAGACATTAGAGGAATTGACTCCTGGTTCTACAGCTGTAAGTACTAAAAGGTGGCTTTAGTGCAGGTGCTTATAGCCTTCTGATTATTATATAGTATTCTGCAGTCGACATACACAACTGTTATATTATGAAATTTCTAATAAACATGTATCTGGTACATTTAGGATACTTACAATCAAAATTTTTGGAATACAGTAATGATACAGTAGACTGTGACTTTCGCTAGGCAGACACCTTTTACAATCTAATAAAGCTAAATTGTGAAAAAAGCACTGCTGATATTCTTTTCAAAATTTAGAAAAGACAAGTTTATAAAGTAAAAACTAATTCTGAATAAAATAACATATGCACGGGGGTGGAACTTCAAATATAATTTCTACCGACACTCATTTTTGAGATACATATGGGGTTCCACCCCCCGTGATATGTAAGAGAGCCATTTGATTGTCCAAAATTAACAACAGTTTATTGAGCAGGAAACTTAAATTATAATGATATAATTTTGTGAGATATGTACATAATTATTTAACATACAACGTGTTTGATTATTAGTATCAAAATTCTTGAAAAGATTTTGTTCTTGTAGCCATTAATTAAAGCTTTGCATTTTGCAGAATGTTATTGGTGTAGTTATTGCCAAGGAAAGTCCTAGATCAGTTTTCAGCAAAAAGAGTGAGTTTTCAATATTTTGATTTTGTGTACTTAGATAATGCCACCATTTTGGTAAATGAAAAGCTATTTATAACAGAATATATGGAATCTGTACATTCATTTTTAGCTTATCTGTTTCAAAGAATAAGTCAAGCTTTAATGATCGCTGTATCATTGCTGACATCGTTGTGCAAAAAGTTTTTGAGGTATCAACACGAAACTTTAAATACTTCGTCATCATGATTAGATGTAGCTGTAAGACAAGAGCTTACTTCTGAAATCAATATTTAGGAGTTATGCCCCTTTTTCACTTAGACTGTTTTTAAAAATGTTTTATTTAGACAACATTAACACTGCATGAGGTGCTCTTGTTTTGTCATTCAGTCTGCATTATCCTGATATTTTGTCTTATTCTCCATCTGTTATTCCTGAGATTTTCTTATTTATTTTATAAGAGTCTGGTACTGAGAGATTTCTGCTTGGCTTTGTAATCAGAGATTCTCCAACTAGTTTTGTGAATTGCACATGCTGGGGGAGTGAACTTTTCATAGCAGACCTTGCCAAGTCTTTTACAATCGGAGATGTTGGTAATTTACATTTTGTATTTGATTGTTAATCATCATGAGACAAGGACTCTTATAAAGAATATATTTCAGGAACATGTTTTCTTCAATATGTTAAGGTAAAATTTGTTAAGTTAAAATACATGACAAACATGGAAAAAGGACATATTAATAACAAACTACAGAAATACTATTAACGTATATACATGTAAATAGGCAAATACGTAGCCAGTAAAAAGACTACATGAAACATTTTCTTGAAAATATCTTTCTATTAAAGTAAGACAGAACTGTAAAGTATACCATTATCATTTTTATCAGTTTTTAATATTCTTCTATATGTTGTGTTATGATCATAGTAAAACTAACTAATGCATTTTATGATTTAAACTGACATGTAACTATTTTTAGTAGCACTTAACTGTCTATGTTTATTTCATTTCACTTATTCTTTTACATGGTAATCATAATCTACATCATCTTTATCTACATTGTTATATCTGTAAATGGTTTGTTATATTATCAGTGAAGATAGACAATGCCCAGGTTCAGATGAATCCTTCAGATGGATCTGCTGAAAAATTCAGAGTCTCTTCAAATCTGTATGTTTCAATTTTTGAATTACAGTAGTGCTTTTATATTTGTTTTATTCCTAATATAATTTTTGTTAAGATAAATCAATATAAATCTATATTTTATTCTGTTAAATGAAACAGCCCAATTTTCTTGTTAACAAATGATAAAAACAATGCTTTATACTCTTTAAAATGGTTCATTCATAGACCTTGTGCATTTTTAAAAATGGTTAAAAGTCAAAGTGTTTATATAGGAATACTTGTTCTTTCATTATATTTTTATGCCCCCGCCATATAATGGCAGGGGCATATAGTGTTACCCTGTTCCGTCATTCCGTCCTTTCGTCATCATCAGTTTCCGTTCATTATCTTAATAACCGTTCCATATATTGAACTCAAATTTGACATATGGATATGTCATGAGAAAATACAGGTCAAGTTCGAAATTGGTCATGGTTCGATGATTTTTGGCAGAGTTATGCCCCTTTTACTTTGAAAATAATATGAAATTTTCAGTTTCCGTTCATTATCTCCCTAACGCTACAACACATTCAACTCAAACTTGACATATGGGTATGTCATGAGAAAATACAGGTCAAGTTCGAATTTGGTTATGGTTCGATGATTTTTGGCAGAGTTATGCCCCTTTTACTTTGAAAATAATATGAAATTTTCAGTTTCCGTTCATTATCTCCCTAACGGTACAACACATTCAACTCAAACTTGACATATGGGTATGTCATGAGAAAATACAGGTCAAGTTCGAATTTGGTTATGGTTCGATGATTTTTGGCAGAGTTATGCCCCTTTTACTTTGAAAATAATATGAAATTTTCAGTTTCCGTTCATTTACTCCCCAATGGTACAACACATTCAACTCAAACTTGACATATCGATACGACAAAGGAATGCGCAGGTCAAGTTCAAATTTGGTCATGGTTCGATGATTTTTGGCAGAGTTATGCCCCTTTCACTTTAAAAATAATATGAAATTTTCAGTTTCCATTTATTATCTCCCCAACAGTATTACACATTCACCTCAAATTTGACATATGCATATGTTTTTGGAATGCGCAGGCCAAGTTCGAATTTTGTCATGGTTCAATGATTTTTATCAGAGTAATGCCCCTTTCACTTTGAAAATGATATGAAATTTACAGTTTCTGTTCATTATCAAGCCAACATATTCAACTCAAAATTTACATATGGATATGTTAAAGGAATGCACAGGTCAAGTTGGAATTTGGTCATGGTTTCGATGATTTTTTGGCAGAGTTATGTCCCTTTCACTTTGAAAATAATATAGATACATCTTGGGAATAAGCAGTTTAAGTTTGAATTTGGCCGTGGTTCAATGATTTTGGACAAACTTATCTTTCCTGAATGTTGGAAAAATTTTGAACTTTCAGTTTTAGCACCATACTTTTGTGGAAATGTATATAGCCATTATTTTGGCTACAAGTATGCAATATGCTATTTTCAAAAGGTTAACACTGAATAATTTCAGTGCCTTGAACATTGTATAAAAATGGTTTGTGTTAACATTGAAAAGTTTTAAGGGCTTTTAACTTAGAATGAAAAAAATAATTTGTGCAAACAAATTTGGAACTAAATATAATAACATTTGAAATTTTGGCTGCATGCGGGGGCATCCGTGGCATGATGACACATTTCTAGTTAATTTATATATTTGTTTTTGATAATCTATGTAATGTATAAATATATACATATATTTGTTTGACACTAGATGGGATTCAAAACCATAATTATAACAGTTGTAGATGGTCAGATGATGAAATAACAGACAAACAAATATTTACTAGATTTCTTTATTTCAGAGGAATTAATTTAACACTGAGTGAGAATCACAGTAGTTTAAACTTGTACAATGGTTTGGACCTTGGCTCATATTCCTCATTACAGTTTATTCCAATCAAAGCTAACAGTGACTATTACACCCTGGAAGATGTCCTAGCTAATGGCCAAGGTTTAAATGGTGAACATATCAATCTGTTAGCTGCAGTGAGAAAGGTAACTTATCCTTTTCCAATTAGTTGACCATCTAATTATATCACAGGATAAAACTACATGTACTGGTATGTGAAGCCGGATAGAGACTCAAACCTTGGACCCATGGCATACTGTTCCATGGTTCTTCTGACAGAGCTGCTTACATATTTTCTTCCCTATTTGAAATCATTTCTTTAAGCAATCAAGGACAAGTCTGGAAAAAAATGAAGTTTTTGTAAGGCATTAAACTATTGTTACACATGTGGATATTGTTCTCTATTGGCATATGTATGAGGAAATGCGAATTTATTGCATTTAAAAAAAGTATTAATAAGTTTCATATTACTATTGTGAAATTCATTTAATTTACAGTAATTTTGTATTTTTATTTTAACTAGTAGTACATGTATTTACATAAATAAATGCCAAAAAGCATAGGTTATTTTATTTATAACAAAATTGATATGTTACAGATTGTACATTAACATCTGGTAGATGTTATAACAATTAATACCAAATGAATTTTATTTCCAAATTATCAAAACAGGCGAATGGAATTCTAATACAAGCTGCTTTTCAATTTATATAGATAGGTATACCACGTGATATAACCACAAAAGCTGGAAAGCATACAAAGAGATGTGAGATTAAACTATTTGATGAAAGCTGTTCATGTTTCCCATTGGTGCTGTAAGTACAACAGTTATCTTAAATAACATACATGTAGTAGACAACTTTTCTGAATGTGTCTATATTTGAAGATCAGTATAATTGTTTTGTTAAGAGTATATGAACATTGAATAGGGATTTTTGTCTTCTTCAGATTTTTATTATATCAAATCACTAAAATTTTGAAGTAACATATTTTAAGCTTTAAGTGAAAACACAGTTAATTAAAATAGATATCATTAATTTTGAAACATGGTGTTACTAATTAACAAGTTGATGTGGAAAAATATAGAGAAATTATTATATGAATATATTATAGCTTACCTGATTGACTGTTGTTTGAGTTTCCAATCTAGTGAGTAGACATTTAAAATGTTAAGTTTTACTTTGTCTCACTTTATATACCTATGTTACAGATGGGGAGAAGAATTGGTGGATTATTCCCAGACTTGGATCCAAGGAGAGACAGGTATTACATTACAATGCTTGCTAAAACATGTTAACATTTATCATTCTTTGTAAATTATTTGTACTTTACATAATGAAAAGAAGTACAAAAATGTATTTTTATACAGGTATATTGCTCATTTTATAGAGAATCAATGTTTTGGGGTATTTTTCTTCAGAAAAATATAATTCATATTTATTTACATATACTCCACATAATAGATGCACTTCACCACTACAGAAATAATTTATTATACCCCCACCACAAAATGTAGGGGTGGGGGCTATAATGGATTTGCTTTGTTCAGTCCGTCGGTCCGTCTCCATTTTCGTGTCCGCTCTATAACTCCTATACCAATTGAAGGATTTCTTCAAACTTGGCTCAAATGTTCACCTCAACAAGGGGATGTGCAGAGCCCATGTTGCCCATGTGTCAGCTTAAGGTCAAGGTCACAATTGAAGGTCAAATATCAAACACAATCAAATATTAGACAGTATGTCGTGTCCGCTCTGTAAGTCCTACACTAATTGAAAGATTTTCTTCAAACTATGCTCAAATGTTCACCTCAACAAGGGGATGTGCAGAACCCATGTTGCCCATGTGTCACCTTAAGGTCAAGGTCACACTTGAAGGTCACTTGTAGTGATTTTTGGCAATTTTGAGATGCCCCCTCGTTGCCATGGTAACAGGAAAGTTAAAATTGAGTATGCAGTTACAAAGGCTATGGTCCAGTCAACATTTGTGCCAAGTTTGAACAGTATTGAAGCCTTTTTTATAGTTTCATAGCAATTTGAACTTATAACAGGAGGCTTTTCAATGAAAACAGCCATTTTTCACAAAATGCTCATGTGGTAATGAGTTAAATGTCCATTCATTTTATATTGTAATAAAATTAAAGGAATATCATTAACGACAGGAAATTAGAATTTTCTTCATTGAAGACTCAGTTCAGAAATTCTTCATTAATGAGAACCAGTCTGCCTTTTTGTCGGATTATGAAAAATGGAGTCCAGTTTTTCGCAGATTAAATAAAATTGATGCAGAATAAAAACATGGAAATGACAAAATTATCATAGTATTTCCTGATACTGATGAATATCATCTCAAAATGAGACATGGCATACTCTGATAATGTTAGTAGGATACTTGTTGGATAGTTGAGTTGACATGCTGGCATGATGCATGGATTGATTGGAAGTAACTAACCTTTACCAATTTATGCATGAAATGACATGCTTATTTAAACAATTCAATGTTTCTGCTAGACAAAGTCTGGGTTTTAATTTGGGCTCTTTTTCTATATAATTCAAGTAAAAATGTTTCTAGTATATTACCACATTTGTCAAATTTTCATATTGATATGTACAGTTGACTCTCAATAAGTCAAAATCGCTTTACTCAAAATTCCACGTTAGTCGAAAAATTTCTAAAGTCCCGTCAAATTTCCTTCTTTATCTTTGTATTTTAACTCCGCTTAGGTCAAATTTTGACTTACCGAGACTCCTGTTTAGTCGAAAAGAAAATTTGGTCCCGTCAATTAAAGTCCAACATATTTTCATCTCAATTAGTCGAAGTGTGAAACAGCCGACTGATCAAAGGTCGGCGACAACAAGGTGAGATGTTGTCACTCGTGATTTACACGTTTCATAGTAATTTTTAATTGCCGGTCATCATGTATTATTAACACGTCGTAAAAGTGGCTTTAATCCGTTTGAGGACTTAATTGGTTTTAACAGGTAGATAACTAAATTAAAATTTAATTACATTTCTTAAAGAAAGTTAACTGGTGCCAGTCTGACGGATGTTAGTCAAATAACAGCCTAGGTATTGATGTGTGTTATCAACGTAAATGACATTTGTATAATGTTCCGTCATATATCATACATTAATTTGTACTTCCGGTTCACGATAGTTGCTACTTTTGTTTTCGTCCGCTGATCAATTAAATCAAGTATTATTGTGTGTTTATGTTTCACTATTAATATACATGTATTAAATTTTGAATGATATATTTTTGTTCATTTATAATTTGTAGTTGTAAGTGATTTACCGTCATTTCAACGGTTAAATATTGCAGCATTGCCGCTAACAACAATAACAAACCTACTTCTTTGCACATTCAATCAGGCACATGTATATACTTGTACGAATGTCAACGTAATGGCGGTAGTTCCACGTTGCTCGAATTCCGTTTCTCTCGAAGTAAAATGCCCAGTCCCTTGGATTTCGAGTTACCGAGAGTCAACTGTATTTAGTTTTTCACAGAATCAGATTTTAAGAAAATTGGTAGAGAATATCGCTATATTTACTTGCAGTGCTGTTTGTAGCTGATGTGAGAATGAACTATGATGATTTTAGATCTTGTATGGTTGCAACAGCTGACTCAAAAACAGTGTTTACACCTAATCCAGGTAATCATTTGACATACCTGTAACATGTGTGTGCTTTCCTTCCTTGGTTTAATTAAAAAATCACAACTTTAAACTGTTATATCAGTGGCTGACTGGCAATGACTATATCTACATGTACTTCCTACAAAATAACAGCAAACTCTTTAGATGTGTTATAGATATGGGCAACCAAAATGTCACTGTAAGTTAATTGATCACACACATAGTATCAAGTTATCATTTCTTTAGTTCATGTGTCTAAAAGTTTCTTTTATTTGTTAGCTAAAATTCAACATCAGTATGTATTGTTTTTCTGATGCATACACATTTTTTTTTTCAAATCAAAAAGTTTTTAGATAACCTGATTTTATTGACGTAAGTTCAAATATTTTTGTATTTTGTGACTTTGATTTTCTTGACAACATGTCAAGATCGAGTTTGGTAGGTTTGCTGTTGTATTTTTTTTTTGCTGTATTAGAAATCCATAAAAACCTTGTGAGACCCCATTTTAGAGATTGTTTTCATTTTCATTTGGTAACAATACACACTGCTCACATCCAGTCCATAGATCTGTGAGAAAAGCTCTAGAATTTTGACTTTAAAGCATTTGTTTTATGTTATTAGATACAGTTGATGCTAAATGCCTGCACCAGTTTGCTTTAACCCAAAACTTCCAAGAGGATGATGATGGACTAAGAGAACAGAGTGATCCTCCATGTATAGTAATCTTTAATACTTCCTTGCATATATATGGATTTAAGTTGAGACAAAACTATGTGTCTTTCTTTGTTCAAAAAGTTTATAATGCTGAAGCTACAAATAACAATGTGCTTAATCATTTTATATAAAACTATATGCACTTATAATTACATATATGACCATATCTGTATTTCATTGTGTATGTGAAATGATTAGGTTAGTCTAAATGTAAATAATATACAAAATCAGCTTTCTTATTAGGGGCATTCTTATGGTTGTTCACTTCAAATCACTTGCTTTTCATTAATGTTGGATTCTTTCAGCTGGGGATTGCTTTACTTATCTTTATGATTTTATAAGGTTAATTCTGGGGGGAAAAAATCATTTTACTGTACTTGCTGTTGGAGAACCTGGGTTACTGATAGTGCTGCTTTTGATCATGTGAAGGGGAGACAATTGGTTTTTTGCTTTCTATCAGAATGTCATAAATTGTGTCTGTTGAAGCTTTTTATATTCCGATTTCTAAATCACTTGGCAGAAATGTCATTCATCACACTAAAGGTCACACTAATAGTTCAATGTTTGAGATATATTTTTTATGAAACAAACTAAAGTTTAACCTGAAAATAACTGAAAATGAAATTACACATAGTATCATGTTGATTCATTGACTCAAACAGGAGTGTATATTTCTTAATGCATGCCTTGCTGCAGTCAATACCAAGCTGTATAACACAAATTCTGGTGAGTCCAAGAAGCGAACAATCTTAATTCACCATTGAACTGAAATAGGCAACTTTAAACTAAATTGTATTTATTTTTTTACAGTGGAAGCAATTAAAGATATAGTGGTTATAGAACAGATTGCTACAAGAGAAGGTGTTTCGTCAGACTTTGCCATATTATATGGAGTGATCACAAAGTTTGATATTGACTCTCATAACATTGAACAATTCTGTAGGAGAAAATGGTATGTTTATTAACTGTAACAACCTTATTATGTTACAGTACAAGTTGTACCATGTTCCTAGTTTTTCCCTTGTTTGTCTTACTTTCCCTAGTTATTTCTTTAAAAGTGCTCCTTGTTTTATTATATTGGGTTTTCATCAGAGAAACCTACACTGATTCATAGACTTACAAAACTGTCTATTTTTTAGCTCACCTGTCACAAAGTGACAGGGTGAGCTTTTGTGATCGCTTTTCGTCCGGTGTCCGTCCGTAAACTTTTACTTTAAATGACATCTCCTCATAAACCACTAAGCCAATTTCATCCAAACTTCACAGGAATGTTCCTTTGGTGGTCACCTTTAAAAATTGTTCAAAGAATTTAATTCCATGCAGAACTCTGGTTGCCATGGTAAAAACTTAAAAAATCTTCTTTTAAAAAACCCTGAGAGCTAGAGCTAAGATATTTGGCATGAAACATTTTCTAGTGAGTGTCTACCAAGTTTGTTCAAATAAAAGCCCTGGGGTCAAAATTGGCCCGCCCCAGGGGGTCATTGATTTTCCCTATATGCATATAGTAAAAACTTTGAAAATCTTCTTTTAAAGAACCCAAAGAGCTAGAGCTAAGATATTTAGCATGAAACATCTTCTAATGAGTGTCTACCAAGTTTGTTCAAATAAAAGCCCTGGGGTCAAAATTGGCCCCGCCCCAGGGGGTCATTGATTTTGACCCTATATGCATTTAGTAAAAACTATAAAAATCTTCTTTTAAAGAACTCCAAGAGCTAGGGCTTAGATATTTAGCACGAAACATGTTCTAATGGGTGTCTACCAAGTTTGTTCAAATAAAAGCCCTGGGGTCAAAATTGGCCCCGCCCCGGGGGTCATTGATTTTCCTTATATGTGTATAGCAAAAACTTAAAAAATCCTCTTTAGCTAGAGTCTAGATATTAAGCATGAAACATCTTCTAGTGAGTGTCTACAAAGTTTATTAAAATAAAAGCCCTGGGTTCAAAACTGTCCCTGCCCCGGAGGGTCATTGATTTTCCTTATATGTGTATAGCAAAAAATTAAAAATCTTCTTTAAAAAAACCCCAAATAGCTAGAGTTTAGATATTAAGCATGAAACATCTTCTAGTAAGTGTCTACAAAGTTTGTTCAAATAAAAGCCCTGGGGTCAAAACTGGCCCCGCCCCAGGGGTGTCATTGTTTTTCACTATATGTGTATAGTAAAAACTTAAAAAATCTTCTTTGAAAAAACCCAATGAGCTAGAGCTTAGATGTTTAGCATGAAACATCTTCTTATTTGTGTCTACCAAGTTTGTTCAAATAAAAGCCCTTGGGTTAAAATTGTCCCAGGGGTGGGGGTGGAGGCTTATATACAGGTGAGCGACCTCAGGGCCATCATGGCCCTCTTGTTTTATTCATGATTGACCACAGTGGCTTTTTTTCTTGGGTCAATCTTTTTTGCAGGTGACCATTCTTTTTAAAGACACAGTTGAAGAAAAAAAATATGAAAAGTGTGGTGTATGTTTTTGATAATCATATATGTTTTATCTGATAATGTCCTGTACATTATCACCAAAAAATCAAGATAAAAACTTAAATTCTCTAAAATATTATGCTTACATATATTGAGATTCGGAATAAGATATTGTCCTTAAATACAATGGGTATTTGTTTAAAATTATGAACGCATCAATGTTTCAACAGCTGTAAGAAAAATGGTCTCTGACTTTTCATGTCTGCTACTATAAAAGTTTACACTGATAATGTTACATGAATTTACTACTAAAATAAATATATAAATATTTCTTAGAATAGCAAGTTGTGCAATTTATGCAAATATATATGCTTTTATTCAGTAGTTGCTTAAATATTTTATATGGAGCAAAATGACAAGTGCCTAAAAAATGCAGACAATTGTTGTTGTTTTTCTACACAGCAATGCTAAATAAGTATTTCCACAACCCTGTCCCTTATTTTATAACTATTTGGTTTCAGTTGTAAATGTAAGCAGATAGTGACAGCAGAAACAGGGTACCAATGTTCAAATCCCAGTTGTTCTCAAGCCATTGTTTTCAATACAACAGGAGACTTTGCTCAGGGACAAACAGACATTGACTACAGCATACCAATAAGTATATCTGACCACACTGGTACAATACAGTGTAGACTGTCAGCAGATATTCTACAAAATCTAACAGGATGGAATGTAAGCTACATGATTGATTAAGTGGCTCAATCTTTTTTAACATTTAGCTTGCTAATGGCAAGATATTTTGTCAATGTGATTAGTGCTGACCAAGATCAGCTGAAACATCCATGCCATCTGATCATTGTCAGTACTGTTCACTATTCAGTCAGTACATACTTTGAAATTTTCCTGGAAAAGGATATATGTTCTTGTCTAGATTGAAAAATTTAAGATAATTAGCAAGTTGAGGGTTAAGTCCAACTCAGACAAATGGTGACTCTCAATTGATTGGTGTATCATTATCAATATTGCCAACTTAGTCTGTCCATCACACATTTGTGTGCATATCATTTATAAAGAACTATAGTTTATCCAACACACATTTTTTTTCTAATTCTGTTTCCGACTCTTTTTTATTTAATTGGAAAAGCATTCTTTGTGTTGCACAAAATGCCCATATCACTAACTCAAATGTCAAGGTTACATTAAAGTTTGTGAGCATTTATATTCTCTCTATATTTTAGTTTGGTCTAAATCACTGTTTCAAAAGTCAAGGTCAAATTTAGAGAGACCATTCAAGAAACACAAGTTCTTTGTTTGAATATTGATTAATTGACATTTTTTTATATGCCCGAAAGAATTTCGGGCATATTATGTTAAACCACCTGGCGTCCGTCTGTCCATCCGTCCGTTAGCAATTTGGTTTCCAGAGCATAACTCGAGTTCCATTTGGCCTACAGTATTCAATCTTCATAGGATGATTGCCCATATTAAGTTGAAGACCCCTATTGATTTTGGGGTCACAAGGTCAAAGTTCAAGGTCACTATTACCCTAAAACTGAAAATGGTTTCCGGAGCATAACTTAAGTTCCATTTGGCCCATAGTATTCAAACTTCATAGGATGATTGCCCATATTGGGTAGAAGACCCCTATTGATTTTGGGGTTACAAGGTCAAGGTCACTATCACCGTTAAACTGAAAATGGTTTCCGGAGCATAACTTAAGTTCCATTTGGCCCACAGTATTCAAACTTCATAGGATGATTGCCCATATTGGGTAGAAGACCCCTATTGATTTTGGGGTCACAAGGTCAAAGGTCACTATAAGCTAAATACTGAAAATGGTTTCGGGAGCATAACTTAAGTTCCGTTTGGCCATTGTATTTAAACTTCATAGGATGATTGTCTATATTTGGTAGAAGACCCCATTGATTTTGGGATCACAAGGTCAAAGTCACATTTAGCTTAATACTGAAAATGGTTTCCGCAGCATAACTTAAGTTCCATTTGGTCCACAGTATTCAAACTTCATAGGATGATTGTCCATATTGGGTAGAACCCCTATTGATTTTTGGTTCACACGGTGAAAGTCACTATTACCCTAAAACTGAAAATGGTTTCCGGAGCATAACTTAAGTTCCATTTGGCCCACAGTATTCAAACTTCATAGGATGATTGCCCATATTGGGTAGAAGACCTCTATTGATTTTGGGGTCACAAAGTCAAAGGTCAAGGTTACTATTAGCTTAATACTGAAAATGGTTTCCGGGGCATAACTTAAGTTCCATTTGGCCCACAGTATTCAAACTTCATAGGATGATTGCCCATATTGGGTGGAAGACCCCTATTGATTTTGGGGTCGCAAGGTCAAAGATCAAGGTTACTATCACCTTTAAACTGGAAACAGTTTTGCTCAGTAACTCAAGCATTAATCAACCTACAGCTGTAAAATTTTATAGGATTAACAACTTTATACCCCCCCGACGTCTTTTCGTCCGTCCGTTGTAGCATTTTTACTTACAAGATAACAACTTGATGGTGGTGCTTTGAAAACAGCAACTGTATATATACATGAATGTTCTTAAGCTATAAAGGAGGATTGCTTTTTGAAGGAAGTAATACTGTATTTAATTCCCATGTCTTACAAATGCTTCATCCTTACTAAAAGAATCAAAGCACTGAAAGTACTGAAGTATACATTGCTTGATAATATAATCCATTTTGGACATCAAAGCCATGTTGATTTTAACCTACTGACCTCGAAAACAATAGGGATCATCTTCTGACCAAGATCAATGTCCCCAACAAGTGATTCACATGCACCAAGGCTTTTTTCTTCAAAAGTTATTTATGAGTCAAGGAAGATGTAATGTTCCATCTGTGTATTGCTAGGACAAGCTGATAGATGAGCAATAAAGAAATCATTTTTTGAAACACCCGTTAAATGGACTGCAGTATAGAATATTGAAACAGTCATATTGAGTTTCCAGTGATGCTATCTGATAAAATACATGATCTGGCTTGAACTCTATACATAGTCAATTAATTGAATCATCCTACAAGACTTAATTACCAAATAACAGTACATCTATGTACTGTACTTTGATGCATTAATAAATATATTCCGGTGCGTTGTATTAATCTCTACACATTAATTTTCAAATGCATTACTTTATCGTTAATTGATAAAAATGAAATCTATAATCACAACAATTCAAATGTACTGTAATATTTTCATTATTCAATAATTGTTACATATAGTCTTCATGAACAACCTTTCCAAGAAATCCATTTATATTGGACAGCAAGTTAACAAGGGTTTTTCCATAATCAGGTTGTGTTACCAACTTCTTAACTTTAGATGAACCATTGAGCTAAAACATTTTTTTTCTATTTTTTGGCTACTGTGACATACTTCTGATTTTCAACCAAGGTGATCCATGTTCAAACTCGAGCAACACCTGTCACACACATTCTTACGATGTTGTTTGACATTTGGGACAAAGGGTGACCAGTAGAGTGTTAACAAACTAAATGACCAGCAGATTGTTAACAACTGTAATGTCAGCATCGGATACACGTGGTTGATACCTAACTGATAAATGTAAATGGTTCGGCCGTGGGTATCCGACGATGCTAAATGTGGACAGACCAGAGTTGACATAAGATGGATGGCCGACATTCAACAATCTAAAACCTCGCCTAGCCTGGGATTCAGGCGTTGATAGCTTTTGCTTATTCATAACATTTTTTTGTTCATAACATATGCGCTTAATATTCCGTATTCGTTCGTCGTTTTGATAAGTGTCAATTTTGCCAAACAGAAACATAACAAAAAATCGACAGACTGGAACCCAGGCTAACCTCACCCTGAGCTAGCCAACCTATAAGTTTCACCACTGACTTTTTCATACTGTACTTATTACAAAAAATAACTGACATTTTACAAAGGTAATAAATTCTATGTCATAGTTATTCATTTAAACGATTGAAAATATATTTAGCAGCATTTTTTAAAAATATATCTAGTATTTTATTGCAAGTAAAATGTGTTGTTTGTTTATTTATTTTTTCTATGTTTTTGACGCTAGGCAGTATCATAGCCGATAAACAATTTCATGCAATGTTTATTACAAAAATAATACTGATATTTTACATTTCTTACACATAAATTATAATGTTATAATCATTCATTTAGACGGTTAAAATTTTATTTAATAGTTCTATTTTTGAAATGCCCATTTCATCGCAAGTAAAATGTGTTTTTTTTTTTTTTATTTTGGGCTTTTCCATTTTTTTGACGCTAGACCGATACGTAGCCGAAAAACACTTTCATGCTGTATTTATAAAAATATAAACATCACTGACATTTTACATGGTAACAAAAGAAGAAAGTAATGGTTTATTCATTTAAAAGGTTGGAAAAAATAGCGGCTCTTGTTTTAACTACGACTATTTTAATGCCCGTAAAAAATGTGTTTTCCGGCTTTTCCATTTTTTTTTTTGACGCTAGACTTGGTAACTTTGCCGAAAAACACTTTCATATCGCATTTAATACAGAATAGAATCATTCTCATAAATTTACACTGGTTGCAAAAAGAAAGTAAATTTTAATCATTTAAAGGGTAGATAAAAAAGTAGATAAAACTTATTTTGTTGGAATTATACCAATTGTATATATCATCGATTTAAAACTGAATTATTGAACCCATTTCATCAATAAACGACAAAAACCATTTCATCAAATAACATCAAAATGGTTTATATTGCTGAAATTAATATTTCTTTGTATTTTAGTGTTTTTCGGTATTTTTTTTTTTGGTGTTTTTTCGGCAATAATATAAGCAGATAAAAATACATAATGTATCTATTTCTTAATGCTTACACTGATTTACGTTTCAAATGATTATTTCTTCTCGTCGAATCTTGCCACATATGCCTATATTTAGCTCCTCATTACGTCTTTTCAATATCCAAGTTCGACGAATTGTTAATGGGTCGAACGGTCGAGCGCCGAATCTTTTAGTTTTTACCGTACTGAATCAGGCAATCTTCGCTGAATTTCGAAACATATTTTCTTTTCAAAAATCTTAAGGCATACAAAAGTGAAAGGAAAATCATGTGTAAAAAAGGTATTCAAAAGAATAGCTTACGTAATTTTTATTTTTCGAAGTCACGATAATTGCCAGTTTTTTTTAAAAAAAAACAACATTTTCCGGTATACGCTGGTAAATTTTGTGACGAGCTCCATACTTATTTTGTAAAACATTTTAGGGCAATTTTATTGCATAAATGTAAATCGGGAATTTTATTTGATTTAATATCTATCTGAGATGTTTCGTCCCATTTATATAATACACCGATATACACTTTTAGAACTAGCAGACGACAGGCTATTCTTATCATTGCGTATCTCACTGTATAAATCGCATGTAAAATGGTCTGACATATGGTAGGTTTAACAGTTAATCTAAATACTTTGGAGTCAAAGATGTATTGAAGTTTATATTGTGATGGAGCTAAGATCCAAAGCTTTCTATTGGTGTAATACATTTTAAAATCGGACATTTAAATCACAACACACTAGCGGTTTAAAAAAAGCTTATTTTGTATTGTTTTAGCATAAGCGCTGACGACTTTACTATATTTACGATGTATTCATTCATGCTTGCAAGCGCATGCGTATATGCGAAGTTTAACGCGTAGGTATAAACTACGATTTTATCAATGAACTGTGTTATTTTTTGTTTTCTTTAAAGGAATGTAGAGTCTATTATTTCATGAAAATGAACGATTTGGAAATTTCAAAGCATTTAAACAACTTTGCAAAACACTATTATAATGATGTGTAGTCGGAATGTAACGCTACTGCAGAATGAAGAACTAGTTTCTATAGCGGTTTTTATCCGGGAGTGGATGTTGTTCGGTAATGCATTAAACCTGTATCTTTTCTGAGATATAGCTTATAACTCTGTATACATTGCAAGCAATGTATACAAAAAGTACTTTCGGGCATATAATGCTCCGCCTAGCGGTACTCTTGTTATTATTACTTTAAAAGTGTGCATTATTAAATGACATTTGTTTTACATTATTATTGTAACAAATAATTGTTTACAACCTCATTTACAAATCTTATATTTATACCCAAAATATACAGTAAACTCCGCTTATAACAAACTCATCAGGACACTCAAAATGAGACTGTTCCTTATATCCGGAGTTCCTTGTAAGCATATAGCGAATAAGTTCCTTGTACCAGGAGTTTTTATAGCGAACATATTTACATATAACGAACTGATTGTTTACCAACGAGAGCCATTTTGAAGAGCATTTTATTAAGAAAAATTAGTCATTTATTTCCTCTTTAGAAACAATACCCAAGGGCGTACTTTTTGGAATTTGAAAATCATTTAATTTTAATTTTACTCCCTTTCTCCATTTGTCATTAAATATCATATTTTGTTTCTAAACTCAGTGCTTTTCGTTTTCATTCCATGATTAAGAATAAACAAGATTTTCGATTTTTTCATCCTTTTATATTAAATATCTTCTATTATATTTTAAGGGTAACTTTTATAAATGAAATATATAGATTTCTTTTCACTTCAATCAAGCGTACTTTGTAGTTTTCAATGGATAATGCTATCAGGTACTGCTATACAAATTCATTTTAATACATGCCTTGAAGTATATACAACAATGAAGTACATTCGCCCGAATGCCAATAAAAAACGAAAGTTGAAAATGCGGGATCTATTTACGGATAGCCGAGATTTTGGAGTTCGTTATAAAAGTGTAATTTTCTGTACTTTTAACTAAATTGGGACTAAAAATGAGTTCTTTATAAGCGATAATTCCTTATAACCGTGTTCGCTCTAACCGTATATTATTATATTAAAATTAATAAAGAAGGGAAAAATTCGGGCCAAAATAAATGGTTCCTTAAAACCGGAAACTCGCTATAACCATGTTCGCTATAAGTGAAGTTTACTGCAGTTGTTGAAAGCACATTTTATATACTAATGACCGGGGTTTTTTTTTCAGCCAAAAGATCTAATGGCTGTTCCACAAGAAGGAAGAACAGAGCTAAAATGGCAATGTTTACTTGAAAGATGTAAATTTTATATCAAGGTATGCCAGTGTTACAATGATAATAGTTTATGTCTAAAAGATGTTGGCTTTAGCTGTTCTGTAATGGAGAAAACTCTCTTTGCAATGGCAATAAAATAACTTAAAATATTGCAAATAAAACAATATTTTATGATAACTCAAAAAATACTTAAAATATTTTTATGACACTTGAAATATGGATATAGCAGTATGAAGATTATACATGTCATTTTTAGCTTGACTTTTCAATTTCTGATTTTTTTTTACTATGTCTTCAGATATCTACTTTAAACATCAAAATTATGTTCATCAACCACATCATATGTGACCAGGTTCACAATTCCAGAATTATCTCCCCTTGAACTTTATTGAACTTAGTTTTAAATGATTCTATTTGGTCCTTGTTTGTGATGACTATAGAATTAAAGCTGTATGCAAGGTTATAAATCCCCTTCAGTAATAGTTATACTTACATTTTTTAGATGTTGAGGAATTATCATAATCCAGAGAGACTTTCCGTCAGAGTGATGTCATGTTGTAAAGTTGACTCCACAAAAATGCTGCAAAATATTTCACCTGTCAAAGGACGTAAAACTGCTCTTTACACACATGCTTGAATCACACTATGTAACATAGTCATTTACATTTTTTCAAGTTCAATATTTTTTTGTTTGTTAGAATTTTGATGTAGATCTTTCCTTGAATTACCTGTGATAAAGTTCCTTCACTGTGATAACGATTAGTTTTCATGATGTTCAAATTGTTATAACTGTTTAAATAAAGTTTTAAAGAAATCATTTCTTTTTATGTATTTAAGATATGCCTATGGATGAAAGTATTTATTTATCAATCCTTGCACTATTGTGTATTTAAGTCCTCACAAATGATCCATTATCATGCCCCTACGGTCAGGGTTCACTTAGTTTATAAAGACTTGTATAGGAAAATGCATAACTTTTATAAAACTGCAATGCAAAGAACTTAGAAATTTGTCATTTTGTAGCAGGCATCTACAAATATTTTAAAAATTATACATCTTGTAAACTAGTAAAAAATGACATACCCAATGTGACCTCATTACTTTAACATTTACAAATTGTGACCTTTTCTAGCAAAGTATCTCAGGTGAGTGATAAAGGGCCATTATGATCCTATTTTGTTTTTTGTTGCCGTTATTCATAAATTTTATCCCAAATTGAAATGGTTTCATTGTTAAATAGTCTAGCCCTGACAAGTCTTCCTAAACATTTTTGATGGGAGATGTTTGTATCAATTTATTAAATGCATCTAACTACTCAGGTCATCTAGACTAATAAATGCAGATATGTTGGGAAAAAAACACTTGCAAACAGAATCCCCATATAAAACTCTGCAACCTTTTTTGTTTTTGTATTTTAAGTCACACTGACATTGTAATGGTCATAGCAACTTTCTTAGCTTTATTGTTGGAGGAAAACTCAGCAACTGGATAGCAAAATCCTTTCAGACCATAAAGATTTGATCACTTGCATTAAATGTTTAATGTGAAGTATTTAAATTGTTAATGTTTAAAGGGAACCACAGAGTATTTCCTGACATGAGTGGACTGGAAATATTTTTTCAAGATTTATGTACCGTTTGATGCAGATCTGGACTACTTATTTATGTGCAAAATTTCAGATTTAATTGCTCACTCCATTTTCCAAAATAATGCATGTATCTTAATTGTGAGAAATGACCTAAAAATGAAAAGCCTAATGCATTTAGCTCAAATCGGGCTAAAAATATCACAAAAGTATGATCTGTGTATATTTTGTAGTCATTTTTGCACATTTTTAAATACCGTTTTAAAAGCTGTCAATTGATCTATAATTTGAATTTTATGCTTCTGTATATAGGATTCATTTTAGTTTGTGTAGGAAGCAGTGAGTGTAAGCTTTTAGAATCTGTTCCTGTAACCAACCAGTACTGAACAATGGGTGTAAATTTTCTTACACAAAGAAACAACTTGCTCCTCCTGATTTGGTTTGAACCCATTCGGCTAGCAATCCATAAATTACCAGTCTGACATATAAACTACTTGACCATGATGTCCCATCATGCTTTTAGGTTGTTTTTTTATTTTTTATCTCAGTGGAGTTCCTTTAAGAAAGTAAAAGATTAAAAGACTAATTTACAACCAACTTGAAATAGAATTTTGTGGTTAATTCTTTCATAGGCAACTAATAACTGTAGGGTGAAAAACAAGATTATTTGTTGTTTATAACATTTTACTCGGTTTATTTAGCAACATACTTAATTACACTAAATGTTTTTTTTTTGTATACAAAAGAGAACATGTCGCAATACTGGAACATAAATAACAAATAAAGTTTAACTGTCACAAGTCAAATTGTTTTATGAAAAAAGTTTTCAGTGTATGGGGCATGATAATAAGAAAAACCACAAAACTATAAAGTAAAAGCTATTGACCTTCAAATTTAAAAATAAAACACTTAACCTTTACTATATTTTAACTGAAAGTGATTAACCTTTCCAAACAGTATGGAGCCAGGCTGGCCTACACTTCTGTGTAGTCTATGACTTTACTGTTGGCTAACTTTAAATTTTCACTTCTTATCTCCATAACAGATATTGGATATATTCCAAAAATGGAACCTTAAAAAATTCAGCAGAATAAAGGTTCCCAAATGAACTTAAAAATGCGACACTGGCAGATACCTACAGATAAGGATGGGGGAGGCAAAATAATCACAGCACAACCCAGAATTAAAATACAAGTGAAATGAAATGATTTAAAAAACAAAAAAAAACCCCAAAGTAAACCTCAAAAATTGAGCTTTTTTCCCCTTGTAATTCAAAGTAATCAATTTGAAAAACACTAAAATAAAATAGCAGAAATGAAAATCCTTAAGTATGCTTGCAAATGTTCCACACTCAGTTCGCATGAATAGTAAAGTGGTATATGCAACAAGTCATATAAAGTTTCATTAGGAAATGGTATTAGCTGAGATCAACTGAACTACAAAATAACTAGTTCAATAGCCCTTACATTAAAGTTGCTACTAAAAGACTAAAAAATAAAATGCCACACTTACTGGTTAAGTCACATAATTTGGTGACTGATCTATTCTAACATTTAACAATTGACTTTTATTATTTTTTGATAAAAAACAACTTTACCTGCAATTTGCTTTTAATTAAGTAAGAGAAAAATGTTAATATGTAAAATTTGTTGATTTACATGATATCATATAAACAATATATACATGTATAAGAATCTAGCATTACCGGTAATACTATGCATTTCCGAAAGCATCAATGGTAAGTTGTCTACATTGATGATTTGGAAAAACAAAAAAACTGCATCAAGTATGACATGAGAATACATTTTGCTGCCAGCAGCAATTTAAAGATGAAATATGTGTGAATCACTATGTTAACCTGTACCTGCTAGAATCCAATTCTCAGATGTAGGCAGGTTAACCCCTACCTGCTAGAATCCAATTCTGATGCAGGCATGTTAGCCCATACCTGCTTAAATCCAATTCTGATGCATGCATGTTAACCCCTACCTGCTAGAATCCAATTCTGATGCAGGCATGTTAGCCCATACCTGCTAGAATCCAATTCTGATGCAGGCATGTTAGCCAATACCTGCTTAAATCCAATTCTGATGCATGCATGTTAACCCCTACCTGCTAGAATCCAATTCTGATGCAGGCATGTTAACCCCTACCTGCTAGAATCCAATTCTGATGCAGGCATGTTAGCCCGTACCTGCTTAAATCCAATTCTGATGCATGCATGTTAACACGTACCTGCTAGAATCCAATTCTGATACAGGCATGTTAACCCATACCTGCTAGAATCCAATTCTGATGCAGGCATGTTAACCTATACCTGCTAGAATCCAATTCTGATGCAGCCAAGTTAACCAATACCCGCTAGAATTCAATTCTGATGCAGGCACGTTAACCCGTACCTCCTAGAATCCAATTCTGATACAGGCATGTCAGAATCCAATTCTGATGCAGGCATGTTAACCCATACCGCTAGAATCCAATTCTGATGCAGGCATGTTAACCTATACCCGCTAGAATCCAATTCTGATGCAGGCATGTTAACCCCTACCTGCTAGTATCCAATTCTGATGCAGGCATGTTAACCCATACCCGCTACAATCCAATTCTGATGCAGGCATATTAACCCATACCCGCTAGAATTCAATTCTGATGCAGGCATGTTAACATATACCCGCTAGAATCCAATTCTGATGCAGGCATGTTAGCCGCACCTGCTAGAATCCAATTCTGATACAGGCATGTTAACCCATACCTGCTAGAATCCAATTCTGATGCAGGCATGTTAACCCCTACCTGCTAGTATCCAATTCTGATGCAGGCATGTTAACCCATACCCGCTAGAATCCAATTCTGATGCAGGCATGTTAACCTGCACCTGCTAGAATCCAATTCTGATACAGGCATGTCAACCCATACCTGCTTGAATCCAATTCTGATGCAGGTATTAACCTTTACCTGCTAGAATCAAATGTAATTAACCTTTGAAACCAGTATAGAATCAGGGCAGTGTGCACTTCTGTATAGTCTGACCAGACTTTTTACTGTTGGTCGCTTAATTTTTGTACTTGTATCAGTTATATTGAAATCCCTTAAACTTTGAGTAGCCTTTTTTGAATTTTCAACTGGGCAAAACTAGTACACAAATTCAGCAGATTAAGGGTTCATAATTATTAATGGATGAAAAAAAATATGGCAAAATATTACCATTCATAGCACTGGTGAAATTAAATTACAAATACTAAATGGTTGTAAATAATAGTACTTTACTGTATCCTTTTGAAATATAAGCTTAACAAGTGCTGACCAAAAGCTCCACTATTGTCAGTTTTTGACAATAAGGAAAGGGGCATAACTATGTAAAAAGATACTCCTTTGTCATTCATAGACCACAAGTGTGAAGTTTTCACCCATTCCCTTTAGTAGTTTTTGAGATACCAACATTAATTCACACAAAAACTTAAGCAAAGTGCGCCTGGCAGCACAGGTGTGAGACTATTAGTAGCTCTCCCTATTCTTCAAAAAGTCAAGCTAAAAATGCTGTTCTAACAAAATATTTAGCAAAAAAAAAACAAACAAAAAAACATAAAAGAAATGCCAGCTCAATTCATTTGTAGTAAATTGATACAAACAAAAATATAATCACATATAAAGAACTATTTGTATAAGTCACAAGTAAGAAATTTGAGCCAAAAGTGAAATATTAACAACAATGAACAATTTATTAAAGCAGGATGCCTTTGGAATATTAAGTTCCCAAATACATGTGTACAGGTAGAAAGAAAGCCTTTGCCACCAGTATAGAGCCAGGCCAGCCTGTAGATCTGTGGACTCTGACCTGGCTTTATACTATTGGCTGACAGAGTTAGTACATTGTTTCACCCTGCACCATAAAAAGTAAATATTTTGAATAACTTGGATCTTTGTGAATTAGTTGATAAAATATATTTTAATGAAATAATCAATCGCCATAATCCTGACTAAAATCTATAAGCAGGAAACATCTGTTTCTGTCATTGCATCTTTTGTGCTTCCAAGGCCTGTGAATACAGAAAATATAATGTATTATTTGTTGTTTAGTCTCAGAAACATATAAGGCATTTAACACATGATTGTATCATAGATTCTGTGATAATTACTGAACATAAATAGATATATACCAACTTGCTTCACATAATTCTAATTGCATAAATAGGCTTCAAATCTTGTCTATCTCTTTATACACAGATATCATTCTCTAATGGAGTTCATCTGTAAGGGTATTAAATGATGCAGTGTTTTAAATGAAGTCAATGAACCTTTCTTCAAGTTGACCAGTTCAAGTGTGTTTATTATTGTGCTTTTTTAAAATTTTCTATCTAAGGTTGTTTTAAATCAAATTATGAGAACATGTATAAACAAATGAATTATATAATAATTTTATTAGCAATAATAGATCTATGTTGAATTTAAAAAATTGACTTCATACAGTTATATGAATTAAATGAGATAAAACTGATTTGTACAAAGATCTGAAAATGAATCACACTTACTAAATACTGTTTGGCAAGAATCAGATGTTGGCGTAAATCCATCTGTGTGGTCCTTATAAACCTAAGCATAGTATCTGGTACAGCTGGAGTTTTAGATCTGAAGTAGTCATACACCAAAGTATACTTGTCCACAGTCTCTTGTAACTTTTGTATACGCTTTTTATTTAGATAACCTGTAAAACCACGTAACAAGGCTTGTCTCTGATTATGAAAGTGTCTAATTTCTTCATCTATTTTTGATATCTCAGTTTGATTTTGGGTACATTTTCTTTTTTCATATGAGCCACAAAGATCGTTCTTCAGATTTAAAAGTTTATTATATGGTTTGGCAGAGAGTGGCATCATTAAAATAAGAAACACTTCTTCTGCTTCTGATTTAAAGCCACCTATCTCAGAACTCAGCAACAGCTCATCAGGCACTCGTCTATGTGGATAACCATAGAAACATGTCCTTCCTAGATGAGTTCTCATCTCACTCTCCACTAATGTCATAGCAACAATCATTTTCTTATCCTCTACTGAACCTGTAATAGACCTTGGTAAAAACTGACCACCTGATTGGAAACAGTTCCCAAATCCACCTGCAGCTGTTTGTTGTTTAACCTTTTCTCTCAGAAGATTCAGTGATGACCCTACCATTTTCAATTCACGCTCAGTTTGTTCATTTGAAACTTCAGGAGAATAATATAATTTTGCACCTGCTGACTTCGCTGCTGGTTGATCATTCAATAATACTTCAACTGTCACTGTATCTTGCCTCTCAAAACTGTTTGCTTTTGTTCCTTCTTGCTCAATTGCATTCTTAACTTTCATTCTTATCCTTCGTTTTCTTTGCTTTGGAATTTTAGTAAGATCTGTATCTAAGGCATACGGTATTATATTTTGTAAAGGCTCAATATTGTCTATCTCTAGTTCTAGTTTAAGCCATTCACCTAGTGTTTTAACTTGAGATTGGGCCTTGTTTTTCTGCCTACTCCTCGATATTGAAGCTGCAGATTTCGACACAAGACTAGCAGTGTCATCCCTACACTCCTCAGAAATGTTGCGTAATGAAGGAGATTCTATTTTTGTGGCTTTCACTCTTTCAACAGTTCTTGTTTCTGGATTCTGTATTATGTCAGCCCAATCTGCACCAATTGTAAATGCACTTACAACTGGTTTATTTGATCCAATTGTTGTGATCTGTCTGGGCGGCGAGTTGTTTGCTATGATCATACATGTACCCATGTTTGTTGGGCCTTGTTGCCAAGCACCTATAGTAGGTATTCTATTAAACTGACCAGGTTTGGACCCTAGCACAGGTATACTAGCACCTTTTTTCATATCTTGTTTTTGTGGTTTAGTTTCTTCGGATTCAGAATCTTCTGAAATTTCTCCATCTTCTAATTCAGAAGATGCTCCAGACTCTGTAATATCCTTCTTAACTTCATCTTTTTGAACCTTAACTTCTGTTTTCATTTCAAATTTTGGTATTGTCCTAGGTTTCTCTGGGCTTTGAGGCATTTTTTCTGGACTCTTTAATTTATTTTTCACTTCTGTTAAACTTTCGAGAATTTTTGATCCAAAATCACTTTGTGATTTAGGTTTGGGATCAAATTCACTTTTAGTTTTCTTCACTGGAACTACAAGTATATTACTCTCTTCATCACCAGATCTTTTCTTACTGTTTATGTCAGTGCTCTGACTTTTTGGTGCATTATCAACTGATTTTTTCACAACGGATTCACCTTTTACAACCTTATTTATAGATCTGCTATTGGCCTGTGCACATAACTCTTTTTTCGCTTTATTTTCAATGTCTTCCAAAAACATTTTAACAGAATAAGCCATTTTTGACTCACTAGTTGTTTCATAGACATAATTCTGATTGGTAGTTGTTTCAGTTTTCACATTCCTCTTTTCAAACTTATCCCGAAAACAATCAAAAACATCAGTTGAAGATTTTGCTTCGATTTGAGGGTTTTTTGTTTGTTGTTTCACAAAAATACCTGGTGTTGTTGGAATAGCTATACCTGGTCTTTGCTTATTGAAATTTGTTGGTAGGAATGGTAGCCTAGCAATCCCTGACGGTCCTGTCACTTGCCCTACTCCTGGTGGGCATTGACCTGGTAAGACAAGAATTTGGCCCGGCACTAGAGGCTGGATTGCTGGTGGATGTACAGCTTGTGGAGGAGGAACAGGCTGTGGGGATGGGACTGCTTTGGGAGTTATTGAAACAATTCCAGACTGTGCTAGTGATAATCTACCATATAGCACTTTTTGTCCAGTAATTGGATGAATATATTCTAAAGCTTTTTTTTGTCCATAACCATTTATTCCAGTTCCTGTACTGATTTCACTTGCAGTAGAACTATTAGAGTTTGAATTTCCAATTGCATAAATAGGCTGACCTTTCACCAACTTTGGCTGCTCGGAGCTGGATTGAGCTGTTGAAGAATTCCCCTGATTTATTGGCACTATTCCATGTATTGGATGAATCTGCTGAATGGGACTGTCTTTGGCAGAGGATGACTTGCCCAACACTTCAATAGCTGATCCTTTAGGGCATTCATTGTATGCTTTACCTGTCTTGGGATTGACAAGTTTAGTTTCACCTTTTAACTTAATGACCATATTTTTCCTACTTTTTTCAAGCATATCAGTCATTTCATCTTTAGTCTTTGCATGTAGTGTATCTTCAGCTTGAAGATCATCAGAATTGTTATCCTCTACCTCATCATCATCAGCTATCTATATCAATTCAAAATTAAGAAATAAAATGCTGTTTGAAAACTATGAATTAACAGTAAATTTTAAATATAATTTTAATACAAAATAATTTCCAAGATACTTTCATACAGATGTTAACACACCCTGTTTCCAACGCTTTTACTGCCTATAAGATGGATATACTCATCCAAAACTTAGTGCCAAGTATTTGCCTACAAGACAAGTACACCAAGACAAGAGTTGTCACAGGAGAGACCAATACTACCACCACCATCCCTATGACACAGAATTTTATATAGGTCCATTAATCATTATTTCAAAGGTGAACACTGAAGCTAAGTCTGAAGAAAATCCTTCAAGAAGTATAGAATTTATAGTCTAGACACAATATTGTGTGACCTTCATCTTGAGCCAACAAGGGCGGAATGCATTCTACACAACTTGTTGTTTGAAGGAAATCCTTCAAGGATTATGGATTCTTACATACTGAGTACTGACTTGCACATCCCCTTTTTGAGGTGAACACTTTAGCCAATTTTGAAGAAAAGCTTTCAAGATGTATAGGAGTTGATACAAAATTGTCTGTCATTTGACCTTCAAGATTAAGTTTGACCAGGCATAGCAGTAGCATAGGATCTGCATATCAGCTTGTTAATGTGAACATTTGAGCCAAATTTGAAGAAAATCTTTCAAGGGGTATTGGAGTTAATTAAAGAGCAAAAATGAATTGTCTGACAATTTGAGTCAAGTTTGAAAAAAATTCTTAAAGGGGTACAAAAATTTCAGAGTGGACACAAATTGTCTGACATCTGACTTTCAAGGATGACCTTGAGCCAGCATGCAAGCAACATAGGTTCTGCATTTTCCCTAGTTGAGGCCAAGTTTAAGAAAATTCTTATAGGGGTTCTTAAGAAGTTACAGAGCATCACTAAATTGCCTGGCATTCAACGGTGAGATTGACCTTCAGCTTTCACAGCAGCAACATGGGTTCTGCACATCACCTTGTTGAAGAAAAGATTTTAGCCAAGATTAAAAATAATCCTTCAAGTGGTATCCAAGTTATAGAGCAGACACAATGGAGACAGGCCTACCAACTAATGCAGCAAAATGATTCCAGTATAACCCCCTCCATTTTATGTGGTGGAAATATGATAAGCATCACTCTTCTATAGTAAATTCCTGTAATTCTTAGAAATGGGCTATGCTAATACATTGTAATTATACAATTTAAATTACACCTCTAGTCTGAAAAATACGGTTTTAAAAGGGAACCAAAAAACATTTTAACCATGTAGCCATTTAGTTATTATTCATAAATATTAAGGTAAAATTTCCAAAAATGTATTTTGATGAGTATTGTTTATAAAGCTGAATTAAATTACCACAAGGACAGGTTCCTCCTCCTCTGTGAGGTCTACAGCAGATTCTTTAGTGTCTGTCAGATCTATTGTGTCTACATTCATCATAATCCTTGTTGTTGTTGTTGTACTATCCTGTATCATAAAAAGAGTCCTATTGTGTATAAATACATCTGGGTTTCCTTAAGTAATACACAAGTTTTATGCACATATTGTATCTGTTAATATGAATTTGCACACTCATATTTGCAACAAATACATGATAATTAGTGTTCATCAAATTAAATGTTTTTTTTGGGTTTTTTTTGACAGGGATATATCAGGAACTCAGTCATTTTAATGCAAAGTCATATTGTGCCTTGCTGATGAATGAAACAGAAGAATATGTTGCTCTATAGCTTTTTGTGTGATTGAAAGTAAAACTATCAATCTTTGTTCAGATAACCTAGCTGGATAGCTTAATTACATGTAGAGAAGTCTTTAATGGTACTCAAACCACAAGTTGTTATTTATTATCTTCATCAAGTTGAAAAGTATGTACCAGTATGAAGTTTCATAGTTTTCACACTTTTCCAGTAAAATATGTTTTCTTATTGCTTATTTTATATGTTCTTTTTTAAACTGAACTCTATCATAGAATATATCCATCAGTTTTTGAGTAGTATCATTTATACAGCAAATGCATGAAAAAAAATTTGTCTTTTTTTATAATTTCAAAAATATGTCCTACAATGCATCTATTTACTTTCTAACAAACATCTTAATATTGAATGCAGTCTTTTTTTTTCTTCTTGCTTACCTTATCGCTTGAATGTTTAACAACAGGAGACATGATGTCTAAATCTATTACTAAACCAGACTCTTCCTCATCATCATCATCTTCTTCATAATTATCATCATATTTTTTATTCTTTTCCTTATCTTGAATAACTTCTCCTTTATCAAAACTGTCCTGATCAGAAACTTTTCTCCGCTTTTTTAGAGAATCGCCTTCTTTGGAATTCTTAGAATGTTTTCTTCGTTGCTTTTTTGACAGCCTTAAAGGAGAATCTTCTATTTCTGAAGTAAATGAGTCATCATTTCTGACTTTTAATGCTGACTGTTCTATTGATTCCAAAATAGCAGCTTGGTAAGATATATTAGGCAGAGGTGTCATGACATCTTCACTGTCTTTTCTCTTTGTTATGTTTTTAGGAGTGGATGGTAATGAATCATTTTCTTTAACCTTTGGTGACTGAGTGTCTTTCTGATTTGATTTTTCAAATAATGAACTGTCTGTCTTTTCTTTACTAGTTGTAGTCAGTTGGAATTCAGCCCCTTCTTTCTCTGGGGAAATATCAAAGCCAGGTATTCTACTTGCTGTTTTTACAGAGTCATAGTTTGTCTGAGATGCTCCACCTGTGCTTCTTTGTTTCACTGGGGATGAAGTTTGTTCAGCTGCAGATCCATATTTCCTTGTAAAACCAGATTTGTTATTCATAGATGATAAACCTTGAAGCAAAACAAAACTTTATATTTTTATCTATACATACCTGTTTATTACATCTATTTTTCTTGTACTTGTTTAAAATAATAAATACTGGAATCTAGTGTATAATTTACTGAAATATTATATAGGCTTATAATAAGAAACCTGTAAAGTTTCAATCATTTTTATCATACTTATGAATATACATCAATGGGTAAAGTTAATACACAAATCGAAACTAATGGCTGTTTCTAATAGCAAACAAATATATGACAATACATCTATGTCTTTGTAAACATAACCCCGAATAGAATCAGAATATATTTATGAATATACCTGTTTTCTTATGTTAAAATAAAATATGTATTTATTTTTCAAAGCTACAAAACACCTTACCAGTAACAAATGCAGGTTTATCCATTTCTTCTGGCTCTTTGGGTGAACTAGCAACAACTTCTAAACCAGAACCAGGCTGTTTTACTGTAGCAAGAATATTCTTCAAATTTGAAAAATCAAGATTCTGCATTATGTTATGAATTCCACCTTGACTAGCAGCTTTATTCTGACTACCACTTGTTGTATAACTAGGAAGATATTCATTACTAACTTTACTTGTCTTATATTCATCTATCCTGTCATTTTTTGAAGTTGTGTACTGTCCATATGTCAGAGTGTTATTGGATTTGATTGTAGTATATGAATCATATGGTGAAACTGATGTCTGATATGACGGAATATTTTGACTTGTATTAAACATATTTTGCAAGTTTTGGTTCATTTGTTGAAAGGGGTCTTTACTGTGATCTGTATGTTTTGGTATTACAATTGGAGCTGCGGTTGAGGTGACAGGTCTTTGGTCCATATTGCTAGTCGTATTAGGCTTTTCTCCAGGTACTAATCGCAAGTCAACATCTCCCATTTCTGCTGCAGCTGCTTGTCTCCAATCTACATCACCAAACTCATTGCTTATTTCAGATTTAGACTGACCAATAGAATAGGCATCAAATAGGATACCAGAACTTGAGTTTGAATCATTCACACTTTCTATTCCCATTCTTTTTGCTCTTAAATGCTTTCCTGATTCAGAAACTACTGGCGAATTACTTCTAGAAACTACTCTTTCATCAATATCGTCATCTAAACCAAATGGATCTACGAACTTTCTAATAGGAGGTTTAAAGGATTTAGCCTTTTCTTTATCAGAAATTGCAATTCTAGAAGGAGGGGACACACTTCTAGAATGTGATCTTCTCAGATCATAATCTCCAACGTTACTACTCTGTGAATTTTCAGTACTTGTATCTGCAGATCGCATATCAATATCTGCAACATCAGATGCTTTTCTCCAGTCTATGTCACCAAAATCATTTACATCTTTTTTCTGCAGAGAGTCAGGATCACTGATTTTACGGTGATCAATATCTTCTTTTCCTAATCCAAATGGATTATGAAATTCTATTTCGGAATTTTTTTTAACTGAACTTACTGTCTCTGAAATATTGTTTATTTTATCAGGTTTGGATATTTTTCTATCATCAATATCAATTTCACCAGAATCGAACACAATTATTCCTTTCTTATTCTTTTCAGATTTCTGTAAATTTTCTTCTATTGATTTGAAAGACTGTATATGTTGATCAGAAAATGTTCTAAAATCTTTGTCAACCTGACCAAAACCTAAATCTTCAATTTTCTTCTTTTCCTTAATCCTAAGGTCTAAATCATCTTTAAAAATATCTGGGACATTTACAGGTGTAACGTTCCTTGGCTTCATTTTAGATTTTTGGTTCATTTTAAGATTTATAGAAATGGTTGCTTTCTTTTTCTCTTGTAAACTGGGTAGTATTTGAGAAAGCCTCATTTGATCTTCTTCCTCATCACTTTCAACTTTAGTCCTTGATCCTACCATTGTGTTTCTTATTTCAGAGTTTGTCTGCTGTAACTTTTTAGGCACATCCTTTTTCAACTGAACTGGTGGGCCCTTTGGTATAGGTATGTCTAAAAGATCTAGTGCAGGAGAACTTTCTTTTTTACTCACAATAGGTTGATCTTTGCAACTAACTTCATTGTTTATTGGCAGTGGAATGTTCATAGGTTGAGACTGCTCTAACTTAGCTAATTCTTCTAGTGTTTTCTGCATTGCCAAATCAAGTTTAGATTCTGGTTCATCTTCACTCTCTGGTTCACTTATTTCCATATCAACACATTCCAGGGATTTACTAGCATCAATGTCAATATTTTCAAGAGGAATGTGCTTTACAGGAGTTATTTCATCACTCTTTAAATCGTCTGATATATCAGGTGATTTAATCATTTCCGGTGAATCTATTTCTTTTACATCAACAATATCTGTTGTATTCAGTTGATCTGCATTGTCTTTTTTCTGAGCCTCAAGTTTTGAAAGCTCATCAATTTTTTCAGCAATTTTTTTCACAAGAAACTCAGGATCTGTCAGCTGGTCTCCAAATTCTTCAGCCGATTCCTGCAGCAATCTTAAAGCTTCAGTAAATAATGTTACATTACCAGAATGTTCAACTAGCTTCTGCATTGCTTCTGATAGCATAGGGTCATCAGCAGGAGGTTGCTTAGCAACTGGTTCATCATCGTCTTCATCAAACAGTTTAGGTGACTGACTTATATCATCAGGATCTGAAAGTTCATTCAGTGTTTTTGCCATATCGTCAGGTTCCTCCACAAAGTCGTCATCTGCAAACCTGCTATCTTTTCCATTGACTGAGACAGGACTTAAAGGTTTATCTTGACTTAACCTATAATCCTGGTCTTCTAATGTTGGGTCTGTTTCAGTATTCATTACATTTCTACAATGTGATGTTTGAGTTAATGTGTGTGTAGTTGTTTCCCTTGAAATATCACTTTCATTCTTTAAAGATTCAATTTCATTTGTAGATTCAGCTAATTCTTTAGTAACAACAGGTTTTGAAATATTCACTTTTTTCTTGTAATCACTCAAACTGAGTTTCTTGCGTGTTTTAGTTGTATCTTCATTATTTGGTTTATTAACTTGTTGTGGATCAATGGTAATTTGTTTTTGATTAAAGGTTTGTTGAAGCCTAGGATCAGCTGCAGTCAGTCTTAAATCAGGGAGTTGTTGCTGAAGTCTTGGATCCAATGGTCTTTGTTGTCTTCTTGGGTCAAATGGTCCCGACTGCAATCTAGGATCATTTGACATTAACCTTGGATCATTTGGAAGAAAACTAGGGGTATTTGTCCTTAACCTTGGGTCATTTGGAACAAACCCAGGATCATTTGGAAGAGCAGTAACATTTGAATCAACATATCCAAATCTTGGATCAATGTATCTTGTATCTAACTGACTGTTCGGACTTGGCATTCGTGGTAATTTCAATGGCGGTAAACTTGTTAAAGGTTCTTGTGGCTCAATATCTTCATCCTGACTAGATTGCTCCTGTTCCTCAAATCCAGGCCCAAATGATGGTTGATAAAGGTCAAAAGCTGGCTTGGTAGGTAAGGTCAGGAAACTCAGCTGTGACCTAGGGTCATCAATGTCACTAACTGAATTTGCAATAGAAGTATAAGGTTCTCTAGGTGGTGGACCCGAGGTTAAACGTGGAACGCACAGACTTCCATCACTTTCATCAGGTTTAACTTTAGCTAGGCTTAATCTTGGATCACGTTTATTCAAAGTTACTTGTGCAGTAGATGGTTTAGATGTGTCACCTTCCGAGGGTCTGGACATATATGTGGGACGTTTGGAGTAGCTATCTATCTTTGAACTTAATGAACTACTTGGAATATTTTCAGCTTTCTCATATGTGAGGACAGCATATGGTAGAACTTGCCTAGGTCTAACTGAAGGTTCACAGTCATCTGTGTACTCATATAGATATATCTGAAAAATGTAGCAAATAATCATGTATCTGATGACAAGATTAGCAACAATTAAAGCATTCAATTTTTCAATAAATGAAATAAATTTGATCAACTTCCTCACATTTTGTATCAAGAATTTATGGAACAGACAAAACTTATAGTTGCTCAAGGATATAATGACATTTTTTTTAACTTATGTAAAGTGACCAAATAAATGTCAACTTTTCACAAACCTGTAATTGATGTAGAAAATTAGCCATGTCCTCAGAATTATACATTTACATATATGGCACAAAACCACAATTCTTTTTCACATCCTTATATAGTTGAAAAAGAATTGTAGGACATATCTAGAATTAAATGTTATATGTTCACCAATTCATAATAGTGACCAAATAGATAAACACTGTAACTGTTTTTTCAATGTTATAACAAAAACATCATAACATCAAATGCTTATTTATGTTTATTATGAAAGTTTAATACAAGGTCATACAGCAACTTTCCAGCTTTCCTTTGCACATTATTTCAGGCGCTACAGAGCTGACAGAACCATCAACTTTTTGAAAATTAGCTAACTTCCTTAAATGACAGAATCTAATATTTTTGATGGAATTCAAACCAGTTCAGTGGTTCGAAGTTAGCATGTGACCATCAGGTGACCATGTGACTATAAAAGCACCTTCATGTTATATTTTAATAAATACCTGTGATCTAGCAAGCTGTACACTAAAATTATCACTGGGTCTTGCTTGAACCTGTGGTATATGACAATCATAGTTGGGTGTTGGTTCTATCTTCTCTTCAGTTACCTGTTGTGCTAGAGGCTTGCATTTCCCAAGTACAATCTGCAACAAGCATCATATTTCTTATGTGTTTCAATTTTTGTCAAAAGTCCTAATGAAATAATTTACTTTCACTACAATAAAATAGTAAAGGTTGTAAACTAATATAGCTTCAATGATATCAATAAAACATGAGACTCTATCTAAGCATTATGTTAATCTCGGAATATTGTATTTTTCTGAATATCCCAAAATCAATTTGTTTAATAAATCTATAATACAGAAAAATCATTTCATGTTATAACTAGAAATGTGTCATCATGCCACGGATGCTCCCGCATGCAGCCAAAATTTCAAATGTTATAATATTTAGTTCCAAATTTGTTTGCACAAATTATTTTTTTCATTCTATGTTCAAAGCCCTTAAAACTTTTCAATGTTAACACAAACCATTTTAAACAATGTTCAAGGCACTGAAATTATTCAGTCTTAACCTTTTGAAAATAGCATATTGCATATTTGTAGCCAAAATAATGGCTATATACATTTCCACAAAAGTATGAGTGCTGAAACTGAAAGTTCAAAACTTTTCCAACATTCAGGAAAGATAAGTTTGTCCAAAACCATTGAACAACGACCAAATTCCAACTTAAACTGCTTTTTCCTAAGATGTATCTATTATTTTCAAAGTGAAAGGGACATAACTCTGCCAAAAAATCATCGAACCATGACCAAATTCCAACTTGACCTGTGCATTCCTTTGACATATCCATATGTCAATTTTGAGTTGAATATGTAACACTGTTGGGTTGATAATGAACAGAAACTGTAAATTTCATATCATTTTCAAAGTGAAAGGGGCATTACTCTGCCAAAAATCATTGAACCATGACCAAATTCGAACTTGGCCTGCGCATTCCAAAAATATATCCATATGTCAAATTGAGTTGAATGTGTAATACTGTTGGGAGATAATAAACGGAAACTGAAAATTTCATATTATTTTTTAAAGTGAAAGGGGCATAACTCTGCCAAAAATCATCGAACCATGACCAAATTTGAACTTGACCTGCGCATTCCTTTGACATATCCATATGTCAAATTTGAGTTGAATGTGTAATACTGTTGGGGAGATAATGAACGGAAACTGAAAATTTCATATTATTTTCAAAGTGAAAGGGGCATAACTCTGCCAAAAATCATCAAACCATGACCAAATTCGACCTTGACCTGTAATTTCTCATGACATATCCATATGTCAAGTTTGAGTTGAATGTGTTGTATCATTGGGGAGATAATGAACGGAAACTGAAAATTTCATATTATTTTCAAAGTGAAAGGGGCATAACTTTGCCAAAAATCATCAAACCATGACCAAATTTGAACTTGACCTGCACATTCCTTTGACGTATCCATATGTCAAGTTTGAGTTGAATGTGTTGTACCATTGGGGAGTTAATAAACGGAAACTGAAAATTTCATATTATTTTCAAAGTAAAAGGGGCATAACTCTGCCAAAAATCTTTGAACCATGACCAAATTTGAACTTGACCTGTATTTTCTCATGACATATCCATATGTCAAGTTTGAGTAGAATGTGTTGTACCGTTGAAGAGATAATGAACGGAAACAGAAAATTTCATATTATTTTCAAAGTAAAAGGGGCATAACTCTGCCAAAAATCATCGAACCATGACCAATTTCGAACTTGACCTGTATTTTCTCATGACATATCTATATGTCAAATTTGAGTTCAATATGTGCAACGGTTATTAAGATAATGAACGGAAACTGATGATGACGGAAGGACGGAATTACGGAATAACGGAACAGGGTAACACTATATGCCCTTGCCATTATATGGCGGGGGCATAAAAACAAAAACAAATATTCTTATATACTAACTATCGAAGATATTGCCTTAATTTGGTCAACACAATATATACTCAACTATTGTCAAGGCATATCTAAGAAAAAGCCTTTGTAATGAAACAATTGCATGTACTTATTAATACATGTATAAGGAAAAAAAATGTCTAAATTAATTGGTGCCAGATAATGAATCTTTTCACCTAGATATGCTATGGGCAAGAACCATCAAATAGAAATTTTAAAGAAATTAGGCAGAGTGTCATGTAAAGAACTTCCAAGGCAAGTACTTATCATCAAATTTGGCCATGTGATTTCAATGCTGATGTCATTTGACAAAGACTGAGAGTCATCATTTCTAAACTATCATCTCAAGTGAGCTAAAAACTATACCTTAAATACCAGCAGTGTACATGTAGGTACTTTCCAACCTTCAGCATACCGCAGTTGTACATCAGCATTCCTACATACATATACACCCAACTTACTGTCACCTGGTATAGATAAATGTAGGTCTATTACCAATGTCAAACTGATACCTAGATTTTCTATTTGAGTTTAAAAAAAAATGTGAAAAGAATTAATTTTCAGTTGATTTTAACCAAATTGTTTTACAATGCTGCTAAAAAATCAGATGTTATTATATTAAAATTACCTAAGGTTCAAAAAACTAAATGGCAACACATGTCAGCCATGAACATTATAAAATTAAGTACTTCTCAACAAGCCTTCATTATGACTGGAATACTGTTGAAGCCAGTATTATAACTGAAATAAATATTCACCTAAAGAGTTCTGGTGTACAAATTTACACTTTAGGCCATCTTTTACAACATGTGGAACTATTGTACTATCTCTCTGTACAATAAATGCAAAATGGTCAGTCAAATCTCTTGCATGGCGACCTTCCTCTTTCAGATCTGCCTTCTTAGCCCTAAATAATAAACATTAGTAATCAGTCTTTAAAAGAGTCAGTAACAAATTTATGCAATATTAGAATAATTCTGTAATATTTAATTTTGATTGATGTATCAAAGAAAGTATGCAATATTCAATTAAAGTTACATTAAATAAATTTCATAAAAAAATAAATAGCGACATAACATTAATAAATTGGGTTTTATATCGACTCCAGGTCTTATTTTGGTGTCCAAACAACCAAAATGAGTTTTATTAGCATTAAATTAGGTAACCTCATTGTGGCGAAATGGGAAGTACAATTTCTGTTTGCATGAGAAACTCCGCCTTCGGATCATCCGTACATCAATATTAAATCAACAAACATGACTATAAGTAGCAGTCGTTATTTAACGGTATATTTCCGCATTGTAACGGATGTTTTCATTACAAATTTTATCTTTTAACGAGATGATTACTTTTACTGAACCCCAAGGTTTAGTGTACCATGAAGCTTAAACGGTTAAAGTGTGTTTGCACAAGAAAATATCACATTTGCTGTGTTCCGGGTAGCAACTATAAGACTGTGACGTAGCGCATACACGAGCTCATTATAGTCTTCATTTGCATGTTAAAATTCGTATACGAACTTTAGTGTTACCGTGGGGTTTCCCGTTTAAAATCCTAATTTATAAACAATATTTGATGAGATTTACAACAAAACTATTAAACAGGTAAATGAAACTGTAGAATGTTTGATTTTTTGGCCGACGGTAAATATTTTTACATATTTATTTAATGTAACTTAAAGTATGCACGCAAATTAAATACACTTTAGATTAACAAAATTTTAATATAACCAACACAATAATAATGGTCAACATTCAACTTTACAACAAATTGATACAAAGAATGTTTAAAAAACAAAATTTTCATAATTACATAGCAATTAAATATAAAGTTGTTGACTGAAAGTTGAAAGTTTTTCTCAATGTTAGAATTAAGAAATAGATATAAGTTCTGAGTACATTGTTGTAGAATAATACATGGTTTGAGTTCAAATGCGTAGTAATATAATCACAAAAGCAGATAGGCCTGAGTGATTAATTACCAAGCATTTTAACAAAAAACCGTGATAATTATACTATAATGCATGAAAAATTCATATCTATTTCCATTCTAACACATCAAGAAAAAAAATAGTTGGACTATATATTTGGTGGTTAAATTTGTTTTCGCCTTTGAGTTTCCAATAGAAACGTTCTTTAAAGGCTGTTCCAGTCAGTTGAAAGAAACTGTTGTCAAGTCTACTGTTTGCAAAAACATTTCGAGAATAAACAAACTTTTAAAACATTGATTAACTTTTTGTGTGTTTATTTTATTTCACTTAATATTTTTCAAGCGAAAATACAGAGTATTTTTAGTGTAATGAATGTGAAATAAAACTGGTTTGCGACTGTGAAAAAACTTTATTGTTTTGACTGTTCTTGCACACTCTGTTTTGGGCTACATTATGACATCACCAAAAAACAATACTTTAAACGCCTGTACAGTGTTAATGACTGAGATAAAGATATTGGTGTTGGTTTCTAGATAGGTTTCATAACAAAATTCAACAAAAGTTGTTTTGTAGTTATCAAATTTTTCAAACAAAATGGCATCGTCAATGTGTAGATTTGAAAATACAGAGGGAGAAAATAAGAACAGCGAGTGCATTGTTGTGAAATATATATAAGCTTCATGCCTTCTTTGTTTATATAAGAGAAATCTCAGATAAGGTCAGAATGATAATATCTGTCATATGTTGCGGTTTGGACCGGAATATCCGTCCCGAGGGGACCCACCCATGAGCGGGTTCCCAAGGGACGGATATTCCGATCTGAACCGCAAACATATGTCAGATATTTTTTCTTGCATATTCTCTATATTATTTCATATTTAAAATGATTAACCTCAATATGATATATGTGCATGGAAATTAGGGTCATTTCATCCATAACTATTTTCTTACAATAGCGTATGAACTTGCAACATAAATAACAACGGCGAAATGACCTAAGCACATATTTCCCTTCTAAAACGACATCATTTTAACGCGATTCATTCATAAAGTGCACTAAAATGAAGTTGTTGTTTGGCACGTGACTCATCTGGCACCCCCCATGCCAGATAAAATTTCCGGCATGGGTAAAACTCACGGAAACGCCAGTCTGCTATGCAAGAATTGTTGGTTCCAGTACAATGTATTTAAATGGCCACCAAAATATTTCTTTACATGACACAAGTACTAGTAAACCACAGGACATAGACAATATCAGCTTCCATATCACGGAAGTGTTATTGCAAATAACTTCACTTCATCTCAACTTATTTGCATATCACAACATAATATACCTGTAAACAGCTTCTAATTCTCTATTCTCCACTAGTGATGCAGTCTTTAGTTGCCACGAGGACTCATAGTCACTGGCAAGGTACGATCTTTTTACTGCATTCACAATTTCTAGACAGTCACGACTTGTGTTATCAACCTGTCTCAAGTTATCTGAAAAGAGAAACCAAATGACTATATATAGTGTCTCATAATATCAAAGTAATTGCATGTGCATAAAATTTATCAGTAAGTTTGATTGACTTACTAAATATCCCTAAAGCAATTCAAGTGTTATAGACTTGACACAAAATTGGCTTACCTTTGAGGCATGTGAAATGTGGGTTCTTCATGTCTTAATTAATCCATTTACTTAGCTATCATGTACGTCCTTATTAAAAGTAACAAAAATATAGAGAAGAGAAAACATCTTGACATCAAAAATAAGGATTCTGCATAAAGTCTTACTGTTTCAAGAAAATCTCTTTTGTATTAAACCAGATCTGTTTGAGGATCAGCGGGCTCCACTTTTGTTGGAAACTTAATAGTATGATGAAAGCAAAGTAGAAAATAGGGCATAATTCTGATAAACTGTTCAGCAGAAATTTCTGCCTTGACATTCAACAAGTATTCCAAGTTTGAATTGAATATCTGTGATGGCTTTTGAGAATATTATGAAAATATAAAAAAAAACAAAAAAGAAGAAAGAATGTCCTCTAGGGTTATCAGTCCTTTAGAAATGCATTCAAATTTTTATAGTGAAAGTATTCAAAGTTTAAAATGAATATCTTTGAGAAATTTATGTTAACAACTAGAAATGTGTCCATAAGACATGGGTGCCCCCACACGCCTCTGTTTTGTTAATCTTATGACACTAGGTCAAATATCTTTTGTGCTACACATGCCACAAGATGAAAACCAAAAATCTTTTAAAAATACTGAATTAATCCACAAGATGTTTACCTACATTCTTGTAAACTTTCAGGCATACAGGTAAATTACTTTTTGAGCTATGAACGAACAAATTAAAAATTGCAAATTTTCACTAAGTCAAGGGCAATAACTCTAACAAAATTGAAAAAATCCACATGCAAAGCCCGATGCACAGTGATGTTGATCATTATTCCAGAAAAGTTGGTTGATTCTAACTCAAGCACTCAAGGAACACATAACACAACATAATGGAACGGCTTTTACCAAGGCAAGGGCAATAACTCTAGAAATAATAGATAAATCCACAATTGGTGCACAACTACACATGCTGATCAACATTCCTTTTAAGTTTCATGACCCTAGGTCAAATACTTTTTCATCTATGTGCAACACAAGTTGAAAATTGCAAATTTTTACTATTTACCAAGTCAAGACCAAAGAAAATAAGGCCCAGAAAATAAATCCACAACCAAAACCGCAGGTGCACAACTTCACATGCTTAGCAACATTCCTGAAAAATTTCATGACCCTAGGTCAAAAACTTTTGAGCTCTGTACGACACAAGTTGAAAATTGCAATTTTTTACTAAGTCAAGGGCAACAACTCTGACAAAACAGAAGAGTGTGACACAACTTGAAAATTGCAAATTTTTATGGAAAATTGCAATTTTTTACTCAGTCAAGGGCAATAACTTTAATCAAAAATATAAATCCACAAGCAACTCTTCATAAGAACATGCACTTATTGTTAGTTCCTATGCAAGTTCTCAAATTTTCAAGCCATTGCTATGGGTAGACCATAATTAGGTGATACCATGTCAAATTTTTACTGATAAAAAGGGAAATAACTGGAGAAAAATACATGCCACAGAACTTTATGTAACTTGCCAAAATCATGAACCTTCTATTGGTGTGTAAATTACGAAGCCATTGGTTTAGGTAAAACTTAAGATATAACAAACTTACTAGTTTATGTCTCAAAAAAACATGCCAAGAAATGGAAACATTCTCCATTACTTAGTAAAATCAAGCTAATAATAATTGGGTTATTTCTATTGATACTTATATTACAACAAATCCCAATTTGATGTATCATTTCTCATACCTTTCCTCTCTGCTCTTTTAATTTTTGGCACCTTAAAACTTTTTGTATCTTTCCTGGACATTGTCCCTGCTTATTTTTCTGACACCCCTTACATCACTGAAAATATAACAAGGACCACTTCAAGAAAAAAATTAGTATAAAAACAATTTAACATTTTCCCCAGACAATAACTTTGGAAATATATATTTAAGCAAGCAAAAAAAACATGTATTAAGCAAGTCTACAACAAACTATATAATAGAATTAAGCTTAGTAATAGTATTATACAAAGACATTGATAAATTTTCAAGAATACAAAAGAACTTTTAAAATTTACGCTACTTTGATTATATTTCTCTCATCAACACTCTTTACTATATAAGGCCAAAAAATATCCTTTTGCAACATTCAAATTGACAAAATGACAGTGCATGCACCTGATTGGAAAGAAAGATAAAGTGACCCTAATCTCTAATTGCTTGTGACCTTTTAATATATTATGTCCCAAGTAATGTTTTGGTTCTTTAATAACTGCACTTCCTCTCATTGGTCTCTTTAACAGTGTGAAGTTTCATTGATTGATTGACGAGATATCATTGATATTTAAGAAATTGTACTCCGGACAAGAATTATTAAACGTTTTTAAATAACATTAAAAATCAAGCAAGAAAGTACATGTAATATAATTTGTGGACACTCAGCTTTTTCTCTAACTGTGTTAAGTATTTTTCAAAAAAAATATTCATAAAAATTATATTGGCTATCATAAATCACAATCAAACTGACCAAGCCTTCCACATTTTCACTTTTTATAGTGCTGGGTTACATTTTTTTTTGTGTTGGGCAACATTTTGGGGATAATATATCTTAATGATAATACAATGTATACAAAAAGCTTATGTCAAATACTTCTGACAGTATTGTATGTATACAGTTCAATGTTTATAGATAAAGAAAAACTTTTTAAACACATATTTATGTAATTTCATTGCCTCAACTTCTGAAGAGCATACAATTCAAGAAAGGGGCAAATTACATTACAATATGAATATACAAAAGGTTATTCAATACTCATTAGGAAACAGATCTCAACTTTCATGTGTTTTTAATTATTATGCATTCTGTGCAGTTTAGAGTTCAGATGTATCACTGATGCCACATAATTAGGAGATATGTTACAAGCATCTGATCAACATTAAACAATATCAATCAATAATACTCACAAACTCAAAAGATAATATGCACATATTAAGAGAAATAAACGAAATATCTTAAATTACATCAAGAAGAGTAATAGAGGACACAATATCTGGGAATTGATGTCATTATGCATATGTCAATGTTCTTTCCTTACCATGTTACATTGCACTATACAGTAACTCAATAAGTGAACATAATCATCTTCAAATTTATATGCTTCCTTAAACATGAACATTTTCTGTGACAACCAAGTGTTTTGGTGATGAAATTTTCATTTATTTATGATCTTCATACAAACATAATTTGACTACAGTGAAATTATATTTATCATATAACTTCATTGTCCACTGAAATGACATATAAACTATCTAATGACATATAAACTATCTAAATCATAAACAGCATTTCAAATGAATTATATATATCTAATTAAGATAAAAATCATACTATTAAAAAATCTTAAGGAAGAACTTAAGGTGTTGCCAACATGCCGGTTTAGGTAAACCATATCCATTTTCAAGTACTGAAAAGGGCGATAACTTGAAAAAAATGGAAGCCATAGTTGATTAGTAGATATGTAAATTATGAAGCCATTGGTACAGGTAGAACTTAAGATAAAGCAGATTGGCCCCTTACTCTATAGTTACAAAATAAACTCTATTGTTCTCTTTTTGTCTGCTTACTCTTAGATGACCCCCCTTTCCCTTTTTGGTCGGTGCGAACGGACACTTCATTTTCTCTAAGCCAGGGGGGGGCATAAAAAGTTGACTGCCCTCAACCAATGTCCATGTCTGGATTCTGAAACATTGTTGAAAATCTATACCAGGTAAGACTCTGGTTGCTCATTATGATCATCATACCTTTTGTCATAGAAATGAAAGGTAAAGATGTTTAAAACAATGTTGCTTTGCTTAATCAGTCTAAAAAGTAACTAAAAGAGGCAGCTTTATTTCCTTGAAGATTTTTCTATTGCAGTAATTAATATGTACAAGATTGGCTATTTCATCATTCACTAAATGTCATTTTTAGGCTTAATTAATTTTATTTTTGTGCATTAAATTTTGCAGCTAGTCTAATACTGCCTTCATACAAATGCAATTCTTATTATTTAACATTATGAAAAGCTAAAATGATACATATGCTCAACAAAATCAAAATTCTCGGGCTCTCACTTTTTCTATGATTAAATATACAATGTAGTTTGTCTCACTGAAATGCATGGTAAGGTTTCAAGACCTGTTTGCAGATAGCATGCTATGCTGAATAGTTAAATAAAAGCAACATAGAAAAGGGGGCTTAACTCTGCTAACATGCTTAGAAAACCTACCTGCTTTTGATAGTCAACAAATATTTTAGGTTTAAAATAATAACCTTTAATGATTTTTGAAAAAAAGGCAAATATTCTAGGTCAAGAAGAGAAAATAAGAGAAAATAAGTTAGCAAAAAATAGCTTTCATGTTTATCTGCTCCTTAGAAATTCATTTCAAATTTGATAGTGGACAAGTACTTAATTTCTACAGTGAATATCTCTGATACTTTTTGAAAAATGAACCTTACAAAAACCTTGATAAGAAATTCAAAATAAAAAGGGGGCATAACTGAGAAAAAAAAAGTTAATGAGTTAACCTGCCCTTAAGAAATGCTTTGAAAATGTAGCATTCCAAGTTTGAAGATTGAAAATTGACCTTGATTGAAAAAATTAAGTTAACAAGAACTCTGCACTGCATTTCTTCTCAATAAGATCTATCCCCCTATGAAGTTTCAAGTCAAAAACTTTTATAGTTTAGGAGAAATGGCCTGGACAAAAATAAAGTAAGAAAATTAACAAAGGGCAATAACTCAAAAATCATCAAGTACTAAGTACCGGATTTTGAACATTGCACTGTATCTCAATATGATCTATCTTCCAATGAAGTTTCAAGTCCATAGCTTTTATAGTTTAGGAGAAATGGCCCAGACAAAAATAAAGTATGAAAATTAACAAAGGGCAATAACTCAAAAAATAAGAAGTGCAGAGTGCTGGTTCTTGTGCACTACACTTTTAATGAGATCTATCATACTATAGAGTTTCAAGTCCATAGCTTTTATAGTTAAGGAGAAATGGCCCGGACAAAAATAAAGTATGAAAATTAACAAAGGGCAATAACTCAAAAAATAAGAAGTGCAGAGTGCTGGTTCTTGTGCACTGCACACTTATTAATGAGATCTATCATCCTATAGAGTTTCAAGTCCATAGCTTTTATAGTTTAGGAGAAATGGCCCGGACAAAAATAAAGTATGAAAATTAACAAAGGGCAATAACTCAAAAATTAAGAAGCGCAGAGTAACGATTCTTGTGCACTGCACTTTGGGTCATTGAAAGAAGCATGCATACCAAGTTTGGAGTCAATCTGACTAATAGTGATTGAGTTATGCTCCGGACAAGCTTTAGGGGCCGCCGCCGCCACGGTCGACAAATGTAACCCATTTAAGTCGCCTTTTCAAGGCGACACAAAAAAACTGTGTCATATTTTGAAAGTGAACATGTATAATTATCAAGTTTTATATGAATCACTTTGACAGTTTCTTTGAAAATGGACCAGAGCTAAAAAAGGCATTAAGTTAACTTTGCATGAAATAATTCAAGGATTATCCGCCCTTTTGAACTGGCTTCCTTTTATGACAATAAAACATGTATACCAAGTTTGAAGTAGATTTCATAATTTCTTAGAAAATGGACCTAAAATTAAAAGGCTAACCAAAACCAACAAGGTCAGGACACGAGCTTTTCTTTTTTTTTCGAAAAGTCATGTGAGCTAAAGATGGCTGAACATTGTCTCTTTAGCCTATATAATGTTTAGAAGTTAGTCAATATTAACATTCAAAAGCTGAAAAAACACAACGCTGTTTACATTCTTTCTCAATTAGACACATTATAAAATGCATATAATTAATGCATTATTATACTGCTTAGTATGGACTGAAAGGCTTATAAAATCAGATATGGCAAATCATTTTTCATATCCGCATTAGAGAGAAAACTTCTTTACACTTTGAAGAGTGTGAAGAGCCTGCCCAATTATTGTTTGTATGTTTTAAAATATATCTCTCTATCCCTCTGCAGCTGGCCTGCAAAAATGTTCTTAATTTACAAAAAATAAAATTTCAGAATACATATCAAAGTTTGAGTATGGGATCTGTGGACAATAAAATCTCGAAACAGATTGAGAAATTTCTACAAATAACCACATTACATGACTGTCATTGATCTTATGTATAAATGCCAGAAGCTATAATCAGAATTTTATTAACACAAAAAAATCACTAAATGATTTACTGGTCTTGGATAATGACCAGCAATTAATTCTGATTCTGCTGGCATGTGTGAAGTTACAACCTTTATAGATGCTGCAAGTAAAAACATTTACCAAAAATTTAAAGCTTCTCAAAAAGGAATAATTTAGTAAAAAATCTATGCTGGAGTCTCTGACAGCGACATATTAGGAGTTATGATCAAACATACAAGAGAGCAGTTTCAAGTGAATAACTTCAGTGGTAAATAAAATATGAAGCTACATGAACCAAATCATTATATAAATCACACCAGATATTTAGAATGAAAAATATCAGTGATAAGATGGATCAATTTAAAATTAATTAACAAACTTCTTTTATAAAAATAAATTTACAATCTGACAAAAATATCTTCAGTTGATATATAAAAAGCATCATATAATTGCCTTAAGTAAGCACTCAGGTAAAGGTATCTTTACAATCTTTGAAAAATCTTTTATGAACATTTTTTTCTTAAAGCTAACAACAGAACCTTTTTCTATCCTCATATATTGTTTATATTAACCTGTCAATTGCATACTGATTACACGGTCAATGCACACAATATAAATATTAATCTTCGATAAATGAATTAACGGTAAACTTTGTGAGATGTACTCAGTAAGATATGATTGAATTTAATTTGTTTCTATGAAATAGCTATATACTGACCATTAAAGCGCAATAGGGTAAACTACCGGTTTATAACTTCAAAATGTTCCAACTGTTGTAAGATCTAGACCGCGTTTGTCTATGCTTTTTTCTTATTTATATTTTCCACATTATTGAAGGTATGATTGTTTTTCTTTAAGATGTTCTTTTTGATCTTTTTTTAAATATGTTTTGCACTTATTTTGGCAAAGACAATATACTTTTTAAATAGCATGGTTTAAGAATTAAAATTTAAATCAATAAATGTCATTTCAATGCCATAAAATTCAATACAAAACAAACAAATCTGTGTTTCTAAGTTGTTCCATATCCGTTTAGACTATTTTGCAAGCCCTATTCATTAAAACATACTTCAAAAATAAAAAATGGGTTTAAAAGCAATTGCAAAAGTATGGATCGAACCATAGACCTCTAATATATGAGGTAATCACTCAACCAATTGTGCTACCCGTATTGCGGATATAACCAGAACATAAACATTCAGATAGTGTGACTTTTCAAAACATTACTTATATACTCCAAATTGATTCTCGTAATCGTAACCAAATAAACTAGCTACAATAACTATACAACAATTTAATACAATAAAAATCAGATGACAGTATAAATTGCTCAACATAATCACATCTTCTAACATGACAGACAATAAGATTATTCCTCATTTAAGATCTGAGAATTTTCAAAACAGTTCAAAGATAAATATGAATAATATGTACAACAAAAGAGCTACAACATATAATCCCTTCACTAAATAATCTTGGTGCTTGTCAGAAAAATTGACAGCTATGCAGGTATTTATCAAGAATAATTCCCTAATGAGGTCAATCAAGTTAGTTTTGCACAAACAATTTTCAGAGGCTATAAAACGTTGTTACAGATTACCGAGGATATGGTCCTGTTATCCATCTCTCTAAAAGGTCATGCTAGGTAGTCATTGTAAAGTACCGTACATGTATTTCAGTTTCTAGCTCTAATTTGGACCCCTTAGGGTAATTTAAGTTGTCTGAACTTTACATCTAACATCAACACATGCTACCGACCAAGTTTTGCTATCTTCATTTAATCAATTAAAATGTCATTAATTTAAATATAAGCTAAAGCAGAGAAATGTAATTATTACTTCTAGTAGGAGTGTGCACATTTATTTCAGCAAATACGGTGAAAAAACCAAAATTAAATTTATCAACAGTCATTCCATTGTTTTCAAAATACATTACATCTAAAAAATTTAGCTCTGGTGACAGGCCCCTAATTAAGCTAGATCTTCAACCAACTCTATTTCATGTGATAAAATACAAGCTAGTACAAATCAAGTTTGACAATGAGCCATTCATTTTTTTAGATTATGGAAGGCTTTTCTCATTTCAGCCACGACATGCCTTACAAACAGCCAATTTTACCTATATAATTTGAGCATATTGCAGTTTGGTCAACAAATTAAAGAGATACTCTGGAACTCAGTAAATTTGGCTTCCCCCCCCCATCTGATCCTTGGGGAACAAACAACTTTTACAGTTAAAACTTTTTAAATATATTGATAATAAGCACAATACATTGATCACTCTATTACCATGAAGCTATATAGATATTAACAAATAAAAGTTTGTTTGTACCCTAGGATTACATGGGAACCTGCTGGATTAAATTACAAACACTTTGATGAGTACCCCCATAATACCAGTAGCTTACAAGTTACATTGAAACTTTTGTTTTGTGTTGTTGAGCTTATAAAATATGGATAAACAAGGTGTTATATGCAAATTTAATGAACATGCCTAATGATTAAACTCAGATCAGATGATTATATTATCCTCTTCCCAGATCTAATATATGATGACACATTTACAGAAAGTGACGTAATATTGAAATGGCATTGAAATTTAACAGTCTAAAACTGAACTTTTCCTTTATGGTTAAACAAGGTGTTCAACCATTCAGGAGTATAGTTTAAGATTGGCTCTAAATGATAAAATCCAGGTTTTGTAATCAAAGTAACAATAATGGAAAAAACATGGTTTAATAAAAAGTATTTCTTGGCGATGTAGTAAATAATCAGTAAAAAATCACATCACTTCATTGTGGAACACCATTCTTATCAATTACAATTCATATTACAAAATTGTTTTAAAAAAAATCATATACAGCAAAATTCAGAAGGGTGTGAACCTGAAAATATAAAAGCCACAAACTCCTGTAAAAATGTATTAATTCTGATATTTTGAAATGATCCGCTATTCCTTCTCTTCTCACACACAATGCACTTTTCTCAGTTTACAGCAAGCCAGTTCAACATGTAGTTTCCATATATCCCGACCAAATGATTCACAATGATCAGCGGAATGTTTACGAATGTGTCTGTGCTATTGATCATCTTATGCAACCATATACTGCTGACAACCACAATCACTTCCCAATATGGGTTGAAAAAGAAAATAATCAAATATATAAATTAAAATCTACCATTCACTCAATTCTGTTGACAGGAAATATAATTATACTTTTAAGGTGATGGTTAGAACATCATTCTGATGATGGTTTTTTGTCTGCTAGCATAAAATTTCTTAAGGATTCCTTGTTTAATATCAGTTTGTAAAATTTCTTCACCTCAGTGTTTAAATACTGTTAACAAGAAATGTGTCCATACGACACGGGTGCCCCCACACTCCACCAATTTGTCAATCTTATGTCTCTAGGTCAAATTTTTTTTTTTGGCTATATGTGCCCCAAGTTGAAAACTTAAAATCTTTTATTAAGTAAAGGGCAAATACTACAAATACTGAATAATCCACAAGAAAACCCCAGGGTGCATAAGTACACAACCAACTGCTGACCAACATTCTTGAAAACTTTCAGCTACAGGTCAAATACTGAGTTACGTGAAACACAAGTTGAATATTGTAAATTTTACTAAAACAAGGGCAATAACTCTAAAAATACTAAAAATATCCAGACGAAAATACCCAGGTGCACAACTACACATGCTGATCAACATTCCTGTAAGGTTTCATGACTCTAGGTCAAATAATTTTTGAGTTACATGCGACACAAGTTGAAAATTGGAAATTTTTACTAAGTCAAGGGAAATAACTCTAAAAATACTAAATATATCCACACAAAAATACCCAGCTGCACAACTACACATGCTGATTAAAATTCCAGTAAGGTTTCATGACTCTAGGTCAAATATTTTTTGAGTTATGTGCGACACAAGTTGAAAATTGGAAATTTTTACTAAGTCAAGGGCAATAACTCTAAAAATATCCACACGAAAATACCCATATGCACAACTACACATGCTGATCAACATTCCTGTAAGGTTTCATGACTCTAGGTCAAATACTTTTTTAGTAAAGTGCGACACAAGTCGAAAATTGGAAATTTTTACCAAATCAAGGGCAATAACTCTAAAAATACTAAAAAATATCCACACGAAAACACTCTGTGCACAACTTCACATGCTGATCAACATTCCAGTAAGGTTTCATGACTCTAGGTCAATTACTTTTTGAGCTATGTGTGACATAATAAGAGAACAGGCGGACAGACGGACAAAGGTAAATCTAAATCCCCCCCCCCCCCCATTGTGGGGGCACAAAAACTGTGCATAAATGCAATATTATTTCTTTTTAATATAGAAACTTGTATTTTTGCAAATTAATTGTTCTTTACAACCAACTTTTCCATATGAGCCTTACACTTGTATGAATCCAGTTTGGAACCAGAACGGCAAAAGTTTTCTCCCCTCAATAATTAAGTGCTGTATTATCCAGTAATACAGATTTAGATAAAACTGAACTGAATAATTACAAATGTACTCTTTACAAACTGTTTTAAAAGAGCACCAAATTTTGTAAATACTCTTTTCAATGTCAGGCGATCTACAGGTTTCGGTGTCAGACAGACATGCAACCCTCAAAAGATCCTTTACAAGAGTCTCTTAAGATTGCCACTGAGTTGAGATTTTTTAACATTTTAGATCTAAGCTAGCTCGTATATGATACTGCTTTACAATACACTTAACAAAAGTTCTAACCGATCACTTTTTAAATTTTGATTATTTTATAACGGGTCAATAGATCCTTATACAATTTTACAGATGTGATTTTTGTGTCATTTTCTACCGATTTGTGGAACGAAAAATAATTTAATACGGTTCCATGCACTCACGCGGGAGACAGGGCGCAGTTTACACATTTTGGCACGAAATGTTCGTGCAGAGCATGGTAAGTATTAAATTTTACATTGCATAAATCCTTGTTAACTTTATAAGTGAAAAAACAAAAAACATGGCACGAATGTTGATGCAGGATCGTGCCGTAGCAGTTGGAATGTTGAATGCTGGAGCCTCTATCAGACAGGTGAGTGGCTGTTCATAAAAATAGTTTTCTTCAAATATCGATAAAGTATTATTTAAATAGAAAATGTTATAATTTTATTATTCTCAATGTGTTCATTCTCTTCGAAATAAAACAAAAGTCGGATCTATTGGTATTATTCTTTTTCATATATAAGCGAAAACTCAGGGTGATCGGTTAGAACTTTTGTTGTAGATTATGAATAGCCTGGGATTCAGGTGTTGATATGTTTTGCTTATTCATAACAAACACGCTATTTCATACTCGATCATGTCTTGATATATCCATATGTCGATTTGCCGAACAGAAGCACAAAAAAAAAATTGACAGACTGGAACCCAGGATAGATTATGACAACAGTAGATACATTACTGAGCGTGATAATTTGTAGTATTAGATACATATCTGGCATTATCCATATGATCTTTGGACTGTGTACAATTACAAAGATGCCAATATCATTGTACAGTACTCTGTGTATCTGTGAAATCATCAACAAAATAGTAAAACTCTTTTATAATAAAACAATTTGTCATTTTTATCACATACGTCACTATAAAACAAAATAGATAATTATCATTTACAATTGATTTGGTATCAATTTAATGATACTGACAATCAATTTACAATTGATTTGGTATCAATTTATTGAAACTGACAATCTGTTCAAAGTTATTCTGTTTATAACTTTATTAAATAAAACAACCCCCTCCAACCCACACTTCCCCCAAAATATTGAAGCTCTGTCATATCTGGGTCACCAGGCAATGTTGCATCAGGGTGTTCTTGGTACATAGTTACAATTTTAATAAATATTTTGCATATATATTTAATATTTCCTGTTAAGAAATATATATCCTTCAAATATATGTATACACCAGTTCTTTTTTTTTCTTTATAAAAATTTCATTATTCTAAAATATTTCCCAGCATAGCATAGCTGTAATAGTGCATTCATTTCCCAATTTTGAATAGAAGTCCAAAATGGTGAAAAATAAGGCCTACCCGGTATATAAGAAATGCCATCATTTACAGGTCTACAGATCTTACAATGTTTTTTTATAATATTCACAAAATACTGACAATGAAATTTTAGTGCAGGTAACTGTTAAAATGAATCCAACAACTCAATTGTTATCACCTTAAACAAATGCGAAGTTCTTTAAAATTGAAATATCAAATTTTATTCAAAAAAATAACTGAGCAACGTATTTTTTTCGTCACGTCACATGTCAGAATTTTGAGTTTGTGAACTGTGAATTGGACGTCAAGGTTTTTATATTTTAACCTATTACGCCAAGTCTACTTATCATCAAACTCCGTCTAGTGTCATTATACTTACAAGTGTGAAAATGTTCAGTCCAACGAGACAGAAATTTTGATTTGTTGCGTGCATTTATAGATCTATTAAAATATCTAAATACTTTGGTTCATTATTGTTTCAGAAACGAGGCTTCTAAAACTTGATTTATTAATTTCACCCAAAAGCAGAAGCAATGTATAATCGAGTAATTCTTTTGATTCTGTAGCATTTATTGAATCTATTAATTTACGCATTCCTTTAAAAAGTCAGTCTGACGGTGAACTTTAATTATGTTTAAATAAAGTTTTATCCATTAGCAAATATATATATACTGAGTTATGAAAAGCAAATAGTTATAATTTCGTTTGTGAGTCGGAACGTATTCTTTAGTCAAAACAATCAGCACTGCCATCGGAAAGTTGCTAAAATCTTGCAGTTCTTGTTTATGTACATGGTAGTTAAATTTAACTTCAGTTGGTTGTTGTTATATTATCATGTGATATTTATATATTTTTTATTCATTAAATGATTAAAGTATGAATGAACACAACTTTCATTGATTCGTTCCTTAAATTTTCGAACCATAATTTTCTGGGAATGACAGACTATTCTCTCCCTCAGTTTCTCCCCTCTCTCCGATACCATAGACTCTCACTTTGCCACAAATGTGCCAGAACATTGCCGCAAATTTGCAGTAAACTATGTGCCACAAAAAAATTGCATACGAGGAAACAGTCAAACACTTAACCATAGGCAGCTAGTGTTATCCACTACAGTAAACAATTTTACGTTATATGAATTAATAGTGTTAATTTCAATTACATGGCAGTCAGACTATTCTCTCCCTTACCAGTTCCTTCCCTGACGTTTCCTCCCTGACGGCTCTCTCCCTATTTTGGGGGTGAACCGTCTGCATATTTGCACATAAGCAGACAGTTCCTCCCCATTTTTATTTTTATTAATACATTATTATTCAAGATGTTAAATAAATGGGTAAGAGTTTATAATTAATTACTATAAATTAAATCAGAAGTGTTTAGATGTTAAATAAATGGGTAAGTTTATTATTAAGTGATATAAATTAAGGAAAAATATTTCATTGAAATAATTAGATGTTTGATAATGGAAAAAATTATTATCAAAAATGATTAATGAATTTTAATCGCTAAATTTTATACTAAGCCTGAAAGGAGTTCAATTCTTGTGCATTAAGTTTGTTGTCAGATAATTGAGGTGTTTATTAATTCATTACTCAAGAATCAAGGTGTTGATTAGATTAAAATATCTGAAAAGGGTGTTGATGAGGTCCAAGTGTGAAATTTATGTGATTGCATAGGAGTTGTTGCTTATTTATTTTCAAGAACATGTTACCACCTTATTCGCTATTTAACAAATGAATGAATACCACCAGACCTTAACATAATTACAGGTGTATATCAATCACTGGCCAATAATCTTAACCTCTCACATTGAAGATGTTGATAGGATTAAAATACCTGAAAAAGGTGTTAAATTTACAAACACTTTTCAAATAAACATAAAATACACTTAAATTATTAATATCCAACACATTCTTTTAATAATCTTCATTAATATTATAAGACTATGACAAAACTAAAATGTTATCTTAAAAGAAAAATTGGGGGAGAACTGTCTGCATATTTCAAAATTGGGAGAGAATCGTCAGGGGAGGAAACGGTTTGGGAGAGTATAATCGTCAGGGGGAGGAACTGGTAAGGGAGAGAATAGTCTGTCATTCCAATTACATCCCATATATTGGCCTCTTTGTAACAAGCATGTTTTAGTGGCATAATGGTTTTTTCCAATATGTTAAACTTGCCATTCAATAGTCGTAGTTTCCTTGCTGATTATTTAAAGATTAATTTGAATTCATGACTTCAAAATTGTTTTAAATGCAATGTCCTGTAAATTGAACTGTCTCTGGGAATCCCAGGCTGTCTACACGATTTTGTTCTCTTAAAGACACATTTCTACGGTCAAATGTTTAATTTCATGTTTGTTAAAGTAATGTTTACTTGTATCAAGAATTAAAAATTATTTTGGTAAAATTCCATTCTTTTTTATTGTTTGAAATAAAAGTTACAGCAAAGAAATATCATATTTTGTCCGTTAATATGTAGGATCCCAGTACCTTATTTTTTCCTTTATTTTATTTTTATTATTTTTGCAGGGATGCAGGAAGGTTATTAGGTTATTTCAAAAGTCATTATTGATAATGGCTCGAAGAGATTTTCATTTCCATAAAGAGTATACAAATAGACCTGTCAATTTACGAGTCCTTCTTGATATGGATGGTGTTCTTTGTGACTTTGAAGGTGATTTTTTGGAAGCATTTAAAAGAAAATATCCGGATGAGCCCCATATTGAACTTGAAGACCGAGAAGGGTTTTGGTTAAGAGAGCAATATGAAAAAATGAAGCCAGGCAGTACAGTAAGTTCATATTTTTAAATGTTGCATCGCTTTGACTGATTTTTTTCTAATATTTTACAGCTGAATAAAGGCTTTCCCCTAGTCCAAAAGAGCTATATTTTCGCCTAAAGATACCATTATTTCCCCCTGAAATGCCCTGTGCACATTATTCACCAGAAGCATGGCTTAACAGCAGCTGACATAATAATATCAGCTGGTTGATAAATTTAATTGACTGAGCTATCCATATAGATAGCCTCTGCTATGTACCATGCATGTTTAATCAGATTGAATTGAAAATTTTATAAAATATACATGTGGGTAAATTTCATGTTTTCCCCCTTTTCACGAAGTTAGTATTTAGAACTACAAGCTACCATTTCTTCTTTGAATTACCAGTTTCTTGATGATGAATAAGGTAATCTTGGTACTGTTATTAACTCAGAAAAAAACTTACGTGTTAATAAAGCGTGACTGTCCTAAACATAGTATTTTGTATCATATTTGTACAATAATGCTATAATATTACATATAGATCTAATTAAAGATTTAGTAATTTCTAAATCAAAAGTCTAAGCAGATTTATGAATAGATAATGTATCATTCTATATTTCAGCCTCTGTGTTCAGCTATTTATAATTCAAGAGGGTTCTTTCAAAATCTAAGTGAAATTCCAGGTGCTGTAGATGCAGCCAGGGAAATGGCTATATTGGAAGGGTTTGTCAATCATTTGTATTTTTTATGTATATTTTTACTATGAATGAATGTTGTATTTTAAAAATTTTAGACATTGTAAACAATTTAGTTGTTAAACTTTGTTGAAGGGGATTTTCAGCAAATTGTTTGAAGAAGTTCACAATAGATGAAAGAATGCAGTTCTTAATACACTACTAGTGGTGAAAAATTTCATTTCACAATGGCACTAAACTCGTTTGAACACTAGATATTGACATGATTCAAGTAACTATTCCTAATTGATGACTGTTTGAGATTAGTTAAATTCACCAGATTATGTATTATCTATTTGTTTTACATTACTCTTGATAAATAGATGGAGTAGTTTGATGGAGACTTTTGTTGCCTTACAGAGTTGATGTGTTCATTTGTACTAGTCCTTTAAACAACTACAAATACTGCCTGAAAGAAAAGGTAAATCTTGATGCTAATTTCTGTCTGTGTTTTTTTTTAAATTAGTACTAACAATCTGAGTTATATCAATTTTACACGATGTAGGATAAAACTGTCAATGCATCTCTATGAAAGAAATGTATCTAGTTGAAAGTAGAAAGAAAATCCCAAGTTAATCTTTATATCTTATTCAAATAAAGCTTTCCAATTATACTTTCATACAAGAAATGCCCAGGCAATATAAATGGTGAATTTTCAGTTTGATATGTAGGGATTTTCAACAACTGGTCACATTTATAATTTTATGAGTTTAAGAAATAAAAAAGTGATTTTTAAAACTGGGTTAGATTTTTGTTGTCAATGCTTCTAACTATTTAATTATAACGTTGGTAACAGTATCTGTGTGGTATTTTTCAGTTTCATTGGGTAGAGAAACATCTAGGAAGAAATTGGTGTGAAAAAATAATCCTGACAAAAGATAAAACAATGGCAAATGGTCACCTTCTCATAGATGACAGACCAAATATATCTGGTAACTATGGTAACAGTTTATTAAAGTACAAGGTGTTGAGTTTAGTCTATGTATAGTATCCTGGGCTAACTTTTGATTTGTCAAATGTGAAGAAAAAACAACAAAGGCTTACATGCTTTATGCTTAAATACTGTTAGAAAATCCCTGCAGCAAGCCTAGGGTCTGAAATGCCCTTCTTGTCATTATGCATTAGTTATTTGAAAATGGTCTTTCTCTAATATTTCAGTAACTTAATATGCTTATTGTTAGATTTTGTAAAAAATTTGAAATGATAATTCTAAAAACAAGTTTCAATTACATAATGTAGCAAATTCCTTTGCAGGTGCAAATGTGAGTCCTTCATGGGAGCATGTTGTGTTTACGTCTTGTCACAATCGTACAACAGATATACGAGGTAAAAGAAGACTTGACAACTGGACTGATGGCTCATGGAGAGATCTGATAGACGACTTTAAGAAACGTATAGGATAACTCCCAGTGTTTGATCTATATTACCTGAGCATTTTCTGTGATAAAGATAGGGTGTGTGAAAAGTGATATATTGAGATATAAGATCAGTTTAAACCTAAAAACAATTTTGTTTCAAATATGAATTTCAGTAGTATTTTACTGCCAATTTGGCACTCTATTTTAGATAAGTTAACATATCTGTCTCTCAGTGTTTGAGCTCTACTTAGGTTACAACCATGTTTTCTGATATGACATCTGTAATGGTTTGTTCCAGGGACCTGACTTGAAAAAGATTAACATAAGTACATAAAGAAAAAACTTGTTTCACAATGAATGTAAATGTTTTTAATTAAGATCATGGTTTTCATATCTCATTAATTAAGTGTCTTGTGCTGTAGGTTTAAACATTTCAACATAACTGAGTGTACAAACATGGGTGGGTAAAATAGACATTTGATAAAGATGTATTTAGTATTAGACCTGATATATTGAAAACAGCAAGTCTCATCTTTTTCAGAGGGTGCTTTTGATTTGGTTTATGTTCTAGTTTCTTTTTTCCTCTGTAGTGAAGTTAATAGGTTTAGGAATAATTGTTTGCTTTGGAATTTCATTTAATTCAACTGAACAACCTCAAATGATTTTTAATGTCCTCTCATTAGTTGAAATGGTTTCCCATTAGCTGTCTTACCTGCAGGAAAATTTTCTGTTGTGTTTTGAACACTAATATTTATAGTCATACTTACATTAATTATTTCGCTCTTAAAGCTGAGTTTGCCAATGTTACAAAAGCTGGCAGTATTTCCTCACCTGTTCCAAGATTTTTATGCCCCTGCCATAAAATGGCTGGGGCATTTAGTGTTACCATGTTCCATCATTCTTTCATTCCATCATCATCATCATCAGTTTCCATTCATTATCTTGGCAACAGTTGCACACATTCAACTCAAATTTGACATATGGATTTATCATAGGAAAATGCATGTCAAGTTTTTGGTCATGCTTTGATGATTTTTGACCCCTTGAAGAAATTTTCAGTTTCTGTTCATAATCTTCCCAACAGTTGTACACATTCAACTCAAATTTGTGTGTACATAAAAAGAATGTCCAGCCAAGTTAACTATGGTCATGGTTTGATGATTTTTGGCAGTGCTATGCTCCTTTAACTTTGAAAAAAAGAAGAAATTTTTAGTTTCCATTCATTATCTCTCTAACAGTTGTACACATTCAACTCAAATTAACAAGATGGATATGTCATAGGAATATGCAGGTCAAGTTCGAATTTGGTCAGGGTTCGGTGATTTTTGACAGAAAAACTTTGAAAAGAAAAGAGAATTATTCTTTTTCCGTTCATTACCTCCCCAGCAGTTGTACACATTCAACTTAAATATATATGGATATGTGATAGGAATACGCAGGTCAAGTTAGAATTCGTTCAATGTTCGATAATTTTTGACAGAGTTATCCCTCTTGAACTTTGAAAAAATAAGAAATTTTCAGTTTCTGTTCATTATCTCATAACAGTTGTACACATTTATCTCAAATTTGATATATAGATACATCATAGGAATGAGCAGGTCAAGTTCAAATTTTGTCAAGGTTTAATAATTTTTGACAAAGTTATCCCTCTTGAACGGTGGAAATGTTTTTGAAATTTTCAGTTTCAGCACTCATACTTGTGTAGAAATGTATGTATAAGCCTGTGCTGGTATTTAACCAGAAAATACAAGTCGAGTTCAAATTTGGTTTTGGTCAGATGAATTTTTACAGAGTAATCCATTTTGAACTTAGAAAAAATAAGAAATCAAAGTACTGGTAAGATAAAAATGAAGAAATACAACACGTCAACACCAGTGCAGGTTGAGTAATTAAATAATCTACCAGTTTCGGTTCTAACGAAACTTCACCAAGATAACATTTTACAAAATTTTTGAACATAAGTATACAAAACATAGATGTCTTACATGGATGTCTTTAATTGTTGCTAAAAAAAAATAGAAAATACTGGCATTGTGCCAATCAACGTTTTAAATGTTATTTTGGAAAGAATTGAGCATTAAAAAATCATCCTGGTTGTTACGAATATTCTGTAGTTTTAAAGATTCCATATGTAGAATAGATGGAACTAAACAATATCCTCTATATAATTTGTTCATTTTCACTATTAAACATGGCAGTTTCATCTTGGCATATAGTTTCAGTAGGTTGGCTTGATATGCAGAGGAGAGGTTGGTTCAGGAAAATTAAAGCCAATTTTGTCAATGTCGTATTTCTTTGTAGTGTTGGTCATTTCTATATGCCCGAAAGGGCATATTATGTTATACCCCCTGGCGTCTGTCCGTCCGTACGTATGTCCGCACTCACAGGAGAGTAATTATGTGGCTAGACTGTTCTTTCTCTTTGATGTCATTCATTCTGTAATGCTTTTATGTGGCTATTTTCTTTTGTGTGGCTAAAAAGAACAATAGAGAGAACAATAGAGTAGCCACATAATTACTCTCCTGTTAGAACTTCCGTCTGTCCATCCGTTAGCAATTTGGTTTCCGGAGCATTACTTAAGTTCCATTTGGCCCACAATGTTCAAACTTCATAGGATGATTGTCCATATTGGGTAGAAGACCCCTATTGATTTTGGGGTCAAAAGGTCAAGGGTCAAGGTCACTAAATCCTTAAAACTGAAAACAGTTTCCAGAGCATAACTTAAGTTCCATTTGGCCCACAATATTCAAACTTCATAGGATGATTGTCCATATTAGGTAGAAGACCCCTATTGATTTTGGGGTCACAAGGTCAGTCACTTTTACCTTAATACTGAAAACAGCTTCTAGAGCATAATTAAAGTTCCAATTGGCCCACAATATTCAAACTTCTTAGGATGATTGTCCATATAAGGTAGAAGACTCCTATTGATTTTGGGGTCACAAGGTCAAAGGTTAAGGTCATTATTAATAACTTAAGTATTAATCAACCTACAGCTGTAAAATTTTATAGGATGAACAGCTAATTCCCATGTCTTACAAATGCCTCATCCTTACTAAAAAAACAACACTTTCAGGCATATAATGCTCCGCCTAGCCCTGCTCTTGTTAGTTATGGCTGTCTGGATTTGCCGAGTATTTGTCTCATTTTTGGTGTTTTGCATAGAACCTTTATGTTACTTTCTTGGAATTTAGTTGTTAGTCTTCTAAATTGTTTTGGAGTTGTAGTTGGTTTCTTGGAACCCATGTATTTTTAAAGAATGGTCTTTGAGTGTGTCTCTTCTTTTACATTCCTTTTGGCACCATGAACAAAGAATAATTTTTTATTGTTTCTTCATGTGTTTCTCTATGTCTATCTCTTTTTCCCCTTGTGTTAAATTTCTTCTTGCAGGTTCTGCAGCTGAATTGTGTAGTGTGTATGAAGTTAAATGCATTTAGTTCATCTTGAGTGTAATCTTTGAGTTTATACGCATTAAATGTTGCACCTTTTAGCATTATTGTAAATTCATTCCATTGGGTGTCCTAGTTTTCAATTTTCTAATGTAAACTTCTTCTGTTCTTAAACATTCATTTAAATTCCGTTGTGTTGTTTGGATTAATATGACGTACATGTTGCTAACGTCGTGTATTTTTGCGAAATGCTACGCAGCTGGTTTGGTGCTGTTTTCGTTTTTGATGTCTGTTGAATGTGTGTAGAATCGTTCCCTTAATGTATTGCCTGTCTGGCCAACATACTTTAACTTGCAATATATACATTTGATAAGATAAATTGAAGATAAGTATGTAAAGTTACTGCCAATTTGAAATGTTTCTCCTGTAACCATGCTGGTAAATTGTTAAGTACTAAACATAAACTTACATAATAGACAATTTTTGTTACATGGAAATGTCCCATTTGTTTGCAATTTGAGAATTAAATCCAATTTGATAAGATTTTGCTCTTGGATGTACTGTTAAAATTGTTGAATTGTTTATGAAACCCGTAGAATTGTTGTTCATGAGTAAACTAAGATGGGTATTAATGAAACGTGAGGGTTGAAGGGACTGTATGTAATTACCACCTTTGTTCAGCATTAAGTAGTTCTAAGCAGTTTAATTTCCCAGTAATAAGAAATGTTCAGTTTCAGCTTTAGTTGGAATGTATGTCCAAGGTTGACATTGCATGTGCTGGTATTTTACCAGAAAATACAAGTCAAGTTCTAATTTGGTCATTGTCAGATGTTTTTGACAGTTATCTCCCTTGAACTTGGAAAAGATTTAGAATTCTAATTCTGATCATTATCTTGGCTACAAATATGCAATTTGTAAAAAGTTAACACTGAATAGTTTTAGGGCCTTGAATTTTGTATAAAAATGGTTTGTGTTAAGTTTGAATCAAATACTTTAAGGGCCTTGAACTTAGAATGGTTGTTGCAAACAAATTTGAAACTAAATATTATTATAACTTTTGAATTTTGGCTGCATGCGGGGGCATTCGTGGCATTACGACACATTTCTAGTCTTAAAAAAAATCAATTTTTTCTGCCTATTCGCTGTCTTTATTGCTCCCTTGGGATTCCTGGTTCTGTTTGCATAAGAATGAGGCTATTGTGTCATCACTGTCTGAATCTTCAGAACAGGATGCGGGACTTTCTGCCTCCATCAGTTCAATGCGTTTCGATGAAGTTTCGCCATTCCTACTTTCAGTTTTTCTCTTGTTCTTAATTGAAACTATTTCTGGCACTCTGCCAAGTTTGTCTGTAAGATAAAATGCCCCCTGACAATTTTTCTGGTTGATGAAGGCTTATGAAAAATTTTGTATGTTATATTTCTAACTTAATACGTTAAAAGTCTAACAATCCATTTCAATTTAAGCATAAAAGCTAACCCATCAAGAAATGATTTTTTAATGTCTCAATTTTCTAAATTTAAATAGAAAATGTGATATACATTATAACGATGTACATCCATCATGTGGTGGTAAAACAATTTAGGAATATCCATGTATGATAATATGATAATATGCCTTTTGAATTTTGCCATGTTACCTACATATCATATATAATGTAAGTTTTAACAATTATAAACAAATAAAAACAACACAGCATTTGGTACAAGTATACAGCTAGGCCAGTCTCCACATTCATGGAGTCAAACCAGGTTGTAATCTATAAGCAGAATAATTTTAATTTTTTACTTTGATGAGTTCAAAAATTGATAGCTGGGAATCTAATTAAAATGAGTGTTCTTTGTCATTTGTTCACTAAAAGTCAGCTTGTCCTCTTTGTTTGCTTTTCTTTTCATTCCTTGACTTCAAGTGGAAGTGTTACCTTTGATCCTAAGCGATTTCTCTTACTTCTATATTGTTAATAGAATTGCCATTTACAGGATTACTTCCCACTTATTAAAAGCTAACTTAAAAAAGAAATTTATGATACTTTTTAAATGTACCATTTTATATATGCAAGTAATGAATAAACATGGAGAATAGCTAAAATCCAGGATTTTCCTTTCTTTCAAGTCAAGTTTGATACCAGCTGAACTGGTAAGAAATAAGAAGTTATATGTGAATTAATACAACTAGGTCAATGATGATCAATTTGTTGTTGGGATCACCCTTTAGTTTCATTGCAGCATATTTGTGATAAGTGGTTGCTGGTAAGAAGTGTTCATTGGCCATGGTTATGGTGGCCACAGTAATGTTGATGTCGAGTGGACACTGTATATGTTACTGACTACCATTCTTAAGATCATGTAGTTCCATGAAGTTGTCTTACAACTTGCTAGATTTTATTTCCTTTTTCACATAAAAGCTTCAATAGATATCCTTAGCTTAAGGTACTGGAAAATCATTTCTTATTTATTGGGGGTATTTGTGCATCAGGTCAACCACGAAATTATGTCCCGATGAACAAATTGTTACCAAGATAATATAAAGTATGCTCAATCAGTAAACAGAACCATAAAAAGATGTGCGATGTGATTCGCAGTTCCATAGATCTTTGATGTCACCTGTGACTATGGTGTATCTTTATGGAAGTATTCATTGAAAACTAAACCGACTGATAAGAATTTCATTCAGGCATGTACCCATGTTTTGTTTAAGAAATAATATATCCAAAACAGTGATTTTATCGCTCAATAAAATCACTATTTGGAGTTCGGATGGAAGGAATTAAATAATGATGTGCGTTCAAATGACAAACAGTGATTTTATCAAGCGATAAAATCATCAATTTGGATGATTATATTATTTCTATTCTAACACGACATCAAAAAACAAATGCTGCCGTACCTGATATTAAGCTAAATTGCACCGGATTTGTTTCCATACTTATTTTCAGCGCGTCACATTTTTAGTGGTTACGCCACATGTATGTTTATGTCACATGTTTAAATATAGAACGTCAAACAGTGAACATGGAACATGGCCTGGCCACATCTGGCATAGGACAAACAAACACACTTTGTGACACAGTGAACTAATCTCATACAGTTTCACTAACATGATGTATCTAGCCCAAAAATATTTACAGGTAATTGTCATTCAAACCAAATGTTATATCTTGTTAATACTTTCCAAGTAAATGTTAAGTTGGACATCTTACATAATTTCTAGGATAACTGTATTAATGACACTGCTTCAGATGATCTCAAATATGTCAGGACAATACTAACATTCCAAGTACACATGTATGTAGGTAATCTTGTGTTATAGTTATATCATCATTTAGCTAGTTTATAAATATATACATATTGCGCATGCTCAGTAACATGTCTAGTCATTGTTTTGATGAGAATAAAACATCTTGTTGCTGGTCTAGCAGTATTTAAAGTACTGAAACTTAAGTCTTTAAAAGAAATTTTAGTATTTGGTTGATATTGGGTTCAAGGTCCACAGAAATGTATCCCTTTTCCAATTTATCTGGTGTTGGGTTGAACCTCTCCATGACTTGAGAAAGAGCACCTGAAATGAAATTTTCAAACGAAAAAGGAGCATAATTTTGTTAAAATCAATGAAAGATTTCTTTTTTGATGTGATTAAAGTTTTGTGTAAATGGATTCCCATCCCAGTGGAGTAGGATAGTTTCCTTATTCTCCAAATAGTGAAGCAAAATTGAAATATATATATATATTTATATTGCACACTAAATACAAAGGAATCAGAATATGAATTTCTGCTTTATTGCTCTGACAAACTTATTTATATTGCATTTTTTATGGCAAGAGTTATTGATTAATGCTATGTAGCTTCTGTGATAATTATTATGTTTATAATTATTATGCTATTATGTTTTAATGTTATTTAGACAGTCAATCAATAAGGAATATATGAAATTAATGTTTTAAAGTTTTGTACCTATAATAATGTATAGATGTGTTTGATTTTATATGCAACTTGTTTCTAAATGTGAACTATTAAGTTCTATATTTTTACATGCTAACTTGGGGCTTAGTTTGGGGGGTCCCGGGATTATTAGCTCTTGAAGAACTGTCTCTTGAAACAGCCCCACAATCACAATTATGATTGTTTTAAATTACATGTACTGTATGTTTTGTTATTTTCTTATATAACTTTTGCATAAAATTAGAGAAATATATTTGAATTTTATTTATTCATTTCCAGTCCTGGAAAGTCTAGATTGGTTGCTTTTTAGTTAAAGGAGAAAAAAATCTACAGCAATAGCTACCAACCAGCCAGCTTGCCCAGTTATACCCTGTGCTTGATAGTGAAATAAGGTACAGCCAGGACAATGAGTATATTCTCTTAGTTTACAAAGAGATCTTATTCAGTAAAACTTGATGCTTATTGCTCGAGTTATGGGTCTTGAATTAAAGATGAGTCTAGATGACCCTAAAGTTTGAATATATTCAGTGGCCTTTGAAACCTGTAGTTGCATGCATAAGCCTCAGCCAAGTGTTGAGTTGGGGCCAAAGGTGAGTATCCCCCACAGTTCAAGTTTAAATTCCTTGCAAGAATAAGTGCTACAGACTTATGTTAAGACAAATGTCTTGGAGATGCATACCTGGAAAATTTGGTACTTTCCTCATATGTTTGTCTGTTTGGTGTCTGTCCATCTAAATTAAATGGAGCATTAACTTCAACTATAACAGGAACCAACATCTTTCATATGTGGTAACATCTCACTGAGAAGACCTGCAGCACACCTCCAGATTAAGGTTAATTTTCATGAAAATTTGGGAAATGTTTTTAAAAGCAAAATATTGCGAAATGAACAAATAAAGCAATTTGCATTTTTCAATCGGCACTTACAATCCAAGAAAAACACCAAAAAGTGGTCAACATATGCAAAAACAGCACTCACTGCATTAGTAACGCAGTAGAAATATGGTAATAAAATACTGCAAAAGCAGTCTTAAACTGAATATAACAGGTAAAATATCACTTGGATCTTTTACCTTTCTTAAAATTTTAGAACATTTTTCTCAATATTGATTTTCTTGAAATATTTTGGCTCATCTTGAGGTGTGCAGCTTTAAGATAAAAGTTACTGCCCTTTAAAATTGTTCATACTTGATTTTTCTATGTGACATAACTCACTGTTGCTATGTTTTAAAAGGATGTCCTTTTGCTTAGCAATGTGCTCTGTATTATAATAATGCTCTTAGGTCTGAAGTACATTGTACTACAAAGCTTAAATCAAGTGGTTGTACAATTTGATGGTGCCAAGGTTAAAATGACAGAAAAATGACACGATTTTTAGCACATTTCAGCATATTTAAAGGCAGTTTTAAGAAGTAATTTTGACCAGCAGTTTTAGAAGAGTAACACAATGTTTTGTCATCACATACATCTATTCTAAAACATTGTGGATAAACAACTCTTCTTCCTGTTTTCGCAAGAAGAGTACAAGTATACAGTATAAGATAGGTACTGTCCACTTAAGTGGCAGATTCTTGTAATAACCAGACATGGTGCATAATGATATGTAAAAGCTTGCAAGACGTTGTACCATCATGTAAAAACTCTTGGGTCTGGAAAGCAAGAAATAAAAGAAAACAAAACAACACAGCAATAAAATTGTCACAATTTTTATTATATCACTGATTGAAGCATTTTGTAATAAATAAACTAATTTTCTTACTTGTCCCTACAACTTTGTAAAGGATTATAGCAGAAGATGAAAGTAAATGTGATACATAGATGTCAAAAATATATTGTAATTTCAATTCAGAAATGATTGATGTTAATGTATGACAACTGTTTTACAAACTTTACACGCTATATCATTACAGCTACAAATTCATATTTTAGTTTTAAGGGAGTGCAATCTAAACCCTGATGACAGCAGAAATATTGTATCTTCAAAGGAATTTTAATTATGTAAGCATAACATATGTTATCAAGGCATTTTCAAATGTAATAGCACAATCTGTGTTGAACATGTAGAGATAATAAAACCTAGCATAATTGCAAGAGAGACAATTCCAATGAACAGAATCATTGACAAATTAGGTAATATATGTAGAAGTATCTGTAGACTTCATTTCTAACATTATACAATGACAAATTAGGACTTCAACATTTTAATAACAATATAGTCCTCTCCAGATTTTTTTTACCAAACAACAGAAAGTGTCTAACCAAATATATACATGTTTTAATAAAGAAAAGTTATGCTTTCAGTTTTCAATACTTTCCCTTCTGCACATGAAAGGCAAATTATAATGCTTAACAACAGTGTCACTGTCAATAAATTCAAACTAATTTAAATAAAATAAGAACATTTCTCAATTGTAAATGATACAAAATAATACAAAAATGTCACAACTCGTCAGACATTTATTGAGAAATATTCAAAATTTGAAATATCATTTCTATCACCTTCGTTTCCATCCCTTGCAAACTTGTTTTACAATATCTTCCACAAAACTGATGATAAAAAAATGCCAGCCTTATTCATCTATAAAATGTTGTTAAAAAAAAAATCTTTCATTTTATGAAAATATAGCATTAACAAAGAAATTTAGCTTTTGTTATCAAATAAATTGCTGGTCTATTTATCATAACTATTGTTAAAAAAAAAAGTGAAATATGAAAATATTCAAATAAACCAATTGTGACTCTTTTCTCTTCAAGAAAATATAGCAATAATTGAAACATTAAGCACATTTATAATTCAATTCTCCTTCATTCATATATAACTTACTAGCAGTATCATGATATAGCCAGAAAATAAAAATATAACATTATCAACTCAGTCCTTGTTTATGTATAATGCTAGAAAACATTGGAATTAACAGCATGATGTTTGTTCATGGCAATATTTTGTTTAGCACTTGTAATATACACTCAATATCTGATCTTCTCTTAGTGACCTTCACACTGTATTCAGTATGTCTGCATTTTTGAACTACCTGGAATATCATCTTCATGCATTCCAGAGCTCTGAAACAAATAGTTATAAGGAAATTCAGTTCTGTAGCACTTGGAATAATGAAAAAATCACAGAAATCCCTTGTCCTTATCTTTTAAATTTCAGGGGTAATTCACTGTTATACTTTCAATGACATCATTTTGAAAAAAACAAAAACATTGAGGATTGTTTCCTCATGCCAGCAGTCAATTTTTTAAAATTTTATTACTTTTATTTTTATTATATTTTATTACATGTACATGTATTTCAGTTGTGTGGAAGCCTTTATTTTATTTTTCTAACAATAAGCATCTTTTCTTTTCAACTGATGATAATGTATCAGTAAAATTTTAAAATGAAAATTAAGGGATATAATTTTTGTAATGATAGCAGAACAATGCAATTTTAAATTATTACAGATAATGAATCAATCAAATTAAAACAATCATTAATGTAGGCAGCTTTTTATATTTCTCACATTAGTACATTAATTAAGAGCACACAAGCTAAGAACTTTCAGAACATAGTTTCCAAGTTATTAATTAATAAACTAATTTTTACAGAAAATGATTTGATAACATTAAGCTTTTGTCTATAACTAAGTTATTTTTACAAAAAGGGCTTCACTACTTTTTGTATCACTAGCAGATCTGACAGTAGTGAATAGTTTACTCACCTTCTGAACATATTGAGGATTCACAGCTATTTCGTTGTCCATTTCCTTCAACTTCGCATCTAACTGTATACATTTCTGCATCTGTATTAATATGAAGACAAATTTTATCATAGTAAAATAATTATTGTCTTCAAATATTTAAAAAAAAAACCTTTATTAGTCTGAGAAAAACAAATTCGGTCATAGATAAGCACAAAATACTAGAAGTTAGCCTATAAGTTTATAATCAAACTTTGACATTGCCATGATTACCATTCCTTTATCAAAATATATAATTCAGCAAGTTCGAGTAAACAATACATTTTACAGGATAAATCAATAAACCAATATAATAAGTTCTAAGCATATACATGATGTACTGATTTTGAGTGTTAAACAATTCAGTAATCATTTACAGGCATTACGAGACCACAACAGAGCATGTACCAGATTTTATCATGAACAGTCTTCACAAGATTATAATGTTCTGTTCCTTTATACTCAGTTACACCAACAGGCATATCCTAATATTATGTTTTCACTCCTATATTAAAGTCAACAATAAAACAAGAAGTTTTATTGTCCACAAGGTGAGGAAACTTGGCCACGCATTTATGCTGAAGATAGAGCAAGTTCTGACAGCAATTTGGAGAGGTTGGTACAAAAACTTTGTAACTCTTTCATGTTGTACAAGTTTTAACCGTTTAACACCAAGTCCTGTATGCATTTTGCAATTTCTTAATACAAACAAACATTAAAAGTAATCAGATCTTAAGGTGGTGCAGAAAACCAACATGTTATACAAATCACCATTTTAATACAACATGTTATACAAATCACCATTTTAATACTTTTTGAAATACATGTAATACATTCGCAAGTTTGTTTTAAAACCTCCTTGAATGAGAGAGAAAATAGCACAACAGAAAAGTAACTCAAGATGATGATACCTCTTGATCTAGCTGTAACAACATACGACTACTGTTGTATTTCTCCGGGTTATCATGAAACCGTACCATACCATCTTTTTGATTTATTGTAGCAAATATTTCTCCATCTTCAATCTATACATTATACCAATGATGAAGAATGAGTATATGCACATCTATAAACAAAACTTGTAATATTCTAAGACACAGTTTATTTACAAAATTTCAACATGAAGTATGAATTCTTTCACAATGATCAACAACAAACTTAAATGTACATTATATATGTATATAAGCAAACTTTCATTTTAATATTGACAAGTTGACTGAAATAACTTTAACTTGGCATAAATTTTAAATTGACTGTCAGTATTCGGTGAAATGTGTGTAAAATAAATAATATATTTATTAAGTATTGAAGCAGATGTTTTCTTAAAGTGAATTGGTCTATAATGGAAGGTCTTTATTTCAATAATTATGTTGATAACATTAAGTATCAAACATAACAACAAAACAAGAAAGCATTATCTATGGATGTTGTTGGCAAGTGTGAGATACATGATCTGGTATTGCATATATTCATGTAGCACATGATATAAATTGTTCTACGACAAAATATTATTTTCATCAATACTTGTGTAGACCCATCCACTATTGTAATAAATTCCATGTAAAAATGATAACATAATAGAATTTTTTTAACTACAACTTATCTTACACTATTGTATCCTAAGTATTTTGTTTTATTTTTTTTTAAAAACTGTGTAAGCAAGAATGTAAGGTGAAGTTACCATGTGGAGAACATATTTTTCTGCTTCTTTTGGCCCTGATAACTTCACTCTGTTTGCCATGTCAGTGAGTGACAGCGTCAAAAATGTCTGAAATATAAACAACAGACATTTGTACAATTTTCATATCAAATATAATTCATATATAATAATGCAAATGTTAAATTTTACAGTCAAACTATTTAATAAATGAGAAGTTTTGGTGAAACATACTACCAACATCAAGTATGTATACTGTTTTTATCATATAATTCTACTAATCTTAAAAATATAAGGTTTTAATCAGGAATATAATGGTCAAACTACTAAGGTCACATGGCATCATTTATGTAACAAATGAAAGGTCTTTGAATTTCATTTTAGACTGCTTTGGTTAAGATGAGTGGTTTAAATGTCTGACTTATAAGAATAAGATATTTACTTGCCACTCATAGATCTAGGTTTTGATCCTGTAGGGACATTAATGTCGTCCTATTCATATGATAATATTCATGCCATTTCCCTAATTAGAATTAAGCACACATGCCCACAAAAGCCATTTTGTAAATAACCTTCATTTTATTTAACTGCAATTTAGCATTAAGAATAGAATTCTGAAAAATAATTTAATTTATGTTTTTTTACGCTATTGAGTTTATACATAAACTAACATTCCAAAACATAATAGCCTCATTCTCTTTAAGAGAGCATCTTTTATTATTAATTTCCTACTGAGTCAGTAACTATCAACTAATATCTGGCCATATCATATCTTAATAACTTCAAACTCACTTTAGTCACATCAGCTTTCCATTACAGCAAAAAGAATTGATCTCTATCCAATAGTTAAATTATAGATTTTTTTACAGATTTTTCAAGATTTTGGCTAAGTTAAGGCCCATCACTCAGGTGAAGCTGGTTCAACAGTATATTTTAGGTAAATTTTGTAGATGCACACAATTTTCAAATAAAATGCCTAAAATTAAAATATTATATTGGCAATAGCTCTGAAGTTACTGTTCAGATATAGTCATTTACTGAAGGAGCAGTGTATAGAATACCTTAATTTAGGCAAGGGCAAGACTTACTGGTCTGTTAAAAAAATAAAAACCCATGTGAGCAATATCTCACCATAATGAACTATTTAGTAAGGTTCACACATATAGACAAATGTAGGCTCCTCCATGTACCCACTATGAAGTGGGTATATAACAAAACTCCCAATATAACCATACCTTTGTTAATCTTTGAATATTTTTCTTGAATATTGACGTTAAACACTGTTTCACAAGACCCAAGTTGTTTTCCTGTAAATAAGAAGACAGACATATGAATGCAGGGTTCCCTCTGGGTCAAAATTAGTTTGCGCCACCAAATTCGCCAATCAGAAAAAGTTGGAGCCAATGGCTCCAAAGTGGAGCCAAGAATTAATATTTTGTCGCATTTGGCGCCATTGGCGAGCGACAGCGGGAACCCTGTGAATGTACATATACCTAAACAGAATAACAAAACAGTGAAAATTCTCAATGTATAGTTATTTTTCTTAATATATTCCTTTTAAAAATGTTTGGTCCACATAGCCTTTATCTTTAGAAATCATGTTTCAACTAAACTTAAAACTTTTAGATTTATAACTTTATATTGCTAATTGCTTGAAATAGATTTAATTTATATCAAATCCAATACCAATAGAGTACAGAAACCAGTATTAAATTGCATGATATTTTTTCACAAAACGTAACACTTTCTCTTATCTATTATTAGTAGATATTACAAGAACATTATAAATCATACTACAAGGAACATTTTTCCTAAACCAAAGTAACATACCCTACTAAAGGTATCTTGATGTTTTTCCACATTCCTCTGGAGTTCTTCTGGGTTATTTGAGGCGTAGGAGTTTACTAAATCATGGTATGGTTGACACACAGGCTGAGAATTAAAAATAATGAAAAACTTATGATTTTATAATAAATCCATAAAATATCAGTTGATTCTTTACAAGTCTGATAAACAGACAAAATAAATGTTTTTTTTTTATAAAAAAAAATATGACTAAAAATTCCCAATGACTAAAATATTCATAAACTGGATGTTGTCCCTTTTTATAACTCAAAAACAACAACTCAAAAGCTAGCCAATTGTATTGGGTGGAATAAAACTTAACATTTTATGTCTCAAATTTTCTATACAGCTTTTTTCCCAACCTTTTTCATAAGAAGTGAGTACAACTGGGATCTTTAAATCAAGAATCTATTTTTAAGAGAAATATGTCTCTACAAAAAAACAACATGTTATTGTTGGCAACATGTTGTGAAAAAAACCAGATTTTTTAGCAATTCATAACGAGTCCCTATATTGGACCTGTCTATACAAGTGAAAAACACTGATATTAAAATACATAGACTCAATACAAAAATGTTCTAAACAACACAACAATATTTCTTGCCTAATACAGCTACCATATTTATTTCTACAGAAGTCTTCTAACTTTCTAAGTGTCTTACCTTTATATATCTGGCTACAACTTGAGATGTGTATTTTGGTAATGTAGGTAGCTGGAACAAAAAAATAAAACAAAATAAATGAAAATGCAAATTACACATAAATCAGAAAATGCTGTATAAAGATTTTTTTCCCATAAATTTATGGGAGCCACAAATTAACAAAGATAAAACAGAAGCATTTTCAGAACATTCCCTCTTATCTTCAAGATATCAACAGGCAATGTAGTGTAGGATCACAAATATAACGAAATAAACTTACATATTGAATTGATCAGAACCAAAACCTGACAATAACTCTTGACAATATTGTCAGTGTTCACCTCATTATGCTACTGGGATATGATTTTTTAGGTACTTTAAAAGAAAATCAGTGGTAAGTTTTCAGATGATCATAGCTCACCTTTGAGTACTCTGTACTCAGATGAACCAGAGACATAGATAACATGTTATCTATGTCTCTGAATGAACAAAAGAAAAAATAATGCTGGTCTGCTATTGTAAAAATGTTTGACACAGATAACTAGAATATACAGCATTGTTTAACTTAAGACTTTAAGCTGGATATTTAGGATATCTTTTACTTTTTCTTTCTTTTTTCTGTTTTGTTTCTTTGGTATCTTTTTTTACAAATTAATTTACAAAGAGTATCATCAACATTTTTAAATTTTTAAAACATTATATATATTGAACAAAGCATTATAAAGTATTCATACAAAATGCATTACAAAAAATAGTTCTCACTTTCAGAGCTTTCAAAAAACTAGAAAAAAAATGTTGAAATGACAGTATATAATAATGTTGAACTTACTTTTCCCTGTAAAATAAGAGCAACAAGGATATATTTCTTGTATGCTTCCAACATCACATGACTTACTGCCATACTTGGACATGTTATCACCTAGCAACAGAAATAAATACAGTCTAACTTGCCCATGCGACCACGTGTATTAAGCGACTTTTGTCTTAAACGACCACTTTAAATTCCCCCCAATCATTTTCTCTCTATATCTTTAATGTATTAAGCGACTTTTGCTCAACGCGACCAGCTACCGCTAATTAGTCACCTAATTGACATCAATCTTTTCATTAAACGACCACTTTTACCTGTTAAGTAATTGTGTTTTTAGACAACGCCACCTCGTTATGTCACAAGTGTCAGCAATCAAAACACAACAATAAACGTGTGAAAAACTCTATTTCCCATACCGTTTTAGCGTATGCAAATGAAGTTAAGTATACGCGTGACGTGTATTATCCAATAATATCGGATAAACAATGCAACGCTCCGCCCATACTGAGATGGTGTATACGCTTCGCTTGTTGACATGCATTGAATTGACCTTGAACTTGATCAGCAATTAAATTAATCGTAACAAATAGATGTAGTTTGTTTATTTCAAATGAAAAAATGCACAGCAGTAAACATCTTCCATAATAGGGTTTTCGTGTTGGAGACAAGGAAAAACAACGGAGAAGTTAAAAAATTCTGGAAAAAATGTCAAACATGTACGTAATGGATCAAAACTGTTTTGTCAATAAATATCAGAACGTTATTTTTACATTTGCATCCGTTTAGATTATCGGAGCGTACTTATTATTCAACATTTATATAAAAATAAATTTGAAAAACAATCCCATCGAATAAAAAAGATGTCATTTATAAATTTTGACTTTTATATCATGCTGACTGTCTTAAGAGACCGTTTCATTAAGCGACCGTTTTTGGTGTTTCCCTTGCCCGGTCGCTTAATACACGTTTGACTGTATATCAGTACAAATTGCATGTTTTGATAGAAAACGCGTGTGACTATTAATATGACTTGGGACATAATATATTGAGTTTAGTGGTTATCTTTTCAACCAATCAGTGGCATGCACCACCATTTGTCTTCCTGATTGTTGTGAAAGAGTATATTTCTTGTCTGAAGTAACCAATATAAATAAGAGAAATATAAGCCAACTGGCGTAAGATTTTTATAGTCTTTTAGTATCTTAATGGTTTTATAAAAAAATCTATCAATGTGGTATTTACTATAACAAAATAAATTTATGATAAAAACTCTACACCTATCAATTGATCTGCTCTTAATTTCATAACAACTGAAGTAGTAGTTGCTTACACTAGTACATTGTATGTCCAGATGTAGCTCAACTGCAGACACCTCTTATTTAACAATATTATTTAAATAAAATCAATGTCTAAATCAACAAAACTGATAAAACACAAACATTTTAACAGTCTGTATCTAATGACTGGTTTCAAAAGAGGAAAGTAACCTACCGAAATATAACTTTGCAAAAACATAAAATTAGATCCTTATATCAAATTGAAAATAATCACACTTTATAAAATTAGTCATAATTTTATGTAGAATTACTACCCTTGTAAATGATGCAATTTCTAATAAGATGTCTGTGACCCTGGGCAAGAACTTCAGTATCAATGAACCCAAACAGGTAATCAATGATCCTTACCCTTTGTGTACAAACTCTCTGTCAAATCTCATAGATACATTTACAAATAAATTAAAGTCTAGATAATTTCAATAAATAGGCAAGTATACAGCAGTTGGTACTTACAATTTCTAGGAAATATAGAGCTCTCTCATATTTTTTCAATGCTGTATAGATCATGCCTCCATAGTAATAGTAACATAAAAAATCTTTAGAATCATAATGTCCACCCTGAAAATAATACACCAATATACATTTGTCTGATTTATAATATAAATTTGTCAGCAAAATATTCAGGAAAGATTCATTCAAAGTTCAGAATTGATGCAAAGGTTGAGAGTTAACTGAATCAACTGGTTTATAGTGAGTGGCTATGATAATATGTAACAACCCATGTTTTAGTTTTCTTTTCTAGATAAAGAGCTAAACTAAGACCTAAAGACATGTATGTAGTATCAAGTAAATACTTAGTATTAATAAGAAATATAGTTACATGCGAACCCTTAACAAAGTATTATGTCATCAGTAATGCCAGGGTGACTAGCATGATTCCCCCTTTTCTTTGAGTAGTCAAGCCCAAAATTGTGAAAAAAGCGTAACTTATGGTTTTAAAAACATAGTTATAAATTATATATATACCTCTTTGCTGATATCTGTAATATCTACATCCATAAACTGTAACGCTGGCTTTAGATTCTTGGCTAGTAAACATAGCTGATAAATAGAAAATATATTAACTAGTTATCTCAAAGTAAAGTTTTAACAATTTTGGTTTTTATAAGGACTAACATACACACATATATACAAGTATCCTTCATTTTGTGGGACTTTTTTGTGGGAAATACTGTAAACATATTTTAATGTAGAAATGATTACTACATCTACTTCAACACATTTTTTGACATATCTCTGCAGTAGGTCCACCTAAGCAGCTTTCTTGGATAACTAACCAGAAAATACTAATTTATAAGCAAGCCAGTGATTTTTTTCACTTAATTGGGAAGAGGCATTAGTCTCTTGATTTTGGGAAAAAATATCGCTAATTTGGGAAGTAAAAAAGCAGGTTTAATTTCAGATTTTTGGGAAAACTGCATGATTTTAAAGAAAATTTCAATTGGGAAGAGGCCTTTTATCGGAGTCTGTTATATAAGCAAGAAAATCACTGCAAGCAACTTACTACTTATCCCACATGACTTCTGAATCAGTGTTGAGAGACAAATGTCTATTAGACTCAATGTCCCACATCAATGTCACATAGAAAATTCACTTCACATGAGCAGTGTAAGCGATTTGTCTTAACTTTAAAACCGAGTCCCTGGGACTAAATCCCAAAATAGATTCTATTCCCGCCCCAAATTTCCAAAATCAGAAAAGGGTCCTAAATTTTAAAGGGAAATGTCAATGTTTGGCATTGTTTGCATAATTTCCTTTAAAACAATAAAATTTGGGGGTGTTTTAAATCTTAAATTTGACAGCTTTTTGTGTTTTTAAAATAATTTTTAAAAAGTGTTTGAGGGAAAATTTAAGGGAAAAACATTTAACAGAAAATTTAAAACAAAAAAAAAAAATTTTCACTTTAAAGACCCTTTACAAATGGGGACATTTCAAAGTCTTCAAAGGTTTCAGTTCGAAAAAAATTTTAAAAAAGAGCCCTGGATAAAATTATTTTTAATTTTGACTTCATATTTTTACTTGATATAAGCTTTTAAAATAAAAAATTAAATTTTTAAATATTAAAATTTTTTTTGTACATTTTTTATGTGTTTTTTAAAAACCCTTTTTTAAAAGGGTTTTATATTTATAAACAAGGGCCCCTTAAAACAGTTTTAGGGATAGCAAAAAATTTGACGAATGAAAAAATTTGATGTTTCGCTTTAGACTGTTGATGGGTTTTGGGCCCAAAAACGAGGCGGGGGCACTTGCTCCATTTTAGTTTTGGGAAAAATTTAATCAGTTTTAAATTTTATGAGAAGGGAACAAAAAAAAAATTTTTCTTAAAAAAAAATATAAATTTTTTTTTAAATTGCAATGGAAATTACTTTTTTAAATCAGAGAAAAAAACCCTTATCGAGAAAAAATTTGGGGAAAAAAAGTTTTTTCGCCCCTGGAAATTTTTAAGTGAGAAAAGGGGTTTATTTTTTTTTGGCGTAAACGCGAAAAAAACTCCCAAGAGAAACCCACCCAAACCACTGGACAGATCCAAATTTCAAATGATTTTTCACTGTCTTAATTATAACTTGTATAAAAAATTCTAGGCATTAAAACGTTTGAAACAAGCACTGACCTGACAAAGATCAGCATGTATAGAGGTGAGCTGTGCTGGATACAACTGTATCTTGTTAATTGCCGTCACGAGCACCTGGATACCACGACTTGGCTGAAAAATCATTAAATAATTGTCTAATTTAACGATATCTGTATTTGACTCCATTAGCATTTAATATTGAAATTATCCTCAGACATAAAGGAAACATCCCAATAAAAGACTCAAACTATAAAACTTCTAATAAGGAATTTTTACAACTAACCACATTAGTCATTCACCTGCTAGTTGAAATGACACAAGTTATTAGTACCAGTCAGAGGAATATTCCACATTATAAAATACCACTCACATGGTTTATTGAGATATGAAGTTTAAAGAAAAACCTTAAATAACTGTAAAGCCTGTGCTGAAATGAGTAGGGTTGCTTCACTTTATGGCAACTTGACAAGCAATTTTATAAAGTGATACCGTATAAGTACTTATTTCTGCGGGCTTAATACTCTGCGATTTTTGTTAAAATAAGGGGTTTTAAATTTCTGCGTATCTTATTTCTGCGGTGTCATCATTCACGCATTGATGTTTTTTATTTCTGCGTTTTAATATAGATATTTTTACAAAATTAACCGATACAAACAGACAACATTTCAAGACTTGTTGCAGTGTCTATTCTAGGAGGGGGATTGGGGGATGGGGGGATTCACCCATATTTTGAGAATTCCCCCCCATTTTTTTAGAGGCAGGGGAAAAATTTTACATAGAGAAAGAAGGAAAAAAATCAACAAATCCCAGTGACCTGAAAATCATTAGGGATCATCTTATAGTCATGACCAACCTGCATGCCAATTATGAAGACTGTGGGTCAAAGAAATGTTAAGTTATTGGGTGGACAAGCTTTATTTTAGTCAAGGCCTTTGTGACCTTGACCTTTGAACCAATGACCTCAAAATCAATAGGGGTCATCTACTAGTCATGACTAACCTCCATTCCAAATATGAAGACTATGGGTCAAAGAAATCTTAAGTTACTGGGCGGACAAGCTTTTTTTAGTCAAGGGCCCTGTGACCTTGACCTTTGACCCATTGACCTCAAAATCAATAGGGATCATCTACTAGTCATGACTAACCTGCATGCCAAATATAAAGACTGTGGGTCAAAGGAATCTTAAGTTATTGGGCGGACAAGGAAAAACCGCCGGACGGGGTGACGTCCAGACGGGGAGACATCCTCACGGACGGACAGACAAGCTGATTCCAGTATAACCCCCTTACAACTTCCTTGTGCGAGGGTATAAAAAGGCACAAACCCTTCAGTAGTTATGGAGATATTTGCTTAACCAAGAATTTCTAAGTAGAAAAAGGGGCATAATCATGTAAAAAAGCAAAACCGAGTTATTGGACTTACGCCAATCATGTTACATAATCACAGAGAACAAGTGTGTGAAGTTTCAATCCATTCCTATCAGTAGTTATGGAGATACCAGCTTGCACGCAAAAACTTAACCAAGAATTTTAAGTCGAAAAAGGGGCATAATTATGTAAAAAAGCACATCAGAGTTATTAGACTTGTGCCAATCATGTTAGATAATCACAGAGATCAAGTGTGTGAAGTTTCAATACATTCCCTTCAGTAGTTATGGAGATACCAGCTTGCACGCAAAAACTTAACCAAGAATGTCTAAGTCGAAAAAGGGGCATAATTATGTAAAAAAGCAAATCAGAGTTATTGGACTTGTGCCAATCATGTTAGATAATCACAGAGAACAAGTGTGTGAAGTTTCAAGCCATTCCCTTCAGTAGTTATGGAGATACCAGCTTGCACCCAAAAACTTAACCAAGAATTTTTAAGTAGAAAAAGGGGCATAATTATGTAAAAAAGCACATCAGAGTTATTGGACTTATGCCAATCATGTAAGATAATCACAGAGATCAAGTGTGTGAAGTTTCAATCCATTCCCTTCAGTAGTTATGGAGATACCAGCTTGCTCGCAAAAACTTAACCAAGAATGTCTAAGTCGAAAAAAGGGGCATAATTATGTAAAAAAGCAAATCAGAGTTATTGGACTTGTGCATGTTAGATAATCACAGAGAACAAGTGTGTGAAGTTTCAAGCCATTCCCTTCAGTAGTTATGGAGATACCAGCTTGCATGCAAAAACTTAACCAAGAATTTCTAAGTTGAAAAAGGGGCATAATTATGCAAAAAAGCAAATCAGAGTTATGGGACTTGTGCAAATCATGTTAGATAATCACAGAGAACAAGTGTGTAAAGTTTCAATCCATTCCCTTCAGTAGGTATGGAGATACCAGCTTGCATGCAAAAACTTAACCACAGGGACGCCGACAAATGGGTGACTGCATTAGCTTGATTATTCTGCGAATAGTCGAGCTAAAAATCAACAATGTGCAATGACAAAAATTAATTGTAATACTGCATGTGTATAAATATTAAGTGTGAAAAATAAACAATTGTAAAAATGCATGTAGACACAAGATATTGTACAAATACAAAAGGGTATGTTTATTGCACCCATCAAACTATAATAGTTTTATTTAACAAAAAAATCAAGCTAAGGGTGAGCGAAAATCATACATGTACAAACATGATATTTATTCAAACAAAAAGAACAAGTAAAGGAACTTTTTTTCTAATATTTTATTCATGACGGATACATAAAGAAAAATTCTCATCTACAAAAGCCGATAATGGTACATGGTAATGTAATTATACAATACAATACTGGTAGTTGACATATTCCGACATAGACATAGGGAAAAGCTAAATTTTCTGCTGTTTTTAAATCTGGGGTGTCGTTATGAACCGCAGAAATAAAGTTCCCGCAGAAAAAAGTACTTGTACGGTATCAAATGCCAACTTAGGTATAACCACCTTATTTCAGTTTCTATATAAGCAATAATTAGCCTTATGTTAGCCATTAACACTTTCAAACAAAAATAAAATAATACCTGCTTCCTTTCCACAAGGTTATGTGTAAACTTGTGGCACAAATCTGCATCTGTAATTTACATACATTATTACTATATGGATTATAATTTGGGGCATAGCAGGAACTATAAAAAGAACTTGTAATATATAAATACTAGTTCCCAATTTTTATAATATTTACCTTCCTTGCCAAAAGTGGCAGTCATTTTGGGGGTCAATATTTTGATAATTGACAAAATATGAAAACAATCATACAAACAAAACTCAATAATTGACCTAAATTGTCAATTCTTTTATATATACACAGCAAATATTATTATAGCATCAATATGTAAAATTTTATGAAGACAATAGAATTATGAGACATTTTTATCTTAAGGTTATGATAAATTGGGAATGACCCACAAAATGGCACCAGGGGAGGTAATAATTGCTATATATGTGAAAAACATGTATAGCAATGTTTTCATTATAAAGAACAAGAATTTAGCTATTAAATCCCAGTGCCTAAACTTTTTTTTTATCAGAATAGGATCTTATCTAGCCACATTTTCAAAATGATTAACTTGTCCTCATAAAAATAGACAGTTTGTACACATATCCAAGCCATGATAACTGAGTGACATTATCTTTATACAAATATGTCAACTGACTGTGTATCAATCAAAATGGAAAAAGATCGCTGTCTTTATTTTGAGACTTTTAAAATTTCACTAAAATAGTTAAGAAAGTGATGTTATCATTTAGTTGTCTAAAATGCACTTACAACTGCAAACCTGGAACAAAATTTTAGATCCATTATCCAATGCAAAATGTTATAATTTCATTTTAAGTGTAACTTGTTATTGCCATTATGAATAAGAAAGGGTCACACTTACAACTGTCTGTGGCATAGCGAACATGTTCTCCATTACATGACAATATAAACTCTTGTGTTTGTACAAATAATGTCTCAAAATCAGGAACATTTGGCATGCTGTATTTTACACACCTGAAACATAAATTATTATACACTTAATTACAAGGAAACTTGATAATTCTTTTGTGTAAAAGTAAAATCTGATTTGCTATACAACTTAACATGGGATTGGTTTGAAATATTTATGACATCACATCACATTATATCAGATAAATGGAATAAATCAATGAGACAAAGTATCATAAGCTGCTAAAAAAATTAGGAAATTTTCTCATGTTATATGCAATAATGCATGTATATAATTTTCACTGTCTATTATCTTCATTAGGGAAGAACAAGTAAGAATCACAGCTCCTCCATTAAATACCACACATCCTTTCAATTAAAACATGTAAAATACATTATATTCTTTCATCCAAAGACATTAAATATAAATAAGACAAAACTAATAACTTACAATATGCCAAGCACACCTAATGAATGTTGTTGAATATCTAGAGTGGCGAGTACATTGTCTAGGTGGCTGACATTCTTACTTAATGTTTCTGCACTTTTGCTGATGAAATCACATAGTTGTGAGAAATTTCCTGTAATCAAAGTCATTAGATAATATCTCTTATTATATACTCTAACACAGAATGCAATATTACAAATATAAACATATAGTCATCCAGCAAAATAATATTAGTGGAGTCACAGATGGGGCATGGGATTGGCTTGCCCAGCTAGATAATAAGATTGTATGTGAATACAAGTGTATATTTAAAAGGAACAGAAGTCAAAATAAACTATACATCAAATACATAGATCTTATTCTATATACCATTAAAAATATTCCAGTGTCATTTACCATTTATGGGCATCACTATTTTGAATAAAATTACTAAGTCACGCAATATTTCATATTGTTGAATTTGTTCCATATTTATCAGTAAAAGTAAACCAAGCATTTTGCATTTTATTGGATTTCTAAAACTAGAAATTTATGTGTCTATAGGACACGGGTGCCCCCAAACTCCACTGTTTTGACAGTCTACTGACTCTAGGCCAAACATTTTTTGGGCTTCACACGACACAAGTTGAAAACTGAAAATCTCTTTTACTAAGTCAAGTGCAAAATTCTTCAAAATCTGCATAAATCCACAAGCAAACCCCAAGGTGCAGAGCTACACATGCTGACCAACATTCTTGTAAACTTTCAGAAATTCAGGTCATATACTTTTTGAGCTATGCATGAACAAGTTGAAAATTAAATACTAAAATTTATACTAAGTGAAGGGCAATAAATCTATCCAAGCTGTTATAAAACATCCACATGCAAAACCCCAGGTGCACAGCTTCACAGTGATTGATCATCATTCCTGTAAAATTGGTTGATTCTTACTCAGGCACTCAAGGTACACATAACAAAACATTTAAGAATGTTTTTTACTAAGTCAAGGGCAATTACACTACAAATGCTGAACAAATCCACAATCAAACCCCCAGGTGCACAACTACATATGCTGACCACCATTTCTGTAAAGTTTCATGACAAGGGCAATAACTCTGACAAAGTAGAATTAATCCACAAGCAAAACACCAGGTGCATAACTTCAAGTGCTGATCAACATTTCTGTAAAGTTTCATATTCATGGTCAAATAATTTTTGAGATATACACAACACAATTTGAAATTGCAAACTTTTAATAAGTCAAGTGCAATAACGCAACAAATACTGATTAAATCCAAACGCAAACACCCAGGTGCACAACTACACATGCTGATCAACATTCTTGTAAAGTTTTATGACTCTAGGTGAAATACTTTTTGAGCTTTATTTTTGATGCACAAAGTGGCAATAATTTACCTCCATGCAATTTCCACAGAGTATTAGCCAAGATATGAATTTTGAGCCAAAAGTAGGTCAATGTAAGGCAGTCAATGAGAACCTAAATGTACAGAAACCTGAGACAATAATGAAAGAGGGTAAAGCCCTTAAAAGGGCTGTTGGTGCCTCACAATCTGTCATTCGTATAAGTGGCACACACACCCTAGTACCCCATCCTCCTTGACTCTGCCTTATTTGTAGGGTCTGCTACTCCCCTCGGCTTTAGTCAGGACACCGGCAGTTAACTTCATGCAATTTGTGCCTTAAACGTAACTCTGGGCTGTAGAAAACATGTGAACTTCCAGTCTTACACATAGTATTGGTTATTCAATGATCTGCCTATGCCCTGTGTCTTCTCAACGACTTTGACATACACATACCGAGGGGAAGAGAGAAGAGACTGACTGAATGCAATTATGAGCTGTCGCTGTCAGTCGCCATAGTCGCCATTTGCGATTATTTTATAAGATTGGCGATTATTTTTGCATTTTGGCTACAAAATTTGGCGATTATTTTTTACTTCCAACAGTGTTTATATAAGGTGTAAAAATCGATAATGAATGCAGTAGAACCAATTAACACCAGCGGGGTGCATTTAATCAAGTGTCAACTTAAATGAATTGTAAAATGTAATCAATTCTTAATTATGTATTGTTTATTTAATTATAAAAGATTACTATAAATTGTATTTGTTTAAACCCAAATTACATATACATGTATATTTCAATTTGTTTACAATTCAATTACAGGGCTCACGCTGTCAGTCGCCATAGTCGCCATTTGCGATTATTTTATAAGATTGGCGATTATTTTTGCATTTTGGCTACAAATTCTGGCGATTTTTACTTTCAACAGTGTTTATATAAGGTGTAAAAATCGATAAAGAATGCAGTAAACCCAATTAACACCAGCGGGGTGGATTTAATTGAGTGTCAACTTTTTATCGGTCACGTGCTGCTTACTATATTGCCCGAGGGGAAGACGGACAAAACCCCACCAGTTAAAACCCCACCACTCAAAATTTTATAGAGTGGACAAAACCCCACCACTAAATTTTATAGAGTGGACAAAACCCCACCACTTACCAATTATTGGGCAAGATTTGATGAATTAAAATATATATAATATACAGTACACATTTTCACATTTTATTTTTTAATTTCAATATAACATTTGTGTAATATAAGAGATCATACAAATAATTTACAAACTGTTAAATCAACATCAAAAGAGTAGTCATTTATTTGAGACTGTGTCACATTTATGACCTTGAATTATCCATTATTTTTAGTTTCTTCAAATTCATTTCTTCAATTAATTTATATAAAAAATAAACTACTTACTATTAATCAAGAATGTAGCACATTTTCATCAATTAATGATTAAAAAATAGCACATTTTTTATAGCACATTTCTAGTTTTATTCAGTTCAGTCAATTTTCCTTCATTGTACTTCATTGTACTTAGTTTAAGTGGATACTGTGGCTGATAGCCTGAAGAAACTCGGGTACAGTCTTCTCCTTATTGATGAGTTGTTCACACATTCTTTTGAGTTCCTACTGATGCACAATTGTTTTGTTTTTTAACATGTTTACAAGAAAGTTTTGTCCACTCTATAAAACTGAAGTGGTGGGGTTTTGTCCACTCTGTAAAATTAAGTGGTGGGGTTTTGTCCACTCTATAAAATTTAGTGGTGGGGTTTTGTCCACTCTATAAAATTTTGAGTGGTGGGGTTTTAACTGGTGGGGTTTTGTCCTACATTCTGCCCGAGGTGATAAAAATACATGTGAGATGTAAAATTGTATAAGTACTCTAAAGATATTGTCCAGCATTATAATAGCCATCAAATATACGTCAATTAGCCACAAAAATTGTTTTAAAATTGATAAATTGGATATTGACCAACCCAAAATTTACCGTAAATTGCAGTAATTGCAAATTTTGATTTTTTTTATTTTAAGCTGCTTGACAAAATCGCTAGTGAAAAACAATGGTAAAATATTTAAAAAGTATTAACTTCCAAACAACTATTTTGCACACAACTTAAATTGTGAATATTTCTTCAGAAAAACAGTGGAAAAAATCCGATTGTCACATATTTTCGCGACACCGATAATTTTGACATTTTTTCTAAAGGTGAAATAAGCTATGTTTCTGTTTAAAAATCTTTACTATTATGGCAGAAATTTGTATTACATTGGTGATGATGACATTTTTCAGTAAGTTATTCAGAAAAAGGCTGCACTCTGTGAATGAGTTTGCAAGAGTTATTTCTATAGGCTAATATGACATATAGATCTACTCCAGTTCTGTGTGAAATGTGGGAAATTGACAGTGGTTATAGCTGACAAAATTTGATAAGAACAAACAAAAGAAATTATCTGATAACATCATTATGTAAAGTTATAATGAATTTTTGATATTATTGTCATACAGTAATTATACTATATTACATTTTTATTCTGTTCTACAATAACAATTCAAGTTGTGGTTCTATGTAAAAAAGGTACAATGTAGTTATCTTTACCTTTACCTTTACCTTCTCCTTCTTCTGAGCATTTAAGCCAAGATGGCTTGTAAGCTCCTCCTATACAGTATTATCAAGTTAACTTCAGTAAATGTCACTTGTATTAAATCTTTGACTTTGCCAGCTCCGGTCGAGTAAAGTTTTAAATGTCAAAACACTTTCACTGAGAACAATGTTTTATCTAGGTTTATTCCACTGGTCAATGCATCTAATAGGAAAATGAATTTTTCCTTAGTGTTTTATTCACACTTGGTTTTAAATAGTTGGAATATATGTCCACGTGTACAGTTTATCATTGAACACAAAAAATTTATCCGGGTCAACATTATCAAACCCATTAATTATTTTATAAATTTGAATGAGGTCAAATCGTTGTCTACGATATAAAAGTGTTGGCAATTAAGCCTAACAAGTCTTTGTTCATAGGACAAACCTTCAATGATGGAATAATTCTAGTTGCTCTTCTTTGAATATTTTCAATCAATTGAATGTTTTTCTTTGTAGATGGAAAATAAACAGAAGATCCATAGTCAACAATTGATCTTATCAGACTTTTTGTAGACAGTCAAGAACATAGGTATTGTCATGCAGGAAAAACTTCTCTTTTATTAAACCCCGTTAATTTCTTCGTACGGTTTACAGTATTTAAGACATGTTGATCAAATTTAAGATTATCTTGGAATGTGATGCCGAGATCCTTCTCACTATCAACTTTAGGTAAAGAGATATTTTGACTATTAGAGTCTTTCATTTCGTAGATATATGGAAGCTTGACGTTTACCAATCTGCATTGATTTACATTTAGGGAATGGAAAATTGAAGCAGCCAGTCCTCTGACCAGTCACATAAACGTAGTAAGTCTTGTTGAAGTAACAACTGATCGTTTTGAGAATAAATCTTCCTGTATAATTTGCTATCATCAGCAAATAATTACATGTAGACTGAAACAACTTCAGGCAAATCATTTATGTTAAATGATAAATAAAACTGGACCAAGGACTGAAAACCTTGCGGAACTCCTGACGTGATATTAGACCAAGTAGAAAAACTATCTTCAACACAAACCCTTTGTCTCCTATTAGTGAGAAAATTTTGTATCCAATTCAGTATGGGATTGTCAATACCATAGTTCTTTAACTTCAAAAGTAAACGATTGTGAGGTATAGTATCAAAAGCTTTTTTAATGTCCAAATAAATTGAGTCTACTTGACAACTGTCATCAAAAGCTTTAGTCAATCTTCTAAAACAGTCAGGAAGTTGAAGAATACAATTCCTTTTGTTTCTGAAGCCAAATTGGTCATCCGAGAAAAGGTTATTATATTCATGTGTTGCATTAGGGTGTCACGAACAGTTTTTTCACACATTTTACATGTTATTGAAGTTAAAGAGATAGGGCGATAATTTGAAGGATCACATTTATCACCTTGTTTTTGTACAAAGCTTTAACATTAGCTTCTTTCCAAGCATCTGGTAAATCACCATTCTAAAGGTTTTTATTCATTATCCTACATAAAGGATCACATAAAACAGCTGCAGATTCTCGTAATAAATAAGGATGAAGACCGTCATTGCCATGGATTTGGAGACATTAAGATGACGAAGTCTTTGAAAAACAGTGTCTTTATCAACTACAAGTTCAGAAATAGGACTACCATGATACTTCAAGTCAAAATTTGGTAAGTTACCTCCTGGCTCATTAATGAATACAGACATAAAGAAATCATTCAAAAGTTCAGCTTTACCTAGGTTATTTTTCACAAAATCATTATTTTCATCTTTCAAGTCATAAATTCCAGTCTTACACTTAATTTGATTTCTTACATACGCCCAAAAACCTTTCGGGTTGACCTTCATATCGAATATAATATCACTTTTCAAATTTCCGCCTAGCATTTCTAATAGTTTTAGTGCAAATATTCCTTGCTTTACAGTAATTCTTATAATTTTCATATGATCTAACATGAAGATATCTCATCCAAGCCTTGTGTTTTAATTTTAACTTTCAGAATTACAGTCATTGTTCAACCATTTCTTCTTTTTTCTGGAACTATTATTCTTTTTTAGAGGAATATGATTATCAATAGCCATATTAATATTCTTGGTGAAAAATTCATAACTGTCGTTTACAGACAAATTATTAATATCATCCCACTGAACTAGTTCAAGGTCAGAAGAAATAGCAGAGTAGTCTCCTTTAAAGAAGTTTCTTCTGGGAACCAAGTTTTTGTTTTCAACAGGATTCAAATTCAAAACTATATTTTAAAGCAACATGATCACTTGCCCCCAAATTGTTTTTAAATTGTATTTCAGTCACACACTCACGGTTTGTCAACCAAAACCAAGTCAAGAATATTGGAGGCCTGTCCATGCCGATATCGAGTTGGATCCTCTACCAATTGTGAAAGGAAATTATCACGAAGACATTCTATAAATTTAAAATCTATATGATGAACATTGTGTGGAGTACTCCAGTCCTCCCAAGAGATAGATGGTAGATTAAAATCACCAACAACAAGTAAATAATCATGTGATAAATTACATGCATAGTCTATTAAGTCACATATTTTGCTATTATTAAGATCTGTACTCGTAGGGCTTCTATAAACAGCACCCAGTAACAAATTAACATTAGAATTCAGCATCACAGAGCACCAGCATGATTCCTCATAAGGATAATCATTTAAAACGGAAATATCCTGTACAGACATGTTGTTCTTGTAGTAAATACATACACCTCTTGATTTTTCCTTGATTACACTTTTAATAATGTCATAACCTGTAATTTTTAATTCAGCATTGTCAATATCAGTAGAAAGTCCAAGTTTAGGGAAGACCTCAGTAATAATGATGATATTTGGTTTAGTTAATTCAATCTCAACTTCAAGTTCATCACGCTTGTTGAGTAAACTGTCAGCATTTGTGTAATATATATTAAAAATATCAATAGATGCTTCAATATTACGGGCATCTTCACAAGAAATAGTATCCTCACTAAGTACAAAAGAGCTTTCAGTTTCATAATCACTAATGTCTGAATTAGATTCATCTGTAGCCGAGTAACTTATAATTGAATCACCCGATTCTAATGTTACATTATGAATATCAAAACATGAAGACAAAGTATCTTCATGTTCATAATTTGAATAACTGGTATTAATAACAGGAACATCGATAACTGGAACGTCTGTAACTGGAACGTCTGTAACTGGAACAAAACTGTTACGAACTGGAACATTTAAATTATATACAGGAGTTTTATGTTTTTCAAAGTTCCTAACGAAAAGGAAACCCAGATGTACTAGAAGTACCTCCCGAGTTACCTGCTAACTGTGAAGCATTTACATTTTTCTTCATTCTACGTTCACATCTAAGTTTATATGCTTCTTCCCTTTGCTTTAGAGTGAGATCACTTTGAAAATATAGATTCTTACATAAATCAACTGAAGAATTCCTCACGTTTACTCTAGCCCTTTCTAAAATTTTTTGTTTCGTTTCAATAGAATTCACAGAAAATCTTGTGGGCCTTGTCTTCTCCCCATCATACCTTCCCAAGCGCACGGTTTCTGAAAAAGATACCTCCGACAGATTCATGATTTCTGATAAAATACTACTTATTCTGGTATTGTCATCATTTTTTCGTTCTTCTTGAGATTCTTTGACACTTTCTGGAAGACCATAACAAATGACATTCAACCTCCTTGATTCACGGTCCTTTTGTTCATTTAAAACCTGGTTAACAACATCAGAAATTGAACCAGTAGAACCACCATTTACATTTTCTTGAATATTTATGACTTCATTAGGTCTTTTCTCAAGGACTTGTGACAGTTTGTCTTCTAAAGACTTGATTTTTAATTCAAAATCCTTATGTTTTTTTTCAACTTTGAGCGACGTTTCTTCAAGAACAGATAATCTCTTACTTAATTTGTGGAATCCTGGCATACTTATTCTACAGTGCTTACAGATCCAGAGAACTCCATTATTTTTACTGTTATTCAGTGCACTATAAATTTTGCTATTAATTTGTGTACAGTCATAGCAGAACCAGTTTTCACATAGATCACATTGGAGGGCCTTATCCTGATTTCCTATTTCTGAGTTACAATCTTTACATAAATCTACCTCAATGTCACTATCATCTGAATTTTCAATATGTTTTTTGGCTCTAGATGTCCTTTTACTAGAAGAATTTGCAGACTGTTGCGAATTTTCAGTCGAATTTGAATTGGTTTTCTTGTCCGATTTCGGCATGGTTCATGTTCCGATAAGAAGGCCTTGAAATTCAATACACTACTGCAGTGATGCTACGAAAAGTACCAAAATATGTTAACAAAAATCACTTAGTCCTGATTATCAAAGAAAAAAATAATTTCAACTATCAAACAATCACGATTATCAAAGATAATTCCATAATTAATCTCCTCATCATTTTTTTCCATATACACAAATGTATCAGTTTATTTGAGAATCCTTATAAAACTGAAAAAGTTTTATATGTAATGTTTATTTAATCAACTGCTTATGTTGTTAATCGCTAGCTTGTCAATAGTCCGCTGAACGTTTGGCTATTATTTTTTTAAGTTAAAAATATTGGCTATTATTTAATTTGAGCCAGTGTGAGCCCTGCAATTATCAGCAATAAAACTTTAAAGTAAAGAACCAGTAAATGTTATAATTAAATTGTCACAAAATCATTAAATGTTTCACAAGACTTAATCAAGGTTGCTGGTGCAGTTGTCACTTAACGACAACTGAATTAATTAGCATGTCATTAAAAACTATATATACCCTGTATAAAAAAGTAATGTAAACATTGTAAAAGTAGCATTCTTTCAAAATACATTTAATTACTTCAAGTCAAAAGGCTGATTAACGATGCGCTAATGCGTAACCAAGTAATCGCTTCCCTGTCTCTAGGCAGTCATTTTAACTGACAATATGCTTAAGCTGCCTAACTTGCCCAACTTATTGCTGACGGACAAGTACATTTTTACATAGCAGTTGTCTGCGGACAAGTGAATTCTGAGTCAGAAAAAAAAGGAAAATGCCAAAATTCTAACTGTACTTGACTGTGAACGTTAAATTTTCCCAATGTTGTTTAATCCGTGTTTACAATGTGTAAATTTTATTAGTATACCATCTCCAAAAAGCACAAATTAATTGATACTATTTCACCCCGTATGAGGCCTCTCACTTCTATTGGCAATCTCGCTTAGCAATTGGTCGTATGGAGGAAACCGATCTATGCCTGAGTAAATAATAACATATATATGTTGTTGTGTTGTAAATTATTTGATACAAAATTGACACCTTTATCGTATATGACTACAAACGTGTTTAAAGAAAGCTGGTTAACCACTTTTATTTGGCTCCGAAAAGACGATAATTTGGACACATTTTATTGTCATGTTTGCAGAATGTTCCTGGAAACAGCGAATACATCATCATTTATAAGAATGGACACTCAGTCCAAGTTTTAGCAAAACCCCAGTAAACAAGGACCCATTGGTTAAATAAAGCCATTGTAAAAAACTTTTTAGTGTTTATTTAAACAACTGAACTTGAGCTGCGCACAAGTATAAATTTTAGTCCAACTTGCACGTCGGCAAGTGAAAAAAATCCAAAATTCCACACCGCTGTTGAGTTGACATTATTTGACGTGACAATTTGGTTCAACTTTCTGACATGTGAACAGATTTCAACATAGGATTTTTGCTACCTAGACGTGACCATCCATACTTGTGCAGTGTTTGCATAAGGACTGTTGATGGTTCAACAAATGCACATAAACGACTTAAGCAACTTTTAACAACTTTTAAACCAATTCACACAATAATTTACTTGTCTTGGGGTGATTTTGGAGTAGGCTTGGAGCGTCTTTGGGTAATTAGACTGACCTGTCAATGTGTATATAGTATTTTGCAGGCTTTACCATATGTCTTTACCTTTTTTCAGTGCAGAATTTTTATATGGGGGGAAAAGTAGGGCTTTCATTGATGGATCATTTTGCGAAATTCATTGACAGCCAGGTTAGGAAAAAGCGGTCCAGGAAAAAAACCCACATTAAAATTCCAACTAATCACCTGTCAAAGTTTTACACATGTTGTGAAAGAAAGGGTACCATTCTCAATTAACCGTGTTTACATAATTCACAGGTCTTTGATTTTTAAGAATGCAAATGTCAGAATATGCAACTGCAAGTTTACAGATCCACAACAATTCTCTAAGAAGAAAGAAGCAAAAATTAAGCGCAACCAAAACTTTCAATATTAAATCTGATTAAAACATTTTTCTGATTTGTATAAAGTACCTTGCGTAGACAGCGTCTGTACAGTATTTACATACTGTTCTAAAGCACTTGCCATGTTTAACAGTGTTTTTAAGAATTTTTCAATATGCAGCTTACATCACTGAATTATTTGGAACATGATTATTTTAATACAAAAGTTATTATTCAATTATGTAACATAAGATAAGAATGAATGAAGTATTTTATTTATGTTAAAATACATTCAGTTTTAAATCTATTTAAATATTTCATATTTCATTTTAGCAATTTCAATGTTTTAAGCGATAAAGTTTTCTTTATATAAACCCAAAGTGAAATAATTTAAAAGACGATGCCCTTTGTTAATTTTAACTTTTTGAACTTTGTCCGGAACAAAACTCTAAAACTATAAGAGATACCACGATGAAACATTGTAGGTAGATAGATCGCATTGAGTAGAGGTGCAATGCAAAAGAATCATAACTCTGTTAAGCCTCATTTTTGAATTATCTCCCCTTTTAGAATAATCTTGTCCAGGACATAGCTGTAAAACTATAAGAGATATCAACATGAAACTTTGTAGGTAGATATATATCAATGGGTAGATTAGTCGAAATATCAACGCGATCAGAGCTACGCCTTTGGGATTTTGACCATGTCAAAAATTATCTAAAAATCCCGTAGGTTAAAATATTTTGACTATGGGTAGATGTGCAGTGCACAAGAATCATAACTCTGCCTTGCCTAATCTGAAGTTATTGCCCTTTGTTTATTTTTACTTTTTGAAATTGTCCGGGACATAACTCGGAAATCATAAGTCTTGATGATAAGAGATATCATCAAGAAACTTTTAGGTTTGATAGATCACATTGATTAGAAGTGCATTGCAAAGGACAGTAACTCTGCTTTGCCTAATTTTGGAATAATTGCACTTTGAACTTTTTCCAGGGACATAACTCTGAAACTACAAGAGGTGTACTTTCCTGTGTCCAAAACCTATTCGGGGAGCATCACCCGGCTCATGGGAAATACATATTCTAAGTTTGAAGTAAATACCTTAAAACTAAAGAAGATATAATATTTCTTAAAGAAAATTTTAAGTTTAAGGGGGGATAAATCTGAAAATATCGCTTCAAGAGTCACATAAATGTGGCTGATGATAAAGAATATTAATTTGAAGTCTGAAGTAGATACCCTTTAAAACTAAAGAAGTTATAGTAAAAAATAACATATTTCAAGTAAAATGTCTAAGTTCATGGGGAGATAATTCTTGCAATTTTGGTGCTAGAGATATGACCCTTGTTACATTTGATGTGGTTAATGATAAGGAACATATATTTGAAGTAGCTAGGAAGTTGATCCCTTAATTAATTTATTAAGAAGTAACCATAAAAATAATAATTTTTAAGGAAAATTCTAGGTTCAAAGGGAGATAAACCTGAAAATATTGGTGCTAGAGTTATGAAACTTGTCACATAAGATGTTGTTATTGATAAGGAACATATATTTGAAATATGAAGTTGATCCCTTGAGAAATAAAAAAGTAACAGTAAAAAAATAATATTCTTTAAGGAAAGTTCAAGGGGAGATAAATCTGAAAATATTGGTACTAGAGTTATGAACCGTGTCACATATAAGATGTGGTTGATGATAAGGAACATATATTTGAAGTTTGAATTTGAAACCATAAGAAATAAAAAAGTAATAGTGAAAAATATTTTACTGCAACCAAAATTTTAATCTTAAATCTTGACGAGGACGCCGACGTTGGAGCGAGTAGAACAACTCTCCATATCCTTTGTATAGTCGAGCTACATGTAGGTAGGCAGTCGAATGACATATCCCTAGTCGTTGTCATTTGTAGAAAATGCAGACTGAGGCTAGGCTTCGATTATACTCGCTATCCCCGAGAGTTTTAAACAATTCCGTCCAATAGTTGTGAAAAGATTCGGTCTAATCGTTGCACGGTCGCTCGGACACACGCACGGACAAGTGACATTACTATATTCTCATCTGAGGATAATTATATTGACAGTGTTTCTTTGAAAGAGTCCAGTTAGGTCTTTATAGTTTGGTTTGGAAGGAGGTCGTTATTCTACAGGGGGTCACTATTCAATGTGAGGGTCATGTTTCTACGTGTTGGGGAGTCATACTATTATGACTCCCCGGTCATTTTTCCGTTATGAATGAAGTTTGTATGTTCATACGCTACTATAAGAAAAAAGTGCGTAATGAGAATATCAGTTTTCGTAATTTCTGTTCCGAAAATATTTGATATTTAATATGCAAGAAAAAGAATCAAACATTGGCTGTCGGTACAGACAAATAAAATATATAAACATATAAAATGACCGGGGGTCATTATTCTATGGGGATCAGTTTACAACGTTACTCACTAATTATACATATCCTCATCAGGCTTTTTTCTCCTACAAAGGAGTTATTTAAAACGTCCCACGTACGTAGGAGTTATATAGTCCTTTTCCTAATTTTTAAATTCACATTTACATAACACATGGAATGAAAATATGCTTCAAGTTATTTGAAACCATAGACATAGATTACAACTCTTTATCACACACCCGTGCCGATTTTGCGACTCCGTAAATATGGTATTGCACGGCCGTGCATATATTTTGACGTGACGTCATTAGCGTTATACAAACATAGTGTAAAAAATTCTGGAAACAAAGTGATCCTTCGGAAGCATTAATCACAACAAAAGAACATAAGAATTGCAGTCTCGGTTTGATTGACGCGCTAAATGCAAGCGTTATATACTATAGGCGCGTTAATGAAATATAACTCTTATTTCACTTTAAACGGTCATTATTTTGGGCTTGTGATCAATAGAATATTAAATTCGTGTAAGTTCATTGCTGAATTTATTGCACGAGTTGAATGAAATAATATTATGCTCGCCAGAGGCTCGCATAATATTATTTCATTCAACTCGTGCAATAAATTCAGTATTGAACTTACACTCATTCAATATCCTCTATTTATTATATACTTCTAAATGAAATATTGAGAAATATTGATGAAATAAAATGCGTATTTTCATTTTCCGTATTTTCACTGTAAAAATTTATTTTTCACTGCAGTGAAACATATTTTCCGTATTTTCACTGGTGTCTTGCCGGACTACTTTCTTTTAAATTCTGCCAGTACACAAAATTTAAGGGAAAGTCTTTTAAATTTTATCGCAAAAAAGAGAAAAATGTATATAATAAACAGAAAATTCAAGTTTTTTCTATAAATACATGATTTATTTTCATCTTGTGGCATGAAAATTACCATATTTCACCCGTGGCTACCGCCACTCATGAAATATTTATTTTCATACCACTCGATGAAAATAAATCATGTATTTATAGAAAAAACTTGAATATCCTCTATTTATCACACACCCGTGCCGATTTTGCGACTCCGTAAATATGGTATTGCACGGCCGTGCATACATTTTGACGTGACGTCATTAGTGTTATACAAACATAGTGTAAAGACGCGCTAAATGTTAGCGCGACAGTGAAAAAAGGCTCTATATTCACTTAAACGGTTTTTATTTTGGGTATGTGATAAATAGAATAATAAATTCGTGTAAGTTCATTACTGAATTTATAGCACTCGTTGAATAAAATAATATTATGCTCGCCAGAGGCTCGCATAATATAATTTAATTCAACTCGTGCAATAAATTCAGTATTGAACTTACACTCATTCAATATCCTCTATATATTGAAACTGGGACATAAGATAACTATCTTATATCCCAGGTTTGTTTCGATGTCGGAGCAAATCTTTTTTCCTTCTCAAATTTAATGGTTATATAATTATATATAAAATAGCATCGAAAAATTTAAAAATATTCGTAAATATAGTGACGGGAAGAGATGAAAGATGATATTGACTATATATATTACTTAAATTCACAATATGTCTGCATTTTCTTTTCTCATATGTTAACATGTGCAAATAAGGTACATGTATGATAGATGAAGTCTCTTATTTTATAATGTTAACGGTGATTTCTTTTAATATGGTGTCATTGTTATGGGTGACATAATTAAATATATCTCACCACTACACATGATATACATGTAGATTAACCAGATGACTTCAACTGGGAAAAGCGCATGTTATATCAAAAGAAATTGTAAAATTAATAAATAAACAAATTAGTAAATCTAGATGTTATTTTTAAAAGGAAAAGAAAATGAAAGAGCTCATTTGAGGCATGACCTTTGTATAAACTATTTTGTATATCAGTAGTGCAAGTAGTAGCAGAGATTAACCAACCATGCATGGTGACATTGACGCATACTACTTAAAAATAGATTGTGAACTTCCGCACTGAAATTACATTAAATTTAACATTAAAGTTACTAAATCTGAGCTAAACAGAGAAAAGGGGATTAATAAAAAGGGATCTGCAGTAAAGACACAAGCTAGGTAAGAAGTATATTAACACGTTTATAATATCCCTTTGTTCAAAATGTTTTAAACAAGTTATAAGACATGTGTCAGTATATAATGATTAAGTAGGTCATACATATTTCCCAGTTTGAAAGTTTACTGTCCTATCTATATATGTATCACATAATACAACATTATTATTTTTATTTTATTTTTTGGAAATGTATCAAATCATTAAGACGAGGATTTAATTGACTGGAATTTTACTTCGTTTACCTTTTGTTTCGCATAATTTAATTGTAACTAAAGCTTACATACATGTAGGTAGACTACAGTTACTCGCTTGGAGGTCTAGATAGACATGTTGAATGAAACAATAGATTTTCATTTACAAGGTATACATTTAAGCAAGTGCGCTGATATGCTGACAGACCATGGAAACAAATATAATAGCCTGCATCGACTGAGAAGAAAAATAATATATTATTCCTAAAATATACAGCAGTGTAATAATGTTCAATTCAATACAGCAAAAGAATTCAGCTTTATCTTAAAGCACTTGTACAGATTTATCTTATACTTTTTTAGTAATGTATGAATCGGTTTTGTTACAAACTGAAGTTAATAAAATTAGATTTGAAATAAAACATACATGCAAGCATTTTAATATTTTAAGTTGTTGTTTCTGTTCATGTCTACTGACTAGGTGGAAGGGCAGTTTCTTAACAACTTTTTTTCTTCTTTATTTCACAGATATACACTCCCAATTTATATTCTGTACTTATTCTTAACTGTATGAAGAACGATGACACAAGTCGACGTGACGACAACGACTGATCTGACTGGGGAAGGTGTAAGTTATAGTTACATGTATATCTATGATAATGTCATTGATCAGTTTAAGTTTGTTATAATGGTAAAACATGGAGTTAGTTTTTAGTTTTAAAATTAACTGATCAAGGTCGAATTATTTAAATAATTATAAAGATAAACTCATGTATAATATATTTGACAATTCTTTTCCGCCCTTTTTATCTATGATTGGCGAAACACATCAGTCAATGCACGTTTATCACGTGTTAGAAAGTGATGAACATATATTTGCACACAATATTGGTCAACTCTGTTTACTTTTATGTACCCGATCATAGACGGAGCTATAAATATCTGAGCATGCGTTATTCAAGGATGGTCATTTTCTAGAAGACGCTATATATGTTATTTTTTTACACGACTTGTATATGTCGATATGACAAACTGATTTTTATCAATATTCACTTGAAATCTGAGTTTGTCTGTTTTGTTCTTTGTCTGTTTTGTTCTGTTTTTTTCTCTCTCTCCTTACTACTTTAAAATTCTAGTTGACAAACTTATAACTACTACTTTAAGATTCTAGTTGACAAACTTATAACTACTATTTTAAAATTCTAGTTTACAAATTTATAACTACTGATATTCTGGTTGAAATACTATAAACTTTCCCAACAGCGAATGATCCAGAATCAGTTAGAGTTGATGAGTGAAGTTACGATGTTGTCACAACGACTGGAAGCTCTTGAGAATGGACAACAAACATTGATGAAAGGTCAGGAATACATCGTCCGAACATTGAACCAGGTGATGAAAAAACTAACTGCGGAGAAAAGAAATAAGAAACCACCGGCCCAAAAACCTTTACCTTCAAAACGTAAGCCATTATATTGCAAAATATGTGATAAGAGTTTTTACTTTTATTATTTAGATTGTAGTCTATAATGTTTAAAAAAAAGTTCTATATGTTAAGCCTTTTCATTGAAGCGTATACCATGTAGGGTAACTATGTTGCATGTAATCATTTAAGCTCCAACATAAATAGATTATGTCTTTACTATATACGACTTCAGCATAATGTATATTTAATACAACATGTATATGGATACAGCTTTGCAATAAGCATCATCGGCATTTTAATTTTACTAAATTACTGCTGGTCAAAAATTGTTACACGTGCAGAATTATTATGCCCCCACTTCGAAGAAGAGGGGGTATATTGCTTTGCACTTGTCGGTCCGTCGGTCCGTTGGTCCGTCGGTCCGTAGACCAAATGGTTTCCGAGTGATAACTAAAGAACCCTTAGGTATGGTGATTGGTCATGACCAGTAGATGACCCCTATTGATTTTGGGGTCAAGGGGTCAAAGGTCAAGGTCACATTGACCTTGTAAGCAAAAACGGTTTCCGATCAATAACTAAAGAACCCTTAGGCCTAGGAACTTCAAACTTGGTATGGTGATTGGTCATGATCAGTAGATGACCCCTATTGATTTTGGGGTCAAGGGGTCAAAGGTCAAGGTCACATTGACCTCTTAGGTAAAAACGGTTTCCGATCAATAACTAAAAAATCCATAGACCTAGCAACTTCAAACTTGGTATGGTGATTGGTCATGACCAGCAGATGACCCCTATTGATTTTGGGGTTAAGGGGTCAAAGGTCAAGGTCACATTGACCTTGTAGGTAACAAGGAACATCGCAATGCGATGCAACCAGGTTTTCAGCAAAATATTTCACAGAAGCTTTGTCATGAAGGGGCATTTGTTTTTAATTGAACTTTTAGGAGGAATTATGGCTTTTTTAATATTCCTCAAACAAAAATGATTGAGAAATTTTATGTTGTCTATTCGCCTTTTTTTCCCAAATGTTTTAGAAAGGTAAACAGTACTTTAATTTTTGCTTAATTTTGCATTTTTGCGTCTCTTGTCATTTTCTTTTGTCAACAATATTGGCGTGTGGTGTTTTGTGCGATATCAAGAAAAGTATGTTCACAATTTTAAAAAAAATACTTGAATGATGTCTTGGAAGAAACATGGGAATTTATGAGCGCCAGGGCACTTGATGATAAAGCTTCTGTGAAAGTTTGGTCAAAATCCATTGAGAAATGTAGGAGAAGTTGCGCACTGTAGAAATTGTTCACTATATATTCTGTATAAGGAAAAAAATATACAAAGGGCCATAATTCGGTCAAATATTATCCAATCACAAAACCCCGACAATATGTGCCAGGCACTTGAAAAAAAAGCTTCTAAGAAAGTTTGGTCAAAATCCGTTGAGAAATGTAGGAGGATGTTGAGCACAGAAGAAATTGTTCTCTATATATTCTGTATAAGGAAAAAATATACAAAGGGCCATAATTCGGTCAAATATATCCAATCACAAAACCCCGACAATATGTGCCAGGCACTTGATAACAAAGCTTCTAAGAAAGTTTGGTCAAAATCCGTTGAGAAATGTAGGAGGAGTTGCGCACAGAAGAAATTGTTCACTATATATTCTATATAAGGAAAAAAAACAAAGGGCCATAATTAGGTCAAATATATACCAATTGCAAAACCCTGGCAATATATGTCAGGGCACTTGATGACAAAGCTTCTGAGAAAGTTTGGTCAAAATCCGTTGAGAAATGTAGGAGGAGTTGCGCACAGAAGAAATTGTTCACTATATATTTTATATAAGGAAAAAAAAAACAAAGGGCCATAATTAGGTCAAATATTATCTAATCGCAAAACCCCGACAATATGCGCCAGGGCACTTGATAACAAAGCTTCTGTGAAAGTTTGGTCAAAATCCGTTGAGAAATGTAGGAGGAGTTGCGCACAGAAGAAATTGTTTACGCCCGCCCGCCCGCCGCCCGTCCGCCCGCCCGCCCGACCGCCCGCCCGCCGACATACCTCAATCTAATAACCAGTTTTTCCTTCGAAAACCTGGTTAAAAACGGTTTCTGATCAATAACTAAAGAACCATTAGGCCTAGGGACTTCAAACTTGATATGGTGATTGGTCATGATCAGTAGATGACCCCTATTGATTAAGGGGTCAAGGGGTCAAAGGTCAAGGTCACATTGACCTCTTAGGTAAAAACGGTTTCCGAGTGATAACTAAAGAACCCTTAGGCCTAGGAACTTCAAACTTGGTATGGTGATTGGTCATGACCAGCAGATGACCCCTATTGATTTTGGGGTTAAGGGCTCAAAGGTCAAGGTCACATTGACCTTGTAGGTAAAAAACAGTTTCCGATCAATAACTTAAGAATCCTTAGGCCTAGGAACTTCAAATTTGGTATGGGGATTGGTCATGACCAGCAGATGACCCCTATTGATTTTTGGGTCAAGGGGTCAAAGGTCAAGGTCACATTGACCTTGTAGGTAAAAAGTGTTTCCGATCAATTAACTAAAGAATGCTTAGGCCTAGGAACTTCAAACTTTGTATGATGGTTGGTCGTGACACGCAGATGACCCCTTTTGAATTTTGGGTCAAGGGGTCAAAGGTCAAGGTCACATTGACCTTGTTAGTAAAAACGGTTTCTGATCAATAACTGAAGAACGCTTAGACCTAGCAACTTCAAACTTGGTATAGTGATTGGTCATGACCAGCAGATGACCCCTATTGATTTTGGGTCAAAGGTCAAGGTCACATTGACCTTGTTGGTAAAAACGGTTTCCAATCAATAACTAAAGAACGCTTAGGCCTAGAAACTTCAAACTTGGCATGAAAATTGGTCATGGCCAGCAGATGACCCCTATTGATTTTGGGGTCAAGGGGTCCAAGGTCAATGTCACATTGACCTTGTAGGTAAAAACGGTTTCCGATCAATAACTAAAGAACGCTTAGGCCTAGGAACTTCAAACTTGGTATGATGATTGGTCATGACCAGTAGAAGACCCCTATTGATTTTGGGGTCAAGGGGTCAATCTCATATTGACCCTGTACTTAATGAAGGTTTCTGACCAATAACTCAACAACTCAAGTTGCCTTGGTTGATATTTTTATATTGAACTAAAAATGCTTTTGGTAAACACATTTGAAGGTCTTATGTAATATAACAAATTGGCTGTTATTAATGAGGCCTACATGATTCATAAAATTTATGCATATATTATTTGGTAAGATTTGTAATAACTTAAATTGCTGCACACAACCTATGGGGTCACAATAATTATTACCTTGTGACTAGACATGACCAGAAGATACTAGATAACCCTTATTAATTGTTTGTTCACTGGGTCAGAAGTCATGCATAATAACCTGATCACATGGCTAATTGGCTGCTGATAGGGGGCATACATGTATTACAAACATATCTTGTTAAATTAGGATGACACTGCTACATGTAATGAGAAAATACAGATGTACATCCACTTGTTTACTTCAGGGAAATCTACATGGCCGAGCGACGTATCAACATTATTGCATCTACCACAGGCTTTGCAAAAGAACATCAATAAATTTACTGATAATGTTTTGTTCAAAACTACAAATATTCCTGACGAACTTATAGCTTCCGAATGTTTAAGTGAGGACGAATGTAGTCACATCACTTCTAAAACAACTTATAAAGAACAGGTTCGGCTGCTGGTTCGTAAAATAAAATCTCGTGGTCCGCAGGTTATTGAAAAATTCCTTGAAATTGTGGGAAAAGACCATCCCGATCTATCGCAAGAAGTACATAAAACTCTGGAAGCTATTGTCAATGAAAGTAAGCAAAAACCAGTCTGTGTAATTTGTGTTATGAGGCTTACCGTAGATTTAAAAGATGTCGTAGATGACCTCTGGTCAGCGGAAATCATATCAGATGACGTTTATGGCGATATTCTTGATTGCGAAAGTATACATGAAAATAGAAACATTCTCTGGGATAATATAATAAACTCTATAAATAACTCGGAAGAACCTAATCGCTCTTTAGATATTCTTGTCCACGCGTTAGAATCAAAATATAAACACATTGTTGAATATTTGAGGGAAACACCGGAAAGGCCGACATTGAATTGCTCGTGTTGTAAGAGACGGAAAGTACGTTCAAGGGCAACTTGCTCTGATATTGGCAGTCTTACAGATTTAAGCACTACATCTGAAGTACGGAAAATTAAACTACCAAAAACGGTTTTTATGGCAGGAGAATATTCTTCAGAGGAAAGTGGATCTGTTTGTAGTTCCCAGGAAGTGCAAAGCGGTTCATTTAGGGGAATCTCATTTGATTATTTAGAAAGATACGAAAGTATAGGTAGTGGTTCTGATGTGTTTTCACAAAACTTAGAAATACAAAATCCAACAGTATCAAGTACTACGGATGACACTAACAATAATGTAAGAGATCGTAACAGGCATTCATCAGGTCATTTTGTTCCACGTGATCAAAGTTTTGACATAGCAGATTATGATGAACATAACCGCAGTCTTCCGTTGTTTTCAGAACCGCCTGTAAACACACAGAAAGTTTATGCAGACGGAGACAAAGAGCGACCTGAACTGATGCATAGTACAAGTATACACAGCAATGTGACTATCTGTGGTACTCGTTCTACAGGATCAGGGGAGGTAGATCGTGGTCTCCAACTGCTAACTGATGAAAATCAAAATAAACGTTCATCTTTGTCAACAGATTGTGCAAGTCCTGACGGAAATCAAATTCAAACGCAAAATGTAGAGTTTCCTTACGATAACGGAAACGAATCAACAAAAGAAACAGAAAAAGAGAGTGACGCCGAAAGTCCTCTATTCCTGCGACAAAAAGCTTACAGGCGCAGAAGGCAAAGGTCGTCTAGTGAAACCGGCGTCGCCGATGACGAGGAAGATCAATATCAAAACTCATCGTCATACATAGATCGTGCAAGACAGCGTAGGTACCAACGGAAACGGTTCGCAAGACAAAAAAGTGTTCCCCACGGAGATATAACACTGATCACAAGCCCACGTCCAAAATCAGACCAGGCAATGTCCAATATTGGCGTAAGAGCACAGGAATCTAGAAAAAGTAAACAAAGCATTAAGCGAGAAATACGCCGGCTACGGTCTCAGAGTAAAGAATATGAAAACGAAATTCAAATCAGTGTCACAAGTCCCTCTGGACAAGAAGACAAAGGTTTAAAGAAACCATTCAACCCTTTATGGGGCAAGGACTTTACGCAACCAAAGTTGTCGCCGAATTGGGATCACAATCAAGCAAAGCGTTATTGGCAGATGGCACAGCTCTATGCAACTTCTTCTAGAGCACTACAGAATAAGTCGGATACGGATCTAAGGGCTGGAGATTTGAGTGATACGATGGCATTCAGTGATTTTACAACTTAAGAGACGCGTATAAATAGCAAGTCAGCTGCTTGATTTACTTTCTGTACCATTTTCTGATCAATTGTTATAAAATATGTGTACACATGTATCTATTTTTTATATAATTTTTACTTGGCAACATGATTTGATTATCTATACTCTATGCATACACTGGCATTGTTTTTTCAATTCATATAAAACATTTTTATACTTTTGTACATGTATCTATTTTTTTTATATATTTTTTACTTGGCAACATGATTTGATTATCTATACTCTATGCATACACTGGCATTGTTTTTTCAATTCATATAACACATTTTTATACTTTTGTACATTTAATTCTTTGTGAACTGTTTCTTATACAAAATGTATTCATAAAAAATATGTTAGAACAAGAAAACCTTCGTTGTTCCGATTTGTTTCCCTGAATTTAAGATGAAACTTTGTAATTACTGCACTGTAATCAGTTCAATAACTAATGTATAAATTGAGTCCATCAACGATGCGTATAAGAAAGAATGACTGTACCTTTAGCAGCTAAATAAATGCGCTTCCGTTACTTCACAAGAAAGACTTTCAATCAATGCATAGGTGGCACAGCTGAATCAAGTTATTTAAATAGAGCTGGTACTACTTGTACCATTGTTAAGGGGCCTCCGTGGCCGAGTGGTTAAGGTCGTTGACTTGATATCACAGGTCCCTCACCGCTGTAGGTTCGATCCTCACTCGGGTCGAAATCTTCCATGTGAGGAAGCCATCCAGCTGGCTTACGGAAAGTCGGTGGTTCTACCCAGGTGCCCGCTCGTGCCTGAAATAATGCCCGGAGGGGCACCTGGGGGTCTTCCTCCACCAATAAAGCTAAAAAAAATCGACGAAAAATCTCGGCGGGACGCTCTAGGATGGCCCGACTTGAGTGTACGGTCGCCCATATGGGCTTTCCGGCGGCGACCTTAAATAAACGCATTAAAAAAATGTACCATTGTGCTCAAACGATGTTGCTAAGCGTAAGACTCGGGAGGACCTTATGACTTTTGACAGTCATTTAAACCACTTCTACTCAGCTTGACTTCCAAAAAAACAGTCAAGGAGTTCGCACATTTTGTTCAAGCTATTTTGGTCCTTGCAATGGCTCTAATGATGCGATTCACAGTTCATTATAATTATTTGAATATTTCTTTATTAGCTGAATATCTTTTTATAAAATTAGGCACGTGATTTTCCCATATTAAAAGACAACGTTAATTAATACACTATGACTACATGCATATTCATTCTGTACCTTGAGAAAACGAAAGCTGCATGATATCCTACTAAATTAGTATTCTATAAACTAAAAGTGGAATTTTGCATTATTATGTTGACTGTATTCGTAATACATAAATGGTCATAACCTTTATGTTACCAAAGAAATAGAATTGATTCATAGTTTGGGTACCTTTCTGTTGAACATGTGCCAGAGTTAAATCGTATACATATACATGCACAGTGCGTTAACTGTAGTGCAGGTATTAGATACCAGCACTCCTGAGCATGCCCATTGATTGGCTCATTTTTGCTGGGGTTTACTTATTGTGACGGCAGAGAAAGGGAAAGCGATAAAAATATCATATTCAGATGCTCGTTCATTGGTTACCTTTTTCTGGGGTTTCATATTGTGACAACAGGGAACGTGTTTTTTATGTTTGATTATGATACACAAGAGAAAGAACATCAAAGCACTACGCCCCCCTCGTACAAATCAGATAGCCTCGTGTTTCGATGCTCTTTCTATTACTTAATGATAACCAATGATGAACAACAAAATGCATATAGATCTAAAGAATGTTTCATGCACAAGTGGTACATTTTATGATTTAAATGAAAAGGCAGCTATACTGATGAATGAAGACATTAGATGCCCCTTAGTAAAATACTTTTAGACACAACCGGACACCTTAGTAGAACCAGTGGCCTTTGGTAGGCTAGCCATATAGTTTCCTCACATGAAAGAATCTAAAGGCCCTGAAGGGATTTCAACCAACAGAAATGAGGAGCAAGTGTTTTGGAGTTGACAACTTTAAGTTAACCAAATGTACAATGTACATATACTTTATTATCATTGATAATGATCCAATAAATTGATTCCTTTTTATACGCCCGTTTGAAAAACGGGACGTATTATGGGAACGCCCCTGGCGGGCGGGCGGTCGGGCGAGCGGCGTCCAATTTTGTCCGGAGCATATCTCCTACATGTATGGAGGGATTTTAATGAAACTTCATAGAAATGTTCACCACTATGAGGAGCAGTGTCGCGCACATGAACCGAGTCTCTAGGTCAAAGGTCAAGGTCACACTTAGAGCTCATTGAAAAATGCTTGTCCGGAGCAAAACTTCCACATGTATAGAGGGATTTCAATATTACTTGGCACAAATGTTCACCATTGTGAGGCGGAGTGTCGCGCGCAAGATTCAGGTCCTTGCGGCCAAGGTCAAGGTCACACATAGAGGTCAAAGTTCAGATAAAAATATGAAGATGTGTATATGGACCATTTAGTCATCATTTATTGAGGGATTGTAACACAAATGGTCATTATCAAGACTATGGCTGTGATACATATAATTTAGGTCAATATATACAAGGTCAAGGTCACTTAAGATGATGAAATATCCAGATTTTGTCCGGAGCATATCTCCTACACGCATGGAGGGATTTTAATGAAATTTCATAGAAATGTTCACCATTATGAGACGCCATGTCACGCACATGAACTAGGGCTCTAGGTCAAAGGTCAAGGTCACACTTAGAGCTCATTGAAAAACGCTCGTCCGGAGCAAAACTTCCACATGCATAGAGCGATTTCAATATAACTTGGCACAAATGTTCACCATTGTGAGGCGGAGTGTCGCGCACAAAATTCAGGTCCCTGCAGCCAAGGTCAAGGTCACACAGAGAGGTCAAAGTTTAGATAAAAATATGAAGATGTGTATAGGGACGATTTAATCATCATTTATTGAGGGATTGTAACACAAATGGTCATTATCAGGACTACGGCTGTGACACATGTACTTTAGGTCAATATATGCAAGGTCAAGGTCACTAAAGATGGTGAAATATCCAGATTTTGTCTGGAGCATATCTCCTACATGTATGGAAGAATTTTTATAATACTTTATGGAAATGTTCACCACCATGATATGTATTGCTCCATGCATGATCCAGGTCTCCAGGTCAAGGTCACACTTAGAGCTCATTGAAAAACGCTTGTCCGGAGCAAAACTTCCACATGTATAGAGGGATTTCAATATTACTTGGCACAAATGTTCACCATTGTGAGGCGGAGTGTCGCACGCAAAATTCAGATCCCTGCGACCAAAGTCAAGGTTACATATAGAGGTCAGAGTTCAGATAAAAATTTGAAGATTGATGGATTGTAGAACAAATGGTAACTATCATGACTACAGGTGTGACACATTTAATTTAGGTTAATATTTGCAAGGTCAAGGTCACTGGAGATGATTAAATATCCAGATGCTGTCCGGAGCATATTTTCTACATGCATGGAGGAATTTTAATGTTACTTTATAGAATTGTTCACCACCATGAGACGTAGTGCCCTGCACATGAACCAAGTCTCTAGGTCAAAGGTGAAGGTCACAGTTAGAGCTCATAGAAAAACGCTTGTCTGGAGCAAAACTTCTACATGCATAGAGGGATTTCAATATAATTTGGCACAAATGTTCATCATTGTGAGGCTGAGTGCCGTGCATAAAATTCAGGTCCCTGCGACCAAGGTCAAGGTCACACATCCTGTGCATATCTTCCCTACTGATTTGTTTTAAGGTTCATTTAACAACACAGTGCCAAGAATAAAAACTTGCTTGCTAGATAACACTTATCCATAATGCCCCCATCTCCACCTAAAGCTTTCGTAAACGGGCGTATTTTGTGACTATGGCACCCTTGTTTAATTATGAGGGTGTAGTGAAAAATAGTATTTTCTACATATGGAACAAAAAATTTAAGACTAATCGACAGTAACAAATTTTACACTTTCCTGCAAGGCATAAGTATAGTTTATATCATCCATGCTCCTGTTTTAATCTGGGTTACTGATATGTAACACAAGTTTAATCAATAAAACCAAACAAGTGATTGAGATCTAAGTTTTAATTAAGATTTGGAAATATAATACAACATGTATATATATCTTTATGTTTCAACATAATTTATCTGCACAGCAGAAATGGTAGCACAGCTATGAAATTACTGTCATCAGAGCTGAAATCTATAACATACAATGCACCTCATTTTATACTTCCAAGTTTGTTTTTCAAAGTAAGCTACCTCATTTAAGAACTGGTTTTATTTCTTTCCAACTGACATGTTGTTAGGAAAAAAAAACAGAATTAATAACCTGTCCTCACTAAGTATGACCCACTTCTTATACAAAGGGAAAAAACTGAAAAACTACTTGATAGTAATGCAAAAACTGAAAAACTACTAGATAGTAATGCAAAAACTGAAAAACTACTAGATAGTAATGCAAAATAACATTTGATAATGATATATATCATTATTTACAGAATTGTTTTCTGATATTTCTAATTAGAAAACATAAAATAAGGAACTCCACTGAGATTTTATGATAGGACTGGAAATATTTTCATACTATTTGATGAACGTCTGGACCAGTAACTTTAGTGAAAACTTTCAGATCATTCACTCACACTGTTTTTCCATAATAACCTTTTTTATTGTGGAAAATGACCCAAAGTTGAAAAGCTTTGCAATGCTTTCACTTAACTTTGACTATGATTGGCTAAAAAAATTGATAATTAAATTCCTAGTATATTTTCATACTTTTTCAATCTTCATCTAAGTAAGAATTTCAAATTGTATGAAATAATTATATCAGTATAAAATGTACAAGTGGTATACCTGGACAGGTTTAACAATATTTCATCTATGTTTACTAGTTTCCATCACACTAGTCCTTTATTAAATTTTTGAGACAAGGACCTCAACTTATACTTGTAAAACCAACACGTCCTTAATTAAAGCAGAAAATATTTTTCATATTATCAGAGCACAACTGTGGCAAAATGAGGGTTTTTTTAGTAGTTTTCTAGTCTTAATTGAGATGGGTTGATTCATACAAGAATTAAAATGATAACTTTGAGCAAGTTTACTACAAATATACAACTTGTAAAACAATTTAACATAAGCATTTCATGACATTCTAATCAGGTTATCTAATCAATTATCAGGTGTCTTTTATTTATTCTAACATCAGAAATTCTTAAACAATTTAAGTTTACTGAAGCATTTTAGATATACATACGAGGGATAATCCAAAATACTATAGACTTTTCTGATACATGCTTTCCAGTAAATAAGTTATAACTTGACAATGTTACAAAATCAGCACAATGTGTTCTTGATTAATGGTCACGGGGGCCAATTTTTGCCAAAGGATTACTGCATTTTTGTTATCTTTTGCAAGAATATGCTGGACATAAGTCTCATACATATTGATTGTAAATGATAGCTTGAGTAATATAACAGTTATTGCAAAAATTATCATTAGTTTGGATGATCCCTCATATTCTAGTGAAAATACAAGTAATATTACAGACCTATGTCAAGATATTCTATTACAATGATCCATTTTTGTAAATCTCAAAAAGAAAAAAAATGACATACAATTTTCCTACTTTGGAATGTACCGTGTTTAGAATAAGAAAATACAATATTCAACTCTGGAATGAGAAACTTACTAGATAGGCAGGACAATAATCAAACAGTGTTTTATATCAGGCCTCACAACAACAACAACAACAATGACATCGTAATTTTTTTATAGTGTCACTGTGCAAATTGTTACTCATGAAAACTAGAGAATTTCAAAATTCTAAAATACATCTGTTCCAGACATGATTATTTTTCAAAATTAAAACAAAGATCAATCTATTTACATTGTAAGAGCTCCTGCTTAGATGTAATTTGTTCCTATTGCCTACAACACAACAAATATGGTCTACACTACATCTTTGTAATACATATCATAACAATAAACCCTTAACACACAAAATATCTTAAAAAGACTCATCCTCCATCTGGACAAATCATTCATCATATTTAGAAAATGTTTTAAAAAATGTACTGACTGAAGAGCACAGACCATGATCAGATCAGAGGTACCAGCTAACTTTGATCTTCACTGCTACCATGGTTAGGGTAAATCAATCTTGACAAATCATAAATTGATAATCATCAAGATAATATAAGATAATAACCAATATTTCATTAGTAACAAATCATAAGAATAATCATTTATGACATATTGTTCGATCATCTAGTCATATCAAATAATTAAAACAACATTTTACACACAGTTCATTTATAAAAGCCACACAGTGCCCTGTCAAGAATAATAACATTTACTATATATCCAGTTATTTAAATAACATTTACCAGATCTACAGTAAGTGTCAAAATGTTTACAATATGCTTGTATCAAATTATTAAAAATTAAAATAACATTTTTCCAATATAATCAACAATAAAAAAAAAATTGGGAAAATTTGGCAATGTGAAATTCAGTATGTTAAACGAAATATTACTTCTAAATAAAACAAGAGGGCCACGATGGCCCTGAGGTCGCTCACCTGTATATAGGCCCCCGGAGCTGGGCCAGTTAAAACCCCATGGCTTTTATTTGAACAGACTCGGAAGAGCCACCCATAATGTTTCACAATGTTAAGTTTTTACTACACACATATAATGAAAAACAACGATCTTTCCCCCCCCCCCCCCCATCGGCATGGCCAATTTTTACCAAAGGGCTTTTATTTGAACAAACCTGGTAGACACCCAAAAGAAAATGTTTCATGCTTAATATCTAAACTCTAGCTATTTGGGTTTTTTCAAAGAAGATTTTTTAAGTTTTTACTATACACATATAAGGAAAATCAATGACACCTGGGGCGGGGCCAATTTTGACCCAAGGGCTTTTATTTAAACAAACTTGGTAGACACCCATTAGAACATAATTCATACTAAATATCTTAGCTCTAGCTCTTTGAGTTCTTAAAAAGAAGATTTTTTAAGTTTTTACTATATGCATATAGGGAAAACCAATGACCCCCTGGGGCGGGGTCAATTTTGACCCCAGGGCTTTTATTTGAACAAACTTGGTAGACACCCATTAGAACATGTTTCACGCTAAATATCTTAGCTCTAGCTCTTTGAGTTCTTTAAAAGAAGATTTTTTAAGTTTTTACTATATGCATATAAGGAAAATCAATGACCCCCTGGGGCGGGGCCAATTTTGACCCCAGGGCTTTTATTTGAACAAACTTGGTAGACACTCACTAGAAGATGTTTCATGTCAAATATCTAAGCTCTAGCTCTTAGGGTTTTTTAAAAGAAGATATTTAAAGTTTTTTCTTTCGGTTGCCATGGCAACCAGAGTTCTGCATGGAATTAAATTCTTTGAACAACTTTGTTAAGGCTTCACACAAGGAACATCCCTGTGAAGTTTCATTTTGATCTGCCTTATTGTTTCAGAGGAGATGTCGTTTTAGAAGTGTGAACGGACAACGGACGACGGACGAAGAGTGATCCTAATAGCTCACCCCGAGCATATGCTCAGGTGAGCTAAACAAGAGGGCCATGATGGCCCTGAGGTCGCTCACCTGTATATAGGCCCCCAAAGCGGGGCCAGTTTAACCCCCAGGGCTTTTATTTGAACAAACTTGGAATTAAGACACCCATTAGAAGATGTTTCATGATGTTAAGTTTTTGCTATACACATATAAGGAAAAACAATGACCTTCTCCCCCCCCCCCCCGGCAGAGTTAATTTTAACCCAAGGGCTTTTATTTGAACAAACTTGGTAGACACCCATAAGAAGATGTTTCATGCTAAACATCTAAGCTCTAGCTCATTGGGTTTTTTAAAAGAAGATTTTTTAAGTTTTTACTATACACATATAGTTAAAAACAATGACACCCCTGGGGCGGGGCCAGTTTTGACCCCAGGGCTTTTATTTGAACAAACTTTGTAGACACTTATTAGAAGATGTTTCATGCTTAATATCTACCTCTAGCTATTTGGATTTTTTCAAAGAAGATTTTTTAAGTTTTTGCTATACACATATAAGGAAATCAATGACACCCCGGACGGGGCCAATTTTGACCCCAGGGCTTTAATTTGAACAAACTTTGTAGACACTCACTAGAAGATGTTTCATGCTTAATATCTAAACTCTAGCTATTTGGGATTTTTTGAAAGAAGATTTTTTAAGTTTTTGCTATACACATATAAGGAAAATCAATGACCCCCGGGGCAGGGCCAATTTTGACCCCAGGGCTTTTATTTGAACAAACTTGGTAGACACTCACTAGAAGATGTTTCATGCTAAATATCTTAGCTCTAGCTCTTTGGGTTCTTTAAAAGAAGATTTTTTAAGTTTTTACTATATGCATATAGGGAAAATCAATGACCCCCTGGGGCGGGGCCAATTTTGACCCCAGGGCTTTTATTTGAACAAACTTGGTAGACACTCATTAGAAAATGTTTCATGCCAAATATCTAAGCTCTAGCTCTTTGGGTTCTTTAAAAGAAGATTTTTTAAGTTTTTACTATATGCATATAGGGAAAATCAATGACCCCTGGGGCGGGGCCAATTTTGACCCCAGGGCTTTTATTTGAACAAACTTGGTAGACACTCATTAGAAGATGTTTCATGCCAAATATCTAAGCTATAGCTCTTTGGGTTCTTTAAAAGAAGATATTTAAAGTTTTTTCTTTCGGTTGCCATGACAACCAGAGTTCTGCATGGAATTAAATTCTTTGAACAATTTTTAAAGGTGACCATAAAGGAACATTCCTGTGAAGTTTGGATGAAATTGGCTTAGTGGTTTATGAGCAGATGTCATTTGAAGCAAAAGTTTACGGACGGACAGACGACGGACTGACGCGGGACGAAAAGGGATCACAAAAGCTCACCCTGTCACTTTGTTAAATGAACAAGAAATGTTTCCAATAGGAAAGACTTTACTGTCTCTTATAACATGCAAACCAAATATATACAATTATGAATAACAGACAAAAAATCTTCCAATTTTTCCAATTCTATACAAATCTTACAAAATAAATCACACAAAAAAACATGTAATATAAACTACAGCAAGCATACATTTACATACAATTTTCTTTCTGTTAATAATTATCAAAAATACAAGAGTATTGCTGCTCAGGAGGAGCAGAAGATCAAAAATTGTTGAAAAATGATAAATGCTTAATATATTAAAATAAAATGCATGTTCTAAAAAAGAGGCACACACCTGTTACATTTTACCTGAAGATCTATTGATTCATAGATTAATAACATCTCCATGAAACTTTTGATTTTCTAAACCACTTTTATCTTACCGCAAGATGACCTTACCTTTAGCTACTTATGTAAAACCCAAACACTATTTTTTTGTATATAAAGAATCATTTAAAAAAATCTTTAATCCTTTAACCAAGAAAATTTAATTTTTCCCATTTGTCAAAAAATGTTTTTAAAATGCGCATTTCCTAACACTTTGGGACATATATTTAAACTATTTTTATAATAGAGCAGAATAACCTTAATGCATGAACAAGTTACAAACACGATATACACAGCTAAATTTTAGCTGATAAATACATTACCATCACAGTGAGACAAACAGGAGGCATTCAAGTACAACACACCCGGATTTGTGGTGCTATCATTGTGACAGCGGTGTCAGGCTCAATACAAGCTGACTGAACTAAAATCATAGGAATGATGTATTTGTAACCATCCCAGGTTGTTACATTGTAAACAAAGCAAGTTTAAAGTTTTTACAACAGAACTTTTAGTATCGGTTATGTCTCTAGAATTCATTTAGTGTGGCACAAACATTTTCACATTTATAAACCATTTAACACCATCATACACACCTAAATCTTGAGCCATTTTGATAAACATACATTGTTCAGGGACGTTAGAGTATAACACAGATACATGAGTAATATGTAGGGATGATGGTTTTTGAGTATGAAATAAATAAATGCATTATTTCATGATTGAACACAATACACGGCTTTATGAGTTGATGATATTTCACAACAACATGATCACAACAATAATAATAGTAACTTACTATCTCTCATCCCATTTGTCAGATGGATTAGTTGACCTTTGAACTGTCTACTGTAAGGAATTTAAATATCAAAATAATGAGCACAAAACAGTATAAAGTCTAATTAAAATGCGTAGATGCTCAGGCAGGCCCTATAGCATAGTATAGTCTGATAAGACATTATTGGTGCTAGCACCTTACACGTTCATAAAACATCTACATATTGAACAAAGATTCATATCTAATTTATATCTAAAATAATAACAAAAATTCAAATTCATGTTAGTGATCAAAATAGAAAAGAAAAAACTAGTGGCAAACCAATAAAGATTATTTTTGGCTGAGAGAGAGAGAGTGAGAAATGTAAATTATGAAAGTATGATATAAATATACATGATATGACAACGATAGTCATCAGCTCTGCGATTCAGCCTCTTTATTAAAGAAACCAGATTCTGATGTGCATTCCCTGAAAGTTATCGTTCCCGAATTAGTTGTCACATCCGTTATACACACTTGATCCAGTAATGATTTCACGTTAGATGGAGGAATCCAGTAATTACGATAATCTATGGGCCGGTCCATTAAACTGTCACTGTCACCATTGTCATAGTCCTCCTCGTCATCATCATCATCATCACCATAATCATCATCCATCGAGTCTGGTTCATGTTCCAATATACTAACACCTTCTAAAGACCCCATATTATTCCACTTTCTGTCATTCTCAGGACTGGATTTTTCTGCTTTCAAATGGGAGAAAAACTTCATGGATTTAATGTCTTTTGGCGAATTGATGGATTTTGGAGTATTTTTGTCAGTGGATGTGTTTGTCTTGTCAACCTTTCTGGGTCTTCCAGGAGGTCTCCCTGATTTCATTTTGATTTTGTTCAGAGCCGACCCTCTCATTCCTCTACCTCTTACACCTCCTCTAGCTTTCAGTATTTTTCCAGGTGAGCGATTCAGACCTCTTCCAATAGTTTTAAGCAAACAGGCAGCTTTAGAGCTCCCTCTACCTTGGCTAAGGCCTCTCCCATAGCCCCTTTTTATATTTCTGCCTCTTCCAATACCTCTTGGCCTACCAACAGCCCCTCTGCCTCTCTGTTTCATGCTCTGTAAATGGGGTAATAATAAATGCTTGGGTTTATTCAGTGATCCAGGTGGTCGGCCACGTTTTCTGACTGGTGTCAACTTAGGAGGGGGTGGAGTCACTGAACCACTAGAATCATTATTGATTCTATCCATATCTTTCTTGTTTTCCTCATCTGAGGAGTCACTATTCACACTAGATTTATCATTAACAGCTGACTTTGACTCCTGCGATGTGTCTGACATTGAGTCATCGTCACTTTTGGATTGATTATCTGAATCGTCACTGTCAGAATCAGAAACGGCGCCCCTTGATTGTGAACTACTTTTATGTGGTTTGTCCGAATCTTCATCTGACTGGTCACTGAGGTCATTTGATGCTGAAGACTGAAAGAAATAGAACAGTAACATTAACTTTCATTCTGACAAGAAATTTTCATAGTTAAATGCCCATTATGTCCCAAAAATGCTTTTCTTTTTAAATTCTCAAAAACTTTTTATTATTGGTTTCCTGATACAGTTTCCAAAAAGTTACTGATTGGCCAATAGTTGTTATCTGGAACTCGGCAAATGTGGGTTTTTTCAAGCTAATCCCCTGGTACAAACTTTTACTGTTACAGCTTCAAGTTACACAACAGTTTAAAACAGATTAGTCAAGTCAACCTGTTGTGAGTATTTTTGAAGCTGTATTGTAAAAGTTTGTCTGTACCCCCAGATTAGCTGGGAAAACCCCGAAATATTCTTAAATCCGGATTAAGTCTATTAATTGAACCATCTTTTCTTTCTGTTGCCTTTAGTACAGTTATAGTTATATTGTACGGAAGTCAAAATATTACACTTTATTACTTTTATTATAAATACTTTGACATTCAGTGCTACTTTCTTCAGGTGACAAGGATGTTACATTATACTTAATGTAATTAAACTCATGTCTGCCCTTTCTGAAGAAGAAAGATTTATTGTTTCTAAGGCATTATGCGACTTTAAACAAACAAATAGTTCAATATATATCTCATTCACAAACAATTAAACAAGAACAAATATTTCTTTCATTGATAAACAGTAATATAGCACAGTGCTCTTTGATGTAATAAAATCAGTCCAGACATTGTTAAAAGGCATTCTATTCTAAATTATGCTTTTTACATAACATGCATTACCTCCCATGGACTTTGTTGTTACCGATATATTGTATTGAATGGTGTGGTACAAAAACCCAATATCTCACCCCAATGAATGTCTGTGTAAAGTTTTGTGTATATCTATCTTTTTTATGTTTGGGAGATGCAACATACAAAGGTATGCATAAAAGAAATCTACATCTCGATCAAATCCCTACAAACATGGCCATAAAAGAGTCAGAAATTGATTACAAGAAATTTTTAATGATAACATGTTATTCACTGATGAAATAATGTACCTGTTTACTATGCTTCTTTGGTTTTGGTCCCCTCTTCTTGTGACCTACCTCTGGATTTCTAAAAACGATTACACAAATAACAATTACACAATAATACACACAAAGAAAATAAATTATCAAACACTTATTTTTAGTCATTTAGAAGTTTCTTTTTTTAGTATTACCTCAAAACATTTACATAAAAAACTTATGCATAAAAGCAAGTGTTTACATTTAAACCCTGAGACTATCTACTATCACAGTACTGTACAATTACAAGAAAGAAATACAAATTAATTCACCAAACAAAATTAATTCACCAAACAAGATTTTGCAGAAATGTACAAAAAGCAGTAACATAACACATTTTTCCTGTAAACAGAAACTGAGTAAAAACAAAACATTCCCTCTGTAAACATCAGATACAGTCATCGAATTTAGCACTGGCCCGGTGGACCATTGGCCAGTGAAAATTAGTTTCGGGCCAGTGTAAATTTTAAGAAAATTTAGTTAAATGTATAGTAGAATAAATTCAAAACGGGAATTTGGGCCAGTAAATTCAAAATCTTAAATTCAATGACTGCCTATGTACAGATTTCAGCAGCATAATGTTTGAACTTTACCTTCTGTTAAAAGCATCAATAAGTCTTTTATCAAGAATATTACTTTCTGGCTCCCATGTGTTATTTCTGAAAACAATAGTTACACTTTATATAAATCAATACAAGAATCATTAACACATTTATAGTACTGTACACTTTATTAAAGATTAAATAAATAAATTGCTCACAAATTAGTATTTGGTACAAATAAGTGCTGATTAACACCAATAATAATAATAATTTCTAGAAGACAAGTGATGACAGATTTCACAACTTTATACTAAAAAGTTTAATAGAGCTTGTCCAATCTGATTAAAATAAATGAACAGTTTATAAATATAAGCAAGACATGCTCTTTAAAATCATGAGTTTAGAAGGATAAAGATTTATAAAACAGAAACTTGTTGATCTAACTACTTACTTTGTGGACCATCCTTTCCATTTGACATAGTACTCTGCTTTACCCTAAACAAATAAACAAACAAGAATGTTAGTTATATTAATCCAATTTTATTACTAATTCACTTAGACTATTTTTCTCAACAATATGACCAAAAATTGGTTTTGATAATATCCATTCTCTTCAGTTACTATTAAATAAATGAAATATTGCATTGATATTTTCATTCTAAAAAAATTCAGCAATTCACTGTTGATGTTAAGGTTAAGAAACTTTACTGAAATAAAGAAATAAAAGCATGGAGGTATAAGTATATTAAGTATCTCAGTCAGATAAGTACATGTATAAAGTTTGTGAATTTTCTAGCTGATCATATATCGACTATACTGTATTCCTCTTAGTTCACGGTACTCAACGCTTTGAAACAAGAAGAAAATCAAACACTGATCTTACTGTACGAATAATTGTCATCAGATATATAATGCAAGGAAATAAAAACATCTAAAATCAAAATCACAAGTGGTAAAAGATATGGTCTGGTATGTCACCAAATATTGTGTTTTGATACAAACATGCATGTACATATCAGTGCGGTTTATGCAAGTGAAATTGAAACAGTATTACATGTAAATAAATAAAATATTCAGAATCATTCAATGATTAAGTCATAAGTAGTTATTTGCTTAAAATATTATCTTTTTCTAATTTATATTAATTAATAACTACATGTATATTAATCAATATTAACAAGAATAAAAATGTGGTGGAGCAGTCTGCACATATGCAGACAGTTCTCCCCCAAAATAGGAGAACAGGCAATGATTGAACGTCAGGGGAGAATCTGGTAAGGGGGAGAATTGTCAGACTACTGACTAAAATAGGCAAATTTTTACCAACATGAACATCTGTCACATGGAAATGCACTATTACCATTAAAATAAATTAATGATGACATGGATTTAGTGATTTTGAAAGAAACAAGATTGCATTTGAGAACAAGAGGGCCACGATGGCCCTGGATCGCTCCTCTGACCCATCAACCACATCCAAGCAATGTCTTAGACAAGCATCCTGGCCAAGTTTGATGACAATTGAGTCAAAAATGTGACCTCTAGTGTTTAAAAAGGTTTTCCATATTTGGGCGATGTGACCTAATTTTTGACTGGTGAAGACCCATATTCAAACTTGACCTAGAAATCATCAAAACAACCTTTCTGACAAATTTCCAGAATATTTGGATCAAAACTGGAGCCACTACAGTGTTATAAAGATTTTTCTATTTTTAGCTTATGTGACCTAGTTTTTGACCGGAGATGACCCATCTTCGAACTTGACCTAGAAATCATCAAAACAACTTTCCTGACAAATTTCCAGACTATTTGGATCAAAACTGCAGCCAGTAGAGTGTTAACATGCTTTTTCTATTTTTAGCTCCTGTGACCTAGTTTTTGACCGTAGATGACCCATCTTTGAACTTGACCTAGAAATCATCAAAACAACCTTTCTGACAAATTTCCAGAATATTTGGATCAAAACTGCAGCCACTAGCGTTAACAAGCTTTTTCTATTTTTAGCTCCTGTGACCTAGTTTTTAACCGGAGATGATCCATCTTCGAACTTGACCTAGAAATCATCAAAACAACCTTCCTGTCAAATTTCCAGAATATTTGTATCAAAACTGCAGCCACTAGAGTGTTAACAAGCTTTTTCTATTTTTAGCTCCTGTGACCTAGTTTTTGACCGGATATGACCCATCTTCAAACTTGACCTAAAAATCATCAAAACAACCTTACTGACAAATTTCCAGAATATTTGGATCAAAACTGCAGCCACTAGAGTGTTAACAAGCTTTTTCTATTTTTAGCTCCTGTGACCTAGTTTTTTACCGGAGATGACCCATCTTCAAACTTGATCTGTATTTCATTGAGACAAACATTCTGACAAAGTTTGACAAAGATCCAATCAAAATTTTGACTGCTAGAGTTAAAACCCGATTGCTACGAAAACGACGAGGGGACATGCCCCCAAACCCCCTTGAGTAAAAATGTATGCCACCGAAATAAACAATGTATGTGGGAAACAGTTTTTTTTGGGGTTTTTTAAAATTTTAACAGAACACTAATAACAAACGATTATCCCCTTACAGCATTGCAACTGTGACACTAATTCTTTGATTGGTATATCTATGTGCCTCTTCCAACAAACAATTATCAGCAATAATTTTGATTAATTAAAAGGTTAATTGTTTACCCTCTGAAGCTTCCTGAGCGAAGGTGTCATACACTGTAATTAACAACTGGCCAGTTAAATTTAATTTGCATGTTGTAAATACCGGTAATGCGGGGAAGTAAAAGGGCGGGCCCGGGCTTTGGCTTCATTTAAACCTTTTTTTAATTTTTTTTTTTTTTTTTTTTTTTTTTTTTTTCTGGAAATGAGTCCAAATATAATGGCATGTATGGCTTTTGTCTGCGGTCTGCCCAGTCATTTTTATGGGAGGGCTTTTGTCCACGCTTTCATTTTCATGGGAGGGCTTTTGTCTGCCTTGTCATTTTTGGACTGGAGGGCTTTTGTCTGAGAGGGCTTGAGTGCTACACTTGACTAAATAACATCATAAGTCCGGCACATAAATTATATCGTAGCGTATTATATTTTCGACGTTCTTATATTTTCGACGGTAGCCATTTCTATCCGAATATGTTATGATCTCGCGAGAATTTTTTAACTCCACCCCTTCCGGATGTAAACAAAATGATGCTGGATGCCGCTAAAATGTCAAAGTAACATAACATGGAAATTAGACAGGTAAACCTTTTATCACAATGTTTCTAATGGTCAAACACGTGTATTTTCTTATTTCCTAAAAACCTGTTGCTAAGAAACACAATAATATAAATATTATTGCCTAAAAAATTAAACGTGTTTCCATACGTCTGCTATGATCATCAATTCTCCCAAAAGTCACGTGATATGTCAAATTTTATGTACAGGGTGTTCCCAAAAGTTCATTGATTACACAATGTATGCTTAGGGTTCAGACTACTAAATTAATTTCTTCTTCATTTTTTTTTCAGATTAAGACCCACATCCGGGGCAAGTATAGGTCCTACACAGCAAGTGACCAGAATGAAGCTTACAGGACAGTAATAGAAGAAGGATTGCCTGTAGAGAGAGTTGCCAAAAGGTTTAATGTGCCTGTCACAACCCTTAAAGATAGAGTTAAGGGGAGAGTTGATATTGACACTGTAAAAATCAGGTCCCCAAACTATATTTAGTCAAGAGCAGGAAGCTTTTTCTTAACATTTGAAAACTATGGCAGAAATTGGTTTAAAAAACACCAGATTCCGCATATTTTTTGTTTTTCCTGAGCAAGAATGTTGCCAGCTTTATTGGAAGGCGCTACAGCAGGGTCTCAAGGTGATGTCTCAGAGTCAGGGTGGTCGAATACAGAAATATTTACTAATTACATGATTCAGCATTTCGAGCCATTACTGCCAAGTCGCACTAAAGAAAACCAAGTTCTGGTGTTGTACGATGGTCATAAAAGTCATGTTTCTCTAGGTCTTATTGAGTGGGCAAGATCACAACACATTGTTCACATCTATTACAACCTATGGATGTTTCATGTTTTGCACCTTTTGAGGTAGGATGGAATTCAGCGTGTCATCACAATACCTGAGAGAATCTGGTGGTTACGCGCTATGAAGTTGGTAAAATAGCAAGCAAAGTATACACAGCAACCCTCACACTGTCAATATACAGTCTGCCTTCAAACGCTGTGGTTTTTACCCATTTAACTCTGATGTTGTAAGTGATACTTCTATTGCACATTCTTTGAGTTTTCAAACTGAAATCACTAATTCATCTGAAATTGTTGATGGTAGTAAAAAAGGCTAAGATGAGGTATCAATTGCATCAGATGCTAGGTCATTTCTAGAAAATAGAGGTAGTAAAGTTTTGCAAAATGTTCCACTTGCTAAGACAAGAAAGACTTTAATTAAGGTTGTTGGAGGGAAAGCGGTAACTGAAGACCAAGTGTTTGAAGCAGTTTAAAACACATATTTCAGACCAAAGTCAAATAAGTCCAAGCGTATCAACACCTATGTTGCTAGTACATCTGGTATTCCAAACAAAAAAAAAGTCAAAAGATTATGTTGTTGCTAATACTGACTCGGATGTTGAGGAAAATGACATTCTAGATTCTGACAAGTGTAATTGTTTGCAGGCGTTCACAATGTAAAAGACATTGACAAATTGCCATATTTAACTATCGTTAACTGGGGATGTTGTGGCAGGTGTGTGGCAGTGGGTTCACCTGAGGTTTTGCAGTCCAGTTAGAGTGCTAAGAAGGAATGACACTTTTCTGTGCCCTTCTTGCTCTAATGAACAAAAGACTTATCTGTTAAGTTATTTTATATAAAAAAAAGAAAAAAATGAAAAGAAAAAAAAAACTTCAACAGTTAACGTTTTATTATGTTGTTGGACACTACCATTATTTTCAAAAATTGTTCTACATTGTTTGGAATAAGTTGCTTTCTTCTTGGACTGATTGTATTTTACTTATACACAGTGTGAAAAACTTTTTTGACCACCCTGTACCTTAATTTCCTCGACCAATGAAAATCGTCGAAAATATAAGACGTCATTTTTCTCAGAAACCAAAATGGCTGCCTCCTTAAAACTAGTGTAAAAAGGTAAATTGTTATGTTTTGTATTGAAATTTTCAAATTATAAAGGAAAAAGGTAATTTTAGTTGATGGAAATATGAAATATGCATTTATTTCCTTTTTACATTTTTGCCGACACGAAATGTCCTTACACCGTCGAAAATATAAGAAGCCAGGATACTTGATTTCAAGAGAGTGTTGCAGTATACAGAGGAATCCGGGTCAGCTCGGCCCTTAAACGTACTCGGCCCCCGAGTCAGCTCGGCCCTATACCAACTCAGCACGGGTCAACTAGGCCCACTTTTCAATTATTAATATTTAGGTTTGTGTTATCACTATTTATTGTTATTATTGTAATTATTTATAAAACACGGATTGACAGTAACAAATTTTTTTATGATAATCTTAATTTAAAGCTTTTGACAATTACAAACAAATTAAATGAAATTGGTAAAAGACATTAAAGGACTCCTATTGTCACAGGCTTTTATTATCAATCAATTATTAATTAGGTGATAATTATGATTGACTCATTCATTCAAATTTGATTAGTGGCCACCTGCAATTAATTAGCCGCTTATGATATTAAGTGAACACGTTTTGTTTCATTTTTTTTAATATTACTTTACAAACATAATGCATCTAAGGAAACACATTTTTATTAGATCTATATTAATCTTATCGAATCTTCAAGACAAATAAATAACATTTTCTAAATATACTTTATTTCGACAGAAGTACAATGTATAATTATATAATAATAAGATATATTTCATTTACCTTAACAACATGCAAAGCAAAGTTAATACGTTATATATATTTTTGTAAAGTGGGCCGAGTTGACTTGTGCCGAGTTGACCCGTGCCGAGTTGGTATAGGGCCGAGTTGACTCTTTTCCATAAAGAGATGACATGAAATCATAACCCCAAGTCAGTGCCTGCAGCCCTTTCTGACTGAGAGAGCACAAGAGATGTTGTTCATTCTATCATATCTCCTGAAAAAAAACTTATATCAACAATTGCCTGATTGCCATGTTCATGATGTTAGCTATACCCTATAATTTTGTTGTTGTTTTTTTGTTAACTAAACTAAACATTTCTAAATGATTCTGAATGTTGCAGGCTGGACATACTCTACGAATTCTTTTCTTTTGTATACATTCAGCGGCAAATACTCTTTCACCCATACTCTGCAATTCCATTGCTTTCTTCCGCAGAGAAAAACACTATTTGACCATTTTCAGGCCAAAATTAATTTGTAATTACAACGGATGTGACGTCAAGAATGATCAGATTAGCTGAGCGCTTACATGGTTCAATCTACAAAAAGGTAATGATTTGAAGTTACAGAAAGATAAATAAATGCGCAAAATGGTTTTGGGCCACTCGAATCTATGTTGTTGCTAAAATAAATAAATAAATAAAATAAATAAAAAATCGGACCCTAAATCATTAAATATCATTAATTAAATGACATATCGACAATTTTATAAGTCAAACAAACCAAAAATGATTTAACCCGCCCCCTCAAAAATAATAATTTTAATAGAAACTACATTGTTTATATATACGAATATATTTATAGATATAATTAGATCTAGTTTACACAATACCTGTTTACTAATCTTTTCATTTACATACAGTAATAAATTACATACAAATAAATTTAACTTATTGAGAAGGAAACTAAAAATCTTCGTTATGAAATTAATGAACAGCGGTACTCAATTCTCAACACTTAATAGTGCTGGCATCAATGATCCCGAAGGACCAGAAAAATGTAACAACACTGAAGTGAATTACGGGGCAACTTTTTATAGCTGCCACGCGGCACTTAACACCTGCGCTTGTGATGTATAAACATCTGGAAACAAAGTGATCCATCGGAAGCAGGTGTCAAGACTGCTGTGTGGCAGCCGTAAAAAGTTGCCCCGTACTTCACTTCAGTGTTGATATATTTTTCTGGTCCTTCGGGATCATTGATGAAGATATTCAACAATAATAATTTTAATAGAAACTACATTGTTTATATATACGAATATATTTATAGATATAATTAGATCTAGTTTACACAATACCTGTTTACTAATCTTTTCATTTACATACAGTAATAAATTACATACAAATAAATTTAACTTATTGAGAAGGAAACTAAAAATCTTCGTTATGAAATTAATGAACAGCGGTACTCAATTCTCAACACTTAATAGTGCTGGCATCAATGATCCCGAAGGACCAGAAAAAATGTAACAACACTGAAGTGAATTACGGGGCAACTTTTTATAGCTGCCACGCGGCACTTAACACCTGCGCTTGTGATGTATAAACATCTGGAAACAAAGTGATCCATCGGAAGCAGGTGTCAAGACTGCTGTGTGGCAGCCGTAAAAAGTTGCCCCGTACTTCACTTCAGTGTTGATATATTTTTCTGGTCCTTCGGGATCATTGATGAAGATATTCAACGTAACAAAACAAAACAGATAATTCATTTCTCTATATGCTTAATAAAAAGCCACCGGGCCAGTGCTAAATTCATAGATCATTGATGCCCGGTACAAGTCAACCCGGCCCCAAGTCAACCCGACCCCAAGTCAGCCCGGCCCGAAATTGGTCAACCCGGCCCCAAACCAATATTATTTTTGGTCAACCCGGCCCAATTTTTATTATTTATTTTGCTTTAAAATGTAAACACTTTTCAAGAAATAAAATAAAAATTAACAATAAAAACAACAACAAATGTTTAACGATGATATCTTTTATTATTTATTTTATATAAAAACTTTCAATAGTAACAAACAAGCAACACATGCATAATTTACTGTTTTTACAATGTCCAATGCATAGTTATACAATTTTCAATGCATAGTTCTACAATGTTCAATGTATAGTTCTACAATGTTCGTCGCACAACCCTACAACGTTCTGCCTCTCTTCTACCTAGTATGGGTCTATACATGGTAGACACAATCTGAAATAGGGCGGTTTAGACATAATAATGCTGGTAAATTTACTTAAATCAGAAAGAGTAATTTCATTTCTACTTGATAATATTCTCGCAAAACAATGGACGGTATCTGAAATATTAACACAATCAATACAGTTATCAATCATAATGACATAAAGTGATTAAACACAAAACACTATCAATTTTTCAAACACTTAGTAAAATTCCAATACTTTTTTACTCAGTAAATATTCTTTGAAAATAAGTTAAACATTCAAATGAACTGATACAATATGATAAACAAGATCAACAAGGAAAGGCGGCGTTCAATGAACGCAACCCCCATATGACCCAGCAACAAGAACCAATGGCAAGGAGCCCAGGCGGACCCCAAACAAAAACAGGACAGGGCAAAGACAGAGCACGGACAGGTTAATCATTAAATGATAAATAATTTGTAACTGATTAGGAATTCAAAGAAAATAATAATAGGCCCACAAAGGGGAAGGGGACAGGAGACCTTTTGACTCGAAATTCTATGCATTTCTTCCTAATTATCGGGTTAACACTCACGAAACCATCTTAAATTTACATCGAATAAAGACATGAAAGATACTACCAACTTATTTAAAGGATTTGTTTTCTTTGTTAATTGATTGCTTTAAACTGTGTGATTATCACATCTGAATTAATGTTGATGTACATATAATTGTTGATGTGATATAATTATTCATTATCACTATTGCGTATAATTAAAGTCTTAATTGGCGCAATTAAATTTACCGACACTTTTATGCCAGTTCATGTTTTTTATTGTTCTATAGTTAATAATCTTCCATCAATAATAAATCATTTTTATTCCATCATACAACAAAATTACTTAAATAGTTTTTCTTTGAAAAATATATATATTGGGACCGGAATGACCAATTTTGGGCCGCACTGACCAATTTTGGGGCCGCATTGACCAAATAAAAATACTGTGAGGCCGGATTGACCAATTTTGGGGCCGGGTTGACCAATTTTGAGGTCGGGTTGACTTGGAGCCGGGTTAACTTGGGGCCGGGTTGACTGCCAGCACAACTGAGTGTTGAGAGTTGAATACCGCTCAAGCCGGTGCTAGGGGGCGTGAGGGATGTTGCACTTATTCATTATCGCTCATGTATAGGCTCAATCAAACCGAGTCTGCAATTCTCTTGTAATTTTGTTGTGATTAATGCTTTCGAGTGGTCACTTTGTTTCCAGATTTTTAATGACTGAAAGAATTTTGTGACATGTAGCTCAGCAGGGGTCCAGGCTCTAATAAATAAGGATTTAGTGACCATTTTATCTTTTTGCTGATATATTATTCTTTATGTGCCTTTTTATAGGGGAAATATACAGACCAGGGTGTCTGGGGGTGGAGGTTCGTGCCTGAAGATATTCAACGTAACAAAACAAAACAGATCATTCATTTCTCTATATGCTTAAGAACAAAATACGATAAACAAGATCAACAAGGAAAGGCGGCGTTCAATGAACGCAAACCCCTATATGACCCAGCAACAAGAACCAGTGGCAAGGAGCCCAGGCGGACCAGCCACCGGGCCAGTGCTAAATTCGATGACTGTGTGACCAATAAATGTATTGTGTTAAATGAGCACTCAAAACCAATTTGTGAAAAACCCATGGTTGATATCTAACGTTCATACATGTCTATGATAAGGAATATAACGTTTGCAAATTGGTTACTAAACTGCTTCGATTGTTAAATGATCACACATATACCGTTTTCTGTCGTCTGCTACTTGTTACATTGTGCACATCTAAGCTAAAAGTTAAACTTTCTAATATCAAAATGGCAACGCCCATACATTATGAATGCTTCGGACTTCGATGTGAAGTTTAATTTCGTCACGTCTCAGTGAATTCCATCAAACATAGTTCTTCCTTCTAATGAGGAGAAAGAACAATTTTTAATCGCAGATGCAACGTCTTTAACTACATCTCGCATGACATAAATTTTGTTGACTTGAGTACAGTTCCAGTGTTTTGTCACCACACACTGGAGTGCGCATTGACCAGAATGAGTGCGTACAGTGCCGTGGGGTCAAAAAGTACACGAGTATTCCAGCTGTGATTGATTCTCTACAGAGTGAAGCAATCTATATAGAGCATAGATGCTAAGATTAGCAACTTATTATGCTTCAAAGCTTCAAAACATCCTGCAAAAAAAATCCTGACTACTTCAAACCAGTTACAAGACCAACTAGAAATTCCCACCACATTGCTTTCAAACATAATTTAACAACTACAGACTATTCTTACCCAGGACCGTCTTTCATTGGAATCATAATATGACGATTTTGTTCCATTGTGCTAATGAGCACGTGCAAGTTATTATTTGAAGAGAAGTGCTATTATGGCAGGTGTCAAATGCAGAGTGGCAGCCGTAAAAAGTTGCCCCGTACTTCACTTTAGTGTTGTTATATTTTTTCTTGTCCTTCGATATCATTGAGTCCTAGCACTTTTAAGTGTTGAGAATTGAGTATATACGCTCAAGCCGGTGCTAGTGGGCTTGAGGGATGTTGAACCTTATCATTATCCCTCATGTACAGACTCAATCAAGCCGAGTCGCCAATTTTCATGTTATTTTGCTGTTTTTAGTGCTTCCGAAGGATTATTCCTGCGGTCTCCATTCCCTGCGGTCTGGAGGTATTGGTACGCGTTTAACTTTTGAGGCATGGAGGAGCACGTACGTGACCTGTTTTCGGTACATGGAGGAGCATGTGATCTGTAAACCGTACATGATTGGTTAATTGACCTTTTCGAAAACCTGGCTAAATACCGTTTGTCGGTACGTTACGGATAATCCTCTAGGGAATAAGTCAGAATTACACCTAATTAAGAACAAAAAAACTATTACGTGATCTTTTTAATTTTCTATAATTATAATACCGTTTAAGGTGGAAAAACTTGAATGATGTGTTTGAAAATTATCAATGTTTCTTTAATATGTATCTCAAAATGTTACAAACAATAAATTGTTTATACTGAAAATCTACAAAATTAAAATATTCGTAGTGGCATCTGCCATAATAAATAGAGATGTTTTTTTCGAAAACTTGTGTTGTTTTTTTTTTGCTCGGAATTATTCATAAAATGGTAGGCCTATTTAATCATTTTCTTAAAAAGAAATAATTGTTTTATGTTCGACCTTCTCCGGTCATTAACGGTCACCATGCAGTTTCCAAAGACCTTCTTCTATATTGATCGATTATTGTCAACTATATTCCTGATACAAAAGTTTATTTATCCACCCACCCAAACAATGTTGAAGATAGTTAAATGAAATATCTTTATATCATCAAAAATATTCCCCGCAGGAAACCATTTTACTTGTATTTCATGTAGATTGCGAATCTAGAGACGGGCCTCCTTCTCAAACACAAAGATCTTTGTGACGTCATCAACTACAGGAAGTGAATAAACTTCCATTGATATTTGACAGTTCTACGCCAAGTTGTTTTCTTTGTCTTAAGGAAATGAATTGATACATTTGAAGGAGTTGAAAGGCATGAAAGATTATTTAAAAGGGGAATATACCGGAAGGTAAAAATAATTTAGTCTTTTCTGAAGCATAAGGGTTTGAACGTTGTTAAAATTTTGTACACTTGCAACACATTCGTACGTTATAATTTTCGACCGATTTTTTGTTGTTGTTGTTGTTGTTTTCATCTAAGAGATTAATCTGTTAATTTAGAATATATATTTTTAGAACGAAGTAGAGAATTATTCATAGATGCTTCGATTTAAATTATTTGTTAGCTTTGATTACTGTGAATAAATGAAATTATCCTATCACAATATTAGGTAAACAGGCTGGTGAAAATGCCCGATCGGGCTTAGCCATAAAATAATATGAAAAAGGCAAAGCCTCAAAGCGAGCTCGATTTTCTTTTACCATAAAATAGTTTAAAATAATCGTTCATTTTTATTTTACAGTTTCCGTTTTAAAATTCTCATTCGGTATTTTATACACTGCTTCCTTTTATTCTGGTTCCTCCTTTCTATTATTAAGTGCGCAGGACACCAGTCTACGCTTCCCTTTTCAATCAGAGTACATCGGCTTTTATCGTTATCTTGTAATTCGAAAAGTCGCGATGTGTCAATTCGGTACTTCGGACGAAAGTTTTCAAAACCATCACCTAGCAGGTACTCGCGTTACCGTTAAGCTTGCTTTGCGAGCAGGCACTTCGGGCCAGCTCGTCGAGCTCGCTATCATATTTCTAGAAAAATAATTAATATGTTTCTTTCTCACTTGTTTTGTTTATTAAGCATTGATATATGATACAAATCAAAATAAAAATATTTTGGTTATCTTTTATTTTCTTAGAATTATTTCCCTTTTTCCCATTTTCTAGAAACAAAATATTTGAAGTTCATAAAAATTATATTGTAATGTAAAATTCTAAATAGAAATGTGTCCAACAACTTCATTTTGCTCTAGATTATTGCGCCAATACCTTTATTCTATATATTTGGATTAAATATTCTGTTTCTGGCATTTATATTTTGACAATTCTTTGACACTGAACATTATACTTTGAAGTTTTCTCTGAAAACTGAATGAAGTGTATGCTGACAGGTGTTGGCGCATTGAATTAGAGTATTAAGAAGTAATTTAACCTATTTTGTTTTACACTTTGCATATGTAACTTTCTTTTTAAGGACTTCAAAAATTATGTATTATAAAAACATGAAAAAAGGGAAATAAATCTCACAAAAGTGACAGTAGCCAAATATTTTCCTTTCTGTTTTGTCAAACTCAATAAACAAACAAAGTTTAAAAGAAATAACTTTATTATTTTTCTAGAAATATGATTTTTATGTCATAAGCCCGATCGGGCATTTTCACCAGCCTGGTAAAGGGTCAACTCGGCCCTATACCAACTCGGGACGTATTCAGAAGTACCATCAATTACAAACAGAAATTGAAAAAGTTGGCAGTGTACATGTACGTATTGTTTGAAATTATCTTTGTTAAGAAGAGATATCAAAACAGTACAATATATGTTAAATATTGATCCATAAATAAAGTTTTTGGGGGCAAACCACATTGAATTTTTAAGACAATTAATGTTATTGTATTTAACACTGTTTGTTCTTTAATACGACCAATGCTGTTTTAACGATATTTTTAACTGAAAACATCTGAAGTAGACAAATCATGCAAATAAATTGTAAATTCTTCCTTTCTTTACAAAATCACGTATAAATTGGTACTTTCGTCAATAAAACTTTTCATTATCCTTGAGTAGGGGTATATAAGCGTGAAAATGTTAAACAAAGAAAGTTATGATGAAAACATAAAAAAAGTGATCAATACCAGTAATGTATAATTATGGGCCGAGTTGACCCGTACCGAGTTAAAATAGGGCCAAGCTAACTCGGGGGCCGAATACGTTTTAGGGCCGAGCTGACCCTGATTCATGATTTTATATGATGTTTATATTCAGCCAACAAGTTATTCATCAATATTGTGTAAATCTGTGGAGGAAAATCTCTTGTTGAAATTAACAACAAAAATGGAATACATTTATTAAATTTAAAAGATCTACATTAATATAGCACACTGCAAAATTATTGATAAATTACACTAAAGCAGGCATGTTGTCTGGGGAAGTGGCTAGCTGTACGGGTCCATAGTACTGCTAGCCAAAAGTTCAAGCCGTACGTTTAGCCTATATGCATGGTTGAGCCTAGCCATTTATGGCATTTTTTCAATAATGAATAAATGCATTGATGAAGTCAGTAATTTGCATGTCTTATTACATTTTCACACATCTTATACACCAAACTGATAAGAGTAATTTCGTTTGGGGGGTTTGAAGGGGGGCGGAGTCCCCCTCATCGCCAAGAAAATTTTGGACTTGTGAGAAGCTTAAAATGACCCCAGGTCGATCATAAGGTAACGTGTAACCAACGCTGAAAAGCCTTTGACTCTATCTCAATCCCTTGAGAAGTTGCATCACTTTGAAATAAATTTTGATGGAAAAAATCTAGGCAAAATAGTGATTTTTGGCAATTTTGAGATGTCCCCTCGTTGCCATGGTAACAGGAAATTTAAGACTGAGCATGTTGTTACAAAGGCAATGGTCCAGTCAACATTTGTGCCAAGTTTAATTAGTATGGAAGCATTTTTCATAGTTTCATAGCAGTTTGAACTTGTAAGAGGAGGCTTTTCAGTGAAAATGGCCATTTTTCACAATATGCTCATGGGGGAAAGGGTTAATGGGTGAAACATATAATCTGCGAAGATGTGAAAATTACGCTTAGCTTGCCTTGATAACTACAATTATTGCTTAATTGATTGTTTTTTGTCACCTTCAATAGATATTTTGATATAATGCAAATAACTTTTAATCTTTTGTAATGAATTTAATGACATGGAATTAAATAAAGGAAATAAATGTCAATAAATGATAATAAAAATAGAAAAACCTTGTTAACACTCTAGGGGTCACATTTTTGCCTCCATCATCATCAAACTTTGTCATGAAACTTGTCTAGGTGATAGCTCGGATGAGTTCAAACATGGGTCATCTCGGATGAAAACCTAAGTCACCGGAGCTAAAAATAGAAAAACCTTGTTAACACTCTAGAGGCTACAGTTTTGATCCAAATATCCTGTAAATTGGTCTGAAAGTTTGTTTTGATGATTTCTAGGTCAAGTTTGAACATGGGTCATCTCGGATGAAAAACTAGGTCACACCGCCCAAATATGGAAAAACCTTGTTAACACTCCATTGGTCACATATTTGAATTAATTATCATCAAACTTTGTCAGGATGCTTGTCTAGGTAATTGTTCAGATGAGTTCGAACATGGGTCATCTCGCATGAAAATCTAGGTCACCAGAGCTTAAAATAGAAAAGTCTTGTTAACACTCTAGTGGCTACAGTTTTGATCCAAGTATCCTGGAAATTGGTCTGAAAGTTTTTTTTGATGATTTTTAGGTCAAGTTCGAATATGGGTCACCTGGGTAAAAAACTAGGTTACACTGCTCAAATATGGACAATCCTAGTTAACACTCTAGTGGTCACATTTTTGACTCACCTGTCATGAAACTTGGTCAGAATGCTTGTCAGGTAATTCGGATGAGTTCGATGGGTCAGGTGAGCGATCTAGGGCCATCATGGCCCTCTTGTTTATGGAAATTATCAACTGACGCCACTTTAAGACAGCTTTAGAATGTACAGTAAACTCCACTTATAATGAACTCAAAATCTATTCCTTATATCCGATTACAAATGATCATAATTATTTTCCTTTAGCAAAACTTTTAAAGAAATAATGGAATAAAAGGAATTATCGTTTTATCTTGGTGACAAGAACTCATGCTAAAAGTATCTTAAAAAAAAAGCTATTATAGTCTGTCCCATTAAAAATGGAAATGAACCTTTGCCTAGTCTGAATGAACAAAACGACGTTGAATAAAAATTAAAGCTTTTTTGTAAACTAAAAAAAAGTCACCCTCGAGATTTTTCAGGATTTTTCTCTAAAAAGTCTACTTTTCTTGTAAAAACAAATTTTCATTTCTCTACGGCAAGTCTCTGTTGTTTATTTTCCGTAGCCATTGCGGAAGTACTCTTCATTTGAAGATGAACGGGAGAAAGCACGTGTCATGTTTCCAAAATGTACATGATGTTCTCGGGGTCGTTTCATGATTATTTTACAAAGCTGGATCTATAAGATGTAACAGTTTCGTTGCCATGCATGATGGAAAACTTTAAAGAATGAATAATAAGCAACAAGAACATCGAGTCACATGGAGTAGATCTAGAAATTGCACTTACTTTTAAGCTGAATAGAATCCCTATGAATTTCGAAATACTGTAGATCTTTATAAACGTCACGACAAATTCGCATTTTGAAGATTCCTTCAATGCCAATTTCTATCCAGTTCCGTAGATCCCAATTTTACTTTGAAACTCCTGAATGGCATGACTCCCACAGGCCACACTTATGATGATAGGCCTACAGATTTTTTTTTATAATCCGTCTCATTATTTAAACATTGTTCCATTTGTGCAGTTATCTGGGTTAGCAAATGAAATATGTAAATGAAACACATCATAATTCAGTATGTTCCAAATCCATAATTCAAGAACGGCCTATCAATTTTAGTTGTCAACATCACAATGTTCATATATATAGGGATTCCTGACGAAAAAAAACATTATTACGTCAACAACAATTTACGAAATATATGACGTAACAAAAATGCCTCGCGCTATTTATGGATAATTCCAGTTGCGGCATTGACAGAGGGCGGTAAGGCATATGCAACCTCATACAGATAATTTTAGATAAATTTGTCTTGATGGCATTTAAAATGAATTTTGTATACCCAGATTTTGCAGTAATTCTTAAAATTACACCTTCATTTCATATATTAACAATAAAACTTTTGATAACATTTGAATAATTTTAAACACACATAAAATGACATGAATCTATGACAGTAACGTTACAATACTTCTTCCATTAATTCACATATAACCTTCGTTTTGATTTTATGTTTTTAAACTATTACATAATATATATTTCTCAGAAATGATTTCCCTACATATTATCTCGTTATTCAAGACTTCTGTAAATCCTACTCTTTTAGCTACAAAATATACCATATGCGGTATTTTTTTCTCCCGCGAAAAATATACATGTAACTGGTTCTAATATTGTTTTTTTCACTGAATATTTTCAAATTTTAGGAAGGCTAAAATAATTGAGGACATCAATCTGTGGTTCTCTTTGACTCGATCTCATCTTCATGTTAACATTGTATGTAACACTACAAAAAAAATAGTTTGCTATTAAAATTGCCTTTTTGATACCAACTTTGTTCTCATTTTTCATTTTAATGATAACATTTAGCTATTGATGAGCAAGTTAATAAGAATAATCAAATTTTTATAATTACCGAATACATTTCACGCTAATTGTGAGCCGAACCCTAAATGACGTCTGTATGGGCGCCGCCATTTTGAAATGGACGTCACGTCAGGTTACAACGTAAGTCAACGGTAAAAAATATAATTTTAACATTATGACCATATTACTGACTTTATGGAAAAAATGAAAAACATGCCTAGAGATATTGACGTCAGGGTTAACATGACATTAATTTAACTAATTTTACTATTATATTTAATAAAAAATAGAATATTCAAATTTGATGGGACAGACTATAGGTACTGCTATACAAATTAATTTTCATATCTGTATTCAAGTACATACCGTAAAATTCCTATTAAACGCCCCCGGGGGCTTAACATTTTACAAAAGTGGGTGGGGGGGCTATTATTACAACACAGTTTTTCCTAAATCCAAAAATCATTGTAAATACATTTAGTGTTAGCAAGTGTTGGTAATAACATTAAAAAGTGTTAAGATTTTAAAGTTCATACTATAAAATAAAATAGATTCTGAATGATTTGAATGAAATTATGGATTTACTCATGAGTTCAGCACTGATAAGTAGATTGTTTTTCTTATCAAAAGGCCTGGGGGGCCTTTATTAGGGGAGGGGTGTTTATTAGGAATTTTACGGTATAACAATAAACGGTACATTCTGCCGAGTTTTAATCTGTGTCGATGAAAACGAAAGTAGAAAATGCGGGATCTATTTACAGATAGAGTTCATTATAAAAGTCTAACTAAATTGGGAATGAAAAATGAGTTCCTTTTAAGCAATAATTCATTATAACCGTGTTTGCTGTAACCATATTTTTTCAAATTAGTAAAAAGAGGGCAAAATTCGGGCCAAAAATACCAGAAGTTCACTATAAATGTGTTTGCTATAAGTGAAGTTTACTGTAGTTGCTTTTCTTATTATATTAATGTCTTAAGGATATTGACAAAAGAAATTTCATCTAATATACTTTAAAAGTAATAAGAGGGCACCAAAAATAATAGATACGAAAATCTTATTATTAATTTATTATTTAAAGTCATTTTTGCTTCTCATATACAAAGTTTGCATTTTCTGTGAATTCAATTTAATGTGTAATCTTAAGGCTCTTTAGTCAATTCCTAGTGGTTATTGAAACATGAAAATTTTGATAAATTTAACTCTCTTTTTCTTTACGGAGAATTTTAACCTGTAATTGTGAAAACTCTGTAAAAGGTGATGTTTGTTATCTGTATATCTTGTCCTATCATTCAAACTGGCCAAATATTGTCCAGGAAAGTAAATTTTGAAAGATAACATGTGCATATTTTGTAAAACAGTATTCAAAGATCTTTTGCAAAGTAACATATTCATTATTGCCTCTAATTATTACGGAAAAAATGTGATACAGCTACCCTATCTAGTTTTATAGGCTGTCTGTAGTACTGGCCATTGGAGCTAGCTACTTCCAAGAAGTTATAATTATTTTTGATAGTTTATATGGCCATGTATAAATCTACTTTTAGCTACTTGGCAATTTGTATGTTTACAAGTTATAATATAGATTATGTATGCTTGCAGGGTGTGTCTATTTGCATGGAATGTGTTCAAGTATAAATGGGGAATTGTTTGACTTGCTGTAAGGCCAAGGACGTTGCTCGAACAACGCGCTATGCTGGTGAAAACAACTCAATCCCCTTAAGTACACGACAAGAACAGACTGAACCACTACATATTGAAGAACAAAGAGCTCCAGAACAGGCTGTTCTTACAGCAAGAAATATCGTTATTACTGATAAAAAGATGTTTAATCCTTATAATAAATTGCCTCCTATCAAAAAGCAATCCAACGGTGATAGTAAAAGAATGTCTTTGATTTCACGTGATTTCTCAGAAAACAAAGCTAATGCTTTATTTGATATGTACAAAGATCCTGATTGTGACTGTATTCTAGCTGAAGGCGTGGAAAAATTCTGTGATGATTTACAAGTGAGACCAGATGAGTTTATAGTTTTGGTTTTAGCATGGAAGTTAAACGCAGAAACTATGTGTGTTTTTACAAGAGAGCAGTTTGTTACTGGATGTCAGAGTCTACGTGTGGACTCCATCAAAGGATTCCAGTCAAAATTTTCAGATCTGATTTCAGAGGTGCAAAATAAACAAAACTTTAAGGAATTTTATAAATGGACATACAAGTTTGGCTTGGATCATGATTCAGGTCAGAGAACTTTACCGGTGGATATGGCCATGAGCTTATGGAAACTTGTGTTTTCTCAAAGAGAACCCAGAATTTTACCGCGCTGGCTGAACTTTCTTCAGAAACATCAGAATATACGCGGTGTGTCTAAAGACACATGGGATATGTTTTTGAACTTTATAGAGCAAGTTGGGGAGGATTTAACTAGTTATGATGACACAGAAGCATGGCCTAGCCTGCTCGATGACTTTGTTGAATACGAGAATGACTGTCAGAATCAGAATGTTGAGAGTGACATGCATTTTAACTGAAGATAGTTTTTTACAAATCAGCATGTAAGGGCCCATTTTTAAACAAAGTTGATTTGTTAATAGCTCTACATTAATAGTTTGCCACTTTATAAAAGTTAAAAAGTAATAAGATTAAGGAAATTCATACTTCTAGAAACGAAACCTTTAGAAATAAGTTTAATCCTTTTTTCAGCATTTTTTAAATGGGATTTTAGATCTAAATATTGATTGATATAAGCCCTTGAATAGTCACCAAGGTGTTGAATCATCTTTTGATTACCTAACTAATATGTGTCATTGTGTGACAGAGTTGCAGTTTACGCACAGTGATCTCTTTTACATTATTATTGTTCTATCATGAAGTTCACAATTACACACAGTGATTATTTTGCACGATAACACCATACTGCATTGGTCATCAAGTATTTGTGTTGTAAGTGAGAAAAATAAAAAAACAAAAACACTAGAAATCAATTGATACTCAGTGATTAGTATGACAAATGTTTTTTGTTTTTTTTTTATTTTGAAAGGATGAGAATGTTTTTTCCAGCGGCTGCTTTGGATGTTATTTAAATTGACTGTATGTGAAAGAAAGCTGGATTCCTTAGCAAAATAAAGTGTTATTTTAAGTTACAAACACAGTTGACGCCTTAATGGTTAGATAAATAAGACAGACATATTTGCCAGTCTGTGAAATATTGATTATTAAATGAGTTCACTTTTATATTTAGTAACTTTATGTGGCAACATATTAAATAAGATATGTTCACTTATATCAGCAGTGAGTCATTTTTATTTTTGATACATGTACTAACTAAAAAGTCACATGAAAACGATAATTTCTCACAAACTCAAGAATTTCACTATTTAAGCTACATTGTATGACCAAATGTCATCAAGTTTATATGTGGAAATAATAAATCAACAAGAAAGAAAATTAAGAAGTTAAGTCCAGAAAAGAAGTCTGTTTAAAGTTTTATGACTGACCTTTAATTTTATTGTCTTTTATTTACTTATACATGTACAATGTAAGTAGACAAAGCACTTCAACAAAAAATAGTTAAGAGTATTTTCTGTGTTATAGTGACAATTTAATTTTGTAGCTGACACTTGTCCTGCTGAAACCAAAAGTGATAACCTTTGCCACTAGTATAGACTATAGAATCATGCCAGCCTGTGCAGTCTGACCAGGCTCTATACTGTAAGCTTATCTTGATATCCCCAAAATTGATAATAACCAGTTTTAAAATTATAAGTTTGACAAGTTCATTTTAGTAATTCAGCAGATAAAGGGTTAAACAAAGCCAATATTGATAAATAAATAAATAGACCTGGTTAAAAAAGGAGGTTCTGTTATTCAAATTAGGGCCAAAATAGGATGTACTTTATAATAGATTCATTGTGTAATCCAGTTTGATTGTATATATGAACAGCCTGGATGTGTGGTACTTTATGTCTCTTATTAAAGACTCATCATGATTTGCTTTTTTTTCTTATTCGTTGAGTTATTCTATCATGCTGTATGCAAAATTTCAGAATAATAAGCTATTTTTTTCTTCAATTTTAATTCATATTCAATGTTTGACATGATATTTACATACTAGTTTTATAGATCCTTTAATTTTTTTTGAAAGTAGTCATTGAGAATACTGTTAAGTCATGGTGAGTCTTTAATGCAATTTTGGAATTAATTGTTTCATGAAGATGTTTATATATTTCTGTGCTTTTCCTGACAAAGTGAAATTATTTTTAATGACAATCAATGTATTTCATTTTTTTATTCTTTCTTTTATTATTGTACACGCTGCATAATGTTACAGAATTCTAGTTCAGTTATTTGTTGTTTTCTTTTTCTTTCATTGTTGTTAATTTGCCAATAATTGTGAATGCAAAGACTTGTTTTTTGGAAATTTTTTACTCATCCCCAAAGACCAAAAATTGAAATTTCCCAAAAGTTTTAAAAAAAATCTTTTTATGATTTTTTTCCCAGACATTGGGAATTTTTTTTAAAAGGGACAATACTTTTAAATTTTTTTTTGAAACCATTCTGCAAAGGGAAGGGATTATAGAACCCCAAGAAACAATCTACATGTGTTTGCTACCATAACACTTATTTTTGTTCAAGAATTCATTTTCTGCAAATGTCAGGTATGTGTTTTCCTAAGGACAAGAAGTAATGTGCAGGGAAACATATCTGAAAAGTTTAACATACTGCATGGAATGCACTTCATTAGGTTGAAAGTGGTTTTAGAATTTGTGGCAGGTGTATTTATCTATAGAAATAACATGTTTACACCTGGTCTATCCTCAAGGTTTTTTGTCCTGTTTCAGTACATTATTATACAAGTGGAACTATTAATTTTATATATTGATGTAACATAATTCATGTGTTTAAGGACTTGTGATGTCAGAAACTGAAAGTAATTAGCTTTTGCCCCTAGATTAGAGCCAGGCCAGCATGCACATCAGTGAAGACTCTATACTGTTCCAGACTCAAAGTGGGGTATTTCAGCAGCTTAACAGTAATGTTTGTTTACATTAACATGAATGAAGTTTTCAGTGGAAGAAACCACAAACACAGATAAACAATCATGGCAACTGTACAACATCGTGCACATTATCTTTTATTTCTAGATAATATATCAACTCATCTGGCTTTCTATTGACTGCATTGGGTATCTTATATAATATTTATAGCTGCAGTATAGTTTTAACAATATTGTTAAATCATGAAATTAAGTTGGCATGGAATTTTTTTGGTTAAGAGTAAAACTGTAGTGCTCAAAAATGATTTCATATTTCTTGGATAGAATTTTCTTGGTAAGGTCAAAATGTGCAATCTGGTGAAATCATTTTGACTTTGTTTGCCAGGAATTTTTTTAGTTCAGGTCAAATTGTTTATGTATTGTTATATAGGAATTGATGGTTTTATCATTGTAATTATCAGCAAGATTGCAATATCCAGGGATACTTATGAATTCCTTGTTTCCGTTTTGTCTTTCATAAATTAGGAATGTATATGATTTTTCAGGTCTCTGCAATAAAGAAATCAGTCTCTATAACTATTAGTGTTGTATGTTTGAAATTTTTTGTGTTATAAAATCTGAGAAAGCACAGCATCAGTTTGGCACTAACATGTACTTTGTTTTCAAGATACAAAAGCTTCCTTAAGAACGACACAAATTTTGTCTGTCCAAATCTTTCAAATATGGGTCTGAGAAAAAAAAAGAGTGCCAGATTGTTATTTAGTACCTGTAATTTACATTTTGTTAAGAACAGTGGATGTTATATCTTGGCTGGTTACTTAGCATCAGTGTTGGTTGTGGGCAAACATATTGACTGTTTAAGGCCAATAAGTGGAAGTAAACCTAGAATTCATTAAGGTGTAGTTATATTCTTTCTTCAACTGTCAAGTTTTGTTTTGGTTTTTTTTTCAGCTTGGAAAATTTTCATTTCTTAAACTAGTTTGGAACACACTTATTCATGGACAGTTTTTGATTTCAATCAAGAATATTAATTTTACAAGTTAATTATTTGATGAAGCATTCAAACTTGAATACATTCATACACAGCTAGGGCATATACCAATTGTAATTTTCTATTTTCATAACAGGTCACATGTAGGGAAACATTTGCAATTAAAATGGATGTGTATTTTAGGTTTATAATAGTTTTCTATTGTTGTCTGTCCAAAATTGTACTCTTTATGAAAAATTACCTTTATTTGTTCCTTAAATGCCAGACACATTTTGAATTGACTACTGATGTGTAAATTGACTACTTTAATATTGCCAGGAAAAAAGAAACTTAGTTTTTAAAAAACCAAAAAAAATTTTAAAAAGCTGTGAAAGTTTAAAGCTGTGCAATAATTTAAAAAAACAGACTTTCCTTAAATGAAACCAAAAATATATGAAATTTGATAAAAAGTTTTTTTTTAAAAATAAAAAATTTTTTAATAAAAACCTTAGGCTTTTTTTTCCCAATTTTATGTTTTTAATGTTCTTTTTGTGCAGTTTTTTAACCTTTTTCCCATTAACAATCCAAAATCATGTTTTCTTTTAAAACTTATTTTACCTGGTTTACCAGAACTTGTTAAAAAAACAAATTTTTTAGAAAGGTTTAAAATTACAGTTATTTAGTCTGATAACTAGAAAAGAAAAACCCAAAATAAATTGGGCATTTGATAGAGGTGTTGTACTGTAAAAATTTCCCTTTCAGGATCCCCAAAGCTCACCTTTAAATATTTATAGGTCTGCTATACAAATGTAGTATTGAATATGTATTATTAACATTGTTAGCGTTTTTTTTCTCCTGTATGTATTGACCTATTGATACCTGTTTAAGAGAAATCGGAAAAAAGATGGAGGTATTAGGTGGTTGACATGGTGATGATTTCTCTCAGTTCTTAAAATACCTGTCACATGACTCATATTATATAATGTTGACAAACACCCTTTAATGCTTTTCCCACATTTCTGTAAAGATGCTATTTTCTTTTCTCTCACATTGCATAACAGGTATTTTGCAAAAAAAATTTTTACTGCTTTTCTTTTTATAAGCTCTCCAGAACTGAAAGGTCAGGGTGAGCTATTAGAATCTGGAATCCTTCTTTAACAATAATATTGTTCTCATAAACTGTTGGTCAGATTTTCTGAAAAAGCTGTGTAGCACCTTTGTGACATTGTAACTTCAATTTGAATGATAGGGGCTAGAAATAGAAACAAATTTGAACTATATCCAGATTTCTAATTGATGCAATAATTATTCTGGTGAGCAATGCAGGGACATTATAGCTCTCTTTTTTTTTAAATTATTTTAAAAGGACAGTCTCAATAATACATTGCAGAGCTCAGAAGCTTGCTTTTTATAGACATTTATTTTATTTTTTGTCTGTTGAAGAAAACTAACAATATGTTGACTGTATGTTGAAAAGAGGAACTTTATCTTTTGTATAAAGTAAATTAAACTGGGTGTTAACATTTAATATTTTTACTTTGGTTGAGGCATTGTTTGAATAGTCTGTTGGGAAAAAATTGACATTTTTTTTCTAAGACGCCATTGTTATAAATGATCTTGAATACCGTATATGTCCTTATTAATGCTCTATGTTTCATTCACAGGCTGTGTTTTTGAGGAAAAAAACTCCAGAGCCAGGAAAAACAAAAAATGAAAGTTTAACTTTAAACCTTGTAAAGAAATCAGCAAAAAGCTGAAATTTTTATTCATTACATGTAACAGTTTGTGATGCATAAAAAGCACTTCAGAGAATTTCCAGAGTGCTGTTTTTACAACTTTTCAAAATTACAAGATATAAAAAGAAAGAGGTGCAAAGTCTGACCATAAATGCAAAACTGTGAAAATTAGTCTGAGATTAAGAAAAACTTACTTATATTCAGCCTGTAAAGATTATGAAAACACACATGTACTGT